ATTGGCCAATTTCCAGTGACCCTCCAGCTGGACAACATATTCTTTGCTGTCATTCCGACCTCACGTGCTTTGGCATGGGCGCATATAAACTTGACCTTATCAACGGGGGCAGAATCCGTCAGACAAGTTAAATTCTGAAGTTATTTCCGATGCGCCGCTTTGAAAGCCTTGAAAACACCGTTATTCAGTGGCTGAAGGCCATGAGAGCAGTGGGAAGGAAGGTAACAGCAGTAGACGTTGTTCAAAACGCACGTGGCCATCCATGCATCCTGGTCCCGGTTAATAGTGATTTCTAGGGAGATAAATACGGAAACGCACCGTTTCATGGCTTTCATGTCCATTTAATATGATCAGCCTAGCACCGACTCATCGGCAGGCTGCGTCTCAGGCAAATAGACTCTCTCAAGCCACTCAATAGCGACAGGTGGTCCATCCATCCGTTCGGCGAGGTAATGTAATTCCGGTCGGCAATTTTGCCGAATTCCGTCACGAACCACTCTTTCTGGAGTTCTTTGCCCTTGAAAATGATACCAGGAGTAAGGGCACGGCCATCCGCAGTGATGGCTTCGATAAATGAGGTCTAGTTGCGGGACTGTGGTCCCTTCAGCAGGGCCTTCCGTTTTGGGTCTGTACTGCAAACCACAAGACTTTCCAAACCTGGAGAAAAGACGCTGGTTAGTTGGAATAATGAACGGCAATTCAAACGCTCACCAAAGCCAACATCATACCGCCCTCGGCGACATTCACGATATTCTCCGGTTTAATCCGCCCATACCCCTTGTCCCTGATATCGCAGTACCAGTGAACCGCCCGAGGCGTGAAAGTGTTAAACCTGTTAGCTTCCTGACGTCTTTCACGCTTGTTTTTGATCTCCGGATGGCGATTGATGAATTTGGTGGACCGGCTGCGGCCTGCTGTCCGCTTGTTGTTCAGTTGCGTTTTAGAGTCTCCACGCAGGCGTGGATCGGTCTATTGGAGGGAGCAGAGCCAAGAGACTCTTGACAGATGATATAGGAGACAAACCGAGCCTTATGATTCTTTCTCAAGTGTTTGCGAGCCTGGATCTGATCAACCAGGGCTGCTTGGACTTTTGTCAGTCAGAATCATGCTGCCGAGGTATGTCGTACTTTTGAGCGGCGCGATACTGTGACAAGACGTTGTTTGTGATTTACTATATGACAGTTGCGTTTTTAGCCTCAACGTAGACACGTCAAGGCCGTTTTGAGGTCTTTTTGGACATGTGGTGGAGGAATAATGAGAATAATCATCGTCGGGAGGGAGAGGAAGATTACGCGGCTGAATGGTAATTTCGCGCGCAACATTCACACAGACCACAGCGCCCTGTGGAAATATTTAACTACCAAAAACTGGAATTCGGTCAATTCTCTATCTGCTCCAAGTGACTGCTTGCGAATATCTTTAAAGTTGGCTGCAATCGGTGTAAGTGAAATGGTAGACTTTTGGTGGAGTTTTTTTCAATTGCGCTACCGAAAGGTGGGTGTTACCGAAAGGGGGGTGGGGCATGGTATTATGTCAATACCATGTGCTATTCCAGTAGAGCATGTAGTTCTTGCAGAGAGACCATATGCAACTGACATATTTCCATATGCCGCGTCTGCTATGTCATATGATCCTAATCTTCAGATGAGTACTACTCCAATAGTTCATTTTCTAGCACTAGACATATGTAATAATTCTGATCTAGACTATAAGACATCTAGGGACTGGTTCAGAGATAGCTGGAAGTATCTGAACAAAGGTATAGTATTACTAAATGTTTGTACTACATATAGCTTTATGAGTAACGACTCCGAAAAGGAGCGTGTTACAATGGAGGAGTTTATACGTGATATAATATCAATATCCCTGAAAATATCAGGCAAGAAGATACATATGTATGCACTAGGAAACCCTGCTCGTCATAGTGCCGGAAGGATACGATCAAGTATCGTTGAATCTAAGAATAGAGTGACTATCCATGAATGTAAGAATCCAGCAGGGTTTAAACATAAACTTGGCGACAAAATGTCGCCTGATTTTACACTAGATGCAAAGGCACTCACAAGACTGTTCGTAGGTCTGATAAAGGAAACTACTAGATCTAACAGCATTCTCTCAGAGGACAACTACTTCAGGATGTCTGCAGGAGATGATGATTTGTCTCGACTTGCAAGTCTTGGTGCTAATGCAGGCCAGTCATTCAAGGATATAGGAGCTTATTTTAAGGAGAATACTGGGAAAACAGTAATGAGGAATGATGAACTATTCGATCGTGCTGCACAGGAGATGAAGGAATTTGTCATACAGCTTTCAAACGAAAGAATCAAGCTATTATTCGCTCAAGTATCAGAGCCTAAGGGAGCTTCCAAGTCTGCATATATTAATGCTCGATCCAATTATAATAAGAATAGTTACAGCAGAGGCAGTTCTTCAAGGGCGTCAGTTCAAATAACTCCAGGAAAGAAGCAGAGTATTGGATTTGGAGATGATGATATAACAGAAGAACATCCTAAGGCTAACTCTAGCGTTGCGAGCTCTGCTAATACTAGATCTACTGTTAATACCCCGCAGACTCCAACCCCTATGCGACATCCTAGATCTATATCAGGACTGAGCTCAGCCACACGTAGAACTGTAAGTATAGGTTTTGCAGATGATGATGATAATAGTAGTATTACTGAGAAGACTAAGGATCAAGACTTTGATATCAATATAACTCCTGACGAACTTCAGGACTTATCATTCGTGTCAGACTATATTGATCCTTCTAGTGAAAAGTATAATATTGATACTGCAGTTATAGAGTTTGTACAGGAGTCTATTAGAACTAAGCGTGCTGTATCAGGAGTATCAAAGGATGTCTTGACTATTATACGTGACACCCGCAAGGATCCTCGTCAGAAGTCTATCGAAACTGCATTAGGATATGATGAGATTGGAATAGTAGATATACCTAGTGGTATCCGAGGGTTTGCTGAGCGCCGCTGATCTGGTCGGGTGGGGCAATCCGAGAATCAGCGACCAGGCGGGCCAATCGTATCTGCGGATATCCACCCCACCCGAACGGCGCGCGCCGTGGATATACGCAGATATCGGTGCCCCCCGCTGATTGCGTCGCTGATTCGATGGAGAAGCCGCTATTCACGTTCGCTACGGCGCCCTGTCCACTGGAATTTTAGCGGGCGACCCGACCAGGCGGTGCGCATCGTGATCGCTAGATAGGCATCTCTCGTCGCCGCGCGCCACCCCGCTCCAACCCGGACTGGTGGTCACTCGCAGGCTTGCCTTGGTCTTCCCCGTCACGATATATCCCATGGCCCGGACGCCAAATCGACGGAAGGCGAAGACAAAAGCGGGGCCCAAGCCGAAGCTCGTGTCGAGAAGAAGGGTCTAAGACTTGATCCTGAAGCCTGATAGCTAGCTGAAGGTGTAGGGATGAGACAGGATGAAACTGGGATGACGTGGCAAGCTGACGCGGAGAGAGGGTACCTATGCATTAGTAAGTCAGCAAGGAAGGAGATGGAAGACTGAAGAAGAGAGGGCAAAGGGCATAAATGGGAGAATGGTACAGCAGACAGGGAGGGAAAATAAAAAGAGAACACATGCATCCTAAAAACATTATGCCCCTTTGCCCTGCTCTCTACGCGAGAGCTGTGGAGTTATTGTGGATTGATGTCTTAACTTTCAGTCGCGTAGTAGTAGTAGTAGGATTTATTTCGCCCGGAGGGAGGTCCCTATAAGGCCTTTACACTGTCTAGAGTACAGTTCAACACGTTTGTTCCTTGACTCCCCAAGCCCCACAGATCGATCATCTTACGCTGCGCCAACCGTACCACTGTTTCGCTCCATGACAGACCTGCTTGAAGGTCAATTTCTCCAAGTGTTCAGCATCCTATTCCCAGCAACTGAAGCGCGATGTGTCGAAGTTGAAGCGTGGTTGTGTTAGTCATTGATGGTGGTTGGTACGCCGATTGTGTTTCTCATGACGCTGTTCCCTGTTGACGGGCGGGAACCCGGGTGTACCCTGTTCGCTCAGGGGTGCCTCCAGCCGGCTTCGAACCGACCCCTCTGCGACGCAGAGGCTCCAGACGTGTCACCACTACGCCATGGAGGCCTTTCAGTCGCGTGTAAGTCCGGCGGGTCACGGGATCCGGCAGATCATCGGAAAATCCCTTACATCGGCTCTGACCAATCATAACGTAGTCACGGGTGATTCACGGTTAAATCTGACCAATGATGGTTCTGCAAATTAATAGTAGGGCCAATTAAAACGCTGTGCTAGGAAACGAGAGGAAGGCTCGCCAGCCGCGGCTCGCGCAAAGAAGCCTTTCGGAACGAAATTTGGCGACAAGAGAACCGGAGAAGAGTTGGCTACAGAAGAGAGAGAGAGAGTTGGCGACAGTAGATAGGAGACAGGAAGAAGAGTGAGGTCGAGATACGAGACACGGCGAGAGACGTAGAGCATTATCGTGAGTGAAACCGAGACAGAGCGTCGGGGAGGCAGGCTAGGCCGCTGGAGGGAGATTTTGTTTAAAAGGCGCAAACTCAAAGGGCGTGGAGAGACGGCAGGGTTGAAGAGAGATGAGTGGGTAATGCATGTCTGGGCGAGTGGAAGGCTCGGAAAATTTACATGTGCTACCGGTATAAGTCGTAGGTATAAACAGAATAAGGAGTATATTGGGGAAGTTTTGACTTGATCGTCTTCATGAAAAGGAGAACAAGAAGAGAAGAGAATGTGCTATTCGAGCCTTTGGCAGTTGATTTTGAGGATGATGAGACATGTTGTCATGTTGTATTGTTTCGTTTGATGCTTTAAAGTTTAGAGAATATTCTTGGGCGGACGTCGGGCGCGCAGTGGTCGGGAAGATATCGACGCGGGAGGTCTGATAGAGCCAGAGGCGGATGTGTCTTGGTGATTGACCTGTTCGGTGTCCGTTTCTGACTCTGCGGGTCTTCCGGGACAGAAAGGAGGAGGTATCGGATTTGGGGAGTCTTGACCGTCACAGTCGGTGATTATGGTGGAAGTTTCGGGAGAAAGTCGCGGTCTCTTGGTTGGGGTTTGGTAGGGATCGGGCATTGACCGACTTGATGCCAGCATAAGGATCGACTGGGCCAGAAGCATGCGGCGTGGGGGAGGCGGGGCTTTGGGCGGCCTTGGGTTTCTTCGTAGAGGTAAACCTGGCCAACGCAACGCTATAGTCCGAGGGATTGCCGACCGCGCTCTTGGGTGTCGTCGGCAGTAGTTGTGTTGCAGAAGCCTGGTCGGACATGGCCTTGTCGTGGAAAGTCCACGTGTCGGGGACGACGATGAAGATATAGTCTTGGTCGAAAGCCGGGGCATGTTTCATGATCTGGTGATCCAGTAAGCCGGCGATTTTGCCCGTACAGGTGAAGAGAGCGTTCGACTGGAACTGGCTGTCGCGCCTCTCGGTCATCTTCTTGCATAGGAGGTCCAAGGATTAGCGTGAATGGGGAAGATGACGAAAACTTGGAAGGGTGAAAGCCCTTGAAGGGGTTTGCCGGGAATCCCAGGACAAATAAAGGTGGAGAGCTGGACAAAGCCGCAGCAGCTCAGCTGGGTGTCGTCAAGGGCCGCAGCCGAGTTTCCATGCAGGAGGTCGCGGCCGGAGCCGATGACAGGTCCCGTGAAGGAGACAATGGGTTGTATCGTTGGGAAAGTATCCACCGAGCTGAGGTGCGAGTGACAATTCTATGGATATCGTCAGGGAGGGCAGTGGCGACAGAGATTTGGAGCATAGACTCACGGTTGGTAGCTGTGATCGCGGACTATAAGCGCGGGGACGGTGTATTCTGTGATGTTATCATCGTCCGACTCAAGCCATCACGTCGCTCGATTTCCCACGTCAGGGCAAAGGGATGAACACGGCCGACCATGAAGAACCATTGCTCGGTCCATTCCGAGGAGATTATCTGTTGGTTGTATATGGAAATATTAAGGCTGAAGAAGATGCAGGTCGATGGATTGCCAGTATCTGACCGGATTGCTGCATACCCGGAGTCGACAGCCATGAGGGCGTGGGAAGGAAGACCCTCGCTAGGGTTTCTGCGTTGAGCCCTTTGACACGATGCTCATTCTGGTAGGCGAACCTAGCCGGGCAGCCGGGCTGGACAAAGGCCATCATGGACATGTCGGCGCCAGCATTTTTCTGGCTGTCAAGAGGTTGCCGCGGGAGGACGAGGTATCGACGTTGAGCTGGGAGGCCGACATCGTGAGAACATGGCAGATGTAGTCACCGTGGAAGTGTAAATGAGGGGTTACGCAGAGTGGAGGTGGGCATCCTATAAAGCAGGTTTTCTTGCTGCTCGAAAGAGGGCTCGCGGCTAGGGTCGGGGAGACTTAAGAGTCAGAGAATGCTACCTAGGTGATAGATCAGAAGCGGGGGTATGCGGGAATGAGCTGGCGAGGTTCTTGAACAGTCTCGACCATCTGGTTCTATGGTCGTGAGTGAAGTAGGGAGCCGGGGGTTGGAAGTTGAGTAGGGGTGATGGCTATGTCGCGAGAAGTTGGAGGTCGGCGAACAGTAAGGTTAGTGTGGGTAAGTCTGCGGAGAAAGAAAGTCCAGCAGTACCCTTCGGTGTCATCGTTGCATGGAGTAGATAGCAAAGGCGACAATAACGAATGAGAGTGAAGGAAAGAAAGAGGTTATGGTAGTATTGCAGGGGTCCCTTTTTGACGGTCGTCGGTAGTTGGATGGGCATTGCGTGCGGCTGAGCGAGGCGGGTGCCGACCGTGTCGAGTCCACTATTGGGACACGGTGAAGTCGGATATAGGGGACGACCTGAGGAGGAGGATGCGAGTTGGTCACGAGAACTCTCCAAGAGGGTTTGCAAGTCGAGACCCGGTGGCTAGCGACTACAAGAGGACAGGCAGGGGATCCTGGCTGTCGCTTTAGCATGAAGGCCGTTGATGCGACGTTGGTGGTGGCGAGGGAGCAAACCTAGCCGGGTAGTCCGGTTGCACGAGGGACACCGTGGACATGTTATCGCCGGCAGCCTTTGGCTGTTGCTCGACGAGGTGGAGTGGCAGATATTGATGGAGCAACTGATGCGCAAGGTGGGTGGGACGGCGTTGGAAGGGCCGGAGAGTATGGTTGGAAGTGTGCGGCGGGCGGTTGGCGCGGCCACCCCATGTGCCGGAGGTCGGCAGTAGCCAGGATTCGCTGGAGTGCGCAAAGAGAGCACGGCGATGGAAGGGCCGCCTTGGCAAAGCTGGGGTAGCAGGTCGCACGTGGAGACCAGCCGAGGGTCGGGACGGTGGACGCACATAGGGAGGGTAAATGGGGATTACAAAGGGGTAGTATTGCATCGCTTCGGTACCATAGGCAAGCATTATAAGGAAGAAATGCCACGGCCATGAGAGTAGTGATCGTTAGGAAGCTTCCCACTCGGAAAGAAATAGTGTACGCCAAGAAGCGAGATTATCCAAGTGGAAGTGCTCCGAGCCAAAACTTTCTAGCCTGTTGCCAATCCACGCTAGTCGACGTCGAGGAGGCAGTAGCATGGCGGACAGTCCTGCAGGGAAGCTAGGCGAGGCGGCCGCTCACCGTGGAGCCTGTTCGTTGTCAGTCGAGGATGGAGAAGAGGGTAGGAACGGGGGAGTGCCTGTTTCGGGGTGCGGAGATGATACAGGGCAACTGCCGAGAAGGGGCACGGAGCACGGGAGACAAGGTTGGGGCGGTTCGGGAGATACAGATCAGTGGCGAATGAAGCATTAACGTTCCGGCTGATTCAGCCTAAGCAGTCTGCGGTCGAAGAAACCGCATGGAGAAAGCATGCAGAGGCGATCACAAAGTCACTGCCGAGAAGACCGCCGCGAGGCGGTTTGCGGTCAAGCAGAGCACGGAAGTCCCGTAATTTGGTCAGCAGCGGAAATTCCGCGCAACGTCAGTCACCGAGTCCGCTTCCGAGGTTCGTGTTGCCTACAGAACGTGGAGACCAGGGGGCAGTGGGCTCTAACAGTCCGCCCCTTCATCGGCCGTTTTTGCCCCAGGAGAGGGTCCTGAAGGTGACGGGCAGGGAGATAAGGCGGCGACCGGCGGTGTCCCGGGTGTTCGTTCGAAAAGGGACCGACGCTCCGACCTATCCAGCCCAAGGATACGACTTTCCAAGACCTAAGACGAACGGCGCAATTTGCAGCATCGATTGCATGGGGTTTGCCCAAGCTCCGTCGGGGACCGGTTCGGCGGCCAAGGGCACAGGTGGGTGTGGACGATGGCGCAGCAGAGGCAGCGGACGGCTCGCTGCGCGGACAGAGGCAGTCCCGGAGGCGGGAGAAGAGAGCCCGTCTTCCTAGCCGGGATGGGCGCCCGATAAAACAGGTCCGAAGTGGAATCGGAAGGCATAGGAGACGGGAGCTGCAGGCCGAAGACCTGGCGAGTGTGCTGCGCTTTTTGGAGGAAGACTTTGCCTTGAAGGAGAGATTGTCTAACGATCAGACGTGGTGCACGCCAATACCGCTCGAGAGGAAGGTGTCGACGGTGCGAGACTTCTATCAGGCGTTCCACGATGCGAGCACGTTGCCGATACGGACCTGCATGGTGTGCTACCGCAAGTGTACGAGAGGAGAGTTGAGGGAGATTACATGGGATCATTGGCTGTCAAGTTGCGTATCAAAGGGCGGCCGCTCACCATTTTCATGCCGGAGTTGCTTTCCTGAGGGCGAGTCCGTGTCGGTGTGCGCCGAGTGTGGCCGATGCCTGGCGCGCAGGAGCCTGTCGCCGGCGATCCACCTTCACAGTCGCCTTGGCTGCGAGCACATGTTGACGATGAGCTCAAGGGACTGACGCCGGTCGAAGAGAAGCTCATCTCGCTGAACTCATGTTACGGGTTTGTCACGAGATATAGCATTCCGGGCGGGCAGAGGCAGAGCGTGAAGTATCCGAGGCATGTCAGGGGCCACATCACGGTGTTTCCGAACAATGTGCAGGAGCTGGCCACCAAAGTGCTCCCGCACCCCCTTTTGCAAGCACTGGACGAGATCCACATCTCGTGGCAGGGCGCGGAGAAGCCGGCACCGAGCGACCTGTCGAGTCTCTTGTCGGTGAGGCGGCGGGTGGTCGAGAGGGCCCTTGTCTGGCTGAAGCGGAACAACCCCCACTACGCCGAGATCGAGATCGACGCGGCGGAGATGGAGAGCTGGGGAGACTCGATACACGGGGTACCGTCGTCGGTGTGCGATCGTATGGAGCGGAACGAGCCGTCTGGGTGGGAGAAAGCGCGGACGGCGCACGTTGTGCCGCCCACGGAACGCGCCATGGACGAGGAGGGGCCGGTGGAGATCGAGGAGCTCTTCGCCCTGCTCAACCAAGGACAAGAAGCCGGCGGCCAGGGTGAAGGTCACGGGCCCAACGGAGAAGGCGCGGTTCGCGATGGAAGTGACGCCTGCCCCGACCAGAACGTTCCAGCGATCAACGAGGTGACGTCTTCTGGCATGTTCGCGCTCGACGGACCGCCAGACGTCGCGGACGTGGAGAAGCTGCAGTTTGCCTGTGACGCTGTTGGTGAAGGTGCCGACGACGGCCGTGCGGCCCGAGAGCGTGGGTCGGGTCCCTAGCCGGGGTTCGGGGCGTGGCGACGGTGGTTGTGAGCCATACATCCGGGTTTCGCGGGGTGAGTTTACCGATTCCTTTGAGGCGTCCTTCTTTGCCAGGACGTTCCCGACCCTGTTCCCATTTGGCGTTGGGGGACCAAGGCTGGTTGAAGAGACCATGGTCGACGCGGGGAAGGTCACGGCCAACTTGCGAGGCAGGGCTGTCGAGGCAGAGGCGGCCGCGGAGACCCGTATCGTCTCGAAGCTTGAACCTTCAGGCGTGGGCCGAGATCGTGCTCCGGCGCCATGGTGGTCGATTTGCACTGCACCACATCTTCGCATTTCTCGTCTTCAACATGGGGGTGCGATCGAGGAACCGCCGGGTCAGCATGTTGAGTGTGGGGAGGAAGAACTTCCGCAAGGTAGAGCGCATCGTGCGTTCGATGACCACAGAAAGGCTAGCGGCGGCGAGGGTCGAGTTGGAGAGCTCGGGTAAGACGACCGATGGTGACGTGAAGGAGCTTCTCAGGAGCCTCTCGCTTTACGGCCACCGGCAGCCCATGTCGAGAGGTCCGTCTCAATATGCGGCGGAAAATCCAGTCGCTCATCGTCGGATATGGCGTGCCGGCCATCTGGTTCACCATCAACCCGAACGACATTACGAACCCGGTGAAGCTGCGACTGGCGGCATACCGCACACGCGATCCCGACGCGGCCGAGGAGTTCTTAGAAGGCCTTGGGGATGCGTATAAGCGGGCACGGCTGGCGATATCGGATCCCATGAGCTCGGCCGTGTTCTTCCACCGCGAGATGAAGCTGTTCTTCGATCATTACGTGAAGGTCGGTGAAGAGTCGGTATTCGGGCGCATCGGTAAGTACTATGGCGCCGTGGAGACGAACGAACGAGGGCGCTTCATGTTCACGGCTTGCTCTGGCTGCACGGGAACGCGCATCTCAGCTCGATGCTTGCCGACATCCACGGGGAGGATCAGGCGGCGTATCGCGAGCGAATCGTCCGATACATCGATAGCGTCTTCTCAGAGGTAAGAATGCCTACCTAAGATGTGCCACCGGGAGCCTGAAGTACTCTTCTGATGGCCAAGTGGGGCCGGGTTGACGTGCAAGGCAGGATCTGGACCAGGAAAGTTTTTGCGCCGTGCAAGCGGAGCGATCTGTGACGGGCGGTATTGGTTCCCTGCTGGACAACGCCGCGCAGTTCTCGGCCGCGTTTATCGAGGAGGCCAACTTCTGTGCCGGCGCGACGCAGGTGCACACGCATAGCCCGACCTGTGTGAAGTATTCCTTGGGCAAAGGAGGGCGGAAAGGGACCTCTGCCGGTTCAAGGCGCCATGGAGGTTAGTCGACAAGACCGCCCTCACGGCAGACGGGGTGCTGCAGATCCGGAGGACACACAGAATGGTCAATCGATGGAACGAGGCTATTGCTGTCGGGCCCGGCACAACCATGATATTTCCTTCATTGCGACGCAGCGCAAGACAATGGCCCTCATCTATTATGTCACGAACTACGCGACCAAGGTGGAGGACCCGGTGTGGAAGCGTGTGGCGGCCGCGGCCGAGCTCCTGGCCGCCTCAACAGGTGATGGCACGGCCAACGGAGGGCGGGACGGTGGCGGAGACGCTGCCACCGATGACCCTGTCAAGGGAACAGGACGCGACAGTTCCTGATGAGAGTGGCGAACCGCGTGTTCACGGAGCGTCCGCTATCACAGGTCGAGGTCGTCGCTCACCTTCTCGGATATCCGGCCGAGTTCACCGACAGCAGCGCGTGGACGTACCTGAACTGTTCTCTGCTGTACTGGGAAGTCTTTCGGCGATGGCGGCATCTCCGAGAAGCCAGTGGCGCTGCGGCTATGGATGACACCTTGGATGAGTCGGTCGTCGTCGAAGAAGAAGGCCTGAGAATCTCCCACGTCGAGGCGTACCAGCACCGGGAGAGCTGCTGAAAGGCCTATGCCTGTATGACTACATATCGATCGTCAGACTGAAACGCATCGGCAACGACGAGAGCTGGGCGGCTTGGGGGGAGATGTCTTTCGAGGATGGATGGGCGCCGGGACGACGCTGGGTTCAGGTGCTCAGGCGGCCGGGCAAGCACGCTACCGTCTGCCTCGACGGCTACCTGAGCAAGGACTTCACCTACGATGACGAGTCGTGCTACCGGAGGTGTGTATGGCAACTGCTCTGTCGGCGGGCGTTATCGGAGAGGCTAACCCACCCCCTGAAGGGCAGCCGTGCAGCATCTTGCGCTGTTCGTGCCGTGGGAGTCCTTCCTGGGCGAAGGAACAGGTGAGATCAACAGCATCTGGGCGCGGGCTCGAGACGCTCTGGCCCGAGAATATCATGTCTCGTCGACAACGTGCAGCTGCTTCGACGATCCGCCGAAGACGCAAAACGCGACGCCAAGCAATGGGCAGCCTCGTCCGGCGATGGCGACCCGACGGTCGCACACGTCGAGGAGGGTGGAGCAGGCGAGGCGGGCGCGGAGTCTGCAGCGACATATCAGCCCAACAGCATCGGAGACGCAACGCGGCTCATCGACGTCGTCCGAGGTGCAGTGGGAGCGAATCAGGTGACGGCCAAGTCGCCGGAGCTCATGGCAATGATACAGCAGCTCTGTCGGTTTCAGCAATCGGCGCTGCGCTCGACGGCCGAGCTCGAGGCCACGGCGCTGATCGAACGAGGGGAGAGGCGGTTAAGCATGCCAGGGCGGGTATTTTCCGGGGCCGCACTACCGCCGCAGGATCAGGTCAAGGCTATCAAGTCGCAGCAGGTAAGTGCCTCGAAGGAGAGGGAGAGGATGATCCAAGGGATACAAAGCACGCCCGCCGCCTGGGAAAGCGATCGCCGCGCAGCGTTGCGAAGGGTGATGACCGGTTTCGGGGAGGACGAGGTCGAAATGACGATGGCCGACTCCGACGAGACCGCTATCGACGCAGGGGCGGGAATGGACGTTCAGTTTGGCCCATCAACCTCCTTCCTCGCGGCGGGCAAGGTGTTGGCAACGCGGCTGACGCTGAACAAGAGGCAGTCCATCGCTTTTCTGATAATATGCCGCCAGCTCGATTTGATGCAGCAGACCGACGGGGGCGATGCCTGCCAGCTGCGCCAGTTCGTCGGTGGCGAGGGCGGTACCGGCAAGTCGCGAATCATCGAGGCACTCGTCGAGCTGTTCAGTAAAAGAGCCTTTCGAATCGTCTGCTGATCACGGCGACGTCGGGGACTGCGGCGGCGCGGATCAACGGCATCACGATCCACTCCGCCTGCGGGTTCACCAAAGACCAAGGGGCGGGGGGCGCGAACATGGTCAAAGACCTTGACGGGGTGCGGCTGCCGAAACAGGCGGAGCGGTTCATCCACGGCCAGTCTCGAATGGATTGGCAGGAGAAGGATATGCTCGTCATCGACGAGGTGAGCATGCTCGGGGCGCGGACGCTGCACGCCGTGAACGAGCGGCTTCGCCGGCTTCGCGGATCGCGGCAAGATTTCGGGGGGATCCCCATCGTCCTCTTCTGCGGAGATTTTCAGCAGTTCCGGCCGGTCCAAGAGAGGTCGATCGTCCTGCCTAGCGCGGCCATCTCGTGGGACGTAGACAACTCGTTCAAGGCCGAGCAGCGTCACCAGCACGACAAAGCGCACGCACTGTGGAAGAGGTTCACGACGGTCGTCATGCTGGACGAGCAGATGCGCGCCGCCGGCGACCCGGAGCTGCAGAGGCTGCTGAAGCGGATCCGTCTAGGCGTGCAGGATCGGACGGATCTAAACCTCCTCAACTCAAGGTGCTACCGGGAGGAAGGCGGATCCCTTGGGAGACGGGCATCACCGTGGTGACGCCGCTCAATAGGAATCGGTGGAACCTGAACATGGAGGCGAGCCTGGCGTTCCGGGTCCAGCAGCGGTCGACGATGCGCATTTTCATCTCCGAGCACAAGTGGAAGGAGGAGCTGCCGACGGAGGAAGAGGCGATCATGATACTCAACCAGGGCGACGATAGCGCGATCCCGGTGCCGGCCGTCTTCATGTTCGTGGCCGGGATGCCCATCGTCGTGAACCACAACACCCACCAGGGGCTGAAGCTAGTGAACGGCGCGAGCTACTCGGCGGTGGAGGTCATTGTCGACAAGGCGTACCCGGGGCATCGGATCTCGGCCGATATGACGATCCACTTCGGGCCGCCGGCGGGGATCATTCTCGAATCGGAGACGACGAGATATCTCCACTTCGTCGGGATGCCGCCGGGCACGATCTTGTTGACACCCATGACCGTTAAGATACAGTGCCAGCGAAAAAGGCCGTGGCAACGCAACGACGTCAGCCGAAAGGGTTTGCCGTGCGCAGCAGCGTTCGCGTGCACGGACTACAAGGTGCAGGGCAAAACGCTGGAGCGCGTGGCCCTCGAGCTGCGAGGGACACGGACGACGAAGATGGATGGAACGGTGGTGCCCTCGCAGTGCGACCCGTACGGCCTGTACGTGCAGCTATCGCGCTGCCGAACTCTAGACGGCATCATGCTCGTGTCCAAGGTGCGGGACAGAGACTTGGTGGGCAACCGGGTCCCCGAGGAGATGACTGCCGCACAGGCCAGGCTCGAGGTACTGAGCGAGAGGACCGTTGAGGAGGCGTTGCGCTGGCTGGACGGTGATGCTGAAGAGTCAAGGCGGCCGCGCTAGGTGACGCGATGAAGAGTTCGGCAGGCGGGAAGAGTCGGCAGGCGGCAGACAGGGTGGGAGGCGCCCAGTGGTGGGATAAGGCACGCGAAAAGGCAACAGAAGCCGGGGGAAGGGCAGCGACCAACGAGGAGGGAGGCAAGGAGGGGCCAATCACAAGGGACCAATCAAGGGGCGGAGAACTTTTGGGGGGAGAGGGCGGGGTCTGCGGGGCACGTTAGAAGGCCTTTCGTTCCTCAAGGCAAAGTGGTCCCCCAAAAAACCTGCTTAAAGAAGCTTCGCTGAATTGCGCACTGCGTGTACTTCGTCACTTCGTAGCACAATTTAAGCTTTGCTTAACAAGAGGACAGGCAGGGGGGTCCTGGCTATCGCTTTAGCATTAAGGCCGTTGATGCGACATTGGTGCTGGCGAGGGAGCAAATCTAGAAGGGTAGTCCGGCTGCATGAGGGACGTCATGGACATGTTATCGCCGGCAGCCTTGTGGCTGTTGCTCGACGAGGCGGATTGGCGGATATTGATGGTGAACTGATGCGCAAGGTTGGTAGGATGGTGTTGGAAGGGCTGAAGAGTATGGTTTGAAGTGTGCGGCAGGCGGTTGTCGCGGCCATCTCCATGTGCCGGAGGTCGGCAGTGGCCAGGATTCGCTGGAGTGCGCAAAGAGAGCACGGCGATGGAAGGGTCGCTTTGGCAAAGCTGGGGTAGCAGGTCGCACGTGGAGACCAGGCGAGGCCGGGACGGTGGACGCACATAGATAGGCATGGTAACGGGGAATATAGAGGGTAGTATTGCATCGCCTCGGTACCATAGGGAAGCATTTTATAGGAAGCTATAAGGAAGAAACGCCACGGCCATGAGGAAGTGATGGTTAGGAGCTTCCCATTCGGGAGAAGTAGCGTCGTCAACAAGCGAGACTGTCCAAGTGGAGGTGCTCCGGAGCCAAAGCTTTATAGCCTGTTGCCAATTTACGGCAGTCGACGTCGAGGAGGCAGCAGCATGGCGGACAGTCCTGCAGTGAAGTTAAGCGAGGCGGTTGCTCACCCTGAAGCCTGTTCGTTGTCAGTCGGGGATGGAGAAGAGGGTGAGAACGTGAGCGGGTCGGGTTCGGGGCTCGGAGATGGTGCGACAGGAGCCGGTGTAGATGTGGTGGCAGCTTCTGAGAGGGGCCGCAGAGCACGGGGGGAGAGCCTGGGACGGTTACGAAGATACGAATCACGGGCGAATGCGGCATCAACGTTCCGGCCGATTCAGCCTAGGAAACCTGTGGTTGAAGACACCGCATGGAGACAGCACGCAGAAGCAATTGCGAGGTCGTTGCCGAGAAGACCGCCGCGAGGCGGTTTGCGGTCAAACAGAGCACGGAAGTTCCATAATTCAGCCCGAAGGGCGTTTATGCCTTGAGGAACGAAAGGCCTTTCTAACGTGCCCCGCAGACCCCGCCCTCTCCCCCCAAAAGTTCTCCGCCCCTTGATTGGTCCCTTGTGATTGGCCCCTCCTTGCCTCCCTCCTCGTTGGTCGCTGCCCTTCCCCCGGCTTCTGTTGCCTTTTCGCGTGCCTTATCCCACCACTGGGCGCCTCCCACCCTGTCTGCCGCCTGCCGACTCTTCCCGCCTGCCGAACTCTTCATCGCGTCACCTAGCGCGGCCGCCTTGACTCTTCAGCATCACCGTCCAGCCAGCGCAACGCCTCCTCAACGGTCCTCGCTCAGTACCTCGAGCCTGGCCTGTGCGGCAGTCATCTCCTCGGGGACCCGGTTGCCCACCAAGTCTCTGTCCCGCACCTTGGACACGAGCATGATGCCGTCTAGAGTTCGGCAGCGCGATAGCTGCACGTACAGGCCGTACGGGTCGCACTGCGAGGGCACCACCGTTCCATCCATCTTCGTCGTCCGTGTCCCGCAGCTCGAGGGCCACGCGCTCCAGCGTTTTGCCCTGCACCTTGTAGTCCGTGCACGCGAACGCTGCTGCGCACGGCAAACCCTTTCGGCTGACGTCGTTGCGTTGCCACGGCCTTTTTCGCTGGCACTGTATCTTAACGGTCATGGGTGTCAACAAGATCGTGCCCGGCGGCATCCCGACGAAGTGGAGATATCTCGTCGTCTCCGATTCGAGAATGATCCCCGCCGGCGGCCCGAAGTGGATCGTCATATCGGCCGAGATCCGATGCCCCGGTACGCCTTGTCGACAATGACCTCCACCGCCGAGTAGCTCGCGCCGTTCACTAGCTTCAGCCCCTGGTGGGTGTTGTGGTTCACGACGATGGGCATCCCGGCCACGAACATGAAGACGGCCGGCACCGGGATCGCGCTATCGTCGCCCTGGTTGAGTATCATGATCGCCTCTTCCTCCGTCGGCAGCTCCTCCTTCCACTTGTGCTCGGAGATGAAAATGCGCATCGTCGACCGCTGCTGGACCCGGAACGCCAGGCTCGCCTCCATGTTCAGGTTCCACCGATTCCTATTGAGCGGCGTCACCACGGTGATGCCCGTCTCCCAAGGATCCGCCTTCCTCCCGGTAGCACCTTGAGTTGAGGAGGTTTAGATCCGTCCGATCCTGCACGCCTAGACGGATCCGCTTCAGCAGCCTCTGCAGCTCCGGGTCGCCGGCGGCGCGCATCTGCTCGTCCAGCATGACGACCGTCGTGAACCTCTTCCACAGTGCGTGCGCTTTGTCGTGCTGGTGACGCTGCTCGGCCTTGAACGAGTTGTCTACGTCCCACGAGATGGCCGCGCTAGGCAGGACGATCGACCTCTCTTGGACCGGCCGGAACTGCTGAAAATCTCCGCAGAAGAGGACGATGGGGATCCCCCCGAAATCTTGCCGCGATCCGCGAAGCCGGCGAAGCCGCTCGTTCACGGCGTGCAGCGTCCGCGCCCCGAGCATGCTCACCTCGTCGATGACGAGCATATCCTTCTCCTGCCAATCCATTCGAGACTGGCCGTGGATGAACCGCTCCGCCTGTTTCGGCAGCCGCACCGTCAAGGTCTTTGACCATGTTCGCGCCCCCCGCCCCTTGGTCTTTGGTGAACCCGCAGGCGGAGTGGATCGTGATGCCGTTGATCCGCGCCGCCGCAGTCCCCGACGTCGCCGTGATCAGCAGACGATTCGAAAGGCTCTTTTACTGAACAGCTCGACGAGTGCCTCGATGATTCGCGACTTGCCGGTACCGCCCTCGCCACCGACGAACTGGCGCAGCTGGCAGGCATCGCCCCGTCGGTCTGCTGCATCAAATCGAGCTGGCGGCATATTATCAGAAAAGCGATGGACTGCCTCTTGTTCAGCGTCAGCCGCGTTGCCAACACCTTGCCCGCCGCGAGGAAGGAGGTTGATGGGCCAAACTGAACGTCCATTCCCGCCCCTGCGTCGATAGCGGTCTCGTCGGAGTCGGCCATCGTCATTTCGACCTCGTCCTCCCGAAACCGGTCATCACCCTTCGCAACGCTGCGCGGCGATCGCTTTCCCAGGCGGCGGGCGTGCTTTGTATCCCTTGGATCATCCTCTCCTCTCCTTCGAGGCACTTACCTGCTGCGACTTGATAGCCTTGTCCTGATCCTGCGGCGGTAGTGCGGCCCCGGAAAATACCCGCCCTGGCATGCTTAACCGCCTCTCCCTCGTTCGATCAGCGCCGTGGCCTCGAGCTCGGCCGTCGAGCGCAGCGCCGATTGCTGAAACCGACAGAGCTGCTGTATCATTGCCATGAGCTCCGGCGACTTGGCCGTCACCTGATTCGCTCCCACTGCACCTCGGACGACGTCGATGAGCCGCGTTGCGTCTCCGATGCTGTTGGGCTGATATGTCGCTGCAGACTCCGCGCCCGCCTCGCCTGCTCCACCCTCCTCGACGTGTGCGACCGTCGGGTCGCCATCGCCGGACGAGGCTGCCCATTGCTTGGCGTCGCGTTTTGCGTCTTCGGCGGATCGTCGAAGCAGCTGCACGTTGTCGACGAGACATGATATTCTCGGGGCCAGAGCGTCTCGAGCCCGCGCCCAGATGCTGTTGATCTCACCTGTTCCTTCGCCCAGGAAGGACTCCCACGGCACGAACAGCGCAAGATGCTGCACGGCTGCCCTTCAGGGGGTGGGTTAGCCTCTCCGATAACGCCCGCCGACAGAGCAGTTGCCATACACACCTCCGGTAGCACGACTCGTCATCGTAGGTGAAGTCCTTGCTCAGGTAGCCGTCGAGGCAGACGGTAGCGTGCTTGCCCGGCCGCCTGAGCACCTGAACCCAGCGTCGTCCCGGCGCCCATCCATCCTCGAAAGACATCTCCCTGCCGCCCAGCTCTCGTCGTTGCCGATGCGTTTCAGTCTGACGATAGATATGTAGTCATACAGGCATAGGCCTTTCAGCAGCTCTCCCGGTGCTGGTACGCCTCGACGTGGGAGATTCTCAGGCCTTCTTCTTCGACGACGACCGACTCATCCAAGGTGTCATCCATAGCCGCAGCGCCACTGGCTTCTCGGAGATGCCGCCATCGCCGAAAGACTTCCCAGTACAGCAGAGAACAGTTCAGGTACGTCCACGCGCTGCTGTCGGTGAACTCGGCCGGATATCCGAGAAGGTGAGCGACGACCTCGACCTGTGATAGCGGACGCTCCGTGAACACGCGGTTCGCCACTCATCAGGAACTGTCGCGTCCTGTTCCCTTGACAGGGTCATCGGTGGCAGCGTCTCCGCCACCGTCCCGCCCTCCGTTGGCCGTGCCATCACCTGTTGAGGCGGCCAGGAGCTCGGCCGCGGCCGCCACACGCTTCCACACCGGGTCCTCCACCTTGGTCGCGTAGTTCGTGACATAATAGATGAGGGCCATGGTCTTGCGCTGCGTCGCAATGAAGGAAATATCATGGTTGTGCCGGAGCCCGACAGCAATAGCCTCGTTCCATCGATTGACCATGCTGTGTGTCCTCCGGATCTGCAGCACCCCGTCTGCCGTGAGGGCGGTCTTGTCGACTAACCTCCATGGCGCCTTGAACCGGCAGAGATCCCTTTTCCGCCCTCCTTTGCCCAAGGAATACTTCACACAGGTCGGGCTATGCGTGTGCACCTGCGTCGCGCCGGCACAGAAGTTGGCCTCCTCGATAAACGCGGCCGAGAACTGCGCGGCGTTGTCCAGCAGGAAACCAATACCGCCCGTCACAGATCGCTCCGCTTGCACGGCGCAAAACTTTCCTGGTCCAGATCCTGCCTTGCACGTCAACCCGGCCCCACTTGGCCATCAGAAGAGTACTTCAGGCTCCCGGTGGCACATCTTAGGTAGTAGGCATTCTTACCTCTGAGAAGACGCTATCGATGTATCGGACGATTCGCTCGCGATACGCCGCCTGATCCTCCCCGTGGATGTCGGCAAGCATCGAGCTGAGATGCGCGTTCCCGTGCAGCCAGAGCAAGCCGTGAACATGAAGCGCCCTCGTTCGTTCGTCTCCACGGCGCCATAGTACTTGCCGATGCGCCCGAATACCGACTCTTCACCGACCTTCACGTAATGATCGAAGAACAGCTTCATCTCGCGGTGGAAGAACACGGCCGAGCTCATGGGATCCGATATCGCCAGCCGCGCCCGCTTATACGCATCCCCAAGGCCTTCTAAGAACTCCTCGGCCGCGTCGGGATCGCGTGTGCGGTATGCCGCCAGTCGCAGCTTCACCGGGTTCGTAATGTCGTTCGGGTTGATGGTGAACCAGATGGCCGGCACGCCATAGCCGACGATGAGCGACTGGATTTTCCGCCGCATATTGAGACGGACCTCTCTCGACATGGGCTGCCGGTGGCCGTAAAGCGAGAGGCTCCTGAGAAGCTCCTTCACGTCACCATCGGTCGTCTTACCCGAGCTCTCCAACTCGACCCTCGCCGCCGCTAGCCTTTCTGTGGTCATCGAACGCACGATGCACTCTACCTTGCGGAAGTTCTTCCTCCCACACTCAACATGCTGACCCGGCGGTTCCTCGACCGCACCCCATGTTGAAGACGAGAAATGCGAAGATGTGGTGCAGTGCAAATCGACCACCATGGCGCCGGAGCACGATCTCGGCCCACGCCTGAAGGTTCAAGCTTCGACCCGCGGCCGCCTCTGCCTCGACAGCCCTGCCTCGCAAGTTGGCCGTGACCTTCCCCGCGTCGACCATGGTCTCTTCAACCAGCCTTGGTCCCCCAACGCCAAATGGGAACAGGGTCGGGAACGTCCTGGCAAGGAAGGACGCCTCAAAGGAATCGGTAAACTCACCCCCCCGCGAAACCCGGATGTATGGCTCACAACCACCGTCGCCACGCCCCCGAACCCCCCCGGCTAGGGACCCGACCCACGCCGGGCCCGCACGGCCGTCGTCGGCACCTTCACCAACAGCGTCACAGGCAAACTGCAGCTTCTCCACGTCCGCGACGTCTGGCGGTCCGTCGAGCGCGAACATGCCAGAAGACGTCACCTCGTTGATCGCTGGAACGTTCTGGTCGGGGCAGGCGTCACTTCCATCGCGAACCGCGCCTTCTCCGTTGGGCCCGTGACCTTCACCCTGGCCGCCGGCTTCTTGTCCTTGGTTGAGCAGGGCGAAGAGCTCCTCGATCTCCACCGGCCCCTCCTCGTCCATGGCGCGTTCCGTGGGCGGCACAACGTGCGCCGTCCGCGCTTTCTCCCACCCAGACGGCTCGTTCCGCTCCATACGATCGCACACCGACGACGGTACCCCGTGTATCGAGTCTCCCCAGCTCTCCATCTCCGCCGCGTCGATCTCAATCTCAGCGTAGTGGGGGTTGTTCCTCTTCAGCCAGACAAAGGCCCTCTCAACCACCCGCCACCTCACCGACAAGAGACTCGACAGGTCGCTCGGTGCCGGCTTCTCCGCGCCACGAGATGTGGATCTCGTCCAGTGCTTGCAAAAGGGGTGCGGGAGCACTTTGTGGCCAGCTCCTGCACATTGTTCGGAAACACCGTGATGTGGCCCCTGACATGCCTCGGATACCTCACGCTCTGCCTCTGCCCGCCCGGAATGCTATATCTCGTGACAAAGCCGTAACATGAGTTCAGCGAGATGAGCTTCTCTTCGACCGGCGTCAGTCCCTTGAGCTCATCGGGGAACATGTGCTCGCAGCCAAGGCGACTGTGAAGGTGGATCGCCGGCGACAGGCTCCTGCGCGCCAGGCATCGGCCACACTCGGCGCACACCGACACGGACTCGCCCTCAGGAAAGCAACTCCGGCATGAAAATGGTGAGCGGCCGCCCTTTGGTACGCAGCTTGACAGCCAATGATCCCATGTAATCTCCTCAACTCTCTCTCGTACACTTGCGGTAGCACACCATGCAGGTCCGTATCGGCAACGTGCTCGCATCGTGGAACGCCTGATAGAAGTCTCGCACCGTCGACACCTTCCTCTCGAGCGGTATTGGCGTGCACCACGTCTGATCGTTAGACAATCTCTCCTTCAAGGCAAAGTCTTCCTCCAAAAAGCGCAGCACACTCGCCAGGTCTTCGGCCTGCAGCTCCCGTCTCCTATGCCTTCCGATTCCACTTCGGACCTGTTTTATCGGGCGCCCATCCCGGCTAGGAAGACGGGCTCTCATCTCCCGCCTCCGGGACTGCCTCTGTCCGCGCAGCGAGCCGTCCGCTGCCTCTGCTGCACCATCGTCCACACCCACCTGTGCCCTTGGCCGCCGAACCGGTCCCCGACGGAGCTTGGGCAAACCCCATGCAATCGATGCTGCAAATTGCGCCGTTCGTCTTAGGTCTTGGAATGTCGTATCCTTGGGCTGGATAGGTCGGAGCGTCGGTCCCTTTTTCGAACGAACACCCGGGACACCGCCGGTCGCCGCCTTATCTCCCTGCCCGTCACCTTCAGGACCCTCTCCTGGGGCAAAACGGCCGATGAAGGGGCGGACTGTTAGAGCCCACTGCCCCTGGTCTCCACGTTCTGTAGGCAACACGAACCTCGGAAGCGGACTCGGTGACTGACGTTGCGCGGAATTTCCGCTGCTGACCAAATTACGGGACTTCCGTGCTCTGCTTGACCGCAAACCGCCTCGCGGCGGTCTTCTCGGCAGTGACTTTGCGATTGCCTCTGCATGCTTTCTCCATGCGGTTTCTTCGACCGCAGACTGCTTAGGCTGAATCAGCCGGAACGTTAATGCTTCATTCGCCACTGATCTGTATCTCCCGAACCGCCCCAACCTTGTCTCCCGTGCTCCGTGCCCTTCTCGGAGTTGCCCCTGTATCATCTCCGCACCCCGAAACAGGCACTCCCCCGTTCCTACCCTCTTCTCCATCCTCGACTGACAACGAACAGGCTCCACGGTGAGCGGCCGCCTCGCCTAGCTTCCCTGCAGGACTGTCCGCCATGCTACCGCCTCCTCGACGTCGACTAGCGTGGATTGGCAACAGGCTAGAAAGTTTTGGCTCCGGAGCACTTCCACTTGGATAATCTCGCTTGTTGGCGTACACTATTTCTTTCCGAGTGGGAAGCTTCCTAACGATCACTACTCTCATGGCCGTGGCGTTTCTTCCCTTATAATGCTTGCCTATGGCACCGAAGCGATGCAATACTACTTACTACCCCTTTGTAATCCCCCATTTACCCTCCCTATGTGCGTCCACCGTCCCGGCCCTCGGCTGGTCTCCACGTGCGACCTGCTACCCCAGCTTTGCCAAAGGCGGCCCTTCCATCGCCGTGCTCTCTTTTGCGCACTCCAGCGAATCCCTGGCTACTGCCGACCTCCGGCACATGGGGTGGCCGCGCCAACCGCCCGCCGCACACTTCCAACCATACTCCGGCCCTTCCAACGCCGTCCCACCCACCTTGCGCATCAGTTGCTCCATCAATATCTGCCACTCCACTCGTCGAGCAACAGCCAAAAGGCTGCCGGCGATAACATGTCCACGGTGTCCTCGTGCAACCGGACTACCCGGCTAGGTTTGCTCCCTCGCCACCACCAACGTCGCATCAACGGCCTTCATGCTAAAGCGACAGCCAGGATCCCCCTGCCTGTCCTCTTGTAGTCGCTAGCCACCGGAGTCTCGACTTGCAAACCCTGTTGGAGAGTTCTCGTGACCAACTCGCATCCTCCTCCTCAGGTCGTCCCCTATATCCGACTTCACCGTGTCCCAATAGTGGACTCGACACGGTCGGCACCCGCCTCGCTCAGCCGCACGCAATGCCCATCCAAGTACCGACGACCGTCAAAAGGGACCCTGCAATTCTACCATAACCTCTTCTTTCCTTCACTCTCATTCGTTATTGTCGCCTTTGCTATCTACTCCATGCAACGATGACACCGAAGGGTACTGCTGGACTTTCTTTCTCCGCAGACTTACCCACACTAACCTTACTGTTCGCCGACCTCCAACTTCTCGCGACATAGCCATCACCCCTACTCAACTTCCAACCCCGGCTCCTACTTCACTCACGACCATAGAACCAGATGGTCGAGACTGTTCAAGAACCTCGCCAGCTCATTCCCGCATACCCCCGCTTCTGATCTATCACCTAGGTAGCATTCTCTGACTCTTAAGTCTCCCCGACCCTAGCCGCGAGCCCTCTTTCGAGCAGCAAGAAAACAAAAATGCTGGCGCCGACATGTCCATGATGGCCTTTGTCCAGCCCGGCTGCCCGGCTAGGTTCGCCTACCAGAATGAGCATCGTGTCAAAGGGCTCAACGCAGAAACCCTAGCGAGGGTCTTCCTTCCCACGCCCTCATGGCTGTCGGCTCCGGAGTATGCAGCAATCCGGTCAGATACTGGCAATCCATCGACCTGCATCTTCTTCAGCCTTAACATTTCCATATACAACCAACAGATAATCTCCTCGGAATGGACCGAGCAATGGTTCTTCATGGTCGGCCGTGTTCATCCCTTTGCCCTGACGTGGGAAATCGAGCGACGTGATGGCTTGGAGTCGGACGATGATAACATCACAGAATACACCGTCCCCGCGCTTATAGTACGCGATCACAGCTACCAACCGTGAGTCTATGCTCCAAATCTCTCTGTCGCCACTGCCCTCCCTGACGATATCCATAGAATTGTCACTCGCACCCTCAGCTCGGTGGATACTTTCCCAACGATACAACCCATTGTCTCCTTCACGGGACCTGTCATCGGCTCCGGCCGCGACCTCCTGCATGGAAACTCGGCTGCGGCCCTTGACGACACCCAGCTGAGCTGCTGCGGCTTTGTCCAGCTCTCCACCTTTATTTGTCCTGGGATTCCCGGCAAAACCCCTTCAAGGGCTTTCACCCTTCCAAGTTTTCGTCATCTTCCCCATTCACGCTAATCCTTGACCTCCCTATGCAAGAAGATGACCGAGAGGCGCGACAGCCAGTTCCAGTCGAACGCTCTCTTCACCTGTACGGGCAAAATCGCCGGCTTACTGGATCACCAGATCATGAAACATGCCCCGGCTTTCGACCAAGACTATATCTTCATCGTCGTCCCCGACACGTGGACTTTCCACGACAAGGCCATGTCCGACCAGGCTTCTGCAACACAACTACTGCCGACGACACCCAAGAGCGCGGTCGGCAATCCCTCGGACTATAGCGTTGCGTTGGCCAGGTTTACCTCTACGAAGAAACGCAAGGCCGCCCAAAGCCCCGCCTCCCCCACGCCGCATGCTTCTGGCCCAGTCGATCCCCTTATGCTGGCATCAAGTCGGTCATTGCCCGATCCCTACCAAACCCCAACCAAGAGACGGCGACTTTCTCCCGAAACTTCCACCATAATCACCGACTGTGACGGTCAAGACTCCCCCAAATCCGATACCTCCTCCTTTCTGTCCCCGGAAGACCCCGCAGAGTCAGAGACGGACACCGAACAGGTCAATCACCAAGACACATCCGTCTCTGGCTCTATCAGACCTCCCGCGTCGATATCTTCCCGACCACTGCGCGCCCGACGTCCGCCCAAGAATATTCTCTAAACTTTATAGCATCAAACGAAACAATACAACATGACAACATGTCTCATCATCCTCAAAATCAACTGCCAAAGGCTCGAATAGCACATTCTCTTCTCTTCTTGTTCTCCTTTTCATGAAGACGATCAAGTCAAAACTTCCCCAATATACTCCTTATTCTGTTTATACCTACGACTTATACCGGTAGCACATGTAAATTTTCCGAGCCTTCCACTCGCCCAGACATGCATTACCCACTCACATCTCTCTTCAACCCTGCCGTCTCTCCACGCCCTCTGAGTTTGCGCCTTTTAAACAAAATCTCCTCCAGCGGCCTAGCCTGCCTCCCCGACGCTCTGTCTCGGTTTCACTCACGATAATGCTCTACGTCTCTCGCCGTGTCTCGTATCTCGACCTCACTCTTCTTCCTGTCTCCTATCTACTGTCGCCAACTCTCTCTCTCTCTTCTGTAGCCAACTCTTCTCCGGTTCTCTTGTCGCCAAATTTCGTTCCGAAAGGCTTCTTTGCGCGAGCCGCGGCTGGCGAGCCTTCCTCTCGTTCAGTCAGAAAGAGAGGCATAAAACCTCTTCTCATTGGCTAATTGGCCTCCCCTGTACTCAACTCGTGCGGGGAGTGGTCGGTTGGCAACGCCACCAAATGAAGGCCATGCCGCAAACCCCTGAGCGTTGACTAGGTAACGAGCTAGCCGTTTCCGAGAGCTTTTCTTCAATGCAAGTTTCCAAGCACACGCTTCCACTTCCATCGTGGGTCGAATCTATCGAACCCATCGGTTACTAACGGATTCTAGGTCAAATTTAGCTCCGCGGCCGACCTACAGTGGGGGGACAAAAGTTCCGGTCAATGACGCTAGCGCGTCGCGTACGCGCGTCTCCCACATTCCAACCCTTCCTCTTCAAATCACCATCATGCCTTCAAAATGAGCCCAATTACGCCCAAAAAACACTGGAGCCCTCATAAGAGGACGAAGATTGTGACCCTCTTTGATTGCGGCTTCTCAGCTGCCCTCGTCGGCGTCAAAGAGGACGTTTCTCCTAGAGCTGTCTACGGAATCGTCAGGCGTTACAGGACACAGTCGAGTGCGAAATCTTGCCGCGCTCTGGGAGACCCTCAAAGCTCAATGACACCATAAAAGATATATCTTTCGATGCATCGCGAAAGACCCTTTCATCTCGAATGCTCAGCTTCTTCGTGAGGCTTCTCTAGAGTGTTCTACACGTACTTTAACACGGTACCTTCGACACCATGGCATACAACATGTACGCGCTCTTCGACGTCCAAAATTAACAGAAGAACATGCTGCAAAGAGGCTACAATTTGCACTACAATACCATCAAAAGCCAGCTTCCTTTTGGCATACATGGATTTTCTCTGATGAGACGTCAATCGCTCGTGGGGACGGCGAGAGACAGAAGTGGGTTTTTTGCAATTCAGTACGTCTTAATACCCTTACTTCAAAAATCCCTCCTAATTGCAAAAAGGGGGATAGATTAAATCCGAAAACGTACAAGCAAGAGGAAAACCTACTCGACATTCCCAGATGTTTTGGGGCGGCTTCTCCTTTAATCGGCGGACTTCTCTTACACCAATGCTAGGAGACCCCGACTCAGCCCGTGGTGGCGTTACTGCACGCCGTGTGCTCGAGACCTTACAAGAAAGCCTACCTACAATTGCAGAGCCAGGCTATACATTCGCCCAAGATAACGCCTCAACACATACGGCGGCCATTGTGCAGGCGTGGCTTGGCTGCTGGGTCGAAGAAAACAGGGTAGATTTGGTCGACTGGCCGCCATATTCACCTGACCTAAACCCCATAGAAAACGTATGGAAGCTGCTTAAAGAGAGCATTATGGAGACTCACCCTGAGCTCTCAGACCTTCCAAAGAACTATAGCTCCAAGCAGAAGCTCTGTTTTGCAGCGGTTGGAGCGTGGGAAGACCTTGAAGAGGATACCCTCAATCACCTAATAGAATCAATGCCTCGGCGCCTTCAAGCTGTTGTGGCTGCACGTGGCTGGTATACCAAATACTAGCCAAAACAACAATAATCTCCACTCAATTCTCTATATATTTATATCTTCGGCTTCATAATTGACGTTCATTTGGCAAAGTAATGTGCTGTTGAAAAGAGGGCTCTGATGCGGCGTTGTGGTGGGTGGGCCGGATTGACCGGAACTTTTGTCACCCGACTGTAGCTACAACATTCCCTGGCACCACCTGCGGGTGTGTATTGCTGCAGCCACGCAAGTCCTCGCAAAGCCTCCCTGCCCGAGCAATATCTAGCAGTCTCGGTGGGAAAGAGGTGGATATATACGGTCAGATGGAGAACAATATGCCCGAGGCAGTCCGCAACTGTCGTACCTGCAAGCAAGATCTGCCCGAAGTCGAATTTCGAAGCGTCAAGGACCCTACGAAGTTTACAGGACAGTGTGCTAGCTGTAGGGCACACCGAAAAGAACGGGCAACCGAATCGCGAGCCGCCGTTACCGCGATGCGGAATATCGCCTCGAGACCATCGCTACGCAGAGCCACGAAGAGGACGGATTCGCTAGCTAACCTGACGCCTCCAAGGCGGACTGCGCCAACGCCTGCGTCTGTGACTGACCTACGACCTCCTGCCATGCCTGTTTTATTCCGTGGCCTGGCGCCTGCACCGGAACTGCCTATACCTCCGCTGGGGCCATCTACTCTAAGCCCTGTTGAGGACCTTCCCTTTCCTCCTACCCTTGGCCTGCCAACAGTAGTTCTGGGCACGCCGATTCAAGACACTGCTTCTACAGCTCCTGTTGTGCAAGGCACTCCTATACCACAGGAATCGCTTCCTACCACTCCTTCATTATTGTCACAGGGTCATCACCGCGGCCGTTATACTCGTCAAGGCACACAGCCTCAAGCGCGGCTGTTTGATCAGAGTAGTGATCCGCCTTTTACAGGTGACCTTGACTTGCCCGCCCTTAGTAAGGAAGATCAGGCGCTTGTGCGAGAGTTCTATACTGCCCTGAATGACGACAAGATGCATAGTTGCATTCGCTGCCAGGAGCGTTGGTTCGATATGAAACGAAATAGCTTGAAAATCTGCAGCCGCTGCATTGGTCGAGACAGGAAGAAAGCCCTCGACGAGCCCTACTTCTTCAGCGCTGCGAATAACCTCGACTTTGGGAAGTCCCCGGCAATCTACCCGATCTAACGATGGTTGAGGAGATGCTTATTGCTAGGATTCACGTACACGTCAAGGTCCTACAAGTGCGTGGCGCTCAATACAAATATCGCGGCCACGTTATCCACTTTCTTTGCAACATTGGTAGGCTATTTGAAGAGCTCCCAGTGCTACCGAAGGAGCTAGATATCGTGCTCCTACGGCCTCCTAATATGGAAGGCGACCTCGCTTCCAGCAACAGTTTGCTCGCGATTTCCGGGTACGCCGTTCATGCCTGTTGACCTGGCTGTATTACCTACAGCGCCACCACCCGGGCTATCGCGATATCGTCGTGAGCCAGGATCGCCTGCAACGGCTTCCTCTTGACGGCAGCATAGTTGCTTCCATTGCTAGCCAAGTGGCTGACATACCTGACGGCGAGATCCCACAAGGCCCTGTTGAGGAGGCCTTGAAGAGGACCCTAGCGATGCGGACGCATCAGCGATCCCGAACTTGCAGGTTACCGATACCGAATTAAACGCCCTGCAGTCCCGAGTCCTTGATGTTGCCCCTGACTCTGAGCGTATGGCTAATGTTGAGTATATGTCGCATAGCGCGCAGGCTCACCACCAGATGCCATTGCCATCCATTCGCAGGACCCTATCGACGAATTCAACCGTTCCCAGCCGCTGTTATCGCTTGCGTTCCCTACCCTCTACCCTGACGGCAAGGCCGACTTCGTGGAGCCTCGCCTACGGAGCATCACGTACCAGGACTACCTTGGCCATGCGATGAGATGGCATGACGGACGTTTTGCCCGCCATAAAACGTGGCCTTTCGTCGCCCTCAACACGCTGCTACGTGCGCAGGTCCGAAAGCGAAGTGACTACTTCGTCAAGCAACGCGACAGCCGCCGTCAACCCCTTACACGCGCTGACCTAGAGGAAGCGATGGCTGAGCCTGATGAGCCAGAGGCTCAGGACCTGATCCAGTCGATCACGCGCCAAGCCGCGGTAATCAGGGGCACCCGGCCGTATTGGTATAAGCAAAGGAAGGAATTGGAAGCATATGCCTACAATCTGGGCAGACCTGGCCTTTTCGTTACTGCAAGTGCGGCCGATTACCACTGGGAATCACTATATCGTCACATGCCTCGATTCCAAGAGTGGAAAGCAGCTCCTGAGGCGGCGCGCATGGTCCTGTCCCGGCAACTACTGCGAGACAACGCCCACATCGCCGCCTACCACTTCTACAAGCGTTATACGCTTCTACGACTATTGTCCTGAAGCAGAAGTTCAACCTAACGGACTTTTGGGGCCGCTATGAGTGGCAGGGCAGGGGTCCAGTCACCACCATGGCCTATATTGGTTAAGTGGCCACCCAGACTTGGATCATGACGATAATCGATCCCGGGAGCGATTTGCCCGTATCTGGGGATATCACGTATCTGCCGTTAACCCAGAGCCTCAGCGAATACAGGCTCCTGGGGAAGGGAATCCTGATCAGCAATCTATTGGAGCAGCCCTTACCGTTCAGTTCCTATCGATGGTAGTCAACCGCGTGCAACGCCACCGCTGCAACAACTACTGTATGCAGCGCAATAAGCATACCAAGCAGGTAGAGTGCCGATTTGGATTTCCTCACGGACAGCGCCTACTAGCCTCCCTTGACAAGTTGCCTCACTCCAAGCACTGGACCTTTAGGGGTGGGAGGAACGATGGCCAGATTAACCACTACAACCGCTTGCTTACCGTTGCATGGCTAGCCAATACAGATGTCTCTCCTGCACGAGCCTCCAGCAGGTGATCGATTACGCAGCCAAATACTGCTCCAAGTCAGAAAAGAAGAGCGAGTCTTTTGCCCAGATTGGGAAGGCGCTGATGCCCCGGGTCAAGGACCACAACCCCCTGATTTCTTTCACGTCAAAGCTCCTGAATCAGCTAGTTGCTGAACGGGATTACTCGAAGCAGGAGGTTAGCCACTTACTCCTCGGCCTGCCGTTACAGGAGGGCTCACGAATCTGCCTATACGTTGACTGCCGTCATCCTGACAGACATTCCCGCTCCTTACGCATTGACGGCGATGAGGTTGACGAGGCCCCAACGTCTACGAAAAGTACGGTCAGCGCCCGGAAGCCCTGAAGGACCTGACCTACGTTTCCTTCCTCAAACACTGGAATTTCCGCTCTAGAGACCCTTCCGCATGGAAGCAATGGCGGCCAGGCAACGTTAACGGCAGGCCCCGTGTGTTGGTTTACTTTCCTCGCTATCAGGCTGCTCCAGAAGGCCAGCAGTGGCCAGATTATTGCCGTGTAAAGTCGGTCGTTGCAAATTCCCCGCCGCCCGCCACCGCCTTCCGCTTTAGGCAAGCCCCTTCCCCTTTTGGCCCGTCGCGCATCCCGAATTGCTATAAGAACACCCACACTCCCTAACCCCTTCCTCTCGATTCTCCTTTTCCTCCTCTCCCTTTCTCTCACCATCATCCCTGTCGGCCGGCCATCTCTGATGCATAGCCCCCTCCTTTCCCCAACTCTGCTCCGCTCACACGACCCCTCGATTCCTACTCTGCATGTTCAGCTGAGTTCTGATGCCCCTGGGTTCTGCATGTCCGCTTCCTTAGCCATGTCTTTTGTCCCTTTGGTCCGTTACCTTGGCTTAGGGGAGGGAGATGACTTCTCTTGTTGATTCAACACCCTGAATTGAAGGGGCCTTCACTCGCCGATGTGGACGGGGTTTCCTCCGACTCTCAACCTCCATACTCTGGCAACAGCTTGACGCGGTCACGGCTACCCGCCAGGTCCTTGGATCCTGCCAGTGACTTGGTTGCCGCCATGCCCGCGATGACCCACAGGCTTCCGCTGCAATATTGTCGCTATTCTGGGATCGGATGACGTGGCAAAGTCTGCCTTGCCTTCGCAAGGCATGCTGCATACGAACACATGCAGAGATTAGGCCAGCTGACCTTACATCGTCCCCGTTAGCTCCATCAAAAGTCCCAGGGCGCGCCCGAGACGACCACTGGTGGAACACCGGCCTGCTTCGGCGTTGGCTGTTGGAACCTCCTCGATTGGCATCATAGCGACAGGCCGTCCTCCGACAAGAATACCACCGACATGGGCCCCGCAATCTGCGACCACAATCGTGGCTCACGCCATCCCTGGATGTTGTGATTCGTGGCTCGATGCTATCTCCGTTTTCGTCCACCCTAGGTCTGTTCCTGTGGCCGCATGAAGGTCGGATGATCCTTCCTCAATCTCGCAGGCCGTGCCGAATCGTACGAATTTCTGGTGCGCAGCTTTCCGCCGCACCACGGCGCGTACCTGAGCGCCTGACTATTGGTTGTCCCAAGGTGATGGTCGTGGGTTAGATGGCCCGGTGATCTTGGCTGGACGAGGTTTATTCGGAGCGCTCTGAGATTGGGTGCTTGGTCCCCTCCTCCGCTGCAGCTTTGCGACCCCCCAACTCGGGGGTAACAGGGTAAGCGAGGTTCGCGAAGGAAGAGGGGGCCGGTGGCCAGTGAGAGTCGAGAAGCGAGAGTGTGGAAAGTGGAAAAGGTACAGGGGGGGCTGTTGGCCTTGCCGGCTTGTCACCTGCCGCCCAAGACATTCAAGATGGGTGGAAGGGGCCGGGAAGGGCTGCGCCTGCAGAGGAGGGGGCACTGACACGTCACGGCGATGACTTCAGCAAAGTTGGCCCCGGTGTTTCTCTTCTCTCATTCAGCTACGGCCATGGGTGGGTGGATTTGTCCATAAGAAGGCCATGGATCTGCCGAATTCCTCGCCACTTAAGCATTATCATCCAAGCCTTTGTTCCCTACGACGACTGTGAAGATGGACCGTATGACTCTGAAGAGGACATACCGCTGGCCCTCTCCCGATCGAGGTCATCCATCCAATCAATCTGCTGTCAGGTGGACCTTCCCTTGCTCGACTGTATCTCCCTCGCCAGCCAGTTCAAGGAACAGCGACTCTGGCTCCAGCAGCGAAACGGGAGGTCCTGACAAGTCCAGCCAGACCATCTCGGAGCCTGGTTATAAGGCCCCCGACGTTGAATCTAGCGTTCCTGTCACCAAGTCGACGAGCCCAGAGACTGGGGAGGGGAGATCACCCCCGTCCCTCATGCAATCCCCAACACCCGTCACAGACCCAGCCATGGACGCCAATCGTCTTCAAACTCTTTTCTCCGAGTATGAAAGGGTCATCAGCGAACAAACTGAGCCACTTCGACGCAGCATTTCGGCACATCAAGGTAACACGAGTTCCCATACCTGCGACATACGCTTGCATTTCTCACAAATCTTTGCAGAGAACAGAAATCTTGAGCCTCATTGCCCAAAGTCCCAGCATCAGGCGCTTTCCGAAGCGAGCACAAGCTGTGAACAGTCCGGGGTAGCCCAACCACGCCGAAGCCAGCGGAAAAGGAAGGTTGCGCCACGCCCTGCTACCACTGCTTCATACCGTTTCCAAAAGAAGCGCATTGCGACTTGTAGCAGTCAGGAATATGAGTTCTTACGTTTGGGGGAGGTACGAAAGGCATGGGACGGATCCATCGAATATAAGGTCATTTGGAAGCCAACCTGGGCATCTATTGACGATCTCCGGGGCAAACGGGCATTGAAAGAGGCCGAAGAGCTCATTGTGGATGAGTTCGGTCAGGTAGCGTGGGAAAAGGAGATGGCAAGATCTGGTCATTTCGACCTGGATACCGAGTCTGAGTAGAATAGCGAGGTTATGCCAAGACAACCCTATCCCCCTTGCACCTTTCCCCTGACGGGATACGCTCAGCAGGTCCAAGGCCGTCTGGAGTATAGCCCTGCCTTCGTTGACGCTGCTGCTGCTGCTGAGCCTCTGCAACTCGGTCATGCTATTGGTCGTGACTTCATCTGGCGCTAAACGCGTGGCAATTCTGGCGCTCCGCTTTGTCCTATACGCTGTATCGTCAAGTTGTGGCGTGGCTTCCCGAATCTTGCTGCTAGGTCTCGTGACGCGACTCGATTTTTTTTCGTGGGCGTTGGAGCGGGTGGCGCGCCCTGCCCCACCATGATCACGGCCTCGGCTGGCTCTTCCATAATGGAGCTCCTCAATCCTCCGGTGCTGTTCGTTCGAGGAGAACCGTATGCAGTGTCGACTGTCGTTCGTCTTGCCGCGGGTGGTGTGCGCGGCCAGTGGGTACCAGCAGCGGGCTATGAGCGACACCAACCCCGCATGTCTAAAATAAGCGTAGGCGCTAGCACCTTGTAAAACAGGCAGCAAGAGCACCCAGCCGAGCAGAGCCTCGGGTGCCAGTAACCGCCCAGGTGCAGTGGCTGGTAGCCCGAGATTACTGGTTACCCATAGTCAGAGGTTGGCGGCAACTTACAGGTGCCAGTCGCCTTTAGGCTCTTGTTCCTGGTCGCTAGGTGCTGCTGGTAACCGCCCAGCCACAGTGCCAGCAACCATTCATGCGTTCTTGCTGGAATTTCGTAGTGGCCACTGGCCAGTGACCGCGCGGTCACTGTTATCGCTCGCCTATTGGAGGCTGTTTAGGAGCATGTGGACAGAAGCCGAGCCAACGAACACTGGAGCCGCGGCCCGATTGCTTGCAAACATGTCCACCAGGGCGGTTGCGGAAGCTCTCGGTCAGACTCATACCCCATTCAATGTATGCGCTAAGGTCAAGCGGTCCGGTCGAGGGAAAAATCAGGGTAGATATAGTGGCTTGTTTGGCTGAAACTTCACGTCCCGCCAGCTTGGAGCAGTAAGGCTTCGAGCAGCAGGAATGCAAGAAACACGAAAGGCTATTCCACAACTTGCAAATGATCTCCTAGCAAGCCACGATTCCTGCTACGAGCTTCAAACCCGTCTCTCTGCCGCTTCCTCTTATCCCGGGATAACTGAAATAGCTGCTTGTGTTTGGGAGCTGGAAGGAGGTTGGCGCGGTCGAAATCGACGAGCATGACGCGGCGGCGCTCGTCGTTCCAGAGCAGGTTGGGTTCGCGCTCGTCACCGTGGTCGACGCCCTCGGACCAGACGGCCTGCGAGGAGCGCCTCACCTCAGCCGCTAGGTCCGGCACCCCTACCTCCACGGCCACCTCGCCGCCCCACGACATTAGCATCATGTAGACGACCCTTGCCCCGCCCGGGAGGACGTAACCCCTAGTCAGTCGGACGATGTCTAAGTGCACCGGTACCACTTCGCCCTGGAGCCTGTCAAGATGTGCGTAGATACGGCTCTCGTGCTCTAGGCGGTGGAGATGATCCAACAGCGTCCCCTTCCCGACAAATGTGTAGCCGTACGGCGCCAGCTCCAGCTTGAAGAGTATCCCTGTCGCCCCAACCTTGCCCCGGCCGTCCAGCGCCTTGCAGTTTTGATATGGATTCTGGCGCAGCCGCTCACCCACCAGGCGGGTGAACTCGCCGGCGTCGATGGGGTGTCGGATACCGCCTGCGGTGGTGCGATGCGAGAGCACGTTGGGGCAGCTGCCGTCGAGATCCCAGCCTCTTTTGAGGCTCAACAAGCAGGCCTGGGTGCAGTATTGCCTGGCGGGACCCGGATTGGACGTCTCGGCCTCCTCGTCCCCACAGCCGCCGCTCGACGGACCTTCTCTCCGTTCATTCGCGTCGGTCCTTGTCCAAGTCCGGGATGGATCGCCCTCCGGACTATCTTCGTCATCGTCCTCGTTCCTGCGACGAACTGCCTCATCCATGCACGACGACCTGGACCGCAGTGGGTACACTCGCTTGGTGAAGCCAGCAACGGACTGGAACTCCGAGCCATCTGTCCCTTGCGATGAAGACGGCGACGACGAATCCGCACCCTCTGCCTCGAGAAGACGCACTGCATCCTCGTACTGTTCCCCCCATTTTTTCAGCTCTTTCCTTGCCTTCTGCAACGCCGAGTCGAGTGAATTTCCCCTGAGCGCCTCAGATCGAAGACTCAACAGGCAAAAGCTGGCCAGTTGAGCTACTGCGGTATGGGGCACCTGTCTAGCACGATCCCCAGCCGGCGCTTCGACCACCACTTCGTCTGGAACGCATAGATGGTAATACAATGTCTGTGGGTTATCTCGGTCCATATGAAGGAACACCAAGGACTTACCGGCGGCGACATAGCCGTATGCAACCCCATACCAAACCATATAGTCGAAGACTTGTATTAGCGCCATGGCAATTCGTGTTTCCTCCCTCTCTTGCTCCTGCAGCTTGGCATCGCTCTTGTATTTATTGCTATTGTCCCGTGCAACGACCTCCACAAACAGCTTCTCTTTCGCAAGTGTGGCCTTGAGGTACGCCGGCGCAAACTTGTGAGCTGCCATGAAGTCATAGACGAAAGCCATGCTCTCGTCACCATCCAGGTGCGTACGTATGCCCCCTCCATCAGGTTTCATCTGCGGCGGCTTGACTTTCCTTGTGGATGCGATTCGTGTGGTGGTCCCAGTCCGCCGTCGTCGCTCCTGCCTTTCCTCGCTTGAGTCCTCATCTCCAATCCGACTATCGCTCGGTTGCGAGAAGTCGCGGACGTTGTGACTGAATCGTAGCATCGTAACCCCGTGCTCCCCATGTAAACCCTCCTGATTCCATACGGGCGCCAGGATTCCCCGCACGGGAACTTCAACTGCGATCTTCTCGAAGTACTCCACGGCGTTCTCATTACCAGCCGGATCGTAAGAGATAGTAGCTCCTAGGTTTCTGGTCGTACTCTCTTGATGAAAAAGTCGACTCTCACCGCAGACCCTCCTGATCTTGTCAAATTGTTGGTGTCGCTGATAGCTGGCGAAGGTGTTCCAAGGACGTAGCCACTTGGGATAGTATTTATTGTCGACTCGTGTAGCGAGTCCCGTCGAAGACTTGGACTTGTCGGCGAACCCGAGTTTCGTATAGAGGTGGAAATGGCAGTTGTATAAATATTCCTCCAGCGTGGTCCTCTGGCTTTTGCGCCGCTCCTCCTCTTCTCGCGCCTTCGCTTCCTCTTCTCGCGACTTCGCTTGCTCTTTCTCCCGCCGCTCTTTCTCTACCAAACGCCGAAGCTCCTCAATCTCCCGAAGATGTACGGACATCGAATGTACTGGATGGAATAGGATGTGGAAGTGTCGCTTGGTTGGTCTGTGAAGAGGTCGATTTCGAGACTTCAAGTTTTAAGGGGGGATCAATCGCGGTCCGAATGTTAATCCGTCTTACCCCACTTCGAGAAGCCGGTCTGGCGCGCTCGCGGGTCCACAGGTAGATGATGGGGGCCGCAAGACTTGCGCCAACCTGAGTCAACGAATGTTAACCACTTGTTTTCGACCTTTTGATAAGATAATCAACAGCCATTCGGTTCCTGAGCAGTGGCCAGTAATTGATATGCAGTCCACTGTCCAGGCACTACCGTAATGATTAGTCGCCGTGTGGCGAGCATCATCGCCCTCCACGGAAGTTCAATTGCTCCGTTCTGTCACAGTTGCTTTGTGGCGAGAGATAACCATAAAGCGTCTCGCACTTCTTATGACTCTCACTGTGATAGTAGGTCATCCTGTTACGAGCCTGCAGTGAAGGGGGCCCGGTCTCTTTCTTTCGCTCACTTTCACGTGGTGAAATCATTCATTGTACTCATTATTAAGCTCACACCCAAGGCAATCTTGCCTACTACCTACCCCTTACGCTAAAAAGCTCGCACTTGAGATATCATGGTCAATCCTCGGGGTCCCATTTTACCTTATCCCTGGTTGGTTACGGGCCGCCCGATGATTGCTTTTCCCGAGAAGTCAGATATGCTGAGCTTCCCTGAATTGTTGGCCGTATGCTTGCCGGGATCGATGACTGGACAAGAGTTGCCTCACACCAGAGCTCGGCGCGTGTCAATCCACGGCACTAAAGCCCCTGCAAACCACCCCGAGGCAAATTTGCCTTCACCTTAGCTTCCCCCCGAAACTTAAGACGCATGTCAGATGTGACGACCTTGGCTAAGTTGACGGATGGTTGCATTCCAATACCCTTTCTGTGCAACGCGCAGTTGTGGCTCATGCTGAAAGCCTGCAGCAAGTGCACCCCGCATTGAGCAAACACGCTGTGACAAATGCCCGTTGACGGTTGAAACGAAGGCTGGTGGTAAGTAGTTATAAGTTGGTGTGGGTGGATACCTTAGTTCGCTGTGGCAACTGTTCGACTTGCCGTATTCATCTTGTACCGAGCTTGCACCTGCATGTACGCCCAGGTTGACATGGCCAACGAGGCAACGACGTAGCAAAGCAATGAGACTTCAAGGCTTTCGACAGCTTCTAGGTGAAGGATTGACGGATGCGACCCTCCTTACGTTGCAGATATAAGGAATCGCTGGCTGCTGGGGAGCTGTAATTCTGACACGTAAGACATCGAATGGCCTATATATAGACGTTGTCATCGTCGTTGCAAATCGTCATCCTGCAACTCAAAAGCGCTGCCAAGCTACCCGCAAAAAGACAATGGCATCACATTTTATCACCCAAGGCTCGGTTAGATGCGGTCACCTGAATGATGTTGATCAGAAGCAGTGCAGCCATGACAAGCCGTGCCGACTTGGAGTCCAACCCTTTCAGATCATCACCAAAAATTGCAAGAGATGTATGGAGGACCCTCGCAAAAGACTCCACCACAATTTCCACGACCTCAGAGATAGATCGTCTCTACTCCGTTACTGGTATTGTCGAAAAATCAGTGAGGATAGATATTTTTGGGGGCCGTCCAGGTTAGGTGTGGGTGTGGGCATTCCGGTTTTCAGGAGCATCAGCGCTGAAATGGAGATAAATATGCACGAAGCATGGCAGGACGAGTCCAGAAGATTTTTGAAATTGGCGACTTGCGGTGCGAGCGCGGTTTTTATGGATGGTCAAGAACCGTGTTCTGTGGATGAGTTGGACAGCGATAAGGGTAGAGCACTTTTAGAAAGGGCGATGGAAATGATTCTTGAAGAGACGAAAAAGTCAAAGGAACTGCCTAGTATATAATTGTCTTTTCCCATCTCCGAGATCTATTCTCTGTTCCTTCCCTTCCAGATTGGCAATCCTGCCTTTCTTGACGCTCACGACAATGGCCCCAATAAGGCCGACCGGCGACTAGGCGAGAGCCAAGTTCTTGGCTCTGCGCGCCAGTGCGAAACCCATATTACGGAATTGTCACAGCTGAGAGTCACGCTTCCTGCAACCGCGCTATTGCCCCCAAATCCCAATGTGGAATGGAGCAAATGCTCGTGTCTTTGGCCATCCTTGTTCGGCCCATCTCCACCAGAGAGCTCATGGTGTCATCAGGCCCCTGGGCAAGTGGCCCTCTGTGCTGGTCCATGGCGTTCCGACCCCTAGTCAAGGAGTACTTGGACGCATGCAAGCTAGAGTGCATGAACCAGGTTGTATGCACTGCTGATGATGCCGAGATACTGGATGCCTCGTAACTGTGAACCAACCGCATTGACCGGTTGAAGACGTGTCATTCCACCCAATCCTACTCTGACCAGGGCCGGTTTAATGGGGGGAAGCTCACCCGCCTTATATATGTAAACCATCATATTGAGTATAGCTCCTTCTCAGGGCAATGACGGTGTAACCTCACTATGCCCGAAACACCCATTACCAAATCACTCTACGTATGTCTGCCCATTTGCTAAACGACTAGACAAGTCTTGTGGCTCTCTTCATCCAATTGTTACTTTCCGAGTACCAAGAATCGCTGTTTCGACTCAATATCATATAAAGCACGTCTTGTTCCGGGCAAACCCGGAGCTCACTTTCTCATTACTCCAAGTCTAAGTTACACTCTCTCTACCGTTAAAGGTTTCCAAATTTCGTTATGCGGGACGAGATTACCGTTAGGGAGGTCACCGAGGCCGGTGTTATATTTGCCGTGACCACGGTATTTCTGGTTTTTTACCTGTACTGGATGATCAGAGCCAAGCCGCAAGAACCTTCGATCAGAGTCAAGCCACAAGAAAATTTCATCAGAGCCATCAAGCCACGAGAAGCTTCTCGTAGGCGAACATGGGCGTCGATTCCCACAGCATGTCTCCTCTTGGGTTCCGGACTAATATTCGCCGCTTTGTTTGGTAGTGCGAGAAGTGCACTTCTACCAGGCGTCCTTGCCTACCCCTTTTTCACAGCCTGGAGAGGAGTCACTATATTATGCATCGACATCATCGAGGTACGTCCCACTCAGGCCCGTTTGGTTATCTCCCCGATGTACTCATGGTTTAAAGCTTATTCAAGTTGTCGATCCCTTGATTTACGCCTATTTTTGTAGCGCCGTTGAGCCTGACCCCTCCAGGGCGAGAATAATCATTTTTGGATTAGCATTGGTCTTTCACCTTCCCTTCATTGGGGCGACCGTCTGGCAATTCTCGCTATCCGGCGTCGAATGCTGGTGGGCTGCTCCAATGGTGTCTCACTTGGTTACCGTTATTATGGTTATGGCGATAAGGAGGAAGACACCGTCTTTCCATCGTCTTGACCGGCACTCCAAACAGCCTCGGCCAGAGCAGCCGACGTCAAACCAGGGGATGCCGTGGCTTGGAGCAGTGAGCGGATTGGTGTTCCTTGCATCATCTGTGCTCCTAATATGTTCTGTGACTGGTTGGGTGAGACACCAGTTTGGAGGTCAGTGTGGACTTTGTCTGGTGATTTTAGTTGTGCCAGCAGTACCCCTGGACAGTATGATGAGGAAGTACCAGAGGAAACGGGTAGACAGAGAGGTGCAGCTGTCTGTGGTGTTAGACCCCGGTACTGAACGGTCGACGGAGCACCTAGTATTTTCCTGAAGGCACTGAATCAGACAGACGGCAATTACATAACTGCACGCCCTCAGTTACGGTGACTTCCTTAGATTCAAGCATTCCAAGTTTGGACCACACGCATATGCTATATTCATGTCGTGCAAACGCTCCAAGTAACCCTGCCAAGTTGGAAGCGCGATGTAAAGGTGCCTTCCGAAGCATGAATTGAATACCTGCTTTCCACGTCAATCATGATCTTTTCATTGGTTCAACTACACTCTCCTCGACCGAAATACCCACACTAGTTCACGCAAATGTTCACCAGTCGTCTGAGAGATATTCCCAAAGGACTTGTCGGACTCACAGGAGGACTCGATAAGAACAACCGACTCGTCCCACCCCAATATCCACGCTGTAGACAGTGCCCAGACGTACAAGTATGCCTGAATTCCCCCCGAAAATGAAGTGTGAATCTAAGTCCAAGATCTAGGGTGCAGCCAGCTCGCCGTGAACGACTACAGCTCTGATATAAGCGAAAGCGGCGAGCTAAGCATGAAGTGGGGGCTGTTCCAGCGTGCGACGCCCTTTAAGTAGGGTAAGGTAGTGGCAAGCATCTATTGCGCTTATAGTGGAGTGCAAGAAAGCAACAGTCAATCTCAGACAAGGGGTTTAGCGAAGAGCCTTAATTCATTTTTCTGCATGCTCAAGTCAACGTGCGATTTCGGGAAGCCCCGGGTAGTTTTTGCCACAAACGACTAGCCGCAGTGTGCTCACGACCGAGTTGACCGATTGAATTAGACTTGGACTCGTGTTGGGCAGGCGGCAAGGGCCGGTCACAACCGACGCCGCCTTGAACCATCGACAGGCATCGCATGATTCGGTGACCTGAGAACAGTTCCCCGACAAGTCTCGCATGAAGGCGAGCGAGGATGGAAATGCCAGCTTGTGGAGTCAACTTTTCTTAGAGGATGTATCTAGGGGCTACTACCATTCTAATAGCTGGTGAAGATAGGAAAACTCAAAACTCCTTCACGACCTGCGCCAAGTTGGCGACTTCCTGAGCTAAAGGTTGCGGAACTTCTAGGCGCGCAGGGTTTGTATGTCACGTAATAGTCGGAAACAGTCTCATGACAGGGCCCTCAATCTGAATCCTCAATGGTTGCCCAAATTCTGGGAGATGGAGATGATGAGCAGGATCGTGAATGTATGCAGCGTTGTGTCCCATCTCCGCGAAGTTTGTCACCGAACTGACGTGGACAAGCATTCGAGGCCCTCGTTAATTGAGGTTACTTCCCGGGTGCTCAATGGCGGGTTCCGTATCGTAGGGTGGGCGGTAGGGCAGCAGGCAAGGTTTCCGCGGGTGTAAGCAGTAGGGGCAGCAGGCAAAGTTGCCTCGGGTGTGAGGGGTAGTGGCAGCAGGCAAGGTTGCCTCGGGTGTGTGGGTAGGAGCAGCAGGCAAAGTTGCCTCGGGTGTGAGGCGTATTGGCGGCAGGCAATATTGCCTTTGGTGTGACTGTGGACTTAATAACAAGGTAAAGTAAATGGTTTCATTACTTGAGCGAAAAAAAAGAGTCATTGCCCTTCCCTGCAGGCTCGCAGCAGGATGACCCACCAACTTTGGACCTTGCGACTCGCGATTGAACCGGCAAAGACCGATCGATGCTAGCGCTTGGAGCCCGTTACCACCTCATGACGGGGCCGGTTGCGTGAATGAAAGCCAGAAGGTCTATGACAGCGTATCGTTTGTAAATATTCACCTCATTGAGTGGCGGTCTGCAGGGTGCCACCGCTGACTGCCGTCGCGGGTGCATATCTAACAAGTTGGCCCGAACAAAGGCCAGCCCTCGTAGTGTATTGGCACCCAATCGTTGCCAGATCTAACCATGGGCACATGCGGACCCCGAGAGAGAGTTGCATGGGAGATGACCTCGCCGATTGTGTGACTGTTCAAACTGAAGTATAAGTCGGCTTGTCTGCACCACAAGCTGTTGGTTTCGGCATCTTAAATCGCTCTTTATGTCAGCAATCTCCGTCACTAAAATCATTCACCATGAGTCTCCTGACCTCACCGGTTCTTCAATGTCTTTACTACGAAGCCCAAAACCACGATATTGAGTATAAGGCGAAGAACTTTTGGCAAAACTTTTTGATACAGGAATTTCCGATCCATCAGAACTATCTTGTGAACTCTGAGGTAAGCCCGGACGGAGAAAGCAGCACAAGACTGGACCTCAGTGTTGGGCGAGTCCTTGGAGAATATCCGTACCAAATTCATCCGACTTTAATGTTTCAGGAAGTAAAGCGAAAAGGGACAGGCGAGCTCAAAAAGGTGGAGGAGCAGCTTCGGAAAGGAGCCAAGAGATACCTCGAGAAATCTGGTGAGGAATTTGTGTACGGCATGACGGGCTGGGGAACGAAGGCCCGCGTCTGGATCATTGAGCGAAGTGGAAACCACTACCGAATGAGGCACCTGTACTTTGGATCTGACGGCGAAGCTGACCGGTCCTCCTACGTCGACGCCAACGATGACTACGCCTATTACATTTCATGCTTCGTCGCCTACCTCAAAGGGGAAAATCCACCCCAAATGCCCGAGTCACTTCAGCAAGGGCCAAGCGCAGCTTATCAGCACTAAGGGCTGAGAATGGTAGGGTTTGGTGGTGGGTCGAAGGGGCTGGCTGGTTCGTTATTGGACATACTGTACGAAGTGCGAAATATAACGCTACGAGCTAGCGGATCGAGCCAAAAGTGTGTATGAGGCTACAAAAGAGAGTGCTGTGTAACTCAGTGCACCCAGCTTCCGGGACCCTTCGCACCACTAATGCAGGCATATTCCAACGGCAATTGAGGCTGCATTTCATGGAGGCACCGTTAATGCTTGCAGAATCGAGAGGTTTACCTCTGATTGTATGGATCTCCGGGTTTCGAACCAAGAAGCCGGTTGCCCAGTGTTTTCCAAGTGGTTGAAGATCTCCGCTAGCCTTGATGATGCGGCCAGCAAATTCCTTGAGCTCGGAATACGTTGGAGGTAGCCCTGGGGCCCCTTGCGCAAGAACCCACTGGCAGAGGTGTTTTTCTTGATCTCGATTGAGCCGTTGAGATGTCTTTTTTTGCCCCCTTCGTAGGCAGGGGGCTCCTTTGAGGCGTGCCTGAAAGGTTGCTCTTGGAATACCCCACTTGCGACTAGCATGCAGTTGAGGCATGACATTATATATAGCTTGGAGCGCTTCCTGGAAATGGTCTTTGGTGGATTTAGAAGTACGAGGCATGCTGAATGGAATCATATTTATTTTTTAACTATGCGATGCAAGATGCACGACAAAACGCGGTGACGATGTGGTTGGTAGTCGGGGCCATGATGATGTGGGTAGGTGCCGGAAGTGGCGGGTACGGGAAGGTGGGTGCGCTGACTTGTATGACAGGTCCGTCTGTGCGGGGGAGCCCTAATAGTCCACCGTACCCGCAGAAATATAGGAACCGTTGTGGACACGGTCTTCTGATGTACCACTCGAGGTACCACCCTCGGCCTTACTGGGTGGCCTTCGCGACACGATACGTACGTACTTGGAGACAAATTTCTTATCTATTGTTTCTTTTGATTCCAGCCCCGCCATTTTTTCATCGCAAGGTTAAAAGCCTTACGGGATCCGGGACATTGCACATTCGCAGCTCACAACTTGTCGCGAACAACTCGCTTACTCCAATTATGCCTGAAAAAATCTGCATTACGCCCCGGTGTGTGTTCTGCCAATTCGAGATTGATGACGGAGACGACTTTACTATAGGTCTGTTGTCACCCACAAAGTATGTCTCATTAAAAGCTGACGCCTTCATCGCCACAAGACGTGCGAGGGTCGTGGCAACGTAAAACGGCCGGGCAGTCACCGATCCAGCTCGTCTGCAATGACCTTGACTGCCCCGATATTCAATATGGTTGCCATTCTTACTGTCTTCGGGTCGCTGGTCTCAGTTGCTCACGAGAGTTTGTCGAGGCAACAAAGCACACCTATATCCCCACTGAACAGGAAGAGAGTCGACGTCGCCAATGGATATGCCATTGCCTGACCCTACTGCTTTCGAGAAAGTATGCAAATGAGGGGCTCCACTTAACGCCAGAGCTCTGCCTCCTAATAGCGGAGTACCTTCTTCAGGTATACTCAGTGGTGAAGGCTAGAAGCTTATGGTCGCCTGATCGGAGACAATGTGGTAGCATTACCACATCCAGGAGTATATGGTATGGGACCATCGAGTTTGAGGGTACTGAATATGTCTCATCGCTGTCCAATACTCGCAGCGAGCACACTTGGGAGTTAATTTGTCCGCACCAAGACCGCTATGAGTCTCTACTTATAGCAGAGAATTATCTTGGAATTACGAAGTTGCTACTAGCTGGCTCAAAAGATACGCTAGCTATCGATGAAAGTCCTGGGATATGGTGGCGTACTATCCGTTTTGGTGGTCGTGAGTTAATCATTGACGTAGAATCGGATGTAAGTCGCTCATCTAGTATTACGATATTCCAGCTAACCCGTCTCAGGGTATAAAACTACGCCGACTAATAGTTCAGAAACAAGGACCAATTGCCTGGAACATCCCGGAACCCAGCCAAGTTCGATTTCATTATTTCACCGATGTTGCCGGAGGGATGAATGCCACCCCTGAGATCGTCCCTACACAACGACGGGAGGAACATGCCGGCCTAAACTGGCCGGAAAAATTTCCCGCCCGAATGACTTCTTTCAAGTGCAACTATCCTGCGACGACTGGTTACTCCGTTTTCTGGGCAAGTGGTCTGGCGCTATTTCACGCCCATGTAGACGGTGAAGATATGTCTTTTTACCGGACAGCTTCCCATGCCTCCTGGTTATACATGCCTATCGACTCGGATGAGTTTATTACAGAAATCTGGCAGCGTAAGGCCTGGGTCCCTCGAGAAAGAGCAGTTGGTGTAGGTCGACGAATCTCCTATCTCAGAGTAATGAAGCTGACGATATGGAAAATTAAGCTCAAGACGAACAAGGGCCGCACTTTTATAGCAGGGGCCTATTTGAAGCAGCTATGGCCGCCCAAACCGTTCGAATTGGTCGAGCGACTTGGCTATGAAACTAGCAGAATTTTTTACGAGGACTCAAGCAACGGTATAGGCGTTCTAGCTTTCGCGAACTCCATGCCTAATTTGGAGAGTCTTCCCTTGTCATACCCCCAACCGACTCAAAATAGATTATACGTAGCTACGGAGGATTTTTTTTTTTCGTCGCATCGACTAGGAGGTTTGGCAGAAATCACTCCATGCATCATGAAGAATGGCGTTGGTGTAGCAGGCATGGTCCTACTTTTCTCGAACGGTCATCGAGAAAGCGTTGGACAGGTAAGGCTGGACTCGCTGGGCCCCTCAACCACCGTCGTTAATACGCCTTCGTGGTTCCTCGCGTTTAAGAGGATGAACGGTATATATCCTTACGTTACAGCGCTCGGAACAACTCTATCTGAGGTAGAGAGGGGCAGCGACCTTGTTATGCAACTGTTTTGCGATGGAACCTTGGAATGGATCTGGTCTCGCCGGCAGTGTTTAGTCATATACGAGGGTCAAAGAAGCTTTGAAACTGTATAGGGCCGGGCTTAAGTAGCTGCTGTCTGACGGTTTTTCTTTTTCGATTCTATATGGCTGCTTTGAGAAGACTTTTCTGGCGATCTCGTGTTGAGTCCACATTTCACTTCACCTTGGAAATTTCTGCCCGACGGAAAACGGCACACGGCGATGTTACCACAGAATTTTCTTGTGTCCTTCCTCAGATGGGACGCTGTTCTGTCTTGTTGCGTCACACCTATTGATACAGCAACGCCATGCCCTCATTTTTACGAACAGATGTTCCTCGTTTCAACGGCTATCACGCGCTAGAAAAAGCACACATCCGAGATGTTTCGGAGGAAGCGGTCAGGAATCGCGTTATGCTATCATATAAGAAGCCTAAAAGGCGTCTATTCTCGGGATATTATGGGTTCTTCAGAGATCAATCAATTGAATCACTGGCCCCCGTTCTTCAATCTCTGTTTCGTTGTGTGGACACCACAATGAGGTTCGAGTCGGGATTTGATTCTGTTGACGGAAGAGGCAATAAAACCACACATCAGGGGGTCAGCCAAGTCAAGGCACAAGCCACAGGGTCAGGAGGGTCACTGCGGTGACCCCCTGACGCCCTCTGTAGTCTGATACTGTCAGCGGCACGGCTGACAGCACAGAGGAAGTGAAAGGGGCATAAAAGAGGTAAAAACAGTGATGCATGTCTCTTCTAACTACAGGGACATAAGGGAAGTCTTATATAGGTACAAATACCCCTTATGGCCCCTCATTTGGGTGCTTCGGAGAGTCCCACTACATGTGTCAGCCTTCTGAGCTGTATCAGACTACAGAGGGCGTCAGGGGGTCACCGCAGTGACCCTCCTGACCCTGTGGCTTGTGCCTTGACTTGGCTGACCCCCTGATGTGTGGTTTTATTGCCTCTTCCGTCAACAGTACCTATATAAGACTTCCCTTATGTCCCTGTAGTTAGAAGAGACATGCATCACTGTTTTTACCTCTTTTATGCCCCTTTCACTTCCACTGTGCTGTCAGCCGTGCCGCTGACAGATTCACATATCATTGGGATTCCCCGGAGGACAGTGGCCCTTCGTAAAGACCCCTTAGACATGCGATCGAGCGGAGAAGCACCTATCGTGAAGCCACCTGGTCTCTGGAGTACCCCGACTACGCTCTGTTGAAAAGTAAGTTAGAAACCTCTGGTGTGATCGCCAACTGGCCACCCATTCTTCTCCCTTCGCCAACTTGTGTGCGAACTTCGTGAGAGTAGAGATTACCAAATCTGATGGGTGCGGGGTAAGAAGCGGGGCTCGAAAGCAGAACCCATGATCACATGACAGCGCTTAGGTAGCGCTAGTAATCATCCCAACCATGCCCAACTACGACAAACTTTACAACGACACGTTTCCCCCGACAAGCGGCAAAGGAGATCAGCTCGCAAAAGTGCGACCGGCTGTATCTCCCCCAAAGAACCGAAAACCTTCCAACCAAGCCACTTTGAGCAGCTAAGCCTTGCGACATGAGTGTTGCAAGTACCGCATCTCCTCCTGTTCGCGCGTCACTGACCTTTGCTAGGACAGCAAGGACATCCCACGCGGGGTACCATACAAGCAGGCACCGGCGGATATCGAAGTTACTAGCAAAATTCACCTGGAGATAATTCAAGCACCGGCCCAAGTATTTGAGGGAGATATACGACGATGGGGTTACTGGCCGCCAGGAAATGGCCAAAGGTCTGGAATAGTCGGAGTAGGATGTCGCATTGAGCTACTTCCTCCGGGATCAATTATTATTACAGATCCATCTTGAGAGGGTCAGCATGGATCAACATCCGATACTTAATTATAAAACGCAGTCCCCGATGCCTATCCACCTTCACCTTCACCTCCCAGTCCCCCCAAGGGTCAATGTCCACACTCATGCATGTAGAACGAGGAATTTTCAGCTGTCTTTCCATGCGGAAAGCCCTGGAGGCCTCTAAGCAGTGCCAAAGGTCTTTGAAAGCATTCTCGAGGTCATGACAACGCAAACCAATATCGTCGAAGATTGTAGATTTCAAGTCTTGGGCACGTTGCCTGGTTAACTCTTGTACGTAGCGTTCAATGTATTCGTTTTGTCCTGGCAGCTTGGGAAGCATGTATTTCAAAATCTCGGACCGCATGATTTCTTCCTCAACTGAATCTTGCCGAGTGGCTGCTGTTGTGTTCATATTTATGTTCAGCTGTTCATCATGGGGTGCCGAGACTAAGTTGGTGCCGAAAATAGCAGCCGTCGACTCGGGATTAACCGCGCTAGTATCTGAAGCCAGCTGGTTATCAGTCTGGTCTGTGTTTGTGTTCGCAATTTCAACACCGCACACGGAAGACTCTGCAAGAGAGATGCCAAGCCTCTGCCTTGGCGGCGGTAAGGTAGCATGCTGGTGCCCGGACGTTGATACTTGATCTGCTGACTGTCCGGGATGTTGTATAGCCTTAAGACACTGTCGTTTGCTCGATCTCTCTTGGTTACTCGACTCAGGAGCTTTGTGTACCAGGCCTTCAAGAGTATTTCTATCACTCATCGTATCGGTAGCTCCGCCATTGCGTGACATCATTCGCAGGGCATTCGGTACGTTTCGCAGAAGTTCAAGTAGTCGATTGTCTGAGCGTGCCCGTAACGCTCGTTTAACGCTAGTGATATATGCTTTCCTTTCAGGTGTGTCGCCCCGGCATTTCTGGGCATGTTTGAAGAATCTACTCGCATTGTTAGAGACATGAGTGTGACAGTCGAGACACATCTCATGACAGCTAATATCTATTCCCGCCTTAGCATGCATGCCTTCCATGTATTCCTTGACACAGGCTACTCACGGACGAGGAAGTGCTGCCGAACGGACATGCCCTGCTTTGAAGATCCCTTTTGGCAATTTTCAAATGGGCATTCCACATGATCGTAGACAACGAAGCCTACTGCCTCGTCTTCTGGTTCTGCTACCGCGGCGGCGCCGATATTTGCATGGATGCGGCAGTCCTCATACTCCTTTGCTCGTTCTTTCGCTCTCTCCTTCGACAAGTTAGACTAGCTTGTTGTAATATTCAAAGTATCTTACCCGATATTCATCGAGGTGTATCTCTAACGAGTCTCTGGATAGAAAGTATGCCGAGCAATAGCAACAATGCCACTGCTCTGTTGTCCCGGTGGCCATGATGCTGGTCGGCACGTAGGGCGTGTCAAGTTGAGATGGGTATACGTAGACTGGATTTGAAAGGAGCTCTTGTTGGAAGGAAAGCGGGGTAACGCTCCTCGGCGAGCGAAAGACGCTATCCCTTTAGAGGGGCCAGGTGCCAGCAATGTACATTTCTTACAGGGATATACATACGTAAACCAATCACCGATCAAAAGGGCAATAGCATGGGACGGATTAATATTCGGAACGCAACGTTCTTCCGCGGAGGTTTGGACTAGTGGCTATCAGATTACTGTCTCTGTTGACGGAAGAGGCAATAAAACCACACATCAGGGGGTCAGCCAAGTCAGGGCACAAGCCACAGGGTCAGGAGGGTCACTGCGGTGACCCCCTGACGCCCCCTGTAGTCTGATACAGCTCAGAAGGCTGAGACATGTAGTGGGACTCTCCGAAGCACCCAAATAAGGGGCCATAAAGGGTATCTGTACCTATATAGGACTTCCCTTATGTCCCTGTAGTTAGAAGAGACATGCATCACTGTTTTTACCTCTTTTATGCCCCTTTCACTTCCTCTGTGCTGTCAGCCGTGCCGCTGACAGTCTCTGTCGTCGTTGCTCAACTGTTTATAAATTATCATATTAATTCAGCCGAAGGCTGACTCTACATTAATCCATAAGTTTTCCCAATAATGAGGCTTTGGTGCAGACAGGGGTCAATAAGTTTCCGGGTTGTGATTGGCCTAATATTTATATAGACGGCTGCAAAACGTGCAACAACTGGACGACAACGGCTCTTAAAAAGTAGGACCCAGCTAGCAGCCCCCTTTCCCTGGTTTGATTAGGTACTAGAAATGTGCTTTACGTGGGCTTCATTCACGCAATGCCTTTTCACGCCTTACTTGAATAAATAATACCTAACCCCTAGGTCTACTTATTTAGGGGTTCGATGCTCGCCGCGGCTGCTGCTCGTGACGACAAGGCGGGCAACCTTGCGAAACAGGTCCATGTATGCATTGGCGCCCGTCTGACGCTGACGTCCAACCTCTGGCAATAAGTTGGCCTCTGCAATGGTGCTCGCGGCGCAGTGTACGACATTGCCTGGGCGCCTGGAGTTGACCCATTCCGAGACCAGCCATATGCTATAATGATTGAGTTTGACAAGTATAGCGGACCGGTATTCCTGACCACCGCCGATGGCAGGAAGGCTATGCCGATTCTATCAGTGGAGAGGGACTTCCTCTTGACCGGCCCACAGACTCGCAGCCTTCGGCTGGTTGTACATCTTGCACCACTGCCCTAAAGTGCAAGGTGTGACGTAGTATTTTATGCCACTTCAATACTTCATGTAACCGTTTAGAGATTGCATTTGTGTTCCCCGGCCATGGAATGCTCCATGATGTTAGGGATCTGAAAAAGCCGACTGCCTCTTCCCGCCATTGGGGAACGATAGGTCGGTTTCCGTGAAGAGTGAACTCGCTCCTGAAAAAGTGCGACTGGATCCAGATTTCGATAACAAAGGACTCTAACACAACATTGGTTCATTCACAACCATTCGGCAAAGGACCAATCCCTCGGGCGCTTCTTCAGCGACAAGCGCCGAGATCCTCTGCCAAGCCAAGCGCCGAGATCCTCTGCCAAGCCTAGTGTTGGAGGACTCCAGCCGGATCTAGAAGGTTCCATGGATACGGCGACTCCATCGCCTGAGTCTATATAGACTCAGATCATCATCACATCTGTAGCTAGATAGACAGGCATCAATAGATCGTTGTCTCATCCTTTCCAGTCCGCAGGTGCGGACAACACCTAGCGTTTAAGGCAACGTAGAAATGGGCTTGACTGCCGTCGCCGAAGGTTGTTCAAACCTGGACCTGAAGTGGCGATGTCGACGGGTCGAGAACGCCTGAATCAACGCGCCATGGACCAAGCCTCTGGCAATGCTTGGCCAGTTCGAGAGCCAACTTTGCGTCAGATTTTGCTTGCTCTTGAGCGAAATACAAGGCGGACTGGAAGCGAACAGTGCTACCGATGTAATTGTCGGTGTCTTTCGATTTCATCTGCTCTCGCAAGCGCGCTCTCTCAAGCTTGTCGGGGTCTGGAATCACTGGGGTAAATAGCCGCCTGGCGCCGCCGCCGCGGAAACAGTCGTCCAAGAATATTCGTGACTGCCGCAATGCCCAATACGGTTCATCGACGCCGCGATTGCCATGCGGCTTCGGCAGACTGCTGAAGTAGTTTTCTGGCCATGTCGCAAACAGATTGTATAAGGCATCATTGTCGCCATCGCCGTAGTGAGGCTCAGGGTCGAACAGAGCATGCGATGTTTGTGTCTGGCCGTCGCCAGGAGACACGATGGTGGTCATATCGCTGATCCTAGTATGGCTGAAATGGAGAAGACTCAAAATTCTAGGATAACTACAGATAACTACCTTTTTCTGGCCAGGAGAAATGGCTGGGAAAGTGATGGTTGGAACGAAAAGTTCGAAAAACCAGCCATGCACTGGGAAAAAACGCTCCAGACCAGGCCTCACCCGAAACAGGAGGGCCAACGCACACCCTAAAATCAGTTTAAACACTTCCATCAAAATCTACGCACTCGATTCGCCCTCGCCGCGATGGCGCGCCGCGCCCAGAGCGTCGGGGGGGTGGACGAGGTGCCGATGGCGATCGACGGCGGCACGAAAGGATTGGCGCAGAGTATGCACCACCCCAACGCCGGCCAGGGAGCGTTCACAACGACACAGCATGCTGATCCCCACCCTCCTACGGACCGAGACCAGCTCGAGGAACACGTGCGAGAAGCCTACCGAAATATCGCCAGCCTGGTGCAGCGGGAGACCTTCCAAGGCGTCTGGGAGGCCATCCAAAAGCTTTTACGTGCCGACCGCGTGGCGCACGCACCACGTGGCCAAACCTCGGATAAATTCACCACCACGAAAGCAGAACTCTCGGCAACAGTCAAGGAAGCGGTAGAAGCAGCAATGGGAGGCAAGACTATGAAGAAGACTTGGGCGGAGATTGCAGCCGGCGCGCACACTACTCGCCAACACCAGGTACCCGCGGAGAAACCGGTCCCTGCTCGCTTCGACAGGGAAGTGGTGGTCCGCGGCAGCGGCATTACTCAAGAGCTAAAACAACGCCGCCCCCCGGAAATAAGGGATTTTCCGATGATCTGCCGGATCTGGCGATTTGCCGGATTGTGGCGACTTCGCACGCTCAACATCAATCGACGATAGCTCAACAGCCACGGTGCCAATTGACGTATCCTTTGAGTGCCTGAATCGTCAGAAGCAGGGAAAGTCTAGGATATATTTAGAAGTTTTATCTAGGGGGCAATGCGCTGCGGTGCTGACATCAAACGAAGCAACGGCCAAAATAGGATTCCGACAGATTGTGTAAGTCATTTCGGCCAACACAGCAAAACAGAACATTATTGACTTTCATCGTGGGCTTTAATCATGTGGGATTCTCCTATTATATCCATAGCGCAGAAATTGGCTCAGGATACTGCCAAAAATGGGGGTTGGAAGGGCGACCTAGATAACCTCATTCTAAGCACCCGTAATGAGCCAGATTGAACGTGATTCGACGCTACGAGCATCTTCTGAAAAGAACCTACCTATGTATCTGAATGTAAGGTTTATTTTTAGCTTGAACTTCAGTGCGCGAGGCTCCTCTTTCACACCTGACAAGGAAAGACGCGCACGAAAATTGAGAAACTCGACACCCTGCCCTAAAACACGTATAACATGGATGAAAAGGGCTTTCTATTCCTTACGAGCATTTGAACGAACATTTTATTCCTCTTATTAGAAGAAAACAAGGCAAAATTGCTCGGCGTATTAATAAATGGCAACCCATCCTCCATTACGTTCAAGATGTGCGTCAGTCAAGAGATGGCATCGCTGCCCCCATTTCTCATCCACCAAGACAAGCCAGCACAAACCCTGGACTTTGGTTGGTGAAACGTGAATCAAGTCGTCAATGAATATTTTTTAACACGCCAAAAACGAGGTGGATGAATCACAATTTTGGAAAAGAGCAGCTCGTCAGTACGTTGGACCGGTTTACTAAGGCGAAGCTCGAAACGGTCGTGCTTTTCGCCTTTTGGTTACCGATGGCCACTTAAACATTTTAGTATGGATTTTATGGAGTGGTGTGACGGGCACCAGATGATCGTTGTGGTGTTTCCTCCTCATTCCACTCATCGGCTGCAACCCTTGATGCATCGTTATTCAGCCTCTCAGCAGCGTATATGTATAATCTTCTTCATTGTACAGACAAATAAAAAAGGTTAATTAAATCGTTGAAAATGAAGCTCTAGACTGTGTTTTGGAACGCATTTCAGGAAGTAGTCGAGAAGACCTCTGTTGATGCTGGTCGCAACAGCCGAAGGCTGAGTAGCACCCTCGAAAGCCCTCAATGTGCGTTTTAAGTGATTTATATGAGAGCTTAAGTTAGAAGAGAACAGGTAGTCACAAGCACCAGCGCAGGCAGGGCGGTAAGGCTCCAAAAGATGATCTCTTCTGCTGTACAGATTGGAATGCAGACGAGGTGTTTAGCTCTGCAAAAGTGGCTCAAACTCGCTAAAGAAATACAGCTTAAGGACCCCAACAAAAAGAAGAGGCTCTGAAGAAGGAGACCTGAAAGTTTCAGCAACAGAAGAAGGCGGCGGAGCAAAAGCTTTCGCTCTACAGAAGAGGAAGCAATGAGAGACGGAAATTGGGAGAAAACGACGGATGACGGAGGCCGTGAAGCAAAATATGGAGGTAAATTGGCACTGTTGACAAGAGCTGAAGATTTTGACTATGGAAAAGCCCCAGAAAATGCAGAATGAGCGACGGGTGGCTTCTGAGGGTCGCGTGAGGAGTCAGGATGCTCACGCCGCAGAAATTGTTACTCTTCCGTTCACACCAGAGCGGACCATAGCATTGCAGGTACCAAACCTACTATATAATAACGCAAATAAAAAGGCAATGATAACTTCAAACCACATACCCTGTCCTCAAAGGCCCTCTTTAGCTGTTGATAGTGATCGGGAGATAGTGGGTGCATTTCGGGGACTTGCGCGATCGGAGAGTAACAGAAGACGACCTCGATGACTGGATGACTTCAAAAAATATTGAGTGGAATCTTTGAGCATTACTAATTGCTCTTATGAGATTTTAGAACAATTCAAACAGTATTCGTGGAGTTATTCTCAGTTCTTTACTGGAATGCAAGGGAGAAAAAAAACGGCGAATCACCCGATCCGGCAGATCACCGGAAAATCCCTTAGTTCAGGCTGTCAATCGCGCTCTCGGCGCCATTGTTGCGATCGCAGCCCGAGTGCTTCGAAGCGGAGATACGGTAATCACCTTCGAGAAAGATGCTAAACAGTATCGCATTAGGACAGACTGGCTACGAGATGCCTTCGGACCGCAAGCGACGCTCTCCCAAGGCGGCTACACGCTGGTTGTAAAAGGAGTTCCTATCAAGGCAATACAGGGCCAAGACAACGAGACCGCAATGAAGGCTATTGCGGCGGAGAACAAGGTTGAAGTCATCCGCCTTAGGGCGCGTAGAGCAAAGGGCGCCGGAGCGACGAAGACGACCCTCATACTCACAGTAGACGGGGTAAACGCGGCCAACAAGATTTGCGATCAAGGACTGCTTCTCCAGTCCGAGCTTTTCAACTCAGAACCCTACGACGACTCGCTCGATCCCAAACAGTGCTTCCGATGCTATCAAATGGGCCACCTTGCCCGCTACTGCGAAGCGAAGCCGACGTGTGGACGGTGCGGCACTGACCCGCACCCAGACAACGAGTGCCCGGCCGCGTTGGGCCAATCTCCGCATAAGTGTCCCCTTTGCGGCGGCGCAAACCCAGCGTGGGACCGTCGCTGCAATAAGACCAAAGAGCATTGGGATAGAGCGCGTAAGGCCTACACCTTCAGAGCGAGACGGTTCGAAAGCCGCGGTCGCGACCCGACTCCACGCCCCTGGCTACCCGAGCTCGACAAACCAAGCGACGACCCGCTACCGCCGCCAGCCCCAAAACGACCTCGACCGGCCTCAGCCGGACCGGGCCGCCCCTCGACCAAGGCCGCACGCGCGCGAGGCCAATCAGCACTCACCGCGTCTACTGGCAGCCAACGGACCGCTGAAACGATAAGGGTGTCTCAAGAGAGTGTTGCCGACACCCCTATGGATAATGCTGAATGTTACCTAATTACAGTGATGTATTGGAATACGAACAGACAACCCGCTCTCACGAAGCTTGCGCTTCGAGCCCGGCACGCTGCCGACGTCATTGCAATCCAAGAGCCTGCCAAGAACGCCAAGACTGGCTATCCTATATGCCCGAGCAGGAGCAGCTACCGCCTCGTCTTTACCGCCGGCCGCGCGGCGCTCTACGTTCACAAACGGCACGACATTGGGTCGTGGACCAGCGACGGAGGCATCGACTGGTGCAGCGTCACCTTCACCAAGCCCAACACCACAATCTTCTCCGTCTACTCCCCGATCTATGCTAGGGAGCCTGATAGAAGCCCGCTACCTGGCCTCGCATCGAGCACGCCTCGCTGTAGAGCTGCCTTCGTCGGAGACTTCAACATCCACCACCCGCTCTGGGACATCCATAACCGGACGTCGGACAACTGCGATGCCATACTAGATTTGGCGAGTCGATGGAATCTCGCCCTCGCCACGCCTGAGGGCGAAATTACTCGTCTTGCTGGACCAGGTACACGTGACAGCACGATAGACCTTGCCTGGGTCTCGCGGGACCTCTCAGCGACGTACCTGGGCAGGGCAGATATCACTGGCTCGGATCACATCCCGCAGCTTCTGCAACTCGACATCGGGCCGCCTCCGCCCCGCTTACGTCTTCGGGGACTTCCAATAAACTGGCGTCTACTCGACCCCAAACGTGCCCACGCGGAGGCGACGACACGGCTCAGGCCCTCGATCGCCCCTCCCGCACCGCAATCCCTCAGAGAAATTGACGATTATGCCGACTGGCTAGTCAACCAATTGGCAGAGATCGCCTTTTGCGCCGCGCCCGAGGTCCGCGGCCGAGCTGATGGAGGCAGAGAAGAGTGGTGGACCCGCGACGTTGAAAACGCCACCCGGGCGGCTAAGCATGCCGAAAGGCTCTACTTAAGAACCAGAAACCCGGCCCACTGGGAAGCGCGACGCAACGCCGCAGCGGCGCAGAATCGAGTCGTTCGCGAGGCGTGTCGGAGCGCATGGAGGAGGCATCTCCACGACGCCTCCTCTCTCGCAGAATGTTAAAATAGAGGGTAAGAGTCAAAAGAATGTTCATTGTCGTCTATCTAAAATGAATGTGAGAAGTTTTTCTTTCCTTTATACACCGAGAGAAAAAGTAATGTTGCTGCTGCCTACGGCAGCAGCGCGACTAGACGCGTCTGCCTGCTAGGCAGTAGGCAGCACCGTGAATGAGCTTTCAGCTCTTGACAACCTAGGCTAGTATCCTGCATGCGACATCCTCAAAGACTAAAAGTATCTGGGCCCTAGAGCGATGGGCCAGACTTAGGAGCACTCAACCGCCCACTCCACTACGCCTTCCCGAACTCACACGAGTCGAAGGCGACCCGATCCCAGCTCGCACGCACGCCGAGAAAACTAGGGTGCTGGCCGAAAGGTTCTTCCCGACACCCTCGGTCGCTGGTCCCCAAGTTACTAGGAGCCCCGCTCACGAGCCGGTCATGATCAGCAACCACTTCTCCCTCGAGGAGGTCGAGCAGATCATCAAGCAGACCGCACCATGGAAGGCGGCAGGGGAAGACGGTCTACCACTGGGACTACTAAAAGCCTGCGGTAAACCAGTTGCCATCTCTATCCTTACATTGCTAAACTCCAGCTGCGCCCTCGGATATTTCCCAGAGCGCTTCCGCCGCGCAGACGTGGTGGTCATCCCCAAACCCAACAAGACGCAGGCTCAACTAAGCCTAGCAGGCAGCTGGCGCCCGATCTCCCTCTTGAGCACGGTGGGCAAGATTATGGAGGCGGCGATCGCACGGCGGCTCGCCGACACCGCAGAGACACATCTACTGCTCCCCGAGGGACAGATGGGCAACCGCCCTAGACGTTCTACAGAATTAGCAGTCCATATTGTCGCAGAAATGGCGCGCACGGCGTGGGATCGACGCGGGGTCGCGTCGCTTCTTCAGCTCGATCTCAAGGGTGCTTTCGACAGGGTGGACCACACCTGCCTCCTCCAAGCTTTGAAAGGAAGAGGCATCCCGAAATGGCTCCTAGATTGGATCCGGAGCTTCGTTAGCAACAGAAAAGCACGCCTACTCTTCGACGGCGACGCATCGGCCCCCCTCAGCATACACGCAGGTGTCCCCCAAGGATCCCCACTTTCCCCGATCCTCTTCCTCTTCTACATCGCCCCCCTCTACGACGCCCTCGAAGCGACGGCAGGGACCATACTAGTCGGTTTCGCGGACGACTCGAACATTCTCGCCTTCGGCAAAACCATAGACGAAACCGTCGAGAGGCTTGGAGTAGCCTGGGCTGCGTGCGCAGGCTGGGCGCGCGCTGTAGGGGCAGAGTTCGAGCCGGCGAAAAGCGAGCTGGTGCATTTCACACGTGCCCGTGTCCCGCCCCAGACATGCGTCCGCCTTGGCAACACCACGATAGCACCGTCAGAGTCCTCCCGCTTCCTCGGAGTCTGGCTTCATCGCAAGCTCCAATGGGGCCCCCATCTCAAGCAAATCCGGACCAAATTCCAGCGTCAACGGGTCGCACTCACTGCGCTCGCTGCGTCTGCGTGGGGATGTCGACTCCCGCGCGCACGGGAGATCTACACTCCCCGACGCTGAAAGATTGGATTTAAAGGCATTATTACTTAGGATTTGTCCAGCGCAAGAGGTTCTGGCAGCAAAAGATATAGGTAAATTGATCGGGCCTAGCTCCTTGTGGTGGCCTCTGTCGCAGTGAAGGCATCAGAAACACTCGCTCACGTAAACCGTTCACGGCACCACTGCTTTTTCATGGTGGGAATAACTTCATGCATGTCAGCTTCTGCCTGCCATATCTCAGATGCCTACGGCCAACAGCATTAACCAGTACAGGTATAAATTGCCGACCAGTCACTCATTAGATAGAAAAAAAAAGAAGCATTCCTTTGCCCATGGTTTTCCTCGCTAAGGTGTAGTGTGTGACAGCCTCAACAGAACAGGGGGTTTCCCAACGACTTGCCTAAAACGGAAGGGTAGTCAAGTAACCTCAAGTAACCCCGAGTAAGCCAAGGGGTCTTGCTTTGTTTGGTTGAAAACCATCGTTACTCGGCGTCGATATTCATCGAGTTTCTCCGGGTGTTTCGCAAAGCACTCGGCTTCCCCACCTGGGTGGTGTTTTTTTTTTGCAGAAAGAACACAGGGGCAATCCAACCCAGTGAGACTTGTTGCATGTAGAGCAGAATTTTCTAGTCTGTTCAGACTGAGGTTTGTCTACATATATACCATGATACCAGTCGCCTCTAACGGATAACCTGTTGTCGTACCAGCCGCCAAAAGTGGAGGCTACCTCCGCTAGAGGCGACTGGTATCATGGTATATATGTAGACTCCGACAACACTTAGTCTCTCTATTCATGTATATAAGAGAGATATATGTCTTTCATTTAGATAGAAACCGAGAATCTTTCGTTGCCCGATTCACAGGGGATCTTCTGCCCGATCGTTGCTCAGTCATCCATACTGTCCGTGCATCCTGTTGTGTGACAGGTAAGCTAACTAGATGGTTATAATAAGCTTCCTTTACGATGGCAAACTGATCACGCTTGAAGGTACTCCTTGACTAAATGTAAAGTAAAATTATGTGTCAACTTATCAGCAAATACTATCACAGCAATCAACCGCTCTGCAAGTGTTTCCTAAAGAAGGCGTCTTGCTTCTGCATCACGAAAGCCATATCACTCACGTAGTGCGTGCCGCCTGGCACAAAGACCATGTCAAAGTCTTTGCCAGCTTCGATGAGGGCATGCGCCAGGCGCAACGTCGACGACGGATCAACATTTGTATCCAGCTCACCAACCGCCAACATCAAGGATCCCCCCAGCTTATGCGCATGCGTTATGTTAGAGCAGCCCTCATAGCTAGCATCAACTGGGTACCCCATCCATAGCTCGTTCCACCATAGCTTATCCATGCGATTGTCGTGGCATCCCGCTGATGCTGATGCTGCCTTATAGAAGCTACTGTGATGGATTACGGCTGCCGCTGCGTTTTGGCCCCCGGCCGAGCTTCCGTAGCAGCCGACGCGGGACAAGTCCATCCAAGACCGTGATTCGGCAGCGGCTCGCATCCATGCAATGCGATCTTCAAACCCGGCATCCTTCAAATTCTTGTAGCAAATGTCGTGGAAAGCTTTTGACCGCCAATTTGTGCCCATGCCGTCAACGCACACCAACACGTACCCCTGGTCAGCGACTCTGCGATACTCCGTCAGGTCTTGGAATGCCTTGGGCGTGTAGAAACTTTGGGGGCCGGCGTAAATGCGTTCAAGCACCGGATACCTTTTCAAGCTGTCAAAGTCTCTTGGGCGGATCATGATGCCATAAATACTAGTCTTTCCGTCGCGTCCGGGTGCGAAAAATCTTTCAGGGGGCGTCCATTTTGTCTCCAGAGCCGGGTCGACCTGTTCTTTGTGCAAGAAGACGACTTCTTTCCCTGTCTTGGCTGCTCGAACAACAGCCCGTGGCAACAGATCAACCCGCGACCAGCTGTCTATTAAAAAGCGCTTATCGGGTCCCCAGATCCACGTGTGCGTGCCATCTCCTCTCGTTACCACACGAAGACCAGATCCGTCAAAAGCAACGCATGCCAAGTGCATATGGTACGGGTCCTGCGTTGGTACTATCCCGACACCTCGAAACCATACTTGACGTTGGTTCTCGTCAACACACTCAACAGAATGCATCATCCAGGATCCCTTGGTAACCTGGTTCTTCAGAGTGCCATCAATGAGGTTGAATAGATAGAGATGATTCCAGCCATCTCGCTCACTCGCCCACAGAAGTTCGTTTGTCGATGGCAGAAGCTTGTAAAACAACTTGTTGGCGTAGTCGACAAACGTTTTGCTGCTCTCCTCTACTAGGACCGCGACAGCACCGTCCATTGCTATCTCTAGCAGTCGCAGGTGTTGGTGGCCACGCTCATTGAATATGAACCGATACTTCTGACCGTCATCTGACCAGCCAACATTGGTCAGAGCATATGGGTTCTGAAACAAGGCATCGTCGACAAAGGTCTCGCTACCGTCCACCAGGTCGAAAAGACGGGGCCTCTTTACCTCCACGTTATCCCCAGGCCTGAGATACTCTTCGCTGATCAACTTGGGTCGGAACTGGTCCTTTGGCGACGATTCTACTAAATGGACCAAGTGTTTAGATGCTGGTTTGCACTGCCACACCACAACGTGACGCTCATCCGGAGACGTATAGACGTCCTTAAACTCGTCGCCAGCGACGCCTTGGAAAGAAATTTGCTTCTCTGTACCTTCCGAGTCGTGAACCCAGACGTTGAAGTCGCGCACGAAAGGCTTCGTCCTGGTGCTCGAAGCTTCTCCCGCCGAGATAGTTCCCGAATTTTGGCTCGATAAGGCCGTTCCCCAGATGAGGATAAGTCCAAGAGGAGACTGTTCAACCATAGCAGTCGAGGGCTGGCTTTTCACGTCGAACGACACGCGCTTTTCAGAGTCTGGCAACTCCAGGCGCCATATATGGCCGACGTAGGCGGTCAGAGTTTTAGTCTGGTCCGGCCGTAGCGACCCATAGTATCGAGCATCGCCCGAGTTGCTAATCCAAAAGTAGTCAATGAGATTAGCAGTGTGGTTTGTGAGAGTGACAGTGCTCGACTCCCGCGAGAATGGTGAAGGGATTTCCTTGCAGCCGTGGTCGAATCCGCCAGTGTCAAAAATTCCCTCCCAATCCTCCAGTTTCCCGCTTCGTGTGTACTGCCAAGTTTTCCCATTGAATTGAAAGCGAACCCAGGTACAGTCCGCCGCCACGTTAATCCACCAAAAGGGCAAGCTGTAAGGACCGATGTGCTCCAGTGTGTATTTGCCAAGCTCAGAGGCGAGCCCAGCATGATCAAAAGCCATACGACGAAGTCCTTTGTCGCAGTCGACCAAGATGAACTGAAACTGCCCTATTTCAGTCTCCCGTCTATACCAAAACACGCTGTTGCTGTCGGGCAGCCACCGCGGAGACACTATGGCCCGTCGTACGCAGGATCTCTCGAAATCTTGGATGCTGTGGTTCATTTCCACGATGCTCCGTTTTGCGTCGAAAGGAAGAAGTGTCATAATAAAAATACGTTGTACGGTCACTGGGTGGAAATTGCCAATAAACAAGCTGCGAGAGGGAGGAAAGCTGGTGACAAGTGTTGTGTATGATTTGAAGAATTAGAGACAAGAATCAGCGGGAGCGAAGTATGTATTCGTGCATATATATATAGAAACCCCTGCAAGTAAACGTACCCAGGTCACTTCCTCGTGGTAGCCGTTTTAGGACATTGCCTCTTAAAGTACAACAACAATTATTTCATTTAATAAGTGATATACTTAGTCTACTTGGACTATAATAAGCCTCTTTCACATTTAAATCCATTGGGTATTTTATTAAGCCTTTTAGTAGATGTCTATTAGCGGTACTAATTTTAAGGGCCTAGCAGATGTCATAATCGGGTGTTCTTGACTACGGCTGTCTGTAAATATACAAAGCGTCGAAAATGTTAGGTAAGATATAGCTAAGAAATATGTGGTTGAAATTTATAAATGCTAAGTAATCTTTAGGCGACCCGTACAAGGCCTTTCTCGCATGTTAAGCAGCCAACGTGGGGGGCCGGCTTATCCTTGAGGCAGATTAGCTTCGGCCGGAGGTGGTGAAAAGGTGGAGTAACAGGGGGCACCCTTGAACTTCTGGGCGTGGGTGGAGGCATGGGCGTCTGTGTCTTGGAAGAGGGAGTGGCGGCGTCTGCGGGGACGGGAGCCGTGGCGGGCTTGTCGGCGATGAATGGAGGGGGGCGTGTGCTCCGAGAACTAGTCAGTAGAATGTGACCTGGTACTCGCTTCAATCATCTCCTCGTGCATGTGCAGCTTGCTAGCGTCCATATATGCGCTAAATGATGACTGCTGCAGTTTAGGGCGTAGAGCCTCTGAACCCATTTCGATTGTGTCTACCTCCCATAGCCTTCATGATCTCTTTTGAGAGCCTCCCGGACAGCCAACCAGGCCCTAGCCTCGACATCACCGAAATCTCAGAATGTCTCTGCCAAAAACCCTTAGCTACCCCCACGCCTTTTATGTCGCTGCAGCTGTCGCTATTGCCGGGCTGAGCCTTGTCAGTCATTGGGTCAATTTCAGCAATTCGGCGTTATTGGTCTACAACAGCGCCGTGAACACATGGGCACTGCTGCGACCAAGTTTCGCCGTTGACAAGCAGCAATATGAAGTACAGATTTTCTCAAGGGATCCGCTGGTCATCATTATTGATTCGTTCGTGAGCAATGTTGAGATTGCTCACCTGCTACGCATCAGGTACTCCAACAAACGCCACAATGCTTTGTCGACCGGCTACTGAATACAGTTATTGACAGCGAGGATAAGTTCGAGACCTCCAAGGTCTACGGGGGCCACGAAGAGAGTCGTTATGATCCTGATAAGCGGGTCTCAGAGTCTGCAAACCTGGATCGCGGCGACATAGTCGTCCACCGCATTGAAAAGCGTGCAGAAAGATTCCAGGGTTGGCGCGGCAACAGCACCGTTATGCAAACTCCCACCTTACAGAAATATCAGGTCGATGGTTTTTTTGACTATCACTTCGACTGGGATCCGACTTTGTTAAAGGGAAACCGTGTCACGACTTTCATGGTCTACCTCGTGGCTGATTGCACTGGTGGCGGGACCAACTTCCCGTATCTGAAACGGCCAAACGATACAAAGTGGTGCGATATTATTGAATGTACAAAAGAAGGGATTGACGGATTCCAAGGGGTAACTTTTAAACCCAGAGTGGGCTCGGCTGTGTTTTGGGAGAATTTCCATCCGAATGGCACTGGGCACGAGGCAGTCTATCATGCCGGACTTCCTGTAAAGTCTGGGGTGAAGGTGGGGCTGAACATTTGGTCGTGGGACCGTTCCTGGAGACGCCTTGATACTTCAGAGCAGAATGAGACTTGAAAAGACCCCCATGTCCCTATGATAGTTCTTTCATACTAGAAGCAAAGTCATCTTCTACAGACTTCTCTTCGTACGCTTCAAGCATATGTAAAAATCGTAATAAAGAATGCTAGACGGTTGGATACAGCATAGAACATGGTCAAGATGGTTTCACTAGAAGCAGCATTTGAAATAGATTAAAAGCTCAGACCTCTGTATTCACACAAGGACTAGGGAAAACCCTTCTGGGATCAAAAACCTAGCCGAGGTCAGTTTCCCACCCCAGTAGTACAGACAAGATCCAACTTTATTCCTCCATTCATCATTATAGACTACGTATCTAATAGTCTGGCTCATACTCCTACTTCATATTAACTTTGACTCTGCCATGAATCTGGCGCTCCAGCAATAGCTTACTTTCTATTCAACATGTTACCAAGCATGCTAGTAGCAGGGCTTAAGTGCATGGATAACATCACTTACGGGCTGATTAGATTAATATTAGTACCTGCTTTGGATGCCTGTAGTGAAATATGAACGAACTTACAGACTAAGATTCGGCCGGATACTTAGCATCTGTGTACGACCATTATCCAGCCTAGTACAAAATTACTTACAGGCTGAAACAAATTGTTAATATTCTTATGGGCAATTATAGAATAGCGCTCAACGAATTACTCACAGGCTGGAGTGTAACAGGAACATTAGCAACTATACAAAGTAGCATATGACTCGTCCGATCTACTTACGGGCTGAAGCCAAATTAGTCTTCGTCCAGATGCATAGTTGCAAACTCCCAAAACTATGAGCACTACTTACGGCCTAATGCAGAGTAACACGAGTACGTGAGTTCAGATTGTGTATCAGGTAACAATATACTGCTGGTCAAAACTCACACTCTTTAAAATCCCTATCAGCACCTATATTAAGTCTTGGGAACGGAATAAGTGCACACTCACAGGCTGATAAGAGTAAACGCGTGAGTGTCTGAAGATAAGCACTCTGTTTTCTCTTGGGAGAGACTTACTCCCTAACATATTGTTAGTGCCACGGTAGTAAGGTGTTGAGCGGGCGGTGGTTACCACCTACTTGCTATAGAGGTAAAGGGCTAGCATCGTTTGTGTAGAGACTGTCAGTTAGCTGCCAAAGGTTACTTACAGGCTGGATTCTTGTTAGCATCACCCCGAGTTCAAAAATACTGCGTCACTTACACTCTAGAGGCGCATTAGCACTGGTCTAAAGCGGTCTGTGAGCGGCGGACTGTTAGATTCACGTGGTCTTCACTGTTGTAGTTGACTCTAGACTGGCCGAATCTGCCATTGCTGTTTGGCAACATTAGCTTCTCCCGTACACAAATAGCGTCGAGTTTGTAGAGATCATACCCCAAGTTCAGTAGATGTCGAATTTCTGCATCGTTAAGGAAGTTATTAAGATATATAACGAGAGGGTCGATCGATAAAATCTCCACGCTGTAGCTGCTCTCACAGCGATACGAAGCTAGGTCGAGAATGGAGTTGGGAGAGCGGGAAAACATCGAAGCCCATTTGACGCTATTCTCCGACATAAACTGCCAGCATCTCAAGGCACTCAAGAGCAGCATGCTCATTGGTACCAGTAGTAATGCAGGATTAGCTCTTAACGCCTAAAGACGATAAGGATTAGAACATATGTATAAGGAAGAATTACGATTAATGTCCTTACCATGGATAATCAATTTGAGCTGCCGTGTTCGAAATCGGGTCCGGTAACTGAAGGCAATGAACCTGGGAAAAATGCAAGAGCTGGAAAGCATCAGAGGGGGGCCGCAATACCGGTTGAGGCTCCAATGCGAACCGGGCTGTAAATGGGCTTCTTCACACTCGATTCGAGGGTGTATGCAGTTCAAAATCTACGGGCCTCGATCAGGAACCCCTGTCACGACCTTGCTGTGTTTGGAATCGCGAAGTACCGACAATTATTACTCCGTATAGTAGGTGAAATTGTCTCAGCGCATCACTAAAAGCCCTACCCCCTATGGGAGTGTTGATATCAGTCTCAGCATTTTGCCACATTTAATCCGCATAACACGTCTCAGCCTAATCTCACCTGGCATGTCTAGAAGCATGGTGCTTGGCAGGGTAAACCGAACGTTGCCGTACATCTTACATTTTCTAAAAATAAGTAATAGCCGGTCAGTATGCGTAATATCGCATGTAAGCATGCGTGTAAAGCATGCCAATAAGCAATACATCCGTAGAACAGTAGCTCTTACCCCGCGTATAATCCTCCAGTAAGCTAAATTGTCCTGGCTTTCTAGCTCCCTAACAAGGCAAGTTTAGGAAGTCAGCTACTAAAATAAGATAAATGTGTCACATTGCATTCTCGTATATGCACAGAGTAATAGCTAGTAAATATACGTAATATCACCTGTTGCACCATGCAGGCATGCCAAAGTGAAGTGAACACTCCAACAAGTGCTGCTGCAAGTGGTAGTTATGACAGGTTGATGGGTGTGTGGCTAACTAGTAGAACAATAATGACTGTTACATTGCATTCTAATACATGCGTGGGGTAGTATATAGCCGGTTAATGTACGTAATATTGTATTTATGGGTGTTGAACACGCCAATAAGCAACAGAATATCATCTTTTACCCCGCGTAGGGTCCTCCTGCAGTTGGCTAAACTGTCATGATTTTCTAGCTTCCTAACAGGGCAAACTTGCAAAGCTAACTAGTAGAACAAGATGACTGTGTTGCATTGCATTCTCGTATATGCGCGGGGTGCGACTACGTCTTTGCATGCGGTACGAAGTACGGACGGACGGAGTATTATTATAGCAATTGCCATTATTATTAATCTTGCGCCGGTGGTGCGGCTTGGCATTTAGAACTTCAACACCGGAGTTGTACGAATACAGATGGGAAAAGCCGGAATGCTTAGGGGAAAACCCCCTTCCTCTTTCGGCCTTCGCAGCAAGTTATACAGAGTACTCCATAGTTCGTTCGTGCATTTAATGTTGTTTTGCTTTTTCGTAATCTAATTAAAGCTTCCAGACGGAGTAGAGATATACCTGATCCTCGTTACTACTGTAACCCGTACGGATAGAATGGACTGCCTGATAAAGCTGCACAACTACAAGTGAAAGCGAAACAACGATATGATTCTGTAATTTACTAGCTTGGGTATTAAGTAAAACACCCTTTTGCCGTTACAAAAGATCAGCATGGCGGGTAAATAATTTCCAAAAACACTTCAATCTCATCCGGGTCACGATGCGGCCCGAAGACTACCTCCTCCATAGCTTTCATGCAGTGGTGTGTGTGAGGCCCCGAGACCGTCTCTGCATCCACCGGCGTACCTTTGACCAAGGCACGCACAACTTTCTTCCACATGTAAAGGCAGTGCATGTGATGCCAGCTTCTCGACGTCCAGATAGACTTTGGCTTGGAGAAAGATCCTAAAATCTCTGGTTCGTATGAGCTGTGCTTGATGCTTCCGTGCATCTCTGTGTAGAATTCCCAGTCTCCTAAACTCATGAATTCATCAACGAGTTCGTCGTCAATGCATCTTGGAGGAAGCCATGCGGTTGCGAGCATGTCGAAACGACACCCCCGGGCCTGAGCTTCCTCTGGAGACTTCCCGCAAGGAATTGCCTCAAAGTGCTGCGACCAGGTGAGCTGACCTGAAGGATACGACTTATTGTCAGGTGTAACACTCTCGTATTTGAGGTTTGTTGGCGGGGGAACAAATGCTCCCCAGCATATAAGAAGGACGAGGGCGACGGCAATATTTGCGGCTAAGAGGATTTCCAGGGAGTGACGACGAAGTGGTGATTTAGGTGCCGGTGAGCTTATTTCCTCCTGATGAGGACAGTCTCCTGCGTTTTGACGGAACTCGGAGTCGGCCGTTGGAACCTTATCGTATGTCGTGTCGGACATCTTGTGAAGTGAAGGCCACTCTTATAATATAAATGGAAGATACCCTTAATGTGAACTTGTTCAAGTTCAATTCGGGGCAATAAATTGGAGAAGGACAGGTTTTGCGGGGTCACTAATACATTCGTTAGCTTCAAGCCTTAAAGCAAAACTCTGTCAGTTTATCAAGCAGAATAAAAATGACATTAATCTGTACAGTAGCCTGCTGACCGCCTTACCTCATCTCACGTGCCGCAAATCCTTGCGTAGGGCTAGTCTGAATGTAGCTGTACAGCAGAGGCCGGCGATGTGAGTGAACTTAGTCCTGTCATAATCTCAAATATATGTGTGTGAAACAGCATTCTATCCTGAGTTGCCTAGGTTGTTTTTCGCACTTGAAAAACATGTCTACAGCTCGCTTTTCCGAAGAGGAAAGCAGGAACGGAGTGGAGGATGACCAAAAAATAGGCTTTCTGAGCGAAGACGAGGTACCGACACAGCCTAAAGACAAGTTGCAGCGCCGGCTTCTTTATACGCTCATCGCTTTTTCCGTTTCGGTGAATATTCTTTTTCTGGTACTCTTCTTGCTTCAGCGAAGCCATGGCCCGAGATCATCCTATGAGAACGGATTTGCTTCAGACTTAGGCAAGTACAGGAAGCGATTCCCGCTGCAATGGTGACCACATAGCTAAATGAAGACTTCAAGAGGCGATCACAAGCGAGATTACCCTGATCAAGAAGCCGTTTTTCGGAGGCGTCGATATTGATGGACAAGGCCACTTTATCATAAACCAGGATGGGAGCAAATATGTCGGGAAGCCGTCTCAAAAGTTGGACAAAGAGTGGGATAAGCTACTGCGAGGTCTGTTTCTCAGCAACCCTACCTTACCCTAACCCTAGAACATCACGTCTCATTGTTTCACAGGACTGAATATTGATCTGCCCTATGAGGAGCTTGACTTACCTGCTTCAACTTTCAAGTGGCCAGAGAGCGGCCTCTATCTCAGCGGACTAGAAGTTTACCACTCCCTCCACTGCCTGGTGCGTGGGCTCTCTATGTTGTTTGCGTATATGGATTGCAAAACTAATCCCCCTGTTGCAGAATCGTCTCCGCCAAGCTATAGACATTGATCACTACAGATACATATTCGACAGACCCGACGATCCGTCGTTTCGAGACCACGTCGACCATTGTATCAACCACATTCGGCAAGCACTCCAATGCCATGCTGACCTCACGCCCATGGAATGGAGGCTGGACGGCTCCAAGATCATATTAAAAACAGACACGCCTCACACTTGCAGGGACTGGGACACGATCCATGCTTGGGCAAGCTCACGCCAAACGCAATTCGAGAGCATTGAAAGCTGGAAGAATGGAAGCCTAATTCTTGTAGATTAACATTTTAATCTGTCTTTATCAATCTCGGAAGTCAACTGGGATAATCTCCAGACTTGGAAGACCTAGATGACATGAACCCACAGGTGCATTAACCTTGGACGAGAAATCCTGCTTTGGAAGGAGGGCATATCGCATGACCTGCGAGCCAAGGCCAAGGCCGAGGCGTATCCGCTGCGGAATCTTGCCGAGGTTTGGTGCGTTACTTATGCGGCATGTGCTCGCTGAGGTGTCGCGTCTTCGCACGCCCGTGGGGTGGCGGATTGGTCATGCATCGGATGACTGCAGCGGGTTCCCCATGCTGCCCTAGGATCGGCTTTGTATTCACCAAGCCGGATATGTCGCATTGTGTCTGGCAGGCACTGTGTACCTATTGCTGTTATCACCGATCTCGAGCTTCGTAGCGCCGAGCGTGCGGCAAAAAGGGTCCGTTCCCTATCTAGTCTGGTCGGGCAGTGGAGAAACCTGGCAAAAGAACATTTGTTGTCATCGTGCGCTGCGATCGCTGCGGTCGCCTTTCGAAGTCAAGCCAACTCTACCGTGTCATCTAGTCAGCTTCCCGTTACCCAGAACTCGCTATGATCAATCGTCTCGTATGTGCTCAATTCAGGCGCTATTACTCTTCTTCTTTACTCGCTTGCTAATTTATATTTCCGGTTCGCAGGACTCACGCCTTATGTGGGCCGCTATAGCAGTGCCCCTGATTGCTATGCTACCGAATTTGCTGAGCTTTGGGAAGGACTTCTTAAGCACCACTGGACTAGGTGACTCATGGAGTCTAAGCTGTCTTAACTTCATGTCTCGCAACATACCCTTTCAATGCCAGACCCACACTTATACTATTGAGATTTTGTCCATCGACCCATTCATTATGTACATCAACAATTTCCTTTCGGATGCAGAGATTAAATATCTCTTGAAATTCAGGTGATTCTTACAGCAATCGAAAGATAAAAAACCACTGACAATCTCTCAAGCCACGATCGCTTTCGAATTTTCGAAAGCGAAGAAAGGGGCAAGCCTGTGTCCGAAAACGAGTCAACCTTGTCGGCCCCCAGGTTGCCATGGCGAAACCAAGTCAATATATGTCTCGCTCAAAGAATGAAATCACTGCTGGGTAACGTTCAACACGTTGAGACAGAACCTATCCGTGTCGTTAAGTATGAAAGCGGAAACAGAATACAAATTCACTACGACTGGTTCCCAGATACCCGCAACGAAACTGGGGTTCCTGGTATACCAGCGCGGCCCAACAATCGTTTGGGAAGCATATTTGCCTATATTGAAGATGATTGTGACGGCGGCGAGACATACTTTCCCGAGGTAGAGGGCGTTCCCATAGACGCCGACGGTGAGAAGTTTAGCAGATCGAACAGTGGCCGTGGCTTGCTCGTTAAGCCTCGTCGAGGCAATGCTATTTTCTGGAACAACCTGCACGCCAACGGATCTGGTGACACTCGGACTGCGCATGCAGGTATGCCAGTTACGAGAGGAACAAAAATCGGCATCAACATCTGGAGCTATTATTTCCTAGATCTTCCGATTCTTGGGTAATGTCAGCTCGACAAACTATAGTTAGTTAGATAGTGTCAAGATCAGGACGCTCATTCACCATGCTGCCTAGCAGGCAGCAGGCAGTTCGTGATACCATATTAGTGATGGATTCGAACCTTCTAGGTGACAAGGTCATCTATGCTGCCTGGGTGGCGAAATCGTCACTCAGCCCAAAATCACAAGTATAAGAAACCAACATTTCACCATCGCCTCCAGTGAGCACACTGGATGCTGCTTGAAAGAGCAGTAGGACGAAGCAGCAGACCTTCTCGTGGTGTCCGGTGTCAGTAGCTGCGGTGCGCATTCATTGCGTGGGCGACAATGTGCAGTCAGACTGAGGTTCAGTTCAGTTCAGTTCAGTTCAGTTCAGTGTATTTTTCGTCCAGCAGCCATTGGCCGCTCAGGTCTCCGCGAGGGAGCACAGGACGTGCTGAGCTAGTGGATTTCTATATGCTACAAATCACATATTTCACCCGCTATCCAGCATTTCATCGGCTCGAAGGCGCTCGTGATAAGCCTGTTGCCCGTCCGCGGGACGTTCAGGCGTAGTGGGAAGACGCTGGCCGTAATTAGATCAGCAAAAGTCGTGGGGACCTTGCAGCCCCCGATGGCCTCGGCGGACACTTGGTCACGAGACCGTAGCGTCGTTCGAGGTCAACAGATATGAGAGGGGAGTTTGGAGGGAAATTATGGGGAAAGAGAAAGGAACGATGGTCGTCTAATGGCGTGGGCAGATTTCTCCAAAGAAGGAGCTTGCTTTCGCCAGTTTGACAAACTTGTCAAAGTCAATGCCGATCGCGCGGTTAATAGCCATGGGCGGCGACGGCGCGAGCCTCACACGGAGCCACGGCGCAACCTTCCTGCAGTAGAAGATATGCGTTGGGTCTTTTCGTCGGCCACACGAGCACGTCAGTCGCGCATCTTGGTGATCGAACCTTTCATGATAGTCAGCAAAATCCCCATGGCGGGTCCTTGCTGCAAGCAAATGATGGAGCAGGGCCCGAGAAAGCGCCAATTCTGGCGGGCAGCCAGTCGTTGCCGTGAGATCCAGATTTTTGTACTGCTCGGGTGCAAAGGCTTGCCACCAGGTCTTGAAAGCCTCCTTTGGCCGCTGTCGGGCAATCTTTCGCAAGTGCGCTAGCGTCGGGGCGTTGTCAGCAGGTTCTGGCAGAGACGCTCCAGCTTTTGCCAGAGCATCAGCTTCCTCGTTGCCTGGGATGTCAGCATGACCGGGGATCCAGTGGACTACGGTGGGCGATAGGGGGGACTGTTGCAAAACCCCTTGTCCATCTCTTTAAGGTCTAGGCGTTTTTCCCCCTAGTCATTTGAGTACCCGTGCCACGCCCCACTTTATTGGCCCTCGAAAAACTCGCACCAGCTAAAGCTGGTGCTGACTACCAAACTTTGAACACCACCAAAAGTTGAACGCTTTGGCACCTACTGGCTTCAATCATCGTTTTCGCGCCGCACACGACCTCTCAAATCTAGCCAACTATGGAATCACGTCTGGAAGAAGCTGTTCAATATGCTAGGGGATTTTCCTCAGAACTCAATTCGCTCTGTGGCCAAGAAATATGAGGTGGCACACACAACACTGAGATATCGCCTCAAGAGGTCAGATCACAAATCCTCGCGTATCGCGCACAACAGAAAGCTTTCGGTTGCAGATGAGGGTGCCGTCTGTAGATATGTCGATCGCCTTGATGCTGTCAACCTTGCTGTGCGACCCGAGTTCATTGTGGATGCCCGCGAATGCAATCCTTCGTGCCAAAGCCCCTGCAGCCAAATCGGGCGACCCGCCTACTGTTGGCGTTCACTGGGTCACACGATTCATCCAGCGCCACGGGTACTGCAAGCAGCGCCAGAAGACCTTGAGCGCCGAAAGAGTAGCATCCGAGGACTTGCAACGGGTCGTGGAGTATTTTTAGCGGCTGCAGAGGATTCTTGAACGAGAAGGTATCCAACCCGATGATATCTGGAATATGGATGAAACCGGCTTTCGAGTCGGGGTGGGGAAAGATCAACTCATCGTCACAAAGCGAAAGAGGTCTCACTACTTCAGTGTCCCCGAGAATCGGGAGTCAGCAACTCTCATTGAGGCAATCTCCGCCGCCGGGCGCTTTACCCTGCTTTCATAATTCTCGCCGGTCAGAACCACATGGCGAGCTGGTATCATCAACAGGAGCTCGACCCAGAGACTGTCATTCGACCTACTCCCAGTGGATACACGAACGATGAGATCAGTCTCGACTGGGTGCAACACTTTGACAAGCACACTAACGGGTGCCGAAAAGGGAGGAAACGTCTTCTCATCTTGGACCGGCATGGGTCGCACCATACGAAGGAGTTCATTGAGTACTGTGATGCCCATGGCATCATTCCCTTCGGCTTGCCCCCAAACCTGACACATCTACTGCAGCCACTAGATGTGGTGGTGTTCCAGCCGTTGAAGCACTACCACGCCAAAGCGCTGGACCTCATGGTCCGTGACGGGTTGGTCAACATCACAAAGGTTGAGTTCCTCGGCTGCATCCAAGAAGTCCGAAAGAAAGCATTCAGAGCAAGCACTATCCGCTCTGCTTTCAAGAAAACAGGAATCTGGCCATTCTATCCCCAGCCAGTGCTGGATCTTATAAGTAGTAGGATGGTGACGTCAAAAACGCCTACTCCGCCGCCTTCTGGGCCAGAATCTTCACCATTCAGCACGCCTTTGACAGTCCGACAAGTCAACAAGGTTGCCAGGGTCATAGAGAACGGATTGGGTGAAGTCAACGAAATTAGCGGATCTGGCTCACAATATGAGCCGATTCATCCAGGGCTCTCTGAGCAACGTTGCCGAACTCCTGCAGACGAAAAAGGACCTAGGAAGGACTAGATACGCAGAGAAAATAGCCAAACAGCGGAGGGCCATGAAGAACAAGGTTCTGCAGTCGGGAGGGGTACTTACAGTCCAGGAAGGCCGTGCAATGGTCCGGCGTAAGGAAGAAGACGAAGTTACCAAGGCGAGGAGGTGATCGCCAGGATGGAAGCGAAGGCCAAGAACGCACTTAAGCGTTGGTTTAATGAGGCCGCAAAGACTGCAAGACAATGGAGGCCATTGGAAAGCTTGACAGGGCTGAGATTTACGAAAGTGGTCGCGAAGTGCGGCTGCTGAAGCGCTTCTAATGTCGGTGGTAGGGCAAGTGTTCAACTTTTGGTGGTGTTCAAAGTTTGGTAGTCAGCACCAGCTTTAGCTGGTGCGAGTTTTTCGAGGGCCAATAAAGTGGGGCGTGGCACGGGTACTTCGAGTCGGCATGAAAAATGTATTGCGGACTAGCAGCGGGACCGCGCGTTAATCTTCTGGAGTCCACGTGACAGTAGAAGCAGCGTAGACGAGGCGTCTATTACTGGCTGGCACATAGATGCTCACAATGTAATACTCGGGGCCCAGACTTGACCAAGTGACTGATTATTTTCGGGCAGATCTGAACGAGCGACCCGTCCTTTTTTTTTTTTTTACCAAACAGTTCTCGTTTCCCATTGTCATGGAATCGGACAGCGACCGCCGACCGCGAAGACGAACAGAGCGGAGTCGCCCAGCTTCCTACCCTAGATGCAGTGCTCCAAACCAAGCAAATGCCTACGCTGTACAGACGAAAAATGCAAGCCCAATTAATGGCAACCCGGAATTGTCAAGATGTTTTTCCAGCCTAATGATCTCCAGTCGGGGTTGAGTCGAAATCTCGACCGCCATGCCCATAGCCAGCTTCCTCTGTATGTAGGCTTTGTTGCATTGTCCTTGCCATTCTGGCGATGAGCAAACGCCCCAGGACAGCGAGAAGCCACCGCAGCTATTTCGTTGCGGATTAGCAGCGGACTAGCACAATCACCTGCTGAACTGAGCCTAGCGTTCTTCATCTCATAGCAGAAGACAACTTCGCTTTGTTTGACATATATTAAGGCTCATCTTAAGAGAAGTTCGCTCTCCTCCCTTCCTGTCACAGTCTCTGCTCTCTTTATTCAAGCAAAATGAGCCATCCAGACATTCCTCATGAGCATCTCTATTGCATCCAAGCCGGAAAGAAACACTATGACCTCTTCACCACCGTATATGTCGGCGCGAACTATTGCGGCCGGTGCGGCTTGGCCAACCCCTTTCGATCCCAGCGTCGGGCCAGGTCAAAATCTCCAGCATTCCCAGGCCCACATGACGAGGTGGTCGAGGTAGAGGACTCTCCACCGCGACCAGCCAGCCCAGCAAGTCGGCTGCTGCGTGATAGACCGAAACCAGTATCATCTATCGGCATTGGACGCGCCCAACTACTTCCCAACGAAGTGTCTGCCCCTGGGGTGGCGAACACGCGAGCACGCATACCGCCGTCCCAGGTATCGAGCGACCATCAGTTCATGACTGTGGCATCAGCGGCCAGTCGCGCTATCCAGGACTCCAGAGGCAGCACCAGACAGCCTGCGAAGCATCGTACTGGCTATCAATGGGTCCATATTAGCCTCCTGCTAGTCAGCTTAGAGGCCAGGTGCTTCAACGGACTCTCAGTCGAGGTCCCTGAGACGGTGCTGCCTCTTAAGGATACGGTGATCAAGTTTTCCCAGGCAGATCTGCTTACTTGGCCCTCATTTACTGAAACACTGTTTGATCACCTCCGTCCGCTTCCGCCCACGATCGACCCTGCCAACAAAGACCTCTGGGCTCTTTCTTATGCTTCAGCCTTCTCGGGTAAAAAGATCGTTACCATTTCCAATACCGGCAAGTACACGACGCCGTCGAGCATGCTCGCATCGGGGCACTTTTCGAATAACCAAGCAGGGCAGTTGAAGGTGCTAGTCGTCCTGACATCGAGAGAAGTGGTTGATCGGCAGGAGCCGATCACGCCGCTGAGGTCAGACGAATACTCGACGCTGGTCAAGGAAGACCAGAAGCGGAAGGCCAAGCAAGAGGGCACTAACTCATCCTCAAGGCGCCAAAAGCGTGTCAAGCAAGAACCGCAGGTCAAGCAAGAAAAGAGCACCTCGGAGACAAGTCAGGCCAGCCAGGAGATACACGTCAAACCGATCAAACAGGAAGAATCCGTTCCAACCCCCTCCTATCAAAGCCCGAAACGCAACGAGACGGAGGATGCTGCCAAAGACATTGTTGGACACGGAAGAGTGGTAGATCTAAGTGGAGTGGACGATACACGCTGCGATCTAGTGTTTGCCATGTCTGATGCGAAGGGAAGCGAGGGCGGGCTCGACGAAGAAGACGAAGTTGACGAAGAAGATCGTGACGAAGTGGCTCGTTTTGTTCCAGAGTTCGTATGACACCACCCCACCGCTTCATTGGGCGGAGCACTAACTCCAGCAGATAAACCCGGAATTGACTCTTCGAAACGATGGGGAAGCCCAAAAAAGATTGTCTGACACTGATGCTGCTAGAGCCCTTCCACCGGCACACTCTACACGGTTCAGAGGCACAAAAACCCCGACAACGTTTGCAATTCGATATAAGAAACGAAAGGGTTGACTACTCCAGCTCTATATTTGAACCGTCGCTTTCCTCCCCGTCGTCACTTACTCCCTCAATGTCATGTCCTTCCTCGTCTTCAAATCCCAGTTCCACAAGTGGTTGCTCTGCTGGTTCCCCATCTCCAAGCTCTCCTTCTCGAGCTTGATTTGCCCGTTCGAGTAATGCTTGCTATATGCATTTAGATTGGTTTCCTCGCAGACGGGAGGTTCTTACATATTCGGCAACGCCCCCAGTTGGCGCTTTGCGGTATGCTAGTATCGGTTGCCGACCACTTTCGATGTGCTGAATGATCCTATCCCGGAGACCAAGATAGAAACGCCTGAAGGGTCGCAACTTGTCCGGCTCCTGGCGAGTTCCAAGAGCTACCTGATCGTAGCCCATTCCACGGAGAACTTGGACACACCAATCTTTTGTCTCCGGCTCCAGACACGTGCTGACGTCAATATCCGCCAATGGTCGTTCCATTTCACGTAGGACTGACCGATCAATCGGGATACCCCAGTTGCATGCCTTGTCCGGGTCGGGGTAATGGTAGTTCATCCAGGGCTGGCCGTGGACCACGTGAGGACGATTCTTCTGAAGGCGTATTCGATGAAGATTCCACGCCTCCACAAAGTCGAACAGCTCTTGACGTAGTACATCTTCGAACACGCCGTAGATGGCAATCTGATCTTCTAGCATGTCGCCATCGAAGTCCCCGTCCCTGGCTAGCTCCCCAAAGTAGTCTACCCACTGCCGGGAGGAGACATGAAGCATACGCTCCCACCAACTCTCAATCTTAACGTTTTTCGTACTTGGAGCTGCCTTGTACGAGTCCTTTAATCTCCTGCCTTGTTGAAAAAATTGCCCATGCCATCCGACTTGTCCGTCTGTGGTCAATACAAAGTTCCAATGGGCTGCCGCGACCAGAGGCGTTTCGCTACCCCTGTCGGCCTGCACATACCATGGCCGGAAGCCATAGGCATCACATGCCGCGAGGTACTGCTTCAGCACGCTCAAGGCAGTTGAAGCAGAGTGGCCGACGTAGAACCAGATAATGTTGCGCGAGTAGGCGTCGATGGCTGCGTATATCTCGAATCCATACGCCTTGAGCTTGTCATGGCCATCAATGCACCACTGGTAGTTTGGCCCTGGGACAAGAAACTGTCCTTTCTTTCTCCGAAACATTCTTTTCCTGAGCTCGACTTCGTTTGGGAACATGATTTTGTACATGGCAAAGAGGGGGTCTCTTGGTACCCAGAGCTGCTTTTGCTGACGTAGATACGGCTGGAGAAGGCTTTTGCCATATCCCGAAATGGCATTGGACCGTTGCGTCATTTCGATGATGGCTTGCTCTGTCTTTTCCAACAACGCAAGTCTTTCTTCGTCGCTATTGAGCCTGCGTAGCCAGCGGCGGTCCGGGTGAAGCCTAATGCGCTTTAGGCCTTCTTTCGTGATGGGCCAACCTTGTCTCTGTAGAACGCTGAGCGTTTGCTTCTCCGTCAGCCCAACGCGAAATATAAGGTCGCGAGTGGCCTCTATCAACTCCGGAGTCTCTCTGGTTCGGACTTGCTGGCGTGGGAGATCCCACTTGGCGACTCGGCGAGAGATTGTACTCGGATCGACGGCGACATGGTAACGCTTCCGAAGCTTGTACCTGATCCTGCTTCGCGAGACACCGTTAAGGTAAAGGAAGGCGACATAGTCACGGTATTGGTCGATCGGGCTGGGCGGCCGCGCCATTTGTGCCAGCGGTTGTCGAAGGCATGCGCATGCTTCTCGGTTTTCATGCCATGAAGGACAGAGCGGCGTATTTGCTAGATGGCTCGCCGCAAAGCCCCGCTGCTGTGCTGACGCTGCCCCGCAGCGGCCTAGCGCAGGGGCTATTGGTGGAACGGCACCGAGCTCTCATTCGGGAAGGTACTACAGAGTCATCTTCACCCTTCGGCAGTGCCGCAAATATTTACAGAACGAAGGTTCGTTTCAAATTTAGTTCATTGTCTCCTCCTGCATCTTAATTAATATCGGTAGCTACTGGTTGTCAACGTTGTCATGTCCACAGCAGATTCCGTCACCATGGTCGAAACGGCAGCTGCTGGCGCGACGAAGGCGAGTTCGTCGAGGAAGCGCAAGGGGTTGATCCGACCCAGCGCCCGCAATTCCATAGGGGAAAATACTGTGAGATCTGGCCACCCATTTTCTGATGGACAGACAGCAGCTCACAAGGTAATTTGAGAAGAAGAAGAAGCAAACGAAGAAGGCACCTCCCGTCGGCTCGGTGCGTGACTTTCCATGTCGCCCCTGCGTCACGCGCGCCACCAAGGCCCCCGGCCATGAATGTGTCTCCCAGGATAGTACGTTGGGTTGCTTCAGAAGTATACGCCTGTTACGCTGACGCAACATGGAATAGATACTGGTGCTGCCTGTTGGGACTGCGCAAAGAACGGCCACACATGCAAGCCGGTAAGCGTCTCTGCTTGCTTAGGGCGACGAGTCGTTAATTAAGCTGAATCCTTAGGTTCCTGTTGATGCTTTGGGTGCTGTTCGTGCCTTTTGGGAGCTGAATCGGCTGCTCAAGCGTGCAAATGCCGATCCAGATGATGCCTGGCGTACTGCTGCACAGCGAGCAGCACAACAACTACGAGCTTGCGGAAGTGGTGTGGCTCTTCCTGCAGCTGTAGGTCCAGCTCCCGCTATGGCTTCATTTGGCGAGATACTTGAGAAGAGCCACGAGGAACGAAAGATCATCGCGCTGGAGACCATTGCCGAGGCTGCTCGGCTCTGGATTGTGAGCGGGATCAAGTCGTCAGATATGTTTCCACTGCTGACTCCCTGCTCAGCAGCTCCATCAACCGGACGAGGAAGAAATAGAGGATGGTCAGGAGGAGGTGAATAATTGAGCGTTGATGTTGCCCGCAGCCCAATTCGACCGCCACGATGGCGGCAGATGTCTGTAGGACGTGATAGAAATACGCGCTGCTGGTCCGCTGCGTCCCCGCCGCTGTAATTGCACCTACAGCTACGTGATAAAAATCCAAGAGATGAATGCTGAAGTACTTGGAGCAATGTACTGCGGGGCTGGATCTCCATGCCGCTAACCTATTTCGATATTGAGGTCACTGATTTTGGGGTTTTGCAACAGTCATCCCTATAGCCTGCCGTAGTGGACCTCCACCGCTCCGTGTTGTCGCGCCACAGATTGAAACTCGAGAAAGACATCTTGCGAGGAGTCGCTCGGCGTGCCCCGCAAGCACCTTGCGGTCGCGAGGTTGTCGAGACAGACAAAGATGCGGTCAGTTTCTGGGTGGCTCAACGCAGCCTTCAATCCCTCAAGCGCACCTCTCGCCTCCGCGTCGAAAACCTCAGCTGGTCCAAGACGGCCTTTGCCGCTCAAGACTGTGGATCCGTCCCGATGAACAGCATAGCCATATCCGACTTGGCCTTCGGCAGAACGAGAACCGTCGGAATAGACGACAAGAGTTCGGGGCGATAGTGCCTGAAGCCAGTTGCGAAATTTCTTCGCCGTCTCATTTTTCGATGCACTCTGCGGAGGCGCAGTCCGCTCTTCGGCAAGTCCGCGCTGCAGTAAAGCAGGTCTCCGGCAGCTCGATAGCATTTCGTCGGCGCGCCGCAATCTGGTCCGGAAGGGCTGTGGCGGTTTTTGGTACTTCAGTTTGATAAGTTTGTGTACGGTCACGGCGGGAGCTTTTGGTCGCGACGTGCGCTGAACGAGCGAATGAGCTTCGTCGAGCGCTTTCAGGCGCGCAGCAAAGGCCATCCGACGAGCTTCGAGGAGCAGAGGAACGGGCGGTATGCCTGCCTCCCTGTGCAATAAATTCGTCGGTGTCGTCCTCCACACCGGCAGAATGGCCCGAAGAGACGTGTAGAGTGCCTTGCTCATCTTCTTGACGAGGTTGCTAATCCCAGAAGGCCCCTCTCTGGAGGGCTTCGTCCAGCGCGGGCACGTCGGACCAGGATGTTGCGATTGAACTTACTTCTATTCAATTCTGTCTGACAGCTCTCAATATATATATACATAGTGGCACGTCCGTGCCACTATCCAGTGACTCACCACTTGTAAGTGCTGCCTAAACATGTCTTGGTCCATGTCTCATACCAAGCCAACACAGGAAACCAGGCCTCCGCCGCGTACAGTAGCACGGGGATGACGCAAGCGCAGACGGCTCGCCGCACAGCGCTCGGCAGAGGCCCATGCTTAGTATTTGTCAGTCTCCTGAGATGGAAGGCTACAGCTTGCGCCCTGGCCGTCCATTTCTCGACGTGAGTCTTGAAAGAGAGTGTGCTGTCGAGCCAGACGCCGAGCCAGCGCACTAGCCGGTTAAGCTGCTCAAGTCCCTCTCCATCTGCAATATTGTGAGTAAGCAGGCTTGTATTACCTTTTCAGTCACGTGATACTCCACTTGAGTCCATCAAGGGCGGCGCCACGGCTAGAGCCCACTCGATCGCTCGGAAGCATGCGTTCCGGGTTCTCCGAGGATGTATCTGAGGGCCAAATTTTCTGGAAGCTTCTAAGCCCCGCCATCTCACCTCTTGATCACACCCACACAACCCCACGAGCCAATACCTGGCAGTGTTGACATCTCGGGAGTCGTTGTCTTTTGTGTCGTTTCTCCGGCAGACATACACAGTACTTTATGGCATCGTTACTACTAACAGCAAGTGTTGACATTGAACTACGAACAGGACTAGGCTACAGAAGTCCAGGCTCTTCGCATGAATTGCAAACGCGGGCGACCGACCGGCGGCCGGCACGAAGAAGTAGCAACGGTGCCTCACAGCACCCAACCAGCGGATCAATGGTGGCAGTTAAGAGCTCGCCGACGAGGCTACGAGGCCATTATTTGCTCGATGCTTTGAGAGAAGCCATGTTCAACCGCATGAATCGCTCGAACATCTCCGCCATGGGTGCCATTGTCTTGTTTAGGACCTGCTGCGCCTCACCCATGTCGACCATCATGGCTTCCAACCGTTGCAGCCGCTGCTCGGTCGCACCCGAATGGCTAGGCGATTCGTTCCGGCCTGCACTGAGGCCATGTTGCCTGCTCGGTGGTCGCTCTGAAGCCGATGATTCTCTTACTTGAGCGTCTCTGAGAGCCCTCCATCGTGTGGCGTCCTTCTCGACTTTGCCAGGGTTCACATAAGAGCTCTCAAACCCGGCTTGCCATGGTGGAGATATTCCATCCCTCCTGCACACCTTCTCTATGTGAGCTTTCGCACTCGTCGCTCCGAGGACCTTCCTCAAGCTTGTTGAAGTCAAGATATTGATGCCCTTCTTGTGGAACCTGACACAACAGTCTGCGGGTGGATCCCTGCTATTTGCCGCTAGATTCTTGCGTTGCGTTTGCGACTTCGTCACCCAGAGCAGCTCATCGAAGTCACTCCTATCCTTACTAGACCACGCCGACTGCCCGTCGGCCAAGTTTTTGTGGTCAGCTGCGGCCTTGTACTTCCCCACCTCGAGAAGCCCAACCTCAGACACGCTGTCGGAGGAGACCAGATGTATCAAGAAGATTCCATGGCCAAGATGACTCCATCAGCTATGTCTATATGAGAGAGAGCTTTCCACTCCTTCCTGCAGTTAGACAGACATCATAAACAGATCATCCATTCACTCTTTCCCAGTCCGCATGTGCGGACAACAAGTGAGGAATTGGGGGTCGTGATTTCCTTTCCCCGTACCCATATATTTCTGTCTGGAGAGACGTTCGTTCAGAGAGAAGTCCATTCAAAGAGGAGCGACATTATTCCATGGAGAGGCGCAGGGAGAGAAGTGCAGGGCGACTGTTGCCGTGTCGCGTGTGTGATGTCCGTCGACAAGTAGCTTTTGCAATGAGGGGTCTCTGACCATACTGTTCTCTACGATCACTTTCTCAGTAATCCAGAGTAAGGCATCAACTGCCATTGCAGGCCCGTGCAAGATAGAGAGAGACTTGAAATGTGGACTGTCCGGCCAGTGGCAAAGTTGCGAGGCACAACGCTGCTCGGTGTGAGAGCCCGCGAGGAGGGCGCCGCTCCGAAACCCCACCGCGGCTGCCTTGTCGTACCCGCTTTTTGCACCAGCTTGCACCTGTTCCTTAGCTGCCCCTCTTCCAGTGGCTGCAACACTCCTGGCTATTTGCCTTATGTCCTTTTCTGGCTCGTTGTGTCATCATTTTCGGCTGCTTGGCTGCACGGGCGGCCAAGCTCCGCATGCAAAGTACGTAACCCGCAGCAGGTATTTGGGGGCGCAGGCGGCCCCCTAACAGGTGCGGGGAGCTGTCGACCTCTGGCCCACCCTACGCCACCGGACAGGGCAGCAGCGGAAAGCAAAATCACTGCTGAACAATAGCTTCAAGCATGTGGAATACATTCCACTCTTCGCTCACGCCCTGGCTTCAGAACAATTACCAGCGTCTCCTCCCTGGGGACAAGATGGGCGCCATTGACAGCCTGCTTCGTAAAGCCGACGAAGATGGGGTCAAAGTCTTTGGTGTCACCCCGACCGTCCTCCCTGGACGGGGAATCGGGATGGTGGCTACTCGCGACCTGGAAGTATGTTGAGCGATCTCCCCCACGACTTCACGTCTGACGAGTCGCCAGAAAGGGAAGGTTATCGTGACTATACCTGTCCAGGCTATTCGCAGCCTACACACAGTCCCGGGGGATATTTCTCGCAGACTTTCCCAAGACATGTCCACTCATGGCCTTCTGGCTGCTGAGCTTGCACTGCGCCGTGATGCTGCGGCGGATTGGGCCAGTATCGTGCCACAATGGACTGATTTTGAAGCAACGATGCCGATGTTGTGGCCCGAAGAGCTCCAGAGCATACTCCCTGCGGAAGCCAAGAGCCTTTTGACCAAACAATGCAGCCGGTTCGAAATCGATTGGAAGATGTTCAGTGACGGCTTTCCGGACGAACTGCGGCGAGATTACTTGTATGCATGGCTTCTCGTCAACACGAGGACATTCTATTTCGAGACGCCGTCTATGGTGGCGTTCCCATGGCACGACCGGTTAGCATTACTTCCGATCGCCGACCTATTCAATCACGCGGATACGGGCTGTTCCGTTTCATTCTCGACGGAGGGTTACGACATTACCGCAGACCGTCCGTATTGCACAGGCGATGAAATACTCACGTCATACGGAGAGCATTCCAACGACTTCTTACTTGCGGAGTACGGATTCGTCTTGGGGGAGAATCAACACGACAAACTGTGTCTTGATGACGTTATTCTCCCGAGGTTGACCCCAGACCAGAAATCTGAATTGAAGGAACATGGGTACTTGGGAGACTTCATGCTTCACGCTGGGTCCAGGAGGAGCGACAATAGTTGGGTTGCGTTGCGGCTGCTGTCCTGCGTCAATGCTGACTGGCAGAGCTACATAGATGGTGAGGAGGATGAAGAAGGTACGCTCGAAAAAGCTGCTGAGCAGCTACCACACTTGTTCGAGGAATACTTGTGCAGAATCGAGGAAACACTGGGTTTCATTCGTACGTTGCAGGTTGGCAAGGCATGTCAAAGAAACCTGCTTGTCCAGCGATGGGAACAAATTCAGGCCATCATTAGGCAGAGTGTGGAAGATCAAGCATTCAAGCTTCTGCCGAATTAATGGCAATATCCACAGTGGCGCAGGCGGTCAGCGGATGCTGCGATTCAAAGTGGAGATGAATGACATAATCAACTCTGGATTGTTCGCAAAGCATCCGCAGCAACATCATCCAGCCTATCTGCGCTGGTATCGCGCCCCGAAAGGAAGGACCACCGAGTCAACAAGCGCCCGATGATTCACCTCCCTGCTTGCTCTGCATATCACTTAAATAGCGGTCAGTAAAATCCATCAACACCAATGAAATCAGCCTCATTTGGTTCAATCTAACGGCCTGCCTCCGGACAGCCATTCGAGGCTTCTCAGCTTGGTAAACACCTAAGGACCCGGCCGACACGACCCATCGCGCGGACACGATCATGGCCAAATGGAAGCCGACAGTACAACAGTTGGAGAGTGCTCTGGGATACGGAGTTGAACCAGCTGCCAGCTCCGGGCATCGTGTCTACTCTGATCTCACCCCAGTTCCTGATGGCGTGTACGAGCGAACTGAGAGGGAATATCGCGAAATGCGAAGATTGCAGAAGACACGATATCGCGAAAACCCATCCGCAAAGCCGCCCATGGAGGATGGGGAGTCACAGGCAATTTCAGACGCAGACAACACAGTTACAGTCACTCGATCAAGCCTCGCCGGGTTTTACAAGTTCTTCGTTGATATCCAGTATGGTTTTGGTCTTCATATACCATTCCTACTTACGGAAGCGGAAGCAAACAGCATTCTTCATACTGCGAAGCTATGCCAGACCTTAAATTTTCGCGAAGACCAGGCCAAATGCATCGCGCAACAGCCGCATCCCGAACCAATACGATACAATACCCACTTTTTGGGTCTGCCTCCTGAAATACGCGAAAAGATTTACGTTTTTGCGTTTAAAGGGTCTGTCTGGCGCACTGAGGAACGACGGTACAATGTTTGCCAAGCAATTGGTGACTTCAGCGGCTTCTTAATCCCTTTTGGTGACGACTACACGCTCCTGCGGGTCAACAAACAGATTCGCCAGGAAGCATTGCCGTTAGCATACCGCTATACAGCATTCCATCTGGCCGATATAGAGGATGTGACGCGACTTCTCGTCGCAGTCGGACGCGTAGGGCGGCAAAATATCGAGGCTTTGGAGTTCGCATGGGAGAGTGCAGTTGATCACGACCTCAACTGGCGCAGGCACCCAGAGTCCGAGACCAATCACCTCATACTGCCATCGCGGCATGTACCCGCGTGTGTCCAACTCCTCAAGCAGTGCGGGAGGCTGAGGTCGTTGCGCCTCAAATTCGAAAGTTATATGATGGAAGATGTCCCTGAGGCGACATTTCTGTCTGACCCTGGCCTTTCATCGCTTTGTTCGATCCAAGTCGAGCGAATCGAAATTATGAATCCCGACGACCAGCCATTGAACGAATATAGCATCGCTCAATGGCTGAAGAGCGAAATGACAAGGTAAACTCTACACAACCAAGGATGCAGCTGCGGGGTGCGTACCTGCTGCATCTGGTGGTATAAGTTTATATGAGCATCAAAAATAGATTTTGTCGTCAATTCGAGGGTGTCGTGTCCGCTTCGCCTGCAAACGGAGGTCGCCACCCAACAAGGTGAAGGTGTGTATATGATAGATGTCGAGACCTCCTCGTCGCGATCGACGTCCGGATAGGATATGCGGAGCTATATGGACTATTCGTTCGGCTCGTTCGGCTCGTTCGGCTCGTCCGCGTCTTGATCTATATCGGGGTTCGGTTCGCTATGGATAAGGTCGTCGAGGCTCAGAGTCTTCGATGTTGCGGCAGTCGCCACATCCGACAGTTTCGCTATGGAGGGGCGGGTTTTAGGTCGCTTGCGAGGATCCCAGGCGCACACCTCACATCGCTTCAGGAGGAATATAACATCTGCGCGCAAGATACCGTAGTAGTTGCTGCTGATGCCCTTCCACGTTGCATCCCAGCCAGCGTGGCCGTTGCCCATATGTACCGCTCCTACCACATCCATTATCTTATCCTCCGTAACCACTCTCCGTATACTACCCTGCTCCCCCTTTGGTAGCGACGTCAAGGCTTGCTTTTCGGCGTCCCACGCGAATGACTTTCTGACATAATGACGACGGCTGGACTCCCGCTGTGAGTCAGGGTATGTTGTGGCGTCGATTAGCCATTTGATCAGGTTGATCTGATCGGTTTCCGACACCCGGCGAGCATTAGGATTGGCTCGTAAGTACTCGACGAACTCGTTTCGTGCACCGAGAGAAAATAGATGATCATGGTCCATGGCGCCTCACGTCCAGAGAGAATCGCGATCCAGAAAAAATCCAAACCCCACTCCGCTCGACTCTAGGCGTACAATAAACGCTCGACTGGAGGCGTACGCCTCCAGTCGATGACGCCCCGCTCCCATCCCATCCGCGGTTTTGAGCACGGAGTTCTGGGTCCTTTCTGAAGTAAGCAAGCTCACAACTGTCACCGAATGCCATAATGGCAGCCACTGTGCAACCGATTGCAGGCGCTCCATCTGAGCTGGGGCTCCTATGGCAAACAGCCATCGACACATATACTGACATCACAGGGAACAGGCATTTTCTGACGGCGAAACATACGGCCAGTATTGGCCAGGTTCTAGCTGAGGTCGAGGGGATGGAAAGATCTTTTAAAGGTCAACGGCACGACGGCTCGAAGTTGGCACGCTTCAGGAGTCTTGTCAATGCGAGCCTGACGCCGATTCAAGCTTTGGGGGAGGTCGTGGCTCACGCAAGTAAAGCTGTATGAGGAGCTATCACATCAATCTCTCGGGATTGCACTGATCAAGATCAGGTTTTCCCCCCCAGCGAGGCTATATTCGCTGCCGTCCGATGTTTGATCCAGGTACGGACCTGGCGTCTGCATCGTGTGCTACACTAAATCGCTCCAGGCTGCAATGAACGTGTCCAGCGACTACGATAGGCTCGTGGATTTCTTCCAAGATGTGGAATCATACCTCAAAGGGATAGAGATATGGGAAACTCAGGTACCGTCAGTACCGCAGCTGAGCGATGCAATAATAGCAGTGTTCAGCTCCGTCCTTGTGCTTTGTGGATTGTATACGAGGTATATCAGCAAGAAGCGCGTCGGTACGTACCCAACCGTCACGTTGTGGGAGCGCAGAATCACTTGCCTTTTGACTATACTATGTGTGCCTGAGCTTTGATTGCCGAGGGCAATGCAGAGCCACACAGCTAATTGATGTCCAGTCAAGGCCTTCCGGAGCCTACTGTCCGGCGAGGATACTGAGCTCAAAGGTGCTCATCAAGCCTTCCAGAAAGCCGTCCAGGGTGGACGAGACATTGTGCAAAATGCAACGCTCTCCACTGCTGAGAAGACGAAGTTCAACATGCAAGCAGTCCACGTCGATGTACGGAAGACCCTGTCTGAGGTGGAACGCTTGGTAGAGAACATGAGTTCCATCACTCTAAGCACAGCACAGCCTTTGAACGGTCAGCGCCAGTCCCCCATACATGACTATGGCCGTGTCTGACGACAGGTCTCAGCCCAGGAGCGAGACGATACTCTCAGGTGGCTTTCCAACCTTGACTTCCAACAGTATCAAAGAGAGACTGTTGCGAAACACCATAAGGGTACAGGTGAATGGCTACTGAACACAGGCGCATTTCAAAACTGGGTACATGGTACCCAGCAGTCAACCCTGTGGTGTCCCGGAAATCGTATGTGCGCCGCCCAATCTTTTGTGTGCCGTCCGCTAAGCACTTCTTGATCAGCTGGTGCTGGGAAAACTGTGATGATGTATGATGCGACCCGGGACGCTCTTGGTCATGATATCCCAGCTGATCGCAAGATAGGTCGGCGGCGATCTGCTATGTTGAAGCCAATACACAAGGCTCAAATGCGTCAATAGCTCACGTGTACTGCAACTACAAAGACCGTAGGACACACGACGTCTCAACCATTTGGTCCAGCATCATACGACAATTCGCGGAGCAGTGCGATCCTTTTCCTGCCGAAGTGCATGCCTTTCGCAATGAATTTATAAGAAAGAGATCGGACCCTGTCGAAGATGATCTTCTCTCGCTCGTCCGTGACCTATCGAAACGGTTCAATAAAGCCTTTGTGTTCATCGATGCTTTGGTATGCCGGAAACATCGAATCATTGAATCTGTCATTCAGACTAACATAACCGTCTAATGCATAGGATGAATGTCCGGGGGAAAGCCGCAACGCCTTCATCCTTTCCGCCGCAAAGGTTGAATCTATTCTTCGGTTGTTCATAACTTCTCGGCCTAGTGTGGAGCTCGACGAAACCTTCTCGAACCTGAGACGCATAGAGGTTGCAGCCCAGGCAGATGATATTCGCTCGTATTTGGAGCATAGACTTAACACGAACGCAAATATTCGTGCGCTTTCGGTTCAGGACCCGAGGCTGAAAAGTACGATACTCCAAAGGCTCCTGGAACAGGCCAATGGAATGTAGGCGCAACGAGAAGATTGATTGCCGGATGGAGGGACTGCAGAACTAACTCGATGACCTAGGTTTCTCCTGGCCCATCTCCAGATTGAGAATATATGCCAAAAACGACGACTTCTAGACGTTCGCAGAGCCCTCGACACCCTCGCCAAAGACGTGCATCAGTTTTATGATGACTCTTTGAGAAGGATAGAGGAATTAAAGGAGTATGACAAGGACTTCGCATTGCGCGTACTGTCCTTCGTATTTTACGCTCGAAGACCACTGTCCAGAGATGAGCTTATCCATGCCTTGAGCGTCGAGCCTGGGGCGACTGGCCTGGATAGTGATGCACTGTACCCCAAGGTCCTCCTCTTCTCCGCGTCTTCCGGCCTCATCCGTGTTGATGACAAAAGCAGTAGCGTGCATCTCGCTCACCATACACTACACGAGCATCTTGACAGGTTCTGCCAGAGGCTGCTGATGGATCGCGAAGGAGAGCTTGCTACGGCTTGTCTCACCTACCTCTTGTTTGAACAATTTAGAGCCGGTCCCTGTGATAAAGTGGCCGACATGGTTGGACGCTTAAGTCAATACTGTCTCCTCGAGTATGCATGCCAGTACTGGCCGTCTCATGCGACCAACTTCATGGGCGGCGAGGTCACGACCTTAGCTCTTTCCCTCCTCAGCGAGAAGGACAGGGTGGCTACATGCGCACAACTATTGCATCTTCCTCGTCACCGGGTCGGCGATTGGCATGAGAAGTACCCCCGCGACTTCACTTGCCTTCACGCCGCCGCCTACTGGGGCTTGGACAAAGTACTGGTACTATTGATGGAAACAGGTGTGGACGCTGATTGTCAAGATAGCAACGGCGCAACGCCGTTGCTTTTGGCTGCCAAGTACGGCCATACTGAAACAGCGACGCAGCTACTCGATACAACTTCCGACGTGGACTTTTGCAACAACTCCGGCGAGACAGCATTGATATTGGCGGCTAGATATGGGCATGAAGCGATTGTACGAGTGGCGCTGGAACGAGGTGCAAACTCCGTGGCTGAAGACTTTGAGGGGTGGACAGCGCTTCATTGGGCGATTATGAGACGCCACGACAACATCTCCAAAATACTCCTGAGCAGAATTGCTTCCAACCAGTCGGACAAGTTGCAACACAACAAGGCACTGATTCTGGCGGCAGAAGCTGGCAACCCCGCAACAATACAAATGCTCTTGGACGAGGGAGCGGAGGTCGACTACGCCGACGATCAAGACAGTACACCATTGCACTGGGCAGTACCCTTGGGCCATATGGAGGCCGCTCGTGTCCTCCTGAGCCGAGGCGCAGATCCAGGCTCAAGGGACCGCTACGATCACACTCCAGTGCATTGGGCTGTGCCTCACCCCGCCATTGCGCGGTTGCTCGCAAGTCACGGCGCTAACGTGCGAGCTACCAACCGAACGGCACAAAGCGCTCTTCTTTGGGCCGCGCTTGCCGGAAAGACCGACGCAGTGGAAACGCTAATACAGCTTGGCGCCGAAATCGATGGTGGCGACCGTTGGAACTTCACGGCATTACATGCAGCAGCCTTGCAAGGACACGGTGCCATTGTGCGTATCCTCTTGAGTGAGGGAGCAAGTGCCAATAAGCGTGACGTGGATGGATGGACAGCATTGGACGCAGCAGTGTTGACGGGGAGAAGTGACGTGGTTGAGCTGCTTGTTAGCCCTACGGACAATGGGCGTGATATTGCTACTCAAGCCGCGAAACGGCTGGACGATGTCGACATGCGGTCTCTGATGGAGGAAATGGCCGCTAGGAAGTCGGTCGGAAGCACTGTTGTTAGTGGACTTCGTTCAGCCATCAACAGCGAACACGACCTGCGGTTGCGGGAACTACTCGCCAGCGGCGCTCAAACTGACATCGATGCCGAGGACGAACTGTGTGGTTCTACAGCACTTACCTACGCAGCTTGGTTCGGCAAGGAGGAGATTGTTCGCTTGCTTCTGGATCACGGGGCAGATGTCGACCTATGCGAGCGGAGCGGCCGCACCGCGCTCCACTGGGCGGCCGAGAGTGGTTACCCTGAGATGGTGGAGGATTTGGTTGAGAGGGGCGCAACGGTTGATATAACGGTGTTTGGATGGACGGCAATGCTCCTCGCGGCAAGAACGTGGCAGACTCGAATTGTTCTCTACCTCGCTGAGCATGGAGCAGACGTGGGCGCCAAAGACTTTCACGGGCGTACCGCGTTGCACTGGAGCTGCATACATGGCGACATGTATCTTGCGGAGGAACTCATCCGCCTAGGCGCCAATGTTGACGATGAAGACTATTGTGGACAAACGGCGCTACATTGGGCCGTAGCCGGTAGGTATTATTCCATCGCAAGGATGATGCTGCGCCGCAACGCAACGGCTAGGTTGCAGGCGTCTGACGGATCTACGGCGCTCCATCTGGCGGCTTACGTCGGCCAATTGGACATGGCGACACTCTTGGTAGAATGGGAAGAAAAGCAAGAAAGTCGAGGGACAGGATGCGAAACGACAAATGTTTCGTGCGTGGATAGTGACGGCTTCACTGCCCTCGACATGGCGGAACTCACCGGCAATATGCAAGTGGCGCAAGTCCTCAGACGGCAGTACACGAATGGAAACCCCCGCGATGACTCTCACAACCTTATCACCGAGGGGCAATTGGCAGACGGTTCACGAACTCAGCATCAGCTCAGACCACCACTCTTAGATATCTCGAAAGACAAAGAAAACGACTACGTGAGCAGCAACAGCTTCGCCGAAGGCCTGGGAAGGAGACTCATCGGCCGTCAGGCACGCCAGTGGCTACAACAGAGACGAATGAGCGTCTGCGTCTCTTCGCCATCCAATGGACCAGCCATTGGGCTTTTGGGCATCCCTGCTCCTGTTCAATCTACAGAATCGGGAAGTAGATCATCCAGCTGAAGTTGGTCTCTGCGCCTAAAGTTCGTCCATAAGCAACCTATCGGCATTTTCCCGTAGAAATCAATATAGGGTCACAGGTCTCACTTGCTCATAACGCTGAGCTGCTGCCAGGTGTATCTAGATGCCCCAACTTAGGGCTCCCGTCTGACTTTCTTGAATACTATTGTGTATAGCCGCCGGATTTGTCGAAACATTTCAGGGTTTGAGCGCATACATCCTCACTGGGAGAAGCCTCCTCGGTGGAATTTCAGGGAATCCGCGCTATTGCTCCGTCCTCACCAGCTTCAGCCCTGCCGCTTCAAAGAGATCCCAAAACGTTCATCTCGCCTGCTGAGCGGCTGTCTGTCGTCCTTGGTCGTCGAGAAGGTATTTGAAGAAGCAACGAACGCGGAAGTCTTCGAACTCCAAACAAGTAAGCAAGAGGTTAAGCGCTTCTTAACTGCTGCGTCCAGTGTGGCTAACAATCAAGCTTGAACTTGACAAGCTTCAATCGAGTTCGGTTGTCGACTAGACAGCGATGTCCACGCGGCATCCGTAAATGACACCTGTGGATTGCTCTGAACGGAGGATACTGGAGTAGACAAGGCCTCGAGCTGTCGTCGGACCTGACCAAGCTCGTCTTCGTGCTGCTCGCAATCGCGTCAAGCTCGTCACGCAAATGCTTCATTTCATCGCCCGTCTCTTTCATGCGCTGGCTTAGCTCTTGGATCATCCGTTTATGTCCATTGATGGCCTCATTTTGCTCGACGATCGCTCGGCCAAGTCCCTGGATCTCTTGATGGGACGCGCTCAGAAGGTCCAAGGTCTTCTGGAGCATCATCTGCGCTTCGCATTGTCCTATCTGCTGTATCTTCAAGTTGTCGCGTGGTATCTCAAATCTTGCTGCTAGGCTTCGCGACACGACTCGATCTTTTCATGGGCGTTGGAGCGGGCGGCGCGCCCTGCTCCACCATGGTCACGGCCTCAGCGACTCTTCCATGATAGAGCTCCTCAATTCTCCCGTTCGTGTGCTCGCACTCGCCTCGACCCATGGCGACCGTTCGGCACAGGCCAATGGATCCTTAGGCGTGCGCACTGACTGTATTGGCGCATGCGAGACGTGATCTGCCGGTAGGGGTGATAGATGAAGGCAAATTTTTTGAAGATTTTGAATGAAGGATGAATCAAATGAATTGAATTTTTTGGATCTTGATTCAAAATCTTCAAGCTCCAATTTTCGCGATTCAAGTTGGGTTTGGGCCAATTCAGGCCGTTCATGAATGGTTTGAAGGGATCCCCTAAACGAAGTGAATTTGGTGTGTACCTAAGCGATTGCAAAGATACCTCAAAAACGCCAATAAGTAGTATATACTGTAAGAGGCTGGCCCGGAGTTTATTCAACAAGCAGGTGCCTAGGTGTTGTCTATCTAGAACTACGGAGGAAAGAAAGCCGAGCTCGAGGCTTCGCCTCGAGTGCGAGCTTATATCACTCATCGTAGAATGTTCTCGCAGCATCCGGCTCCGCGGAGCGGGGCCAGGGCATGACCCGCGGGTCCACCAAGCCGGGTACAGCCCCTGACATATATATAGCCTTCAGAGAAACCTCTCGATAATCCCGAATACTACAAAAATTACCTGTCCTAGGTAAATCGACCGAAAATAAGCACTTTCAAAAGCTTTGCCGAATCCTCAAAATACGACGGCACAAGTTCACAACGCGCTCCAATCCGCCATTGTACACGGTTACACGCCCGTATAGCCTCAATCCTCCGAAGCCTCCATTGTATCTGGACAGGGGGTTGATATCGTAGATTCATCGGCTTGGGAGGTAGGAGGTTTGTGGGTAGGGGGTTCGGTGGGAGCCTCAGCCTCGGTGGGAACTTCCGCAGCAGCAGGGGGTTGAGAAGGAAGATTCTCGTCTGAACGCATATTAGCATATACACATACAATGAGGGTATATTCACACCATCCATCCACCTGCTTGCCCGGAATGTTGTCTGGTCTCCAAATAATACTATTGGCGAATGGCAGGATGTCATACTCCATGGCCGCCTTGATCAACGCCTGATCGATCTTATCTGTCACATGTAACTGGAAAGATGCCATGCATGTGAGGGTTATAGAGAGTGGAATTGGTCTTGACCACTGCCCAAGTCAAGGGGACGAAGGTCCCAGTTATATACACAAGAACGGTGCCCATGTGAGTCGAGACACCTCCTCGACTGGGGCGAAATGTCGCTTGACAGAGGGAACACCGCGACGATGATGTCAAATTTGATGCAATATTGGATGAAATCGAGGCCTGTATGCCCAGTGAAGCCGTCGATGACGAGAAGACGATGAATTCGCTCATTTTCCGGGATAAGGCGTGGCTCCGCCTCGAGGAAGGGATATTCGGGCTCTCTACACCACTCATCTACCTACACCAAACCACTCCTCGAGGGACTTTCCGGTGCGTTGGGCACGGGCAGACCGCTTCCAAGACCATACATTAAACTGGTGTATCCAATCAAACGTTATTTCACTGTTGCTGAAGCCTGTGTCGGATCTTGCGAATCGTATATCTTCGGGGGCGTTGATCTCGGCCCAAGACTCGCAAGGGAAGGTCTTGAACACCAGCCAAGGCGGGATCGTGTCCCCAACCGCGTTGGCAGCGGCAATAAGCGTACAAGACTCGCGATTCCCTGGGTCAGAGACTTGAGGGCGTTGATGACGCGTTGTACGCACTATAACGACGTGAATGCGTTCTCGTAGACTTCCAATACGGATGCCGCACTCGTCTTCGTTCCAGACCTCTGAGGGCCGATTCCGTACGAGCTGATGATCTCCTTGAGCCTCGAGAAGAACTTCTCGACGTATGACACATCGTTGGCCTCAAATACCTTCCTGGACTTCTCTACGGCCTTTAAATATGTGGTTCGAAGCTCTGGGTGGTCTTGAAGCCAACGACGATACCAGTTTTTGCCTGGTGGCTTCGCATTGGGGTTACGACGCTGAAGGAGCGTTAGAGCGGCCGATTCGACCTGTATCTTGCTCGCTGGGAAGCCAGAGCGTTGTAGCCATGTCACATAAGCGGCGATGGCATCGTCTTCGTCGTCTGAGAGCAGCCTTGGCCGGCCACGGCTTCGAACGCGACCCTGAAGCCATCGTGGATGCCGCTTGACGCCGTCGTGTACCGTAGAGCTCGGTACGCCGAATATCTGAGCCGCCTGCCGTATTGTGACTGCGTTGGGGAGCGCGCGGCGCGTCTGACGGCGCCGCCCTTGTGCGAGGGCATCGCGAGATCCTATAACTAGCTCCACAGCCCTTGACGTGGCCGTCGGCTCAAGCCCGACGTATTGAGACATTGAAACACGTGCTGCGCATCACGCGTTCTTGTGTTTTGGTGGGAATGCGCAGTAATTACGAAGCAGCTACGATAGCGGGGCTGTAGGCGCACGTCCGGGAATTTTGGGGCTGTCCGGCAATTTTGGGCCCAACTACCCGTGCCACGCCCCACTTTATTGGCCCTCGAAAAACTCGCACCAGCTAAAGCTGGTGCTGACTACCAAACTTTGAACACCACCAAAAGTTGAACGCTTTGGCACCTACTGGCTTCAATCATCGTTTTCGCGCCGCACACGACCTCTCAAATCTAGCCAACTATGGAATCACGTCTGGAAGAAGCTGTTCAATATGCTAGGGATTTTCCTCAGAACTCAATTCGCTCTGTGGCCAAGAAATATGAGGTGGCACACACAACACTGAGATATCGCCTCAAGAGGTCAGATCACAAATCCTCGCGTATCGCGCACAACAGAAAGCTTTCGGTTGCAGATGAGGTGCCGTCTGTAGATATGTCGATCGCCTTGATGCTGTCAACCTTGCTGTGCGACCAGAGTTCATTGTGGATGCCCGCGAATGCAATCCTTCGTGCCAAAGCCCTGCAGCCAAATCGGGCGACCCGCCTACTGTTGGCGTTCACTGGGTCACACGATTCATCCAGCGCCACGGGTACTGCAAGCAGCGCCAGAAGACCTTGAGCGCCGAAAGAGTAGCATCCGAGGACTTGCAACGGGTCGTGGAGTATTTTTAGCGGCTGCAGAGGATTCTTGAACGAGAAGGTATCCAACCCGATGATATCTGGAATATGGATGAAACCGGCTTTCGAGTCGGGGTGGGGAAAGATCAACTCATCGTCACAAAGCGAAAGAGGTCTCACTACTTCAGTGTCCCCGAGAATCGGGAGTCAGCAACTCATTGAGGCAATCTCCGCCGCCGGGCGCTTTACCCTGCTTTCATAATTCTCGCCGGTCAGAACCACATGGCGAGCTGGTATCATCAACAGGAGCTCGACCCAGAGACTGTCATTCGACCTACTCCCAGTGGATACACGAACGATGAGATCAGTCTCGACTGGGTGCAACACTTTGACAAGCACACTAACGGGTGCCGAAAAGGGAGGAAACGTCTTCTCATCTTGGACCGGCATGGGTCGCACCATACGAAGGAGTTCATTGAGTACTGTGATGCCCATGGCATCATTCCTTCGGCTTGCCCCAAACCTGACACATCTACTGCAGCCACTAGATGTGGTGGTGTTCCAGCCGTTGAAGCACTACCACGCCAAAGCGCTGGACCTCATGGTCCGTGACGGGTTGGTCAACATCACAAAGGTTGAGTTCCTCGGCTGCATCCAAGAAGTCCGAAAGAAAGCATTCAGAGCAAGCACTATCCGCTCTGCTTTCAAGAAAACAGGAATCTGGCCATTCTATCCCCAGCCAGTGCTGGATCTTATAAGTAGTAGGATGGTGACGTCAAAACGCCTACTCCGCCGCCTTCTGGGCCAGAATCTTCACCATTCAGCACGCCTTTGACAGTCCGACAAGTCAACAAGGTTGCCAGGGTCATAGAGAACGGATTGGGTGAAGTCAACGAAATTAGCCCGGATCTGGCTCACAATATGAGCCGATTCATCCAGGGCTCTCTGAGCAACGTTGCCGAACTCCTGCAGACGAAAAAGGACCTAGGAAGGACTAGATACGCAGAGAAAATAGCCAAACAGCGGAGGGCCATGAAGAACAAGGTTCTGCAGTCGGGAGGGGTACTTACAGTCCAGGAAGGCCGTGCAATGGTCCGGCGTAAGGAAGAAGACGAAGTTACCAAGGCGAGGGAGGTGATCGCCAGGATGGAAGCGAAGGCCAAGAACGCACTTAAGCGTTGGTTTAATGAGGCCGCAAAGACTGCAAGACAATGGAGGGCCATTGGAAAGCTTGACAGGGCTGAGATTTACGAAAGTGGTCGCGAAGTGCGGCTGCTGAAGCGCTTCTAATGTCGGTGGTAGGGCAAGTGTTCAACTTTTGGTGGTGTTCAAAGTTTGGTAGTCAGCACCAGCTTTAGCTGGTGCGAGTTTTTCGAGGGCCAATAAAGTGGGGCGTGGCACGGGTAAGGGGAAGGGGCCCCTTAGTTGGCTGCCAGAGGCCCCGCCAACGGGTAAGGCTAATGATGCGTATTTGTAATAATCAGTGTGGGTAGACGCATTAGTTCGCTGTGGCAGCCGTAAGGGATTTTCCGATGATCTGCCGGATCGGGTGATTCGCCGGTTTTTTTCTCCCTTGCATTCCAGTAAAGAACTGAGAATAACTCCACGAATACTATTTGAATTATTCTAAAATCTCATAAGAGAAATTAATAATGCTCAAAGATTTCACTCAATATTTTTTGAAGTCATCCAGTCATCGAGGTCGTCTTCTGTTACTCTCCGATCGCGCAAGTCCCCGAAATGCACCCACTACCTCCCGATCACTATCAACAGCTAAAGAGGGCCTTTGAGGACAGGATATGTGGGTTGAGGTTATCATTGCCTTGTTGTTTGCGTTATTATATAGTGGGTTTGGTACCTGCAATGCTATGGTCCGCTCTGGTGTGAACGGAAGAGTGACAATTTCTGCGGCGTGAGCATCCTGACTCCTCACGCGACCCTCAGGGGCCACCCGTCGCTCATTCTGCATTTTCTGGGGCTTTTCCATAGTCAAAATCTTCAGCTCTTGTTAATAGTGCCAATTTATCTCCATATTTTGCTTCACGGCCTCCGTCATCCGTCGTTTTCTCCCAATTTCCGCCTCTCATTGCTTCCTCTTCTGTAGAGCGAAAGCTTTTGCTCCGCCGCCTTCTTCTGTTGCTGAAACTTTCAGGTCTCCTTCTTCAGAGCCTCTTCTTTTTGTTGGGGTCCTTAAGCTGTATTTCTTTAGCGAGTTTGAGCCACTTTTGCAGAGCTAAACACCTCGTCTGCATTCCAATCTGTACAGCAGAAGAGATCATCTTTTGGAGCCTTACCGCCCTGCCTGCGCTGGTGCTTGTGACTACCTGTTCTCTTCTAACTTAAGCTCTCATATAAATCACTTAAAACGCACATTGAGGGCTTTCGAGGGTGCTACTCAGCCTTCGGCTGTTGCGGCCAGCATCAACAGAGGTCTTCTCGACTACTTCCTGAAATGCCTTCCAAAACACAGTCTAGAGCTTCATTTTCAACGATTTAATTAACCTTTTTTATTTGTCTGTACAATGAAGAAGATTATACATATACGCTGCTGAGAGAGGCTGAATAACGATACATCAAGGGTTGCAGCCGATGAGTGGAATGAGGAGGAAACACCACAACGATCATCTGGTGCCCGTCACACCACTCCATAAAATCCATACTAAAATGTTTAAGTGGCCATCGGTAACCAAAGGCGAAAAGCACGACCGTTTCGAGCTTCGCCTTAGTAAACCGGTCCAACGTACTGACGAGCTGCTCTTTTCCAATATTGTGATTCATCCACCTCGTTTTTGACGTGTTAAAAAATATTTATTGACGACTTGATTCACGTTTCACCAACCAAAAGTCCAGGGTTTGTGCTGGCTTGTCTTGGTGGATGAGAAATGGGGGCAGCGATGCCATCTCTTGACTGACGCACATCTTGAACGTAATGGAGGATGGGTTGCCATTTATTAATACGCCGAGCAATTTTGCCTTGTTTTCTTCTAATAAGAGGAATAAAATGTTCGTTCAAATGCTCGTAAGGAATAGAAATCCTTTTCATCCATGTTATACGTGTTTTAGGGCAGGGTGTCGAGTTTCTCAATTTTCGTGCGCATCTTTCCTTGTCAGGTGTGAAAGAGGAGCCTCGCGCACTGAAGTTCAAGCTAAAAATAAACCTTACATTCAGATGCATATGTAGGTTCTTTTCAGAAGATGCTCGTAGCGTCGAATCACGTTCAATCTGGCTCATTACGGGTGCGTAGAATGAGGTTATCTAGGTCGCCCTTCCAACCCCCATTTTTGGCAGTATCCTGAGCCAATTTCTGCGCTATGGATATAATAGGAGAATCCCACATGATTAAAGCCCACGATGAAAGTCAATAATGTTCTGTTTTTGCTGTGTTGGCCGAAATGACTTACACAATCTGTCGGAATCCTATTTTGGCCGTTGCTTCGTTTGATGTCAGCACCGCAGCGCATTGCCCCCTAGATAAAACTTCTAAATATATCCTAGACTTTCACTGCTTCTGACAATTCAGGCACTCAAAGGATACGTCAATTGGCACCGTGGATGTTGAGCTATCGTCGATTGATGTTGAGCGTGCGAAGTCGCCGCAATCCGGCAAATCGCCAGATCCGGCAGATCACCGGAAAATCCCTTATGGCTTGCCGGGTTGATCTTGCAGCGAGCTCGCTCCTGCATGTACGCCACAGGTTTACATTACCAACAACCTAACATAGCAATGAGTCTTCATTGAATAATGAAAGTCTCATCAAATGGCCTATATATAGACATAGTCATCGCCGTTACAAATCTTCATCCTGCAACTAACAAAAGCGCTGCCAATATACCCGCAACAAGACGATGGCATCACATGTTATCACCCAAGGCTCGGTTAGATGCGGTCACCTCAATGATGTCGACCAGAAGAAGTGCAGCCATGACAAGCCGTGCCGACTTGGAGTCCAACCCTTTCAGATCATCACCGGAAATTGCAAGAGGTGTATGCAGGACCCTCACAAAAGACTCCACCATAATTTCCACGACCTCGAAGATAAATCATCCCTACTCCGTTACTGGTATTGTCGAAAGCTCAATGAGGATAGATATTTTTGGGGGCCGTCCAGGTTGGGTGTGGGAGTGGGCATTCCGGATTTCAGGAGCATCAGCGCCGAAATGGAAATAAGTATGCGCGAAGCATGGCAGGAAGAGTCCATAAGATTTGTCAGTTTGGCGAGTTGCGGTGCGACCGCGGTTTTTATGGAAGGTCAAGAACGGGATTCTGTTGATCAGTTGGACAGCGATAAAGGTAGAGCACTTTTAGAAAGGGCGATGGAGTTGATTCTTGAAGAGACGGAGAAGCCGAAGGAATTGCTCCGTAACTAGTTATTTTTTCCCATCCCAGATAGCTATTCTCTGTTTCTTCTCTTCCCGCGTGATGATACTGCCTTTTCTTGATGCTCACGACCAATGGCTCCGATAAGGCCGACGAGGAGAGAGTTCTTGGCTCTGCGCACCAGTACGAAACCCATCTTGCGGAATTGTCACAGCTAAGAGCCACGCTTCCTGCAGCCGCGCTGTTGCCCCACAAATACCAATGTGAAATGTGACAAGGACACCTTTGCCGTGCCTTTGACCATCCTTGTTTGGTTCATCTCCACCAGAAAGCCCATGGTATCGTAACGGCCACGGTCAGTTTGAGTGCAGCCTGGAGAGGGTTGCCCTCTGCAGGCCCACGGCGTTCTGACCTCCTAATAAAGACGAGCTTAGACGCATGTGAACCAAAGTGCATGAAGCAGGTTGTATGCACTGCTGGTGATGCCGGTCTACTGGGTGGCTCCATCGCCAGCGGCCAACCACATTAACCGGTTGAGGTCGTGCCGTTCAGCCTACCCTACTCTGACCAAGGCCGCTTCACTGTGCAGGAAGCTCACCCCCCTCATACATGTTAATCATATTAACTACAGGCCCCTCTCAAGGCAATGACAGTGTAACCTTACTATGCACGAAGCACCCATTACCACCTCACTCTAGGCATGTCTGCCCATTTTCCAAACGACTAGACAACGTTCTGTGGTTCTCTTCATCCAATCGTTACTTTCCAAGTACCAACATTCGCTTTTACGACTTAACATTATAAGAAGCACGTCATATTCCGGGCAAGTCCGGTGCTCATTTTCTCATTTACCCAAGTCTGAACTACGCTCTCTCCATCGTTCAAGGTTGCCATATTTCGACATGCAGGACGACATTACCGTCAGGGAGATCACCGAGGCCGGTGTCGTGTTTGCCGTGACCACGATCTTTTTGGCGCTTTACCTGCATTGGAGGTTCAGAGCCAAGCCACGAGAAGCTTCGATCAGTGTCAAGCCAGGAAAAGCTTCTCGTAGGCGAACCTGGGCGTCGATTACCACAGCATGTCTCCTCTTGGGCTCCGGACTTATATTCGCCGCTTTGTTCGGCAGTGCGAGAAATGCACTTCTACCAAGCGTCCTAGCCTACCCCTTTTTCATAGCCTGGAAAGGACTCACCATATTATGTATCGATATTATCGAGGTATTCCCCACTCAGGCCCGTCTTGTTATCTTCCCGATATACTCATCGTTTACAGCTTATTCAAGTTGTCGATCCCTTGATTTACGCCTATTTTTGTAGCGCCGTCGAGCCTGACCCCTCCAAAGCGAGAATCATCATTTTTGGGTCAGCATTGGTCTTTCACCTTCCCTTCATTGGGGCGACCGCCTGGCGAATCAGGCTATGTGGCGTCGAATATTGGTGGGCTGCTCCAATGGTGTCTCATTTGACTACCGTTATTATGGTTCTGGCGATATTGAGGAAGACACAGTGTTTCCGTCGTTTTCACCGGCGCTCTAACCAGCCCCAGCCGAAGCAGCCGACGTCAAACCAAGGGATGCCGTGGCTTGGAGCAGTAAGCGGACTGGTGTTCCTAGCATCATCTGGGCTCCTAGTATGTTCTACGACTGGTTGGGTGAGACACCAGTTTGGAGGTCAGTGTGGACTTTGTCTGGCGATTTTAGTTATGCCGGCAGTGCCTCTTGACAGTATGATAAGAGAGCACCAGAGGAAACGGGTAGATAGAGAGATGCAACTGTCACTAGTGACAGAACCCGGTACTGAACGGTCGGCGGAGCACCTGGTATCATTTTGATGGAAGACTCAGAGTGACGGTAATTTACATCGCTGTCCTCGCTCTGCCTACTTCCTTCAATTTAAGCGTCCAAAGATTAGGTCACACGCAGATTGCCGCGTTTAGGTCGATGCAAACGCTCCATGTAATCCTTTCATAGCTGGAAGCGCGACGCAAAGTTGCCCTCCAAAGTATTAAAGGAAGTGATGCCTTCCGCGTTATCATCTCTTATGTATGATCTTCAGTTTGGCAAGGGACGTTTCAACGACATCAATAAATTGACAATTAGCCACATTTAGATGCCCACACACTTCATGCCTGTACAACAGTGCTCGGGCACCTCCGGACTGTCTCTTCTCAGTGGGCAGTTGCATAATAGTCTCAACCCACGGGTATTGTCCACTACACAGCTGGCTTTATCAATTCACAGATTATCTATCAATCTTTTTCATTTCCAGCATTAATAGTCCAATATTTAGCCCCCATGCTTTGAGTCGTGCCTCGAGATACTTGACAGCCTTCCACTTTCGATGTTGTGCCAGTCCACTGATTGTCTTGAAAGACTTGATTAAGTCCTGCTGTGTGCTTGGCGTTGCCGTTCGAAAGCAATCTGTTGCAGTCTCCGCAATAGCAGTGGTTGTGCTTACTTTGGTGTTTGGCGAGCGTCTTCTTGCTTAGACACCCCTCATGGCATTGGGAGAACTTCCAATCATGGACATCTCTGTCGTGCTGTTTGAGGCCCTCGAGAGAGGCGAGAACTCGGTGGCAGAGTTGGCAGACGCAATGACCCGTCATCATCTTATGCTTAAGAAGGGCCGTGGGGGTACTCTTACTCGGAGTAAGAGTATTGACTGCAAGTGTCATAGCGTGGATTGACGGGCACAAGCATGGTGAAATGACAAATAGCGGTGTGAATTGATCAAGGGAACATGGTATAGATCCGTGGACCTGGGTAATTCGGACGATTCCTGAGCACACCATCACTACAAGCGCTCGCGTCCATGTTGTGCCCCGTTGCGCTTAGCAACGTGGCCCAGCTCCTTCATCTCTTCCTCCAAGAGTAATATAGGCCGGCAAGGATACATGGTTGAAAGAGGTATGAGGAAACGGGATGATGGATGATACTGGCTACTAAGCCAAGCGGTATTCGTGGGCGTGGACCTAGTAGACTGCCGTGGGAAGTGGGCCATGTTAAATACCTCCAACATGACAAGGCAAGGGGCGAAAAGGCTGAATATGGACATTGTTGTCAGGAGATACGCTGCTCCCAGGTCGACAGCACAACCTGTGCTATACCGGTTGCTTCGGCCAACAAGGCTGCTTCTCCGGGACCTCGGCCAACTGCCTCATCAGCTCAACATGGGCGTCTCCGAACTCATCATCTAGCATGCCTCTTTCGATTGCGAGTCGCGCGTATTGAATGGCCCTCCAGCGCTGTCCCTCGGCACAAAACGACAGGGCCGCAAAGCGATACGGACCGGCCAGGAACGCCTCGAGGCGTTCCTGCTCGTACATGCTGATTAGGGCCTGCGCCATTTGCGAAGAGGCCGTCGGCGTTTCTTCGAGGCGACTTGCCATGTCTGCCATCTGAGAAAGTCGAGCGTCCGACTCTTGGGACAAGCTCGAGTGCATGCTGCAGGAACCGCAGGTGCAGTTGAAGCCCCACGACAGCTCGAGCTGGGCAAGTCGCTCCTGTCGCGGCGTGAGAGGGTCAATGTAGGTTATGGTGATTTCGGTGCCGGGCGTGATTGTCGTGGCGGCGTGAACGTGGTGGGTGAGAGTTTGAGGGTCGAAGAAATAGTCGGCGTTTGGGCGGCAGTCGTGGTTGAGGCGCTGCTGCAATGTTAGCTTCTAGCTCGATCTTAAACTAATTATACTTTACGCTTACAGCTATTTCGGGCACGATAATGTAATGCGCCGAGCCGCCAATCTCGACCTCAAAGGAGTTTGTGTCGATGCGGCCACTTATAGTATCTATCGCGAACTCGCCGTGGAGCTGCAGCATCATATCCTTGGCTACGGGAGGCAGCCTATTAACCGCCACGCTCTGTATCTCGATCCAGTCCTCGTCGCTTAGATTCTTGTGCGCGACCTCGTCTAGGATTAAGATGGGCGTGAGTGCGAAGATGCGGTCACCGCGGTGCAGCGTCTTATTCGCAACTAAACCGCGTCCTCGACCGGGAAGCATCTTTTCCTCAAAGAGCGGCGGCATGTGCGTCTTGAACTCGACACCCTCCTGGGCAAAAGCCGGCAGTTGTCGAAGAGATTGGGCGCTACCGGGCGTCGTGACAACCGAGATGCCTCGCCCGTGGGCAAAGGCGTGGGATGAGTAGACGCAGACGAATCCTATCTTGCCTCTGAGTGTCAAACAATCGTCCTGGGATGTCCATGGGAACGACGCCGAGGGGCCAAGTCCGGAGACATTTTGGGCCAAGCTGTTGCACCCTTCAAGGCTTGTTTGCAGACAGTCCAAGTGACGGAAAGGAGACCAAGCGCAATCGTATCCCGCCTCGATGCGCTGGCTGCTGGCGCAGGCGACGCCTATCAGTGTGCAAAAGGCAAAGAGAGTCGACATTGCTCCTTCAATCGACTTCACACGCAGCGGGACAAGGTATGAGGCCACAGCTCATGAACAATGCACGAAGTATGTGCACGGCCAAGGCAGGCATATAAGACAAATGCCATGTCCCGTCTTTCACGTTTTGAGCGAAGAGACGACCCGGACCTCGTCGTCAACCTGCCCCCTGTGAGACATTGTCGGAATGGGTTGTTTCATTCATCGCAGATAGTCTATTACTTCGGTCCCTATCCGCAGTCATCTACCAAAGTGCCCATCATTCCCCATCCCCCCCCGCCTTGCCTTGGCCATGTTTCACGTTTTGATTGCCCACGACTGGCTATTGTGGTGTCCAGCACCATCTTTAGATGGTGCTCATTTTTGAGACCCAAATAAAGTGGGGCGTGGCACGGGTAGTGACCTAGGGGCTGCCTTGCAGCACTCAAAGGAATGAGTCGCCGTCTAGGATTCATCAGCGACCGAGAATATGTCCGAAGCCACACGGCTGGTACCAAAATACATTCCATCGATACATGTCTTGGGTCCGTCATTATAACATGGCCGGCGACAGAAGTCGATGCCCTTGGCCCAAGATGGTGAGCACCTCGCGACTATAAAACTCGGCTCCGGGCCCTCTCTCTACTGCCTGTTCATCACCCAAACCCAATAAATCCTTTCAATTGTCTTTGTACCATCTTCATCGAGTCCTCAACTTCACACGATGAAGGCCTTTGCAGCCATTCTCGCAGCTTGCCTCGCCAGCGGCGCCGTTGCCGCGTCCGAGGCGGGAGCAGAAGCGTCAAGGCTGCAGGAAGCCGACGGCAGTTTGGGCGCACTCAACGATGCCCAGGACGGCATGATGGGTAGCAAGGGCAACGTTCGTCGCGCCGAGATGAGGGGCAAGAAGAAGAAGAGAAAGAAGCGGAAGCGCAGCATCTGAGGGTTGGGCAAGGTCGCCGCAAGGACAATAATCGAGCCCAACGCCTTCGCATTATGCCGACCAGCGGTGCGCGATCATAACTCACTTGTCTGGAATCTCGGTGTCGCAGCGCTATGCATGGGGGAGGAGGGGTTAGGGACCGAAGTAATAGGCTATCTGCGATGAATGAAACAACTCATTCTGACAATGTCTCACAGGGGGAGGTCGACGACGAGTTCCGGGCCGTCTCTTCGCTCCCTGCCTCTCTAGTCTCACCTTGTCAGGCCTATACGCAGAACAAATCCCCAATGTGCCCTCGTGTGCCCGAGATGATACGCGTCCATCATTTTTGACTGATAGACTCTCGCGTCTGTGGCGCATTCCGACTGTATGTCCACATTCTGTCTTACATGATAATGCCCGTATCACTCGATGAAAGCTGATGGGTAAGTCAGGACACCACAGTAGCCAGATTTTTCACCCCTCCGGCTAGAAGCGCTTCAACCACCGCGTTCCACGCTCAGAATCGCAGACTTCCGCTCGCGAAAGCTTGCCAGATGACCTCCATCGACGAGCCTTCTTTGCTGCGTCTTGAAAGCATCTCCTGCGCATGCTACGTGCCTTCATCTCCAACGCCTCGATCACCTTCCTAGCCTTATTGACCTCTTCTTCATCCCTTTTCCGCACCATTTCCCTTCCTTGAGCGACCGTCAATACTCCTCCCGATTGAATTTGCGCATTCTTAAAACTCCTTCGTTGTTGTTGAACACGTTCTGCCATTTTCGTCCTTCCTAGGTCTCTTTTTGTCTGCACCAATTCCGTAGCCAAAGATAAGGAACCGCGGATGAATCGACCCAGATCGCATCTCAAATCGGAACTCAAAGCGTCATCTTCTTTCAATGAAGCTTCCAGTCGATCTGCGACCTTGTTCATCTGTCTCAAAGTCAAGGGTGTCTCGAAAGGCGATGAAGATGGGCCGGAGCGGAGGGGAGGACTTGGGGTCCTGTGCATCTGACGGGCTCGCAACACCTCTAGCACGGTTTGCGGATTGGTGGGCCATATTCCCGTCTTCCTAAACGCTGATCGAATGGTTGTCGGCTTGAAGGCTCGAAGCCGAACCTGTTGAATGCAGGAGAGGAACTCGATCTTTGTGATGCTTACAAGGCCATCTCGGATCATCACGTCCAGTGCTTTCGCGTGATAGTGCTTCGACGGCTGAAAGACCACCACAACTAGCGGCTGCAATACATGAGTGAGGTTCGGGGGCATACCGAAGGGGATAATGCCATGCTCGTCACAATACTGGATGAATTGCCTGGTGTGGTGGGATCCGTGACCATCCAGGATCAACAGCCGTTTCGAGCTTTTCGAGGTCTTGGCCGAATGTTGGTCGAAATGCTTAAGCCATTCCAAGCTGATCTCGTCATTCGAATAACCAGTCGGCGTCGGACGGATGGCCGTATCAGGATCCAGTCCTGCGATGTGATACCACGAAGACATGTGCATCTGTCCGGACAGGATCAAGAATGGTGGGATGCATGCTCCGCCAGCTGAGATCGCCTCAATGTCGGTAGCCGATTCTCTGTTTTCGGGAATGCCGAAGTAGTGCGCCCGCTTTCTCTTGGTGACAATTAGTTGGTCTTTGCCGACGCCAATGCGGAAGCCCGTCTCGTCCATGTTCCAGATATCCTCGGGAGGTATTCCCTGCTCTTGGACAACCTCTTCGAGGCTTTGGAAATATTGGGTAACTCTGACAAGGTCCTCCGATGCCTGACGCTCGGCATGGAGCTTTTTCTGGAGTTTCTTTAAGTATCCGTGCCGCTTGAGGAAGCGGGTCGTCCATTTGCTGCCGATGACAAAATCGGCCTGACCAGACCGCTCACGCAAGATGTTATTTGCCGCGTCAGTGACGAACTCGGGGCGCACTGCAAGGTTCATGTGGTCAAGTCTATCGATGTAGCGACACAATGCTGCCTCTTCTGGGCGGGATTCCTTCAGGTTCGCAGCTGGGCGGCCCGCCTTGGGCTGGCGGCCTTCGAGGCGGTAACGCAGTCGACTGCGCGGAACGCCGAATGCTCGAGCCACACTGGCGACTTTTGCGCCAGGAACATCATTCAGGTATTGAAGCGCCTCTCCTATACGCGATTCCATGTTGCGCGACCGAGACCGACATATAATTGCAGAGATACGGCGGGTTCACGTCGGAAGGGTGAAAAATCTGGCTACTGTGGTGTCCTGGCTATTGTGGTGTCCAGCACCATCTTTAGATGGTGCTCATTTTTGAGACACAAATAAAGTGGGGTGTGGCACGGGTATGTCGCTGTATGTCGCTGTATGTCGCTGTATGTCGCTGTATGTCGCTGTATGTCGCTGTATGTCGCTGTATGTCGCTGTATGTCGCTGTATGTCGCTGTATGTCGCTGTATGGCACTGTATGGCGGGCGCTGTATGGCGGGCGTTGTATGGCGCTGTATGGCGGGCGCTGTATGGCGCTGTATAGCGCTGTTTGTCGCCTGTAGGCGCTGTATGGCGCTGTATGTCGCTGTATGTCGCTGTATGGCACTGTATGGCGGGCGCTGTATGGTGGGCGTTGTATGGCGCTGTATGGCGGGCGCTGTATGGCGCTGTATAGCGCTGTTTGTCGCCTGTAGGCGCTGTATGGCGCTGTATGTCGCTGTATGTCGCTGTATGGCACTGTATGGCGGGCGCTGTATGGCGGGCGCTGTATACAGCGCTCACAGCCCATACAGCGTTCACAGCCCATACAGTCCATACAGCGCTCACAGCCCATACAGCCCATACAGCGCTCACAGCCCATATCCATACAGCCCATATCCATACAGCCCATATCCATACAGCCCATAGGTCCGTAACCCTTGCTCCTCCTCCCGCACAGCCCAAGGGATACAGCGCCAAACAGCGACATACGGCGCCACACAGGTCACCACGCCCCGGGCCCTAGGACGCTACTCAGGGCCATGCAGCGTCATACGGCGACAGACAGAGCAGAGACAAACAGGACCATTCAGGGCATAGGGACACTGGCGATGGTGGTCGGCAACCAAATTTCCAGTGACATACTTACGTAACGGCGGGATGATGAGTACAAATGTGCTGGTCAGGATAAATTATTGTGGCTACGGATTCCCAAAAATACGCATGAACAGACTCTCCGTTGCGCTTCCTCACCGGACCCCATGGTCGTCCTAATAAACAATTAAGAAGACTGTTCTATCTATGGGATACCGAGATATATTTTCCCCGGGCTGGGGCAGCAGGAAGCTAGATGGCCGGGCAGGTATGAACCTGGATCGCGAGGACGCAGGGAAGAAGGCAAGAAAAGAAAACACACAATCGGATTTATTTAAAAGTACCCGTTGGCGGGGCCTTCGGCGGCCAACTAAGGGGCCCCTTCCCCTTAGTTGGTCCCAAAAGTCGTAGACAGGCCCAAAACCCGTAGACACTTTTTTAGGTGTGGCCACGCAGGTAAATACATGCAATTCTTTCCATAGGCGTGCAAACGCATTTTTACGGTATACGGCGTATAGAGCTAATTAAAGCAATTTATTGAAGCTGCTGACGATACAAAATAACGTGCGTTGTGCGTTGTTGCGTGGCGTTGAAGCTATACGCATAGTGTTGAACGTAGACGGCCATTTAGGCACTATATCCTTCCTAGATATAGCTGCTAGGCGTTTTCGGGGTGTTCTTGATCATATTTGATTGCCGAGAAACTCGAAAGTCTCTGATGATCCCTTTAATGCGCTTCCAACCGGAAATCCTCTCTGTTGGTGTTATCGGCGGCGACGAGGGCGGCGTGGGCCCTTGTGGCGACGATGACCGTAACGCCCGCTCAACCTCACCATTATATGCTGCCTCGAGAGCGGGATCGACCGTCTCTTCTTCTGCTATTCGAGATGTGGTAATCTTGACAGCGTGCTCTGGCTCGAGGTGAGGCCATCGTATGTTCCGCAGTGGCCTCGCTGTGGCACACGCATTGTCGGCGGCTTCTTGTTCCGCAGCTGAGCGTGCGTGCCGCCATGGCGTTCGCGTTGTATCGATCGTAAACGGGCCAGGCCGCTTGAGGAGTCGCTTGTAGGTCTCGTCACTAGTCTCCAGACTGAGGAATTCCTCGTTCTTCCCGACATGGTCGAGCCACTGTTTTATCGTGAGCCTTCTTTGCTTGCCGTTGATGAATTGGACCTTGTTCTTGCGATATTCAGCAAGAAGCTGTTCCTTCTCTTGGCGGATTATTGCACGAAGCATCACTACCTCTTGGCGTTGGGACTTCGCTTTCTCTGCCTGCTGTGTTTGTTTAGCTGACTTACGGACCTCGTCGAGGCTGACGCTTGTATAGAATGTGCCCGCCTGGGTCTTGACGATCTTCCCCCTCTTGGGACGAGCGCTCATCTTCTCGATCCTTTGTAGGCGGTCATTATAGTGTTTTTGAAGGTTCGAGCTCAGAAGAGATGCCTCTGTGACGACAGTCGAAGCGTTGGAGAGCCTTTGGCACGTGGGGGAGCTGAGAAGGTCGGAATAACGCTTCTGGAGGTGCTGTATTGAGTCAACTGCTTGTTCGAATCGAGTCTCTTTCGGCAGTAGAGATGCAAATGCAGGGTTGATAGCTTGACGAAGCTTGAGCTGTTGTTCGAGGATTTGTTTAACGGCAGGTTCGTGCGTTGGAGGGAAGATGCCTGTTTTCTCGAAGCCCGAGATAATATATCTCGCAGTAAAGCCCTCGGCGAATGTCTCCCAGAACGATTCAAGGAAGTCTAGCCGTGTAAAGTTGAGCTCGCCGGAGTCTATGAAGCGGCGAAGAGCTTTCTGCTGTGCGTGCTTGAGGGGCTGAAAGACGCCAACGTCGAGAGGCTGGAGGATATGCGTTGAATGTGGAGGGAATACAGCTATGATAATATCGAATTTGATGCAATATTGTATAAAATCGATGCTTGTATGGCCTGTGAAGCCGTCGATAACGAGAAGACGATAGATTCGCTCGCTTTCTGGGATGGATCGTGGCTCAACTTCATGGAATGGGAATTCTAGCTCTCTCGACCACTCGTCAACGCCAAACCACTCTTCAAGCGTCTTTCCGCTGCGTTGAGCGCGGGCAGAGTGCCTCCAAGACCATATGTTAAACTGATGGACCCAGTCTAGCGTTATCTCAGCGTTGCTGAAGCCTGTATCAGAGCGGGCAAATCGAACATCGCCAGGAGCGTCAATCTGGCCCCAAGACTCGCAAGGGAATGTGTGGAAAACAAGCCATGGAGGAATCGTATTCCCAACAGCGTTGGCGGCGGCAATAAGCGTACAAGACTCACGATTCCCAGGATCAGAGACTTGAGGGCGTTGATCACGCGTTGTTCGAACGATAAGAACGTGGACTCGATCGCGGAGGCTTCCGATACGGATGCCGCACTCATCTTCGTTCCAGACCTCTGACGGCCCGATGCCGTGGTTCGTGATAATCTCAGAGAGCCTCTTAAAGAAGCTCTCGACGTGGCAAACATCGCCTGCCTCGAACGACTTCCTTGACCGCTCAACCGCCTTAATGTATGTGACCCGAAGCTCTGGGTGGTCATCAAGCCAGCGACGATACCAGTGTTTTGATGGCGGCTGACAGTTAGGATTGCGTCGGCGAAGGAGCTCAAGAGCGGCAGCCTCGACCTGCTGTTTGCTGGCTGGGAAGCCGCTTTTCTGAAGCCAGCAGACGTATGCGGCGAGAGCGCTATCTTCCTCGTTCGAAAGCAGCCTTGGCCGACCGATGCGGGCGACACCACCACGATATCTCTGTACGGCCTTCTGGACCGTCGCGCTCGGCACGTTGAAGATACGCGCTGCCTGACGCACAGAGACTGGCTTTGGGGGCGCTCCGCGCGTCTTGCGGCGCCGCCCTTCAACAAATGCATCGTGAGATTCAATAATCAGCCTCGCCGCCCGGTCTGCGGCGGTTAGACTCGTCATGGCGTAATTGCGACGCTGGAACACCTCTTGAGCACCACGCGTGGTGGCGTTTTGGTGGGAATACACACCAATTACGCGCTAGCCGTGGTAGTGGGGGGCGTGTTCAGCTGTCTACGGGTTTTGGGCCTGTCTACGACTTTTGGGACCAACTACCCGTTGATCTTGGTGTGGGGCCACAGCAGCCCAACTAAGTGTCTTCGCCACTTAGTTGGCCCAAAAAATCCGGCACAGCCCAAAAAATCCGGCACAGCAGCCCACCTCCAAAACGTCAACCCTATGCATCTCAACCGCGTTTTCTCGCGCAACTTGACTTTATTTACGTATCTTTTTGCCGGAATACATTATGACAGATAACATGGCTACCCTGGAGGCAGCAAAGCCGTTCTGGCGTCTCGTCGCGACCCCAGAGCCGATGTTCGTCGCTCAACAACACCAAAAGAACGCCTCTTTCCGTGCGAGATGCGGCCATCCGTTACAATGTGAAGAGCTCATCCGTACAGAGAGCCATTAATTTCATAAGAAACCCCTTTTCCCGTGCTCCAGGGCGTCCATTGGCGCTGACGGAGGACGAAGACGACGCCCTGGTTGCGTATGTACAGTGGATGGAACGCACCGGCATGCCCGCCACGAGAGAGCAACTTGAAGCTGTTGCAAATGCAATAAGAATGCGTCGAGATCCCAATGCCCGCCCGGTCTCGTCAAGTTGGCTTGACAATTGGCGTGGAAGTCATCCTGCGATCGCGAAGACGTATCTCAAAGCAGTTGAACGAGCCGGAAGTCCTTTGAAGCCCACGGGGTAGAAGAAGTCGAATTTTTCTACTCAAAGCTTCGAGAAATCATCACCAGCTACCGTATTGGCAGTTCAGAGATCTGGAATGAAGACGAGGCCGGAATACGCATTGGGTGCCTGCGAGAACGCATCCAAGTTCTCATCACGCGCACCACTAGAGTCAAGAGCACCCGGCCCCGAGTTTTAGACCCAGCAAACCGAGAATCCTGCACGGTAATTGCCTCAGTTAACGCAGTGGGGGACTCTCTTCCACCCTGGCTTGTTTTCCAACATTACCCTACCACCAACTGGGCCGGCATCGACATCATGACAGGCGTACGGTTTGCCCAGTCGCCAACTGGCTTTTCCAACGCAGAGATACACCTTGAGTGGGCAAGGCATTTCAACTGCTGGTCTTGGGCATCGTCAGCGCAAGCAAAACAGTCAGGAAATTCGCTGGAAGAGTGGTTCGGCTGTGACGAGCATCTTCGGCGCCCCAACATGGGGATGAGTCGCGTGGAGGCGCCGCCAAACCAACGGCCTGACGACGAGAAGATCTACCGATTGCTTGTTGTGGATGGCTTTACAGGGCATACCACCCTTGACTTTGCTGAGTATTGTATCAAGTTTGATATCATCATTGCTATTTTCCTCCACATTCCACCCACCTCATGCAGCCGCTTGATGTTGGGGTATTCCAGCCACTAAAGTCAGCACATCAGAAAGCGCTTCGAAGTCGCTCGCAGAAGGCAACATATCATTTTCGCGGGTCAACTTCCTCACAGCTTTTCAGGACGTATATGAGGCTGGCTTCACGCGGCATAACATTATGGCGGCATTTGAAAAAACAGGCCTCTTTCCTGTCGACCCAGCGCCGGTGATCACCAAGATCCTCCACGAGCAGCTACGACAACAGCAGCCGATCAATCCTGCATACGCCTCGCTCCTACCCTCGGAGACGCGTTTCCAAGTCGCCGCGGATGCCCTCAATGATATCCGGCAACGGTATGGGCCCCTCATGAGCTCGCCATCACGAGAAAACTTGCGGGTTCTTGCGAAAGTGAACACCGAGTCTATCGCGATGGCGTCACATTCCCAGGGCATAGTCAGCGATAAGAATAGCCGAACCCAGGCGTATGCGAATCGAATGAAGAGAGGCAAGATTGTCAGGCCGCGCGGAGAGTTTATCACGAGCTCCAGCATGGCCGACATCACCCGGGAGTATGAGGAGCTCCAGGCAAAGCAAACCCGGCTTCAAACGCGCCAGGAGATAAGGATGCATCTTAAACGAGTTCGTGGAGAGATGCAGAAGATCCGAGAAGACTATAAAGTCGGGAAGAAGCAGTTAGTCAATGGCAGAGTCAAGACATTGAACTTTAAGCCCTGGCTAGAGTTTACGGGACGAGACGTTGAGTTCTACACTCTGGAGCAAAGTTGCGATACCCTCATGCGGGAGCTCAAAGAGCCATCCAAGGAATCCTTTTTCTATGATACCACGAAGAGAAATAACTCCGCCAGAGATGTCAGGGCGCGCGCAGCGACCCGACCTCGCCCACTTACAGATATGTCGTCGTTGCCCGGCAGTGACGATACCGTCTATTTCACAGGCCTCGATCTTGACAAACATAGTGAGGATGGCGCCGACGATGAAGACGAGGACAATTTACTCGACACGCAAGAGAATATACCCTCATCGCCGCCGTTAGCAGCGGTTGAAGCGGTAGTCGATACACCATGCCCTCGACCGCGCACCCGATCGTCCAACAAGATACAGCAGACGCTCCAGGAACACAGGTATGGATAAAATAGCTCTCAGAGACGCACAACAGGCGAAATTACTACATAATACGTCTATTTGGACTCACAAACGCGGTCTTCCTATCTCTTCGACTGGAAGGCGGCAGCTCCTAAATAGGCCCAAAGACGTGATTTTTTTTTCACTTTTCGTTGTTACTTGCGTCTTTAGGTGATCCGCAGCTATTGATCACATGTATATTTTAGCTATTTGAAGTCGCATTGACGGTACCATGAAGCGAAGCGTAGAATTTCCCTTGATTTTGCACCCCAAATTGAGGACCCTGCTGTGCCGGATTTTTTGGGCCAACTAAGTGGCGAAGACACTTAGTTGGGCTGCTGTGGCCCCACACCAAGATCAACGGGTAGGCGTTTTACACAGCGCCGCACAGAGCTCGACAGCACTCAGGCAGACATCGGCTGGCTAAGGGTTCGTTCTATTACCAACGGTGGCCAACAGCCGATGCGCAGTAAGTGCGGAGCTGCCACTAACGCTGAGCGCCGACACGCGGTTGCCAGTAATTGCCGGCTGCGAGTTTCTGTCAACCAAGGGATGCCGGTAACCTATGGGCGTCGGGTGCCGGTACCTTAAAGGAGCTGGTAACGTCCGGGCGCTTAGCCATACGTTGCTAGTAACACTATGGGAATGGCGCCAGGAACCGTTGTGGAGTAGGGTTCTGTCACCAGTACCTGGCGTGACATTTTCCTACGCTGTTCCCAGTAACCGCTCGCGCGCACTCACTTCAAGGAAAGCCACTCACGATAGAAATACAGCAACAATCCGGTCTAGGGACTGGGACTAAGACAATTTAGAGCCTCGCATGATCAACACCTATAGACATAGTCGAATCTTCAGGTGAAGAGAAGAAGGCTAGGATATTTCTTTGGTCAGACCTAACAAGGCAACAGGTCTTCTTTTGGAGTCATGCCAAAGAGGTGACAAATGGAATTTTGCTTCACGACATCCACTTTGACCGAGTAGGGACACTGATTGCTTTTCTGGTGCTGTGTACTGAGGACTTGAAATTGCTAGCTAGGACTTGAAGGAAATTTTATAGCGGTTGAAGATGTCATACTTATGAACCTTCGCTAAATGACTCTGAAAGCTGTTCATGTCTCCAAAGGAAATACTTTCCAATTTGCAATTAGGCTCCGGACACATCACAGATCGCATACCAAAGCCTTGGAGATGCTGGGATACTAGATGATCTCTTGCTCTGTAGGCAGAGAAATACTTGTAAGCCCGTTTGGTCCGAGGCGCCGTCTCATCCCAAAAACACATAAAGCACTGGTCTCTGCTACATGTTTTCGGAAAGTCGACTGCAACGTCTTTGGCTACCTTCTTTGGCGGGCGAGACTCGATCTTCCTTCCTAGCGTAACCATCGCGTGTGTCGTATAGAGCCGGTGTTTCAATCTTGTCTCGTCATCGAGTTCCTTCGTATCGGCGCAAATAAGTTCGGCTAAAAGTCTTCGTTCTTCCAAGCTGTAGGATTGGTGAGGTTGCCAAGATCCTGGCGTCAAGTCTAGGAAAGAGTGGCTCTCGTCCCTGAGTTGGGCATTGATCTCTATGGTATGGATTGCATCGAAAAACTCGTCTCTGGCGCTGACTTTGGCCAGTTTCCGTAGGTACGACCTTGTCGATCGCACTTTGTTCTCTACCGTGCGATACATCTCGAACAGCCGCGTGCCAGCTTCCTCGGCCTCCTTGATTGTTCTTGACTCGCGACGGACCTCGTTACTGAGAGAATCGCGAAGACCGATGAGGCCGACAAGCGTGGGATTCGTCTTAATCTTCCTCAGCTCGATGGCACTGGCGTCGGTTGGTGCCCTGGGATCAGCATGCCGGCTCATGTGGCCGGCCGCTTTCAACAATGCCTTATTTGAGGGGCGACCCAGAAACGCCGCTACCGTGTCGCACTGAACCCTCTGATTGATGTAGGCTTGGTAAGTTGCCGCGTTGATGTGGCACATGACTTGTTGCAGCTGCGCTTGCGTTGCGGTGCCTGGAAAATTCAGCGAATAAAGCCATACACTGACCTGACTACGTACTCTCAACCGCTTCCCCTGACCCTCGGCGAATGCAGTACGGATTCAGGATCTGCATGAAGCCTGTTACGAGCCCTAGTCTCTGCAAATAGTAGAGATAGGTATGGTAACGGAGCGCTTCGGTGTTAGACGTGCGGACTGCTCCATCGTTTACTGATACAGCTTGTCGAAATATCGGTATGTCTCTCACGCTCTTCCGCCAACGAAACTCCAAAGAATGTCGTGGGGATGGGACCCTGATTCGATAGAAGTCGTCCACTTTCTGAATGTTCGCTTCGAATGCTTGGTCGAGAAGTGCAAGGGCCAAAAGATGAAGCACGGCATCAAACAACAAGTCGTCGACTTCGTAGAAGATGAAAGTTTTTCTGGGAACCCGGTGTTAGCCAGAGCCAGTATAAGCGCTGAGGAATCACTCACGGGTTTTCTCTTCGCTCCCAGCCTTTCGTGTACCTAAGCGTCATCTCCATGGCTGGAAGGTCTCTTCCTCCATCTGGGTTTTTGAGGAGGAGCAGCTGGACATCCCTGTAGCAAATTGTCTTGAAATCATCCTCTTTTGGGTCAAATTCATCCGCACATTCCACCTGAGTCGCTTCATCTTCACAACCGAAGTAATGGTCGTTGACGGCGTTTTTGTCGAGTCGCTTGTATGCAAGTACTCTGGGGCGTGTGGCTGTATACGCTTGAAGCAAAATCAGGAAGGCTAATTGTATGCGCTGGCGCTCATCAGGGAAGACTGAAGTGTCATGGACCCAATGATGATGCTGCACAAGATACACGTCGTCGACGCCCATGACGGGCTTCTCGTTCACCGACGTGTCGAGCTTGTAACGAATAGTTAGATACCCGTTGATATACTATTGAGCAGTGAGCTAATCGTGCAAGACACAAGCTTCCACGATTGAGACAAAACTCACGTCATTGATCTCTTCGTTCGCCTGCTTGCTAAAATCAACTCCAACAGACTTCCGGCACACCTGGAAAAGAATTCTTTTGTAGGCATGAACGGTGCTTCTCTTGCGAATTCTTCGATGCGAGTCCAGCATCCACTCCAAAAATGTCATGATATCTTCCTTTGTCGATTCTGCAAGATGATCAAGCGGATCGACTGACAGGTGTACGCAGTGTCTAGTCTCATTAACCTGTTGCTTGGATACAACAGAAAGGTCGCTTACCTTGTCCATTTCTGTTTTACTCCATGCATGTTGACCTTCGTTGTCTCGGCGTGCCGCTTTTTGACAGCCCCATGTTTTTGGAGTCGCTCGCGCTTCGACCGGTAGTAGGCTGGCGAGTGCTGAGCTCGCGATAAACTTTTGGATACCGCCATGGTTTGCTCTCACGTATCTTGGAGCTTCCGGAGAATGAAGCAAAGGTTCGTAGCCGGATGGCATGTAGCCTGTCAATTAATACATCCCGACGTTGTTAAAATTAATAATACGCTGCGGTTCGATTAGGGGGTCGGTACGGCCGGGGATGGTGGGGCACGTCGGAGCTGCGGCGGAGGGTGGAGACGAATAACGCACGCCCCGCCCACCGGCGCTTCGCAAAATGTCCTCCGAAAAGGGCAGCCCATCCTCCAGAAGTGGAAGCACTTTCTCCAAAAATGGAAGCACATTTGCGGTGAACCTGCACTTTTGCCGTAATAACTGTACTAATCTTTCTTCTCTAACTAAACAAATTCGAATAGACATGATGCCTCAAATCCTGCATGAGCGACGGACTCAACCCTTCCCCAGCTAGCAATGCCCCTTCCGTTCGTGTAGAAAGATAGGCGCATACGCTGATGAGTTTGACAGGAATATCCCTAAATGATCTCGAAGTGACCACTTCGAGCCACCTTCTACCGAACTGCAGTGTGTCGAATCCGAAACCCCGAGAGCGTTGCTTGGGATTCCTATGGAGAAGTTAGCTTTGGTGGACGCAAAAGACGATGAATACGTACAATAACGAGTCGGCTTCTTCTGAGAAAGCACTTAGAAGCATTTCAGACGGTCCACAGAGCTGCTTCCACTGATCACCACATATCTTCCTTCTCAACAATGTCTTTCTCTGTGCCGAATTTTGGAAGGAGTATCCCTGGGAACCAAGATATTTGTCAATGGCCATATCTGCGTCGCTTCGATCCGATTGATATAGGCCGCTTTTCCTGTGTAGTCTAATCCTCTCCTCCAAGAAATCTAGAAATCGCGATAACTGCGCGTAGCCGAATCTACGTGGTAACTTTGAGCACCTGCACTTTTGAGATTGTTGTGGTAGCTGCTTCCCGGCAATGACAGTGTCGATAGCTGCAACGGCTTGCTTCATGAATGAATCTGTAACTGGACCTTCAATAGGAATGGCGGTTTGGTCAAAGAGCGAGGCCCAAGACGTCAGAGTGTTCTCCCAGTTCCCTGCAAAGTACACAAGCGCGTCACATCTGACGAAGTTGCGAGAATGATGCGCCGCTTCTGTCAAAACATCCATCCCGAACAATGATGTCTGGCCCAGTGGACCTTCCTCAGTCTTCGTTTCATTAGTTTTTGCAGCTATTCAAAGTCTGATTGGCGTATTGCTAGCGTACCTCGGTGATCGAGTCGTACGAGTTTAGTGCGAGGGCCAAGAAGCGGTTGCTCGGTGCACCTCGGATCCCTTTGGGCTCCGTTGAAATGTGCCTTAACGGGCAAAGAGGCGTTCGCTGATCAATTGCCAAGTCCTGCAGCTGGATGCATTGAGTGCCAAAGAGTAACTGATGTCTCGCAGGTTCATACCGGTCAAGCAGTTCGCCAAAAAGTGATCGACGGCCCGATGGTTCCGGCGACTCGCTACGTTCAAAAAGTGACTCGTGGCTTTCCATGCTGATAGCTTTTGCTAGGCGGAGCCTATCCTGTGCTGACTGTTGATAATGTTCAGTGGAATGGAAGACGGCAGTGCACAACGGCCCTCGTGGCGCTGGTCGGACTGGTGTCCAAATATGTCTGTGGCTACCTTATAATAGATTATCTCAGTGTTGTTGATTATTTTAACTGTTTATCTGGAGACTTTATGTTGAAACCCAAAAGGGGGGGGTTCCGATTTTCATTGTGCTCGCTGGCGGGCTAGTTACCCCGCCCAAATCCTCAAATTAAGCGCGCCGTAAATAGTACTCCTCCGTAAAAATTAGTGCTCTGCGAAAGTTAGTGCCCGCTAAAATACGGGCTCCGTTAAAATAAGCAACCGTTAAAACAGGCACCTGTTAAAATAAGCACCCGTTAATATAAACACTGGTTTGAAATTGGTGTGGACGACGCGTCCACGGGCATCACTAAAACAAGTAATCCGCTAACAAGCTTTGGTCCTATCAACTAGTAATCGGCCAAACCAAGAAGTCCGTTAGAATAAGCGATCCGTTCAAAAGGCAATCTGTTCAATCAACTGATCAGTTAAATCGAGCGATCCGTTAAAATTCGCCTGAGGGTACTAAGTACTGACGGTGCAGAAGGGTCTGCTCGACCGTGGCGATGAGCTCTGAGATCTACTTAACCGAGGCGGGCCTCCCAGATCTACTTCACCGAGGCCCTCCTTCATTGCATGGTCAGGAAAACATTCATCATTGCGACTAACTTATCGAAATGGCGACAATTCATCCGTTCCAAAATGCACAACAGTTCTCTGTTGGATTGTGGCTCCGTAACGATGTCACGGACCAAGTTGTCCACCAAGCTCACAACTTCTGGGTCGAAATGACCATCGAGACAACCCCAGATGGGAGTACCGAAAAGGATCATATTATGAAATCACTAAGGGCCATTGACGAAATATCGACTGATATGACCAAACCATATTGGCAACGACGACTGGCTTATTTGCAGCTCCACCGCGCTCTCGAGATACTCAAGCAGATCGTCGGACACAAAAGACTAAAGAGACAATTCAACCGCTCCTGCGGCAAAGGGAATTCTTCCGAAGTCATCGAACTCTACTCGAATGCCCTGCATGGGAAGAGTGGGCATCATGTCGGTCGTCAGATGCGGCTTGCCAAGCGGTGGTCGCTAGCCCTGCGTAACTCTCTGTTCCTAGCAGTAGCATACTCAGATTATTCTGGGGCTAGAATGTTCGTAACAGTATCCTGCGTTTAGCTCCGTTCAAAAGACACACTAACAAATTTGATTCAGGAAGAACTTCGCTGTCACTCACGAAAATTTGAGAAACGTATCGCGAGAGGCTGTACAAGCAATACGTCAACAACATGGTTCTTACAAGGTGTTCCCGATTTAACGCCCTGTGCTTCACGCCAACTTGTTTCCCGACAAATTACTATACTCTTATGTAGCAATATAGCCCGAGAATGCAGTGTGCTTTTGTCTGCTGGTCCTGTGAAAGTTCATAGTCCATGGCCCACTACTCGATATGCTGGCGTAAATGCAACTCCCCATGGTTGAATTATAAGGCGCATACACACAACGAAACAGAGAGTGAAGAACGGGGGCCAATGAATCAATTTATTGATCTCTGACGAGCTCCTTCAGGGGCCATGCGACCCTACTTTAATAACCACGAAATGCCTCTCAGCCCCGTGCTTTTTCCCTGGAAAAGTCAATCCAGCCAGTAGTTGGAATCATCCAGCCATCTACCGTGGCCAAGCACCTTAGGCACGTGATAGGATGGCCCGAACCTGTTGTACCTTTTGCCCACTTCCAACACTGTCACGTCTCAGCTCTCACTGGTCATTTTCCCTCTTCCTTCATGAGCCACGAGTCGACAAAGTGTTGGCGCACCCCCATGTAAACGTCTGCCGGCAGCTTGTCCATCCCTGGTGCGAGACTGAAGCTTTTCATGAAGAGGCATGTCTTGCGAGTGGGGCGTGGCGACTCTCGATAGAGGCTCGCCAAGCATGTGTCATTTGACGAGGCATTATCGCAGACGCCTGCGCCGATCCGATCGTACTCGCCGAATATGTCATACATTGTCGTTGCTTGGCTGTCTCCGGAATGAGATCCCCACATACAGCGCAGCGCGAGAAGTCGGGATTGGACTTACTAGGAAGCGTCAAGATAGTGAGCGTGGAGGCCAAGGAAAGCGTACCGGTTTGGAGAAGTCCACATGTCAGAACTAAAGCTAATCCTTGTCACTGCCTTCTCCAGTTGACTTCGCGACGAGCCAGAAGGAAAAGATTGGGAAAGGCTGATAAAAATTGTAACAGGCTTGAGAGAGGGAGGTCATATTCCATTATAATCTGTCTGTCTTGTCTGTTATGGACGGTACCGCTGGCGTCCCTACTCTATGGCAAATATGGAATTTAGCGACTCGCAAAGCAAGCCCAGCAGGAGAAAGATTCTCCTTACTATCACGTGTTGGAGTCTTGAGCTTTTCCGGCGGACGCTTGTACACGATGAGACAGCGCACCGTGCAACTCCACTTCCGCTTAGCGTAATGGTAGGTAGTAGTGTATTTTCCGTCCAGCAGCTTTTGGCCGCTCAGTCTCCGCAGGGGAGCACAGGACGTGCTGAGCTAGCAGATGTCTACATGCTACATATCGTACACTTCACCCACTATCCAGCATTTCATCGGCTCAAAGGCGCTCATGACAATCCTGTTGCCCGTCAGCGGGACGTCCAGGCATGAAGAGAAAGCTGTCCGGTGGTCAAATCAGCCAATTTGCTTCTGGGGCCTTGCAGCCCTTGATGACCTCGGCGATCGCATGGTCGCCAGACCTTGACGCCGCCCGAGATCGGAGCAGGTAACAGAAAGAATTAAGGGGGAAAGGTGAGGTGAGAGAAGACGTAGAAGAGCATCTTCTTCCAGTAGTTGGTCTTTGGTTTGGGCAGCGTGTTGGGCCCGTCGCGGCTCATGCGCAGGGCGGCAGCGCTCTCCGACAGGCCCCGGTCCTGGGCGACATTGAGCTGCTGGCAGATGGTGTCGACGCCGGGCTCGTGGAAGTCGAGGTTGGCAAAGCAGTCCTCGTTCTTGGCGGCGTCCTTGGGGTCGGCCGGGGCGTCGACATTGCGAGACTCGGAGACGTAGATGGAGAGGGTGCGGTACTCGATGGGGACGCCAGGGTAGGGCATATCGAAGCGCGACAGCGAGACGCCCGGCTCCGGGAGCGCGTCAGGGGGCGGGAGAGTTCTGGTAGAAGAAGGACTTGTGCCCGAAATTGACAGGTTGGTGATCTCGCCACTTGACCCCAGAGAAGACATTTCTATATCTATAGCAACGAAAGTGAGGCGTTCGTCGATGCTTTAGGGGCTTGTTTGGTTCGTAGATATCACAACGAGTCAAGATATTGGATTCATGCTCGTAGCAACCCGGAGAATCACTGGTGAAGAATGAGATTGGGAACGACTACCTACCAAGCTGGATCCTGGAGGTACGGAGCGTGAGGTGGAGAGGCTTAGCGTGAGGAGTAGAGAAAGCGTGAGGCGGAGAGAGCATGTGTCATAACGAGCATTACGCGGCGAGAGCATGACGCGGAGAGGGAGCGTGAGACGGAGATGGAGCGTGAGACGCAGAGGGAACGTGAGGCGGAGAGGGAGCGTAAAGTGGAGGGACGTACCGGTACCTTGAGGCGGGCTCATGTAACGGTGACGAAAGCGTCCACCTCGACCTCGTAGGCGACAAGAATCTCCCGGGCCGTTTTATACAGCGCCGTGCAGAGCTCGGTAGCAGTCAGGCGCACATCGGCCGGCCTGTTAAACGTTCGTTCTATCACCAACGAGGGCCAAAGGCTGATGCGCCACTAATCGCTAAGCGCCGGCCCGCAAGGCGCTGGTAACGACGACACGCGGTTGCCAGTAATTGCTCGGCTGCGAGTTTCTGTCAACTAAGGGCTGCCAGTAACCTATGGGCGTCGGTTGTCGGTACCTTAAAGGGACTGGTAACCTCCGGGCGCTTAGCCATACCTACGCTGCTACCCACGAGCGAGGTGCCAGCAACCGTTGTGGAGCAGGGTTCGGTCACCAGTAACTAGTATGACGTTGGGCGTCTAGTTACTGGTAACTAGGCACCTCTGCTGCGTGAGAAGGCGCTAAGCTGCCTTTCCCTGCCACTGTTTCTAGTAACCGCTTGGGCGCACCATACACTGAAAAAAGCCATTCAAGATAGAGGCATCACGGAGGACTGGGGCGGAGGAAATTTCTAGAGCCTCGCATAATTAACACCTATAACTAGACGTAGTCGTATTCTGAATTGAAGAGGAGAAAGCCAGGCTGTTGTTTTTGCAAACCTCGTTCTGTAGACACGTTACATAGGAACTCGATTTACGATATGCACCTTCTATTGAGCAGGATACTGCCTGCTTCTCTTATGCCATATATAGACTAGGTAAAGTTGCTAGCTAAGACTTGAAGGAAATTTTATAACGGTTGAAGATGTCGTACTTGTGAGCCTTAGCTAAATGACTCTGGAAGCTGTTCATGTCCCCAAAGGAAATATTCTTCAATTTGCAATTAGGTTCCGGACACATGACAGGCCTCACGCCAAGTCCTTGGAGATGCTGGGAGACGAGATGATCTCTTGCTCTGTAGGCAGAGAAATACTTGTAGGACCGTTTGGTCCGAGACGCCGTCTCATCCCAAAAACACATAAAGCACTGGTCCCTTCCACATGTTTCCGGGAAGCCAATTGCAACGTTTTTGACTACCATCTTTGGCGGGCGAGACTCGATCTTCCTTCCCAGCGTAACCATCGCGTGTGTCGTATAGAGCCGGTGTTTCAATCTCGTCTCGTCATCGAGTTCCTTTGTATCGGCGCAAATAAGTTCGGCTAAAAGTCTTCTTTCTTCCAAGCTGTAGGATTGTTGAGGTTGCCAAGATCCTGGCGTTAAATCTAGGAAAGAGTGGCTCTCGTCCTTGAGTTGGGAATTGATCTCTATGGTATGGATCGCATCGAAGAACTCGTCTCTGGTGTTGACTTTGGCCAGTTTCCGTAGGTACGACCTTGTCGATCGCACTTTGTTCTCTATAGTGCGATACATCTCGAACAGCCGTGTGCCAGCTTCCTCAGCCTCCTTAATCGTTCTTGACTCGCGACGAACCTCCTTACTGAGAGAATCGCGAAGACCGATGAGACTGACAAGCGTGGGATTCGTCTTAATCTTCCTCAGCTCGATGGCACTGGCGTCGGTTGGTGCCCTGGGATCAGCATGCCGGCTCATGTGGCCGGCCGCTTTCAACAATGCCTTATTTGAGGGGCGTCCCAGGAACGCTGCCACCGTGTCGCACTGAACTCTCTGGTTGATGTAGGCTTGGTAAGTCGCCGCGTTGATGTGGCACATGACTTGCTGCAGCTGTGCTTGAGTTGCGGTGCCTGGAAAGGTCAGCGAATGAAGCCATACACTGACCTGATTACGTACTTTCAACCGCTTCTCCCGAACCTCGGCGTATGCAGTATGGATTCAGGATCTGCATGAAGCCTGTTACGAGTCCTAGTCTTTGCAAATAGTAGAGGTAGGTATGGTAACGGAGCGCCTCGGTGTTAGACGTGCGGACTGCTCCATCGTTCGTTGATACAGCTTGGCGAAATATCGGTATGTCTCTCATGCTCTTCCGCCAACGAAACTCCAAAGAATGCCGTGGGGATGGGACTCTGATTCGATAGAAGTCGTCCACTTTCTGGATGTTCGCTTCGAATGCTTGGTCGAGAAGTGCAAGGGCTAAAAGATGAAGCACGGCATCAAATAACAAGTCGTCGACCTCGTAGAAGATGAAGGTTTTGCTGGGAACCCGGTGTGAGCCAGGGCCAGTACAAGTGCTGAGGAGTCACTCACGGGTTTTCTCTTCGCTCCCAGCCTTTTGTGAACCTAAGCGTCACCTCCATAGCTGGAAGATCTCTTCCTCCGTCTGGGTTTTTGAGGAGGAGCAGCTGGACGTCCCTGTAGCAAATTGTCTTGAAATCATCCTCTTTTGGGTCAAATTCATCCGCATAGTCCACCTGAGTCGCTTCATCTTCACAGCCGAAGTAGTGGTCGTTGACGGCGTTCGTGTCGAGTCGCTTATATGCGAGTACTCTGGGACGTGTGGCTGTATACGCTTGAAGCAAAATCAGGAAGGCTAACTGTATGCGCTGGCGCTCATCAGGGAAGACTGAAGTGTCATGGACCCAATGATGATGCTGCACAAGATACACGTCGTCAACATCCATGACGGGCTTCTCGTTCACCGACGTGTCGAGCTTGTAACGAATAGTTAGATACCCGTTGATATACTATTGAGCAGTGAGCTAATCGTGCAAGACACAAACTTCCACGATTGAGACAAAACTCACGTCATTGATCTCTTCGTTCGCCTGCTTGCTGAAATCAACTCCCACAGACTTCCGGTACACTTGAAAAAGAATTCTTTTGTAGGCATGCACGGTGCTTCTCTTGCGAATCCTTCGATGCGAGTCGAGCATCCACTCCAAAAATGTCATGATATCTTCCTTTGTCGATTCTGCAAGATGACCAAGCGGATCGACTGACAGGTGTACGCAGTGTCTAGTCTCATTAGCCTGTTGCTTGAATACAACAGAAAGGTCGCTTACCTTGTCCATTTCTGTTTCACTCCATGCATGTTGACCTTCGTTGTCTCGGCGTGCCGCTTTTTGACAGCCCCATGTTTTTGGAGTCGCTCGCGCTTCGACCGGTAGTAGGCTGGCGAGTGCTGAGCTCGCGGTAAGCTTTTCGATACCGCCATGCTTTGCTCTCACGTATCTTGGAGCTTCCGGAGAATGGAGCAAATGTTCGTGGCCGAATGGCATGTTGCCTGTCAATTAATACATTCTGATGCTGTTAAAATTAATGCACTGCGGTATGAATAGGGGGTCAGTGGGGGCCGGGGATGGTGAGGCACCTCGAAAGCTACAGCGGAGGGGTGGAGACGAATAGCGCACGCCCCGCCACCGGCGCTTCGCAAAATGTCCTCCGAAAAGGGCAGCCCATCCTCCAGAAGTGGAAGCACTTCCTCCAAAAATGGAAGCACATTTGCGGTGAACCTACACTTTTGTCGTAAAGCTGACATTAAATCACCCACATCGCCGGCTTGATGAGCTCCTCACTTTCGACGGCCAGGCTTTTAGTTCCCACGTTCAGGCCTTCTCCTATTGTTGGCAGCATCACAATCATGGTGATGACCATTACGGCCAGCCAAAAGAGGCTCGATTACAGCCTCAAGATGATCAATATGAGGCTCTGCCTGTGGGGGAGAATTTGATGACGAAGACTGGATTCGCCTCGCTGCCCTTTACCTGACCACCCCTTACCCAGGAAGTTCTTGACCTTCTTGGCCGCCGCGATATCGACGTCAATTACGACTGGACACGGCATGTGGGTACATATCCGGAACTTCGAGATGGCTACTGGAAGGACCTTATCGCTAGCCACCCCATGGCCAACGATGTGGAGGTCCTTGGCCTCAATGGCGTAATACGCTGAATCCACAACAACGGCTCGTGTACGACACATTCATGGGCCACTTCCAGGCGCGAAATCCCACTCAAATCCTTCTCCACGTTGATGGTGGTGGTGGCACCGGCAAGTCGTTCCTTATCAAGGTGCTTTCCTCCCATCTTCAGGCGGCCGCTCTACCGAATCCTAGCCCTATTTGCCGCGTAGCGCCAACAGGCGTTGCGAGTAACCAGATACAGGGCAGCACCATTCATTCATTGCTACGCCTCCCAGTAGGTGGTGCTTTTACCGACCTTCCCCCAGCCGACGCAGCCGCCCTTCAGTCCCGCCTACGGCACGTCAAATACCTCGTGATCGATGAAAAGAGCATGCTGGGGATTGAGCAGCTCGCGCGGATCGATTCCCGTCTGCGACAGGCCTTTCCACAGCGTAGCCTCGAGTTCTTTGGTGGTGTGAGCGTCTTGCTTGTGGGCGATTTCTTCCAGTTACCACCAGTCCGGCAAAAGCCCTGTATTCGACTAGCACCAGCCTGTCTTCGTTGGAAAGGAGAGGGCAGGTGGCCTACCGGTTATTTGACCGCACCGTCTTCCTGACCACGGTACAGCGCCAGGCTGGTGATGATCAGGCTCAGTTCCGTCGGGCGTTGCAGGAACTGCGTGAAGTCAAGTTATCCATACCGTCCTGGAACCTCCTTAGCAGTCGGGTACAGTCCAGGCTAACGCAGAGCGAGGTTGACAGCTTCAGGGCCGCTTTGCGGGTGTATTCTACCAGGGCCCGGGTCAACGAATACAATTACGAGCATATGGTGCATCTCAACGCCCCGGCAATACAGGTGGAGGCAAAGAATCAGGGCAAGGGCGCGGGGCAGGCACCAAGCGACAATGCTGGCAATCTATCTAACAAGTTCCCTGTTGCTAAGGGCGCCAGGGTAATGCTCACTACTAACCTATGGCAGCCAGCTGGCCTAGTTAACGGTGCCCAGGGTACTGTATACGATATCGCCTGGAACCCAGGCGCCGAACCATGGAAGATCCCCGGCCGTTATTATGGTGGACTTTGATAGCTACGATGGACCGCCATATCTAATAACTAACGAGGGCAGGAAAATCTCACCCATCCTCCCAGTCAGGCGTGATTTCCTTATGGGCAACGAGACCTGCGCTCGCACGCAGTTTCCCCTGATGGTGGCGTTTGCTATCACTGTTCACAAATGCCAGAGCCTAACGAAGGAGCAAATAGTTACTGATCTCGCTACACGCGACTTCCAGGCCGGTATTAGCTATGTTGCTGTGTCACGGGTTACGTCGCTGCAAGGCTTACTCCTTGAGGCGCCTTTCGATCGTCAGAGCCTCTATAACCACACGCCGACAGAAGGTTTATAAGCCTGTCTCCCTACGTGCTGCGTTTACGGCTAACTACAAAGGCTAAAGCAGGGATGAAGATGCGCCTCGCTGACCAACAACGGCGTCAGGGTCAACAGCTGAGCGATGCACCGTATCCACCACTCTACCTTGACTAAACGACGTCTTCCTATAAGCTACAGGGAAGGGGGAGGTTCGATATAGGGTATATAGTTAGATTGGGCCAGTCAAGGAGCGGTTTAAACAGCTGGATGGCCGCCGCAGGCGAAAGGGGGGTTCTAGGGGGTCCCCCCCTAGGAAAGTTGAATTGCAGGAATACGATGTTCACCCTTCGGGCTGGATATTCAGCCGTTAAGCCCCTTGCCTTGGCAACTTAACGGGTGTTCGAAGTATTTTATGGTTAGCAGCGGAAGTTCCGCGCAACATCAGTCACCGGGTCAGCTTCCGAGGCCCCTGTTGCCTAGGGAACGTGGAGATATGGGGGTAGCGGACTCTGATCGTCCGCTCCCTCATCGGCACTTTCTGCCTCAGGAGGGAGATCCTGAAGATGAGGAGCAACGTGTTACGGCGGTGGCGGGCGATGTCCCGAGTGTTCATTCGAAGGAGGTACCGAAGCTTCGATCCATCCAGCCTAGGGAACCGGTATTCGACAACTTAAGAGAAAACGGGCAATTAGCAGCAGCAATTGCGTCTGGTTTGCTGGTACAGTATACGATATCGCCTGGGCGCCTGGAGCTGACCCCATGCAAGACCCTCCCTGCGTGATCATGATGGAGTTTGACAAGTACACGGGGCCGGTATTCCTGACCACCACAGATGGCAGGAAGATTGTCCCGATTCTGCCAGTAGACAGGGACTTCCTCGTCGGAGCCACACTCTGCACTCGTACGCAGTTTCCCCTGATCGTATGCTACGCCATTACAGTTCACAAGTCGCAGAGCATCACCGAAGACATGATCGTGACGGATCTGTCCTGCCGTGACTTTCAGACCGGTTTGAGCTACGTGGCCGCCTCGCGTGTAAAAACGCTGCAGGGTCTGATGCTGGATGCCCCGTTTGACCGCAATCACCTGACTTATGAGTCGCCGCCGGAAGGAATTAAGATGAAAATGAGGGATCAGCAACTTCGCAAACGACAGGTTCTCACCCAGAATCCGTACAAGATAGGCCACGGGTCTACGTAGCTCCACTTGATGCTACCCGCGACAATAACGAGACTTTCCAAGGCACAGATGGATGTATGATTGTAGATGCTGTAGTGATTGTTCGGTGACCGCTGGACTGGTAGCCAGACTCGCAGCCTTCGGCTGATTGTACGCCTTGCACCACAGCCCTAAAAACTAAAGTGCAAGGTGTGGCGCAGTATTTTACGGATGATTCCGTATGGTATAGGTTTATTGACAATATATGGGCAATATATGGTTTAAACAAACCATACGCGTATGATTAGAAAGCCTGTCTCAACAGTTGCGGAACTTACATGCTAACTAGCGTTACCAGCACTGTCCAGCGGTGCAGTCAGACCCTCTCCCAAAAACAGACCACACTCGTGTGGATATACCCGCCCAGGAAAATGGTTGGCGCGCCTGCCACCCGGTTCTTGGATGGTCAGCGTCAATGCCGACGGTCCTCCCCAATTGCCCATTACACTTCTAATCGGATAGTATCGTCCTCCGACAAGATTGACATTAGTGCACTGGGTCGGGTTGACAAAGTCGCCTCCCAAGCTTTGGACCAGCGGCTTGGCGTTAGGATCGGGCTTGCCGGTAACACAGCTGAAGGCATTGTCGTGCCCGAAGAAGATGTCGTTTTCGTTGTCGGCGGACGAACATAGAGTGTATGAGCCCGTTACAGGAGGGCGATAAAAGCCACAGTACACAAGCGTGAAGTTATTTGCATCAACGACAATACCGCCGTTCGTGTTGCGGGTCCAGCCGGGCCAGTACGGGAAGAGGGGCAGGTCCACTTTGGGGAGATTGGGGGGGTTGGGGCCATGATCTTGGGGGAAGTAGGCGAGATTAGTTAGTGATGACTGAAGAGGACTCAGATTCTGAGTGATATAGTAGGAGGATGGATCCCCCCCCGACCTGCTGTAGCCGCCGATAGGGTTAGGGTAATAGTCAATATTCAAACCCCTAGCAGGGCAATGACGGTCTGCCTGACAAGGCCCACCGGGACTGGGGTGGCGGTGGGGATGGTGGAGATGGTCATCATGGTCAGGATGGGGGGGACAGTCCGTGGGGACGGACGGACCAGGCCGGTAGGACGGGTCCTCGCCGTCGGGCTCCGACATGGCGCCAAGCTGTTCCACCGAGACGGACTCAGTAGTGATCGTGTTGGCGTTCATGTTGTCGGGCGAGGCAATGGTGCCCGCCACAAAGGCGAGTACTACCGCTAAAGCCTCGATCTTCATCTTAGTCCAAGGAATTAGGAGTTGCTCTTTGGCAAATAGGACTAAATCTGCTAAAGAGAAAAGTAAATAAAATATAAGAGAGGCCGGGCGACTTTATCGACTTTATATTCGTTAAATCCGTGCCGAATGAAGAGGATACGAATCCGACAGGCACTGCATCCTATGTCTTCGTGCAAGGGAGAGAGAATTCCTTACTATGCATGAGGAATTTTAAGTTTTAGTTCGTAAACAGGCCTACCCGTTTATGTATGTATGTATGTGTATTTCACCCGGAGGATTTCTCCTATAGGGCCTAGACGTAAAAGCTACTGACATTTCAATACATTAATGCGTAACACCTTAAGCCCCACGGGCCTACCCGTTTAAAGTGGGTGAGCCAAAGCGAATCCCCTTAAAGTGGGGGCGGGCACGAGTAAGTGGCGAAGACACTTAGTTGGGCTGCTGTGGCCCCACACCAAGATCAGCAGGTAGGTCTGTTCACGAACTAAAACTTAAAATTCCTCATGCATAGTAAGGAATTCTCTCTCCCTTGCACGAAGACATAGGATGCAGTGCCTGTCGGATTCGTATCCTCTTCATTCGGCACGAATTTAACGAATATAAAGTCGATGAAGTCGCCCGGCCTCTCTTATTAAGCAAAGCTGTAAATTTGTGCTACGAAGTGACGAAGTACACACAGTGCGAAAATTCAGCGGAGCTTCTTTACTGAGCAAAAAGTGCGAAACTTTTAGACCCACTTTGCTAACAGTTGCGTTTTGATTGGAGCCCACTTCGAATACGTCTAGGTGATTGGTCAGATTTGCCCAGACTTTACCCGTGAACTTTGTTGTGATTGGTTAGAGCCTATGTATACTGTCTGCAGTAGAAATTATTCACACCGTAAAAGACGCCTCTGATTGGTCTAAAAGGTTTACCCGCACCTTTGCCATAGAACGTAGGGGCGCCCGGAGGACCTAATTTCCTCTTGAAAACCTCGATTCCTATCCTTTGACATTGATCTTCTGACGAGGTAAGGCAACCCCCTGGGTTGCGCACAAAAGCCTTGAGGAACGAAGACACGGTCGACTACCCGGCCGGCAGCGGAGACGGACGGCGTCGAGACCGGGCTGGAGGTCCCGTCGCAAGAGGGAGAGGCCGGCGCCGGCGACGACGCCGTGGAAGGAGACGACGGGAGGGGCCGAGGGGAAGTGGCCGTCGGGAGGCCAAGGAGCGCGGGAGGACGCCAGAAGGAGAAGTCAGCGACGCGGCAGGGGAGGAGACGCATACAGGGCGGGGGCATGGATGGTAGCCATGGTCGCGGACGACGAGCGTGGAATTGTAGACGACGGTATCGCCCGGGCCGGCGTGGAGACCGTCGCGGCACTCGAACCCCAGGGAGGGCATGGGAGTGGACGTGGCTGTTAACGAAGAACCGATGCTCGGACCGGTCGGGGTCGACGACCGGCTGGCCGTAAATCGAGAGGTTTACCTAGGCTAAAGAAGAGAGAGACAGCCGGGTCGGCGGCATCCGGCTCCGCGCGGAGGGGCGCGTACTCGGCCGGGAGCAGCTACGAGGGGACGGGCAGGAAGACACGGGCGATAGCCTTCGGCGTTAAGGTTCTTGATGCGGTGCTCGTCTTAGTGGGCGAACCTCGAGGGGCAGTCGGGCTGGGCGAAGAACATCATAGACATGTCACCGTCGACGCTCTTGCCAGTACTAAGGGGCCTCTTCAGATGCGGCGGAGAGGCGGCCGAAGACGGGGACGAAGACATGGCGAGGTTGTATAGCGTAAGAGCGACGCTGCCGTTTTGAATCGTTTAAGCGGGGCAGAATAGGAGCAGGAACTCTTCCTATTTTTGTATCGTTGGAAGAAACCGGCGGGAAGTGAAGGGCCAGGGCCGCCTTACAGAACACGAGCATAGATATTAACGGAAACACGGGAAAAATTTTAGCGGTTAGGAGAACATGGAAAGAGCGTTGTCTAGAGAATGCTATGAGAAGCGAGGGGAAAAGGGCAAAAAGGCGGTCTGCTTAGGGATAGAGGGTTTTTAAGACAACCGACATACGGGAAGCCATATTGTCACAGAATAGGGCAGCTTCATTGGCGACACGTTTAAGACATGGGGTTAAAAGCCAGTATGCAAGCATCTAACCTCGAACCAAGGCGCTTAGCGACATAGCTCCAGATAACAAGGAGAGCGTAGAATGTAAAGCACGAGTAAGAGGAAGGTGCCGTAGCGACTTACATGTAAAGACCGGCCTAGGCCGTTGCATGCGATAGCAGCAGGCAGTTCCCGGTAGGCTTAATGGAAAGTCGGCGCCGGTATAATGTGAAGAGCAGCAGCATGCTTATAGACGTACTACGGAGCTCTATATAGTACATAGGTCATTGTAAATGTAAAGTGTCCGTTACGCATAAGCTGCATGCCGAGTAGCAACATAAGCGCAAGACGAGCAGCCCAGGAAAGGACGTATACGTCGACGTCCGACTCACGAGGCTCCACGTCAGGGCATAGCAGCACGAGGTAGATGAGAGGTTTATAAAGGTAGTGGCAGCCAGTATCGCGATGGAGTCAGCTGCTGGAGGGGGACCGCGCGGAGCAGGGGGGGGCGCGAGCCCGGCGCAGGAAGCCCACGGACCGCGTGGCGCCTTGGAGACGCCGGTCGAGGACGGTCCGGGCGGGGACGCTTGGAGACCGATAGGTGCGACTGCCAACGGCGGCGACATCGCCCAGCCTAGGCAGGGCGAAGCGGATATGGGAATAGGGTGGAACGGCCACACCACGCCGCAGCCGAGTGTCGACGAGGGCGCGAAGCGCAGGCGGGGAAGACCACCGAGGCAGCAGAGACTCCAAGCCGACGCAAGGCAGCAGGCGTTGCGGCGTATCCAGCCCCGGCCGACACCGATCGCAGCCGGTCTCACACCGCCGCCGAGCGAGGGCGGCCCGCCTAGAGGCCAGCAGGCGCCGCGGCACATCCGGGCTCGGCCGGTTCTGAGGGCGGGAGTCCACGCGGCGCCCCCCACCGAGGCGGGACCGAGCGTCGGAAGCACGGACAGCCAACAAGCCGGTACGGTCGCAGAGCGAGGCCAAGGCGCATGAAGACGGCTAACGGGGCGCAGGCAGGACAATGAATCGGCAGCCCGGGGGAGAGCGGAAGAGGAAGGGCCGCACCCCCGGCGGGCAGGCCTTAGGGAAATGCTCCCGGGTCCGGGTGGGCCAGAAAACCCCAAGACGGAGGGAGCTGCAGGCCGAGGACCTAGCCAGCGTACTGCAGCACCTCGAGGAGGAGTTCGCGGCGGGCGAGAGGCTCGCAGACGAGCAGACGTGGTGCATGCCGGTGCCGCGCGCGAGGCAGGTGCGAACGGTGCAGAGGTTCTACCGGGCGTTCCACGACGCCGGCACGCTACCGGTCTTGACCTGCAAGGTATGTTACCGGAAGCGGTCAAGAGAGGAGCTAAGGAAATGGCGTGGGAGGTGGCCATGGCGGAGCCCCGTCACGGAGGGCGGCCGGTCTCTATTCGCGTGCCGAAGCTGCTTCCCGAGGCCGGGCGGTGCCGGTATGCGCAGAGTGCGCGCGGTGCCTCGGGCGTGAGAGGGCTTCGCCTGGCATGCACCTCCACGGCCGGCTCGGCTGCGAGCACGCGTACCCCGACGAGCTCAAGGGCCTCACGCCGGTCGAGGAGAAGCTGATCTCGCTCAACTCGTGCTACGGCTTCGTGACGAGGTATAGCATCCCCGGCGGGCAGAGGCAGAGCGTGAGGTATCCGAGGCACGTCAAGGGCCATATCACGGTATTCCCGAATGACGTGCAGGGGCTGGTGACCAAGGTGCTCCCGCACCCGCTAGTCCGGGTTATGGACGAGATCCATGTCTCGTGGCAGGGGGCCGAGAAGCCGGGGCCACGCGACCTGTCGGGCCTCCTGTCGGTAAGGCGGCGGGCGGTCGAGAGGGCGCTCGTCTGGCTTAAGGAGAACAACCCGCTCTACGGCGAGGTCGAGATCGACGTGGCGGAGATGGAGAGCTGGGGGGCGCCGCCGCACGGGGTGCCGTCGGTGGTATGCGAGCGCCTGGAGCGAAACGAGCCGTCAGCGCGGGAGAGGACGCGGACCGCGCAGGTGGTGCCGCCGACGGAGCGGGCCATGGACGACGAGGGCGCGGTCGAGATCGAGGAGATCCTCGTCATGTTAAGCCAGGGGCGGGATCCCGCGGAGAGGAGTCGCGACGTCAGGCCCACGTGCGACGACGAAGAGGACGGCGCTAGGCCCGAAGAGGGCGGGGAAGTAATCAACGAGGTGACGTCGTCCGGCATGTTCCCGCTCGACGGGCCGCCAGGGGTGGCGGACGCCGAGAAGATTCGCTTCGCCCGCGACGCCGTCGGGCCCGACGGAGCGCGCGCCCGCGCAGGCCCGAGGACGTGGGTGGGGACGGCGGCCGGAGGGGCGGCGCGCGGCGGCGATGGCGACAAGTACGAGCCCTATATCCAGGTACGGCGCGGCAACGAGTTCGCCGACTCGGCGGACGCCTCCTTCTTCGCCAAGACCTTCCCGACGCTATTTCCTTTGGCGTGGGGCCGAGGCTCGCCGACGAGGCCGCTACCCGTGGAAGCGAGACTACCGGGTGGCGGGGCCGGGCTGCCGAGGCGGAGCGGGTCGCGGAGGGCCTCACGTCGACCCGGAACATGAACCTCCAAGCATGGGCCGACGTCGTGCTACGGCGCCACGGCGGCCGGTTCGCGACGCATCCCATCTTCGCCTTCCTAGTGTTTAATATGGGGTGCGGTCTAGGAACCGCCAGGCCAGTATGCTAGGCGTAACGAGGAAGAACTTCGCAAAGGTCGAGGGTCTACTAAAGTCGTTAACGACGCAGAGGCTCGAGGCGGCGAGGGTCGAGCTCGAGGCCACGGGCAAGACCGGCGACGACGGGGTAAAGGAGCTCCGGTCCCTATCGGTGTTTGGCCACCGGCAGCCGATGTCGAGGGAGAGCCGCCTAAGTATGCGGAAGAAGATACTATCTCTCATCGTCAGATACGGGGTGCCGGCCATTTGGTTCACGCTAAACCCGAACGATATTACGAACCCGGTAAAGCTACGGCTGGCGGCGTACCGCGCCCGCGACCCCGAAGCGGCCGAGGCCTTCCTAAGAGAGCTAGGGACTGCGTATAAGCGGGTGCGGCTGGCGATAGCGGACCCGATGAGCGCGGCCGTCTTCTTTCACCGGGAGATAAAGCTCTTCTTCGAGCATTACGTCGACGTCGGGGACGAGTCGGTGTTCGGGCACGTCGGGGCGTACTACGGGGCGGTAGAGACGAACGAACGAGGTGCTCTCCACCTCCACGGGCTTCTCTGGCTAAAGGGCAATGCGCGCCTCGGCGAGGCGCTGGCCGGCGCCGGCGGCGAGGAGCAGGCAGCGTACCGGGAGCGAATAATCCGCTACGTAGACAGCGTCTTCTCCGAGGTAAGGCGGACGACGTCTAGAGGCGTAGCCTCCCGGCTCCGTCGAACGCAGACTAAAGGGGCCGAAACTAACCCTAGGCCGTAGGAGCTAGACGCAGAAGGGCACCACGCTGTGCAGGCGGAGCGGTCGATCACGGCGCACATGTCGTCGTGGCTTGACGACGTCGAGCGCTTAACGGACGCGTTCGACGAGGAGGCCAACTTCTGCGCCGGCGCGACGCAGGTCCACACGCATAGCGCGACCTGCGTCAAGTACTCGCTCGCGGGGCCGGTCGTGGGCGACCTCTGCCGTTTTAAGGCGCCCTGGAGGCTAGTAGAGAGGACGGCGCTCACGGCGGACGGCGTGCTGGAGATCCGGCGGACACATAGCATGGTGAACCGGTGGAACAAGGCGATGGCGGTAGGGCTGCGGCACAACCACGACATCTCGTTCATCGCGACGCAGCGCAAGACCATGGCCCTGATCTACTACATCACCAACTATGCGACTAAGGTAGAGGACCCTACGTGGAAGCGGGTGGCCGCCGCGGCCGAGTTACTCCCGACCTTAGAGCCGACAGCAGAGAGCAGTATCCCCAGCGCCGACCGCAACGATAGCGGGGGGAACGGAGCCGGAGAGGAGGCCGCGGCGGACCCTATAAGGGGAACAAGACGAGGTGTTCCTACTAAAGGCGGCGAACCGAATCTTCACGGAGCGCCCGCTATCCCAGGTCGAGGTGATCGCCGACCTCCTGGGGTATCCCGCGGAGTTTTGCAGCGGCGCGGCGTGGGCGTACGTGAACACGAACCAGCTCTACTGGGCCGTCTTCCGCCAGTGGCGGCACCTCCGACTGGCGAGCGGGGTAGAGGCGACGGCGAGCGACGCGCCGGACGAGACGGTCGTCGTCGAGGAGGCGGGGCCGAGGATCTCCTTCATCGAGGCCTACCGGCATAGAGGCGGGCTCCTACAGGGCCTCTGTCTCTACGACTACGCGTCGCTCGTAAGGCTGAAACGGAATGGCGGAGGCGCCGAGGGCTGCGCGGCCTGGGGCGAGATACCCTTTAACGAGAGCTGGGCTCCGGGAAGGACTGGGCGCAAGTGCTCAGACGGCCGGGTAAGGGGCGAGCGTACGCCTAGACGGGTACCTCAGTAAGGAGTTCGGCGAGGAAGACGAGGAGTCATGTCATCGGAGGTACGTATAGCAAAGCCGAGGGCGTACCGTCGGACGGCGACGCGGCCCGTGGCCCGGCTAACGGTGCAAAGGGCGGCGGTGCAGCATCTAGCGCTGTTCGTGCCGTGGGAGGCATTCGTCTGCGAGGAGACGGGCGACATCAACGACATCTGGGCGCGGGCGGGCGGCGCTGGCGCCGAGGATCGCGCGGCTCGCGGACAACGTACAGCTGCTCCGGCGGTCGGCGGAGGACGCCAAGCGCGACGCCAGGCAATGGGCCGCTACGACCGAGGAGGGCGAGCCGGCGGCGGCGGCACGCGCCAACGAGGGCGCGGAGGAGGCGGCCGAGGGGGGCGGGCAGGTGTACCGCGCCGGCGGCGCAGGCGACGCGGCGCGGCTCATCGACGTTGTCCGGAACGCCGCCGGCGCGGGCCAGGTAACGGCGCGGTCGGCGGAGCTGCTGGCGATGACGCAGCAGCTCTGCCGGTTTCAGCAGTCGGCGCTCTCGTCGGCGGCCGAGCTCGATGCGACGGTGGTGGCGGGCGAGGCGGGGCCGAGGCGGGTAATCCTCGCGGGGTCGACCCTCTCCGGGGCGGCGCTGCCGCGGCAAGAGCAGGTAAGAGCCATCAAGTCGCAGCAGAGGAGCGCCGCGCGGGAGCGGGAGCGGGCGATCCAAGGAATCCAGGGCGGCGCGGCGGCGTCGGCGCCGGGGCCGACCGAGTGCGGCGCTACGCGGGGTGATGGGCGGCTTCGGCGAGGACGACGTCGAGGTGACGGCAGCGGACGCCGACGCGGGGATGCGTGTGCGGCTCGGCCCGTCGAGCTCGTTTGTCGCCGCCGGCAGAGCTAGCGGGCCGGCTAACGCTTAACGAGAAGCAGTCGATCGCCCTCCTCATCATATGCCGCCAGCTCGATCAGGCCCGGCAGGGCGGCGACGCCGGCGACAGCGGCGACGCCGGCCAGCTCTGTCTATTCGTCGGCGGCGAGGGCGGTACCGGCAAGTCGCGCGTCATTGAGGCGCTCGTCGAGCTGTTCGCCCAGAGGACCTATCGAGCCAGCTACTAATCACGGCGACATCGGGGACGGCGGCGGCGCGGATCAACGGCATCACCCTGCACTCGGCCTGCGGCCTCTTGGTCGGCCAGGGCGGCCAGGCGGGGTCGGCGAGGAGGTAGACGGGGTGCGGCTGCCGGGACAGGGCGAACGCTTCGTCGACGGCCGGTCGCGGATGGACTGGCAGGAGAAGGAGGTGCTGGTGATCGACGAGGTCAGCATGCTCGGGGCGCGCACGCTGCACGCGGCGAACGAGCAGCTCTGCCGGCTGCGGGCTCGCCGCGGGACTTCGGCGGCATCCCGGTAGTCATCCTCTGCGGCGACTTCCATCAGTTCCGGCCGGTGCAGGAGCGGTCGATCCTGCTGCCGAGCGCGGCGGTGCCGTGGGACGCGGACGGCGCGTTCGCGGCCGAGCGGCGGCGGCAGCACGATAAGGCGCACGCGCTATGGAGGAAGTTTACGACGGTCGTCATGCTCGACGAGCAGATGCGCGCCGCCGGCGACCCGGAGCTACGGCGGCTGCTCGGGCGGATCCGGCGGGGGGAGCAGGACCGGTCGGACCTAGACCTCCTCAACTCGAGGTGCTACCGGGCGGGCAGGCGGATACCGTGGGAGACTGGGGTGACGGTGGTGACGCCGCTTAACAGGAATCGCTGGAACCTCAACCCAGAGGCGGCCCTCGCGTTCCGGGCCCGGCAACGGACGGCGGCGCGCATCTTCGTCTCCGAGCATAAGTGGAGGGACGGCACGCCGACGGAGGAGGAGGCGGTGCTGATGCTAGGCCAGGGCGACGACAGCGCGACTCCGGTGCCGGCCGTCTTCCTCTTCGTGCCCGGCATGCCGGTCGTCGTGAACCAGAACACGCACCAGGGGCTGAAGCTAGTGAACGGCGCCGGGTACACGGCGGTCGACGTCATACCCGACCGGGCCTTCCCCGGCCACCGGGTCTCGGCGGAGCTGACAATGCACTTCGGGCCGCCGGTCGGCATGGTGCTGGCCTCGGAGACGACCAAGGATTTCCACTTCGTGGGGATGCCGTCCGGGACGATCCTGCTGACGCCCATCAGCGTCAAGATCCAGGCCCAGCGGAAGCGGCCGTGGCAGCGGAACGACGTTAGCCGGAGGGCCTGCCGTGCGCCGCGGCCTTCGCCTGCACCGACTACAAGGTGCAGGGCGGGACGCTGGAGCGCGTGGCGCTGGAGCTCCGGGGGGCGAGGACGACGACCGTCGACGGGCGCGCGGTACCGTCGCCGTGCGACCCGTATAGCCTATACGTGCAGCTATCGCGGTGCCCGACGCTCGACGGCATCATGCTCGTGTCGGAGGTGCGGGAGAGGGACCTGGTAGGGAACAGGGTGCCCGAGGAGATGACGGCGGCGCAGGCACGGCTAGAGAGGCTCAGTGAGAGGACCGTCGGGAGGCGCTACGCTGGCTCGGCGATGACCTCCCGGGCCGCGGGAGGGACAAGACGAGACTGGGGGGGGATAAATAGATAGAACGCCCAACTATTTCCTCATTAGGCCCGAGCCGCAGAACCACCGTTCTCACAAAACCTCGGCGGGGGCAAGTTCTATACGTCTTCTTCCAAGACACCCCAAAAGAAAGGCAAAGGGCCCGGCTAGGAGTGATAGGCGGCCGAGAGGGCGGACGAAACAGGGCCGTTCCATCAGAAAAAAAGGAGGCCGGAGGAGGGAGCGGTAAGCAGTCGAGGTTGCGGGGAAGCTTTCAAACCATGATAATTTCCTTTCCGACCAATCAAAAGGGAGGAACCCGACCAATCAGAGGACGGGAGTTTGGGGGAAAAAAAATTTGGGTTGGGTGGTCGCGCGATAAGAAGAGGCCTTTCGTTCCTCAAGGCATATGACATCTACATGCCGTCTCCTCATCCTCCTACGTGGGGTCCTCCTACGGGGGAGCCTCCTTCGGGGGAGCTTCTTCCCGATCGTCTTTGCATTCAATGCAACCAGTTCAAGCAAGACGATCAATTCATTCACCTGATTGACCCATCTAAGCGCACTAGAAAATGTCTCCCCTGTCGTCGGGTTCATAATCGTCCTGTGTGTGTCTCTTCTTGCCTCTCAATTCGTTCGTCTGTTGATCTTCACTTAGGCTCAACGCATCCCAACAATCCATAAGCGACACGCAAGCCTAGATATCCAGAGTCCAACGGCGCGTAGGCCTACCGCACCCCAGACACCGTCTTCGGCTTCGCCTGCTCTGCCTCCTCTGCAGCCTCGTCCTTCGTTTTCTCCTGGCGTGCCTCCGCTACGCTTACCTCCACTACAGCATCGCCCTCGGTTCTTTCGTCGGGGCATTCGGCCAGAAGATAGTCCAAGCCATGCAACGGCACACGCCCGCCAGGTTACTATCAGTCGACGTCATCGTATGGAGAGACGGCAAGGCCATGAGCCATCCGCAACGCCAGGCACCTCCCAGTTGCTTTCTATGCAGCCGGCCCCGTCGTCTCCTGCTCTCTCTCCCGCGGTTAGCAACACATTCTCATATCTCTTATCCGATGTCAAGCAGCCCTTCCAACGTGTCGTCTCCAGCCTCTTCTGCTTTCACAGCAGGCGATTTGAATCTGCATCCGGTTCCTCGCATTGGCCTTTCTGCTCCTGCAAGCCTACAATCTATCCAATGCGACGAGGCCGATGAAGACGTTCCTCCTTTGGACATCGTTGGACCGTTTGCCGGCGATCTCAACGCACAGGCCATTTCTCAGAGTGATCAGGACCTCCTCAATCTTCATCATAATACGCTCACGGGATTCAACGAACCAGCCACACGTCGTCCGGCAGTTTCGACGTCAATTCCGTGTTAGGCAAGGTCACATTCGCGTCTGGCTTGAACACCTTCAACTCAACCACCCTGGCTATCGAGATATCATCATTGACGTTGAGCGCCTAAGTCAGCTACCAAACGACGGTGATGTGGTTGATCAAATGCTTGCCGAGGAAGTCGATGTGCCTGAGGGCGTGCAAGCAGAGCAACATCCTATAGAGCACCCTGACCCTGAGGCCGTTGAGGATGCCGATGCAGCTGGCATTGATGACTACGATGCAGCAGCAATCCCAAACTTCATTGCAGCGCAGGCTGACCTTGAGCGTCTCCGGGCTCAGCTTGAGGATCACGAACCCGTACCGCCCGAGCAGATCCCTCTGCGCCAGGCCCACATCGAGATGCCTAATATCCGGTCTACACCTCTCAATGAGTTCAATCGTTCCCAGCCTCTGCTGTCTCTCGCCTTTCCTACCCTCTACCCTACTGGGCAGGCAGACTTCGTGGCGCCTCGTCAGAGGACAATTCGGTACGATGAGTATATCGCACACGCCGTGAGATACCATGATGGCCGTTTTGCTACGCATCCACGCTTTCGATATGTTGCTTTTAACACACTCATGCGCCAACAAGTTAACTCTCGCAGTTCCTTCTTTCTGAAGAGGCCTGGCCTGCAGCAGCAAGTTGACATGGATGAACTACGCAATGCCTTTGAGGAAGATACCCCAGAATCTCGCGCACTGTTGAGCTCTATTGTGCGCTTCTCAAGCAGCTTGAAAGGCACACGAGCTTACTGGGGCGGCCAGAGACATCAGCTTGAGGCCATCGTCCACGGCCTTACCTGTCCTGGTGTCTTCCTCACCTTCTCAGCTGCTGACCTTCACTGGGATAGCCTCCAGAGACACATGCCGTCATATGTTGAATGGCGTGAGGCTGATGGCCGTGGTAAGGGTGCTATTGCGTTCCGGAATCTCCTTGAAAACCCTCATATCGCAGCATATCACTTTCACAGCCGTTTTACTAGCTTCCTTAAGATAGTATCGATGCCAAGGTTCAACATTACCGACTATTGGTTTCGCTACGAATGGCAGGCCCGTGGCAGCACGCATGTGCACGGCCTTTATTGGGTTAGGGATACACCAAAGCCTGATATGTCTACTCTCGAAGGCAAAGCTGAGTTTGCCCGGTTTTGGGCCCCTTATGTCTCTGCCATTAACCCAGAGCCGCTTCGTGTGATGCAGCAAGGCGACGCAAATCCATTGGTACTAGTCCGACCGCCGCCTACTTTCCAGTTCCTCGCTGAGGTTGTTAATCGCGTACAACGCCATCGTTGTTCTGAGCTCTATTGCTTGCGACACCGCCGACTGCCTGACAACTCTCTGTCAAGGGAAAAGCTATGTCGATTCCACTTCCCTCGCGCCTCCCATGCCGAGGCCCACGTCACACATGGCCTTAACCCGACATTCCTTGTGTATGATGGCGCACGCAACGACCTCTGCTTAACAACTTCAATCCCTTTTGGCTATTGGCTGGCTTGCAAATCATGACATTTCCCCTGCACCTCCTTTCATGCAGTTGTTAACTATCTCGGCAAGTACTGCTCTAAAGCTGAGAAGCAGACGGAGAGCTACCGCGACGTCGCCAGGGCCATCTTGCCTAGAGTCAATGCACGACAGGGTCTCGTCAGCTTCGTCGCCAAGTTCATGAACAAGCTTACGGCTGAGCGTGACTGGTCTGCTATGGAGATTAACCACCTGCTGCTCAGCCTACCACTCCAGCAAAGCACGAGGACTGTACGATCGGTTGACTGCCGCCCTCCTCAAGAGCAATGGCAGGCAGCTATTGTAGATGAAGCTGCTGATGGTATTCGGGCCTCAAGGAATATATATCAGAAATACCTCGCTCGCAACGATCAATGGGCGCAGTTGACCTACTTTGAGCTTCTCACCAAAGTTGACTTTACACGCCCGGCAGCCTGGCACTACTACAGCCGAGCCCTGACCGTGTGTTGAGCTATTTCCCTCGGTACAAGGCCCTCCGCGGTAACGAGCAGTACGAGGACTTTTGTCGTGTCAAGTTAACCCTCCACCATCCTCATCGCGACCCTCAGGAACTCAAAGAGGTAGATGGCGCCCTTTTCGACACCTTCTCTGGGGCATACGACCATTGCTCTGCTGTCCACGACGTTCATCCAGATGACTACTACGGGGACCTCCCTCCTCCAGTCGAAGAGGAATTCCAGGAAGAACCGCGTAACGAGGAAGATGTTGCGGCTGAGGGTTGGGAAGAGCTTGCTGCAGTGCTTCCAAATCGTGGTCCAGATGAAGATGACATTGACTTACTGGGGAATCGCGATTTTGACCTTGCTCACGGTTGGCAGCCCTACATTGGCAAGTATCCGGATTTAGCCATTCTGGGGCATGACTATTGGAAGGAGCTTAAAGCTTCACACCCCCTAGGCAACAACCAAGATGATGTCCCTGATGGCCTCTTTGATCAGCTTAACGTCGAGCAGCGCACTGTGTTTGACCTATTTACTCGACATCTTGAGAAGGCCCTCGACCCTCAACAGCCAAACCCGGCACCGCTCCTTGTGCAGGTAGACGGAGAAGGCGGCACAGGTAAATCCTTTATGATCAGAGCGCTCTGTGCACGTCTTGGGCAGCTATCTCCAACCTGCTTCGCTCGGGCTGCCCCTACCGGTGTGGCTGCTAATGCAATTGGCGGCGTTACACTACACTCCCTTCTACGACTCCCTCTTACCAAGTCTTCAACGGAGCTGCCGTTGCTAGGCCCTACAGACATTGCCAACCTACAGTCAAAGCTACGCAACCTCCGCTACCTCATTATCGACGAGAAGTCAATGATTGGCTTGCGTACTTTTGGCTACATTGATAGCCGCCTCCGACAAATAATTATTTCCCGAATATCGAGACACCTTTTTCGGCGGCCGTAGCGTTTTGTCGCTCGGCGACTTCTACCAGCTTCCACCTGTTATGGAGAAGCCGCTCTTTACTACGTCTATGCTCACGGCTTTACCTGATATCAATGGCCGCAATGCCTACCTGGCATTCGACAAGACAGTTGTGTTACGACAAGTGTTGCGTCAGCAGGGCGAAGAGCAGGCTCCTTTCGCACTGCTCTTCAGAGCCTACGTATAAATGCTCCTACTGTCCTAGACTGGGAGCTGCTCTGCACCCGCGTCCAGGCCAATCTGACCTTAGCCGAGGTTACGTGCTTTGACGGGGCAGTACGCATCTACACAACGAATGCCCAGGTCCGCGAGTTCAATAGGGATCATATGGAACGCCTAGCTGTGCCTTGCATACAAGTTCGGGCAACAAATGTCGGCCCAAAAGCCGCCGAAGCTGACTCTATGACTGCTGGCAACTTACATAACCAGTTACCCATTTGCATTGGGGCAAGAGTTATGTTGACTGAGAACGTCTGGACTGATGTTAGCCTTGTTAATGGTGCACTGGGGACCATGTATGACTTTGCCTATGAGGATCACGTACAGGATCCTCAAGCTCATCATCCCTTTGTCATTATGGTCCGCTTCGATCGCTATACCGGCCCCCCTTATTTCGACGACCCTGAGCTAGCCAACGTCCAGCCTATCTTTCGCTCCTGGCGGGACTTCATCAAGGGTAGTATGCCCTGCTCTCGCACTCAGTTTCCCTTGACAATTGCATATAGCATCACTGTGCACAAGGCACAGGGTGCTACGCTTGAATGGGTTGTTGCCGATATATCCCATCGCGATTTCCAGTCTGGCCTCACCTACGTCGCCGTCTCGCGCGCCAAGACGTTGAATGGCATCATGTTTGATGCGTCCTTTGATCTCAATGATATCCGGCGTCGCACGGATGGCTCTATGGCTGCTCGGGCTGCTGACGCTGCCCGGCGTGCTGGCCAGGTTGTGACTGCCCAGGAAGCATTGAATTGACTGGTCATACATTCGCCTGCTTGCAGCAACTCTCAATGTGACAATTTGGCTCTCTTATGGGTCAGCAACAACGGGGATGGGGTTTTCTCTAACTGAGAGTCTGAGCCATTTGATCATATGCACAGGAGCGAACAGGAGCCTTTTGGATGACGATTAATAAGGGGAATTGCTGGCTTGCTTGCAATCCTCTCCAAGCACAGCCTTCGTAGCACATAAATTTACAGCTTTGCTTACTCCTGTGACGGCGTATTCGGCGGCAACCCAGGTATCTTATTTTAAAATACTGCGCCACACCTTGCACTTGTCTTTAGGGCTGTGGTGCAAGGCGTACAATCAGCTGAAGGCTGCGAGTCTGGCTACCAGTCCAGCATTCACCGAACAATCAGTACAGTATCTACAATCATACAATCATCTGTGCCTTGGAAAGTGTCGTTGTCGCCAGTAGCATCAAGTGGAGTTACGTAGACCCGTGGCCTATCTTATACGGATTCTGAGTCTGTCGTTTGCGAAGTTGCTGATACCTCATTCTTATCTTAATTCCTTCCGGCGGCGACGCATAAGTCAGGTGATTGCGGTCAAACGGAGCATCCAGCACAGACCCTGCAGCGTTTTCACACGCGAGACGGCCACGTAGCTCAAACCGGTCTGAAAGTCACCATATCGTCGATAGCGGCGCGAAGCCCGGCCACGAAACGCGCGCGGACTCCATAGGCCCGGATCGTAGCAACGCCGCTAAGGTCCTCGCTAAACATGGCGAAGACGTGGGAACGCATGACCGACTAAGACGAGCCTAGTCAATTCGATCAGTGGATGCAGAGCCATGATCGGTTCAGGATGGAGGAAGACGATGAGCTTGGAGCTTATATGAGGCAGGCGCCAGTCCGGCGAGAGAACCTAAACCCTATTCTATGGTGGAGGGATCACCAAGAAGAATACCCACGCCTGAGCAAGTTTGCCCTTGACATACTGGCAATTCCTGCCATGTCTGTGGATCCTGAACGGACTTTCAGTGTCACAAAGTTGACAGTAAGCTCGCAGAGGCACAGCTTAAGCCCTGAGATCATTGAGGAAATACAGTGCCTACGGGATTGGCTGGCCCATCGAGCGATCACTGTGGGCGAAGTCGTTAGCTTTGGTTCGGAACTGATGGGTTGTGATGAAGAGGTGGCGTGATAATGCGCGGGGCCTGTCGTGAAAACGGGTTAACGATCTAGGTCCGGAGGTTACCTAGTCGGGCTGACTCTAGCAAAGGTGACTGAGAAGGATGAGTAATGTTGTTGTTAAGCGGTGGTATCGAACCTTCTAGATGACAACGTCATCTAGGCGGCCTGGGTGGCGAAATCGCCACCACAAGGCAGCCACAGGTGACAGAACTATAAGAAGTCACTTTTTGTTAGGGAGGAAGAAGAATAAAAGGATAAGGAACTTAATCAATTCATCACTTGCACCCTCTCTTCGCGAGAGGGCCTGGCCCTGGCGTCAGATATCAATAGGATATCCACAGCGGGGTTTTGGTGGCTGATTCAGCGGCTGAGCGCCACAACACCGCAGTTTAGCGTCCGTGCCCTCAGCGGCTTCCAATATCCACCCTTGTCCACGGTCGGCCGGACGGCCGACCGCCGCCCGGAACGCCGCGTCTTGAAGGGCTCTCAAGGCTCGACGAGCTCGTCAAATTACGAGGGGGAAGGGAAACAAAAATAGTGTATTTCTACCTCTTTAGTTGTACAACTTTTGCCTTTCTGTTGGCTCGGAGCTGTTTGCAAAATAAGTCCAGCGAGCAGCCGGTTTGCTGCTGTTGTAAGTTGACAATGTGCATCGCGGCCTCCTCGCTACACCTGTGGGCCTTCGCCACCTTGCGAATCTCCTTATAACCTCGAGCCGTAACGAATACCACTGCAATTCATTTTGTCGCCCGGCGCGCCACCGGCTTCCCCATCTACCGTCGAGGTCGGCAATGGCTGGCCCGCCTCGAAGGCCAACCGTCCACTCGCTCCAGAGCGCCTCGACCATTTTTACTGCTCGGCACATCTGATACCGTGGCGGTGGCTCTGTCTTAACCGTGATCGTATCTGTCGCCGTCGGGCTCGTGGCACGGCTATCAACAATGCTCGACTGAGCCGAGACGAATCGGCTTCCATCTCCTCGTCCTCCCTGCCCAACGACATCAACCACGGCCGGGGCCGTGGTGGCAGTGGTGGTCGTCGCGGCCGTAACGGAAGTTGAAACCATTCGAAAAAGGGACGACTGGGCTACCGCAAGACGTTCTTCGGTGGCTCGAAGCTGCTCGCTTAGCTCTGTTTTAAGCTGGATCGTCCTTGCTTCGTTCCGCGCGTCGATGGATTTAAGATAGTCCGCGAGGACCGGCATCGCCTGGACTAGGACTGCAAGCTGGCTTGGACGCTCCTCTTCAAGGACGAAGTCCGATAGCTGGTGCGCGAACGGGGCGTAGGCCGGATGCCGGAAGACCGGGTGGTTCCAAACGGGGCTGCCGGGGTATTTCTTCATCAGGACAACGGAATCCTGCAAGACAACCTCCCGTAAATAGAAGATGAGGTTCGTCGAACCCATCGCTGCCAGGTCGTTCTCCTGCTCGGTACCGGGACCGAACCGGCCTCGCCAACTGTCCGGCTCGGGCCAGATCATCGAGAGCAGGACCTCCGGCGGCGTCACGCCGGCACGGCGTATCTCGAAGCATCCGGCCTGCGGCGGGTGCCCGGCCATCGTACGCATGAACTTGCGAGGCAACGAGTTCAGGTAACAGCCGACCATCTGCTCCTGGTTCCAACGACCCGCGCGACGGATCTGGTCTTCGCTAATCCCTTTAGTTCAGCCGTCCTCGCCCCGAGCTGCGGCCGACATGCGTCTTCTTCTGCGACGTGACGCCGGCGTAGGCGAAGGCCTTGACAACCCACTCGCGCTGTGAGTTGTACGAGAAAGCCGCCGTCCGGCCGGTGCCGTTACCCTTGATTAGCCGGATGTCGTACCACGAGGACCGCCTGCTGAAATCGGGAAACGGCTCACTACCGAGATCCCAACGATACAAGAGGTAGAACGAGAGGCCACCCAGGATGCAGATTAGCGGGTTCCTATTCCGATACGCGCCGGCGGTCTCGAGGCGGCCGTGCTGGTTCTGCTTGCCGGCTCGTGTCGTAAAGATGAGCGGCATGCACCGGGTCGAGCCCTCCCCGGCAAACTCAAAGGTGAATAGGTCTGAGATCTCTGCAGCCCGACGATCGCCGCCACGGGTGAGAAGATAATGGCCAAAGAGGAGATCCACGAGGTCCGAAAATGACACTCGGGCGATGTGCCGCTGTGGGCCCACAGCTCGTGGCATACTCGTTCGAACTCGGACTCCGAGTAACCATCGAGCAGAGTATCGCGGCCTTTATCGGCATAGTTCTCCTGTCTCGTTGGGCGTCCCGGCGCTGTAGGGACTTGAGGTACTCTCGTACGTTGTCCTCGCGCGGCGACGGGTGCGTATTCATTCCGAGGGCCTTCTGCGTCCGGTAAAGATCCGTGATTGCGGTGACATAAGTTCGGACCGACCGCCAGGCCAGGCGGGTCTCGTCCTGCGGAGTATCAGTGGCGGCCTTGCGGCTCCTGACCTTCAAGGGCCGACCGGCCACCTCCTCGACGAGGAAGAGGAGCTTCTCCTCTGTGACCGTAGCGCCGTCACAGTACTGTTTGTGGCGGCAGAATTCCCCGAAATCCTCTTGCTTCGGTGCGTACGCCGAGGTCGTATTCCTGGCCGAGACTCGTGGATCGCAGAGAGGATCGTCTGCGCATTGGCGCGTAGCTCCGCGTCGTTTATCGCGTTCTGCCGGATGCGTTGGTCCACTCGTACGCTCGACGGCTTTGCGCGACTCCTGCCCCTGCCCCTGCCCCGGCCGCTGCTCCTGCGAGCTTCGGCTTGGCCCCGCTTTGTCTTCGCCTTCCGTCGATTTGGCGTCCGGGCCATGGGATATATCGTGACGGGGAAGACCAAGGCAAGCCTGCGAGTGACCACCAGTCCGGGTTGGAGCGGGGTGGCGCGCGGCGACGAGAGATGCCCTATCTAGCGATCACGATGCGCACCGCCTGGTCGGGTCGCCCGCTAAAATTCCAGTGGACAGGGCGCCGTAGCGAACGTGAATAGCGGCTTCTCCATCGAATCAGCGACGCAATCAGCGGGGGGCACCGATATCTGCGTATATCCACGGCGCGCGCCGTTCGGGTGGGGTGGATATCCGCAGATACGATTGGCCCGCCTGGTCGCTGATTCTCGGATTGCCCCACCCGACCAGATCAGCGGCGCTCAGCAAACCCTCGGATACCACCGTATATTTCGACCATATCGCCATTCATTCAAGATTTTGATGAATGAATTGAATAAAGACTCCTGATTTTCGATTCGTCGAATTTGAAGACCTTACCCGATTCCGCTTCATTCAATTCAAGGGTCCCGAGGCCGATTCGACTTCAAAATCTTCAAATATCAGCCCTAGCGATGAAGGAGCTCAAGAGCGGCAGTCTCGACCTGCTGCTTGCTGGATGGGAAGCCGCTTTTCTGGAGCCAGATAACGTATGCGACGAGAGCGTCATCTTCTTCGTTAGAAAGAACACTCGGCCGACCAGTGCGGCCTACGTAGCCACGATACCTCCGTATGGCCTTCTGAACCGTTGAGCTTGGCACCTTGAATATGAGAGACTCTATCCGCACGCACCCAACTCTCAATTCGCACGCACCCCCCCACATTCAGCCACGTACCAGCCACAGCGTCCCCGATGTCGCCTACGTGTTGATTTAGCTCGCAAAAATTGTCCTCAACCTTTTGACGACCGTCAATGCAACAACTGAAGCTATGGCTATGGCTTCTCTAGCGCTGCCTCTAGCGCCTCCTCTAGGACTGCCTGAACCCCGCGAATCCCTACCGGTTGACTCCACTGATGAATCCAGTGATTTTGATCACGACGATTTGCGCGATTCTGAGCACTGGAATGGGCAACCGTGGGAGGTAATATTTCCTTCTGACAGTCCTCTTTTGAACACGACATACGAAACTGCTGAATTAGCCTTTGATGCCTTAAAGGACTTGTGCATTCGGAATCGCATGGGCCTCGTCACATTACGAAGCCAGAAGAACAAGGCAAACACAAGGACCATCAAATATGAGCTTGTCTGCGACAAGAGTCGGTCTAATCCAAGGGAATCTGTTGCCAAAATACGGAATACAAACACCACAAAGTTGGCCTCCAACTGTCCGTTCAAGGTCATCATTCAATCCCTCCAGGCCAACAACTACGAATGGTCCATGAGAATTGTTAGTTCTCTTCATCGAGCTCACGGCCCATCGGAACATCTTACCGAGCATTACCATTGGAGAAAGTTAACAGAGGAACAAGATCATCTTCTGGAAGAACTTTGCCTAGACAAGACAATCTCCTGTCGATCTATTCATAAGCAGCTCCGTCAGAAATGGCCCAAGATTCCTATTCGCCGAACAGATATTTACAACTGGCGATGGACAGCCAATAAGGCCAAACGTCAAGGATACGGCCCTACCAACGATTTTGTACGGACGCTTTCCGAGTCGAAGAGAGTCTGGATATGGGGCTTGGACTGGATTGAGGATGAATGTCGCTTTCGCCATGCCGCTTGGGGATACCACAAAGGTGGCAAAATGTGGCAACAATTCTCCTCTTGTCTCCAGATTGATGCTACCTACAACGTCAACTGCTATAAAATGCCTTTGGTTACGGTTGTAACCGTATCTTCGGAGAGGACCTCTATGCCTATATGTTATGGCCTTCTAAACAACGAACAGTTTGCGAGTTTTGAGTGGTTTCTCCAACAGCTATCCCGATTCCGACGAGCAGGCAATATCAGCCCCCCAGAGGTCATCATCACGGACAAAGACGATCAGTTGCGTGATGCAATACGGCAAATCTTTCCCGATACACAACTTCAGCTATGCGTCTTCCACATCAATAGTAATGTGGTCTTATACATCAAGAAGTGGTGGATGCAAGCCAAAAGTCATGAGCTAGATGACGATCATGACAAAATAGATGCTCTTGATATCCAGGAAATGGAACGTGCGAACAACAAAGTTAAGCACATGAAGGACATAAAGCTTGGACCTCTTCCACAACGAGTATTAAATACTCGGGCTGGTCTTTACCTCCTCTGGAGACATGTGGTGTATAGCAGATCGGAAGATGGCCTCGACCAAGCTTGGAGACAACTCCAACAGACATTTTCAAATCAAGAGCGAATCCTCAGATATCTCCAGGACACATACTTACCCTTGAAGAAAGAATGGGCCTGCTGCTATACTCGCTATTATCGAAATTTCGGATTGATTACTACAGCACCAGCCGAATCGAACCATCATTCTCTTAAGACTTACCGGTACCATCTGTCACTTCGGTCCGACCTGCCTGATGTTGAGGAGGCAACTGCTAGCCAAACAGAAGATAAACGTCAGCTATACAAAGAAAAAATACAGCAGGCAAACACCACTATCCGGAATCAATTTTCCGGAAGAGAATGGCTGGGCCAGTTACCCTTGAATGTCACCCGATGGGCGCTAGACAAGCTCAACGAGATCCATAAGGTTATGGAAGCAAGTCACGCCTCTGAGAAGAAGTTGCCACCTTGTACAGGCTCTACAAAGGCTCAATATGGCTTGCCTTGTGCTCACAGGCTCTTGGAGTTGTCTCTTCAAGACGAACCTCTGAAGAAGGAAGACTTGGATCCATTTTGGCAAATTAAACGATCACGGGACATTGATGATCCTCTTCTACGAGTTCAGCGTCCCCCACTGGGGATACCCAAGGGTCGGCCGCGGAATGACGGACCATTTGGCAACGAACGTGCGATCCCGGAATCACAACTTGCTCCTCAAGGCCCAACACAAAGCGGCGTCAAAAGGTCAGTACGTCGACATTACTCTCAATATGAGCTAGGGCCAACTCTTGAGGCAGAAGATGCGGCGGACAGTCTGCCGCCAGCCGCAGACTTACAAGGCCAACAACCACCTGGGCGAAAACGGATCAAGGTTTCTGCTTCGCTACTAAGTCGAGAGTCTGCTCGGGTTACTCGTCAACAGGCAAAACGACGGGAAGAAAAGGACAAGCCCATTGGACAATACGATGCTTTTGAAGAGGAGGTAGAGGAGGAAATGGTAGAGTCGCTCGCAAAGAATAAGGGGAAAGAAGTGATCTGGGACAGCATTACTGTTGTAGCGGATTAAGAGGTTACCCGTGGAGCATTGTAAAAGTTAACGTGATTCAGCATTGCCCTAACGCTAGAGGCGTTGCCAGACGCAATTGCAAACAGGTTACGAATAATCTCATACTATTCCCGTTCTTTGAATGGCTGTGGTCCATTATTGGAAACGTAAAGCCTGAATTGGCGGGTGGGCGATATCGGAGGACGCTGTGGCTGAATGTGGGGGGGTGCGTGCGAATTGAGAGTTGGGTGCGTGCGGATAGAGTCTCTCTCAAATATAAGCAGCATGGATCAAATCTCCAAAGCCAAAGTCCGCAACGGCGCCATGAAACTATTGTCCTTGGTCACAGGGTTCGGACTTGCCGCCTCTGCACAAGCCCATATGGAGATGAAGTACCCTCCGCCACTTCGTTCCAAGTTTAACCCGTATGTAGTAGCCGAGGATATCGAATACAACATGATGTCGCCTCTAAAATCGGACGGTAGCGATTTCCCATGTAAAGGTTATATCGGACTTCTAGGCACTCCCGAGGGCAAACCCGTCGCTCAGTGGACATCTGGGCAATCGTATAGCATGACGCTAACGGGAAACACGATCCACCGTGGCGGAAGCTGTCAGGCATCCGTCTCTTTCGACCGTGGCAGCACGTGGGAGGTGCTCCATTCTTACATTGGCAACTGTCCTGTTGCAGGCGACTCAAGCTACAAGTTTATCCTTCCCAATGACACCCCCACCGGCGAAATGCTTTTCGCGTGGACCTGGTTCAACCACTTGGGAAATCGCGAGATGTAGGTCCATGTCTCAACACATTGGTACAAGAAGATAAAGCCCCGGCTCATAACCACTATATACAGCAGCGGATATATGACTTACACGAAGTCCGGCGCCTTCTTTGGTGTGGTAATTCGCCTGACCTTAATGCAATTGAGCCATGCTGGCCTTGGCTAAAGAGAACAACTACGAAGAAAGGCGCCCCAAAGAGCCGGGCTGAAGCTATTCGCGCCTGGGAAGTAGCTTGGAAAGAGCTCCCTCAAGAGAAGATACAGGCTTGGGTAGAGCGAATTCCTCGACATGTGCAGGAAATCGTTGAATTGGAAGGCGGAAATGAGTATCGAGAGGGCCGAAAATGATCAAGGTAAAAGCGGGAGATCAAGGTATGTAAAGTTGGTTGCCCTTCCTTTTTGCGTACAGGGGTTCTTTTAGCGTCAGCAAGAACTTTTGAAATGTTCCTCCGTAATTAAAGGCGCGATTAAGGGAAACGCATACGGTACTGTGTCCCACTATATCTACGGTTGTCGAGAAGAAGGGTCTAAGACTTGGTCCTGAAGCCTGATAGCTAGCTGAAGGTGTACGGACGAGACAGGATGAAACTGGGAGGACGTGGCACGCTGACGCGGAGAGATGGGTGCCTATGGATTAGTAAGTCCGCAAGGAAGAAGATGGAAGACGGAGGAAGAAGCAGGGCAAGGGGATAAATAAAGGGCCTATGACAGAAGGGAAGAATCAAGACAAAAAGCACCCCAAAAATCATGCCCTTTGCCCTGCTTTCTTCGTGAGAGTAGCTGTCTCAACTAAATGTATTGACAACTAGCTAAGCGACTGCAACGAGTACCTTATCCTAAAGCTGGCGTGAAGAAGAGAAAGAGAAAAACTTGGAAAGTGGCAGGGGTTCTGAGCGGGGTTCTGGAACTTGTGTGGGTCTTGACTCTTGTGTGGGTCTTGACTCTTGTCGAGCCTTGACTCTTGTCGAGCCGAGACCAGCCCGTTACACTATTGCAGCGCGAGAACTTGGATGGCCGAATGGGACCAGATTCTTAAAGAGGAGCAGCCCTGCGAGATGGAGGAGATGGATGGCCCGGGCATGTACACATGCATTTTGGCGTCCCTGGAAACGGAGAGTTTGGTGATTGTGGACTCTTTGGACCACCCGGCGGGTTCGAGATACCTGTACCTAAAGGCTGATTTGGGATGCCGGAGCTCCCGGGATGTGGTGGACCCGGGAGCTTTGGTTTACAGCCTGGTCGCAAGGGCCCTGGCGGAAGTGGTGAAGGCGGAGAGTTGTTTGAGTCTGATTTCGGGGAGCCTCTTGTTCGGTTGCCCCTGTCGCCTCCAGTTGGAGCACCTGCGCCATCTGCGGCCTGGCGCATGAGCGCGACCTGGCGCACCTCGGCTTTCCGGCTTGATTCAAACTCATATGCAGGATGCTCACTGGTATCCTCAAGTTAGAAGAGAATACTGACGTGCAAAATATTAGCAGAGGCGAATACGTATACATACTTGGTACTAGCGGCCATGATGTTTGCTACGTTCGAACGAGGACTGGTTTCCGAGTGCTTAAGTCCAAACCAGTGACCACACTCGTGAACCATTATTATCTGGTCGATCTCGGAAAATGTGCCTTCACGAGTCAGGAGGACCATATCGCAATGCGGTCCATCATGTTGTGGATTCACCGGCTTAGTAAAGTCCTGAGGAGGATCAAGAGTAAATCCCTTAATGCCATAAGTTCCAGAATTTGTTGACAAGAAGAGATAATTGAGGGTACTCTGGCCACCTTCGCGTACTGACGCCATAATGTCATGTGAGTTTTGACCGCCGATGTCGGTATTTGAACACCTAGGATCGCTGAATTGGTGTAATTTTTTCAGGTCGAAGCTGATTTGGAACTGTGCAAACTTTTCATTCAGCTTGCCTACCATCTGTTTTACTCCGTCTTCCTGCATACCTAGTTAGTCCTCAGCCTTTAAAGGTAAATATGCAGTATGGGGTCTTACATTTCCGCAGGGAACTCCAGGAGGACAGCATAGGTGAGCGACTACATCGAAGTTGATATTTTGGCCGGTGTCAGCCGGGGGGGCACGAATCCCGAGGGGGGGCTCCCTGGGGGCGATGCTAGGGCTCTCTTCTCTATCTCCCATTGAGTAAGGCGTCGCAACTGTAGCGAAAAGGCCGATAACGACGGACAATAGCATTGCCATTGTTTTTGTCAGGTTTATTGCGGTTAGATAGGGACGGGAAGCACGGGGTTTCTTTGAGGCGGAATAGAAAATATCTATTGTTGAGATGGTAAGGTTAACTCGAAGTTTAACTTCTCTTTATATAGATACCTCTACTCTCGGCGTCTTAAGTCAGGTAACATAATCTGGTAGTTACCTAGACTCAAACTTTTCATGCAGAGTGCATATCAATGCATCCCTTCTTGAGCACTTATCCTGACCCCACTTTATGCAAAACCTTCACTTGTGGGACCGACCTCAGCGTTCTTAGCTGAAAAGTCGGCCAAAAGAGACGCCCGCAACACGGGAACGGCCACGGGACCGGAAAATGACTTCGTATGGACACGGTTTGGATACTAGCAGGCCGAATGACTCCAAGTAAGCTCGCTCGGGGCGCCACGAGTTGAAATATTCGTCCCATCTCGGGAGCCGGATCGCATGGCTAACCAGAGTGAACGGCAGATGAAGAGGCTTTCGGCGCTGCGGTTGCGTCAGCAATGCAGATGAATACGTCCGCAGGCGATCTACTATTGTGTCTTGGAGCGACAGGGATGTCGCCGATCCAGTTGGGTTACTGGATTCTCAAGAGGGCTGAGTACCCGAGGCTGTCTCGGATCATCGGATGGCTCTTGACATCCTGACGATGCCAGCGATATTTGCGGGCAACGTACGGCCTCCACACAATTCGTTTCAGATACCATCTTCGTCTCCCATTATGATTCAGCCTCCATGGCGTAGTGGTGACACGTCTGGAGTCTCTGTATTGCGGAGAGGTCGGTTCGAAGCCGGCTGGAGGCACCCCTGTTCTTCAGGGTACACTCGGGTTCCCACTCGTCAACAGGGACAGCGTCACAAGGATAAAAGACTACCGAGAGAAGGAATTCTCGGAAGCGAGGGGCAAAAATTCACAACGACAGAGAGCACAACGACAGAGACCAAAACGACAGGGTCCACAACGGCAGAGACTACAGCGGCTTGTTATGGACTGGAAAACAGTAGGCGCAATGCAAGATGATCCGTGGGGCTTGGGGTGTTATGCATCAATGTCTTGAATTGTCAATAGCTGAAAACGTCTAGGCCCTATAGGAAATATCCTCCGGGCGAAATAAATCATCATCATCATTATGATTCAATGCGTTCTGGAGTTGCAGCCCGACAGGTGCCGAGGACCGGTGGGGGAGTTCGGGGGGTGGAACCGGGTCCACCACATAAGTAAATTAAGCAGGGGGCCACGGAAATAAAAGGAGGACTGGCCGGTTCCCCCGGGGAATGTCGCAGAGATGATGGATGCCTAGCTGTCAAGGGCATATAAGGCTACACGATTTGTTTGTCAACACATGAGAGATCCTCCTGCAATTCACTTACACATAAGTCGGACGTTTCATTTAGTGATAATTATGCGAGGCGATAGGTTGCTCCTTGCAGAGACTTGACTAAAAAGTCATGTCCTCTTAGCCTAAACATGCGCGGGGTGCATCGCGACAGCAAGGAAGAAAATTAGACGATTTATCGATCACTGGAGGAGTCATGAGTGTGCCGCCGATTGGGCGGGATAGAGACAAACGTCGCAGCTAAGTGGGTTCTGCGATCCTTTGTAGGCTCAACCGATGGCGGGACGGTTTTATACACCTTAATAATCACGGGGTTAATGCACAAACCATTTGATTTAGTACCCCAAGGACGATAGATGGGGCCTCAACTCCGGCGCGTAAGCTTATCGGGCATTAACGACAAGGTTCCAGGATGTCAAAGGAAATGAGAGATGCCATGCATGTGAGGGTTATTGAGAGTCAAATTGGCCTTAACCACTGCCTAAGTCAAGGGGACGAAGGTCCCAGTTACATACACAAGAACGGGTTCGGACAGACATTATTGCAGGGATTATCGCGCTAAGCATGGGTTAAAAGCCATCGCGTCTCGACTACAGCCCAAATAGGATAATTGAAGGTAGGTCACCGTGTATCGATACACAGACGAGTCACAAAGAAGCTCTATTATAGCTATGATCATGACTTGTCTTCTCTCTCTTCTGTAGAGGGTGAAAGAGAAAGAGGAGATAGAGAGCATACAAAGCAAGCATCTCGGGCTAGGGCCAACATTCTTCCGTGCAGGAGGTGAGCAATTGACTATTCCAACAATAATCGTCAATTACCCTTGCCAGGTGCGCGTCGCAATAAAAATCGCGTCCTTCAATTGATCAAGCTCAATGGAGATCCAGCATCACGTCCGACACGAAAGCAAACCCGATGGAGGTCCAGTACCGCGACAGCCTCCCTGAAGACGTCCGCTCCGCCTTCGAGAAAGCCGTAGAAGCCTTGCCACAAGAGCATCTACGCGCCTCTGTTACCGGGGACGAAGTGAACAGCCCCGAAGAAGCCCTTTGCTGGTTCCAAGACCATGCATACCCCCAGGATTGTATACTAGTGGATTTCCTTCAGACTGAAAATGGCACTTATGCCCGTTCAGGCTGTAGTCGAGGCGCGATGGCTTTTAACCCATGCTTAGCGCGTTAATCCCTGCAATATGTCTGTCCGAACCTGTCTGTCCGGAGCTATCCCGGGTCGGGCGGGATGGGTCGGGACACTCCTCGACTGGCCTCCATGGCGTAGTAGTGACACGTCTAGAGCCTCTGCGTCGCAGAGGGGTCGGTTCGAAGCCGGCTGGAGGCACCCGCTGATGAAACAGGGCACATGAGAGGACACAATCGGCGTACCAACCACCATCAATGACTAACACAACCACGCTTCAACTTCGACACATCGCGCTTCAGTTGCTGGGAATAGGATGCTGAACACTTGGAGAAATTGACCTTCAAGCAGGTCTGTCATGGAGCGAACAGTGGAATGGTTGGCGCAGCGTAAGATGATCTGTGGGGCTTGGGGAGTCAAGGAACAAACGTGTTGAACTGTACTCTAGACAGTGTAAAGGCCTTATAGGGACCTCCCTCCGGGCGAAATAAATTCTACCTACCGACATTCTGTCTCAACATCAATCTGGAACATCTCAACAACCATGGCGGCTATTGACGAAGCGCTTGCTTTCCTGAAGTCCTCAGAATCGGTCAATTACGCTGAAACAGCTCGCCAATTTGGCTGCGATGAGACCACGTTGCGCCGCCTCCATCAAGGCAAACAGCGCTCAAGACGCGATGCGGACTCCCTCTATAAATCTCGACTGTCAAACCAGCAGGAACTAGATCTTGTTGCTTATATTCATAAGCTTTCGTCACGTGGCATCCCGCCTACGCTGTCTATGATCAAGAACTTCGCTCAGGATATGGCGAAAATGGAGGTCGGAAAGAACTGGCCGTATAGCTTCGTCAACCGTCATCGTAACGAGCTTGGTTGTACCTGGTTCGATGGATTTGATGTGGCGCGAAAGAGAGCCGACAGTGCTTCAAGGTATAAAGATTATTTTGAGCTGGTAAGTTGATGCACAGCATCTCATTTCCGTTGCTGACGGTAGAAGATACGCTCAAAAATTGAGGAATACGACATCGCCTCTTGCAACACGTATAGCATGGACGAAAAAGGCTTTCTTGGGTGTCATCAACCGAACTAAGAGAGTGTTCTCTCTCAATCAGAAAAAGCAAGGCAAATTGCTCGGTGCATCGCAAGACGGCAATCGATCCTGGATCACGTTCGTAGCTTGCATCTGCCAGGACATGACATCGCTGCCTCCTTTTCTCATCTACCAAGGCAAGCCAGGACAAGTTCAGGATGCTTGGCTTACGGAATTTGACCCAGAGCATCAATCAGCCTTCTTTACGACCTCAGATACAGGCTGGACCAACCACGAGCTTGGAAAAGAGTGGCTTGTCGGCGTTTTTGATCGGTTTACTAAGGCAAAGGCGCGAAACGGCCGCGATTATCGCCTTCTCATTACCGATGGCCACTGAGCCATATTAATATGGACTTTCTGGAGTGGTGTGACCAGCATCGGATCATCGTTGCGGTGTTTCCCCCCCATTCTACTCATCGGCTCCAGCCCCTGGACGTATCTTTATTCGGTCCCTTGTCGACGGCATATACAAATCAGCTTATCCGGTGGATGGAAAAAACACAAGGACTTGTTGGGCTGTCCAAACGCGAATTCTGGACCTTGTTTTGGAACGCATTGGAGGCGTCCTTCTCCCCGGAGAACATTGCAAGCGGGTGGATGCGGACCGGCCTCCTGCCTTTGGACTCCGAAGTCGTCTTGTCACAGATTGTGAAGAAGGAATACGACGATTCCGATGTAGGCAGCGATTCGGAAGACTCCTAGCATTGCAGCAACCTACCGCTCGAGAATTACGACGGCTTGTCGACAAAGTGGTCGATAAATCCACCGCCAATGCTGAAGTCAGTGCTCAGAAGCTGAAGAGCACTCTTGAAAGCCTTCAATCCGAGGTTGAGCTGCTTAGATATGAGAACAAGGGACTCCGTGAGACTATAATTCATGAGAAACAGCGCAGGCAGGGTGGTACAGCTCTGAAAGATTATCTCTTTGACCGTACGGATCCTAACTGTGCTCAGGTCTTCAGCCCGCAAAAAGTGGCTCAAGCTCGAGTGAAGAAAGCGGCGATGGAGGTCCAGAAGAAAGAGGAAGCAATCCAGAGGGAATTCCAGAGGGTTCAGCGACAGAAAAAGGCGGAGGAGCAAAAAGAGCAGGCGTTGGAAAGAAAGAAGCAGCGAGAGGAGAAAAGGGAGCGGAAATTGCAGGAAAAAGAAGCGAAGAAGCAAGAGAAAGCGGCCAGTCGACAACTTCGAGACGATCTCAAAGGTCTAAGCCGGGAAAGTGCGCAACAGAAGCCGCGGTGTTGCACTGTTACACTGGCACATCAATATCTACAAGCCTCATCAACCTTTCTTTTGCAAGGCTTATTCACCATTCCCTCAGCCGAGGCATATTCGGCCGTATACTCAGCCAAGACTCATTTTGTCTTCCAGTCAACCTAGGCTAATGCAGGCAATTAACCTTCCTTTTGCCTACGCTTTTCACAGCCACAACCCAACAGCTGGGTTATTCATTCACTTCCACTGTTCTTCTAGCTATATAAGATCATTTACACTCCCTCTCTAGATAGAAGAATCAAGAGCTTTATTCCACTCAAGATTAATGCTTGCTGCCCATCTCGTACTGCAATACGCGGCCCCAGCGGGTGCCTTCTAAAGCTCGAGAGAAGAGTCCAGGGACTCTAGACGAAATAGTCGTCGCTCTTCCACCAACCCCAGAGCTTCCGGTAACATCGCAGCCGCCAGATCAGCCAAAGGACGGGTTAGTAAAGAAGGTAAGGATTCCGCCAGACCAGACAGCTCGTGCCCAACGACCTTCTCTAGCTGTTGAGAGTGATCGGGAGATGGTAGTGGCATATCGGAGCTCGGGACGCCCGCAGCGGAATAGCAAGCGACCACAGTGGCTTAAGGACTGTGAAACAGGATGATGTTGTCACACATAGGATATCAGCCTCCAACAGTCTGACCCCCTATTCGCACAGTCCGTTTCCACATTTCCCCACAGAAACTTCTAGGAGGCATCATCAACGCATCAGTGGCTTCCAGATGATCCGATCAGATGCTTCCATTCACTACCATTCCCTTCCATTCTCATATTCAGGCAGTCTATAAAGATCTCGCCTCTTTCCCACCTTAGATAGCAGAATCAAGAGTCTTCCAGTCCCTGATCTTTATATGCCCACTTGCTCATCCTCCGTGCGATAGTTATGAGCCCGGTCTGCCATTGACTGGGTATCTTATTCTCGTTCATTCCGCTGCGCAGAATAGCTTCCACAATGAGCTCAGCTCTAGATCTTGATGGCTCTTCCAAGGGCACCGTGCTCAACGGCCCTTGCGACTGGAAACAATGGATTTCTATCATCAAGAAATTCGCCACGTCCCACAGTCTTTGGGACTTTCTGGACCCTGCCGTCAAGGAGGGTAAGCCGGTTCTTCAGCAGCCAGTTGAACCAACATTCCGACAAATCAACCACGAAGCATCTGATCTCGTGGATCTGACCTCGGAGGAATTTCGCCGTCTCGAATTCTCCACACCCAATACCGCTCGAAGCTTCAAGGGTATAGGGATCAAGTGAAGGCACTCGCCAGCCTTCAACAACACATCGTCAAGACCATCGGCAACTACTACAGCACCATTGCCGAGGAACACGACGTTGCAAAGCAACTTGCCTTGCTTCAGGCTCGTGTGGCCCCAACCGACTGGGCACTCGAGAGGAAGTTGTTCAGCGTTATCGTTCCACCCTTCAGTCGCCAAACAGGACCAAGATCGAAGCTTGGGTCACCCAATGGCAGAAAGTCCTCACTGAGGCAAAGCAATTAGGGCTTCCTGATGTCCAGGACCTTCGCCCTACCCAAGATTTCCTACAGGCTGTTTCGTCCATCAACGCCCCATTCACAGACTATTGGGTCAACAAAATGGAAGACGAGGCCGTATTCGGCAAGCCTGATTGGAAGACCGACTTCCCGGACGGCATTAAGATCAGTGAGATCTTTGAACGAGCTCACCGAATCAAGGCCGCCAACAACAGCAAAGGATCATTCGAGCCGCCTTCCAAGGCAAGGGAGAGAAATCGGAGAGGAAAGAGGACAAGCCTAAGTGGTCTTCAAGCAAGAACGCTGATGGTGTTCCTATGTGTGTCTGCGGAGAATATCACCGCTTCGTAGATTGCTTCTATCTCATCAAATCAGCTCGGCCTGATGGCTGGACTCCTGATCAGAAGGTTGAGAAGAAGATCAAGGAAATCCTCGACTCCAATCCATGGGCAAAGAAGATGACGGAGAAAGCACAAGACTTCAAGAAGAAGGAAATGGAGAAATCGTCCGACTCCTCCGTTAAAGGCACAGCGTTTGCCGGTCTTCTACCAGCTCCTGACAACACACCGCCTCCTCAACACCTCCATCAACCAGTTTCTCGACGGGAAAGGCAGTCTACCCGCTGTATGACTCCTTTATCCTTGATTCCGGATCAGACACACACATTTGCAACAACCGATCCCGTTTTCTTGACTACACCGCCCTTGCAGAGCCAGAAGAGCTCTTTGCAGGCGATAGTCAACTTCAGATCCTTGGCTACGGCACAGTCCGTATGAAGCTTGAAGAAGGAGGACTTTTTCAGCTCAACGAAGTTGCCTTCGTGCCAAAATTCCACACCAACATCGCATCCTCGACCGCTTTCTTGCGAAGGGATACAACTGGAATCCACTATCTGGACGCGTCTCTAAAGACGATCAGATTATATTTCATACGAAACGCCGCTTTCGTCAACCGGTCATCGAGTTCAACCCGATTAAGGAGGACTCTCACGCCTCCAACTTCACATCTTCATCTGCACCTCGCGCAGTGAAAACAGCAGATGCTACGCTTTGGCATAAGCGCCTAGGTCACTTGAACGCTCAAGCCCTAGAGCATCTTGTTGAGAACACGACGGGTTCGAAGATCAAAGGCCCAGTTACCATCGATTGCACCGCGTGTTCCTTGGGAAGGGAAAGAAGGTCGTCTCTCGCCGAACCCTCAAAACCGAGCCCCAGACCATTCTGGAGAATCTACGTTGATATCTTCAGTATGAACACCTCATTCAACGGCAAGGAAGCTGTTCTTCTTATCAAAGATGAATTTACAAGCATGATCTTCATCTACCTTCTGAATGACGCGACACAAGGGTCCGTTATGACTGCTTTGAGAAACCACGAGGCAATGGTTCAACGCCAATGGAATCTCAACATTTGCATTATCCACCGTGATAACGATCGTTCTCTTCAGAGTGCGTATGAGAGCTGGATCGAGGAAAAGGGATTCAAGATGAACCTTCTGCCCTTACACTCCCTCAAAACGGTTCTGCAGAGCGATCTGGGGGTAATATCTGCCCAGGCCAGAACAATGGGAATTGATGCCAATTTACCATCTGATCTTTGGCCAGAGACTTGGAAAGCAGCAGTGTTTTTGCACAACAGATCGCCCATGCAGAACCACAGCTTCCGAACGCCTTTCCAGCTGCTTCATCAGTGGCTGCGAGACAACAACAGAGACATAGGCTACCAGCAAGACCAGCCTGACATCACGTTTCTCAGACTCACACAGAAATCGGTTATCTCGTTGGATATGATTCCACGAACATTTTCAGGATCTGGATTCCGTCCACATCAGAAGTCCGAAGGGTCCGAGATGTGACCTTCAATGAAAGCATCTTCTATGACGGAAATGATCAGCCACCAGAACCTATCCCACAGCGCGTGGAAGTACAGCTTCCAGCCCACATCGAGGACGAGTCGGATTACGAGGAAATCCCACTCAAATCGATGAACCTGAACCTGACCCCGTTGAGCAATCTCCTCAACCTCAGACCAAGGAGACGCCACCACGATTGTGGTACAACCCGAACCATCTGATCATGAGGACTCGGATGATCAGGATGAGTTTCATGACATTCAGCACCCATATCCGACACCGGACCCCGGTCCGAGTGACTCTCAGCCACGGCGCTCAGCCCGCACTCCAAAGCCTCGCAAGCTCAGTGCTTTTCGACCAACACTAAGGGTCAATTCCACAGCTCTTTCTTTCTCGGCAGAGAAGAAAACTTCACAGACGACACCTTCCTCCCGAACCTACGACGTATAAGGAACTTCGCACCCACAGATTTGGTCCTCAGTTCAGAGAAGGAGCCCACGCCGAGTGGAAAGCACTCCAACAGAGAGGAACCTTCAGAGCGGTCCCCAGAGACCAGGTCACGGGCAAGCTTTGCCACTTACCTGGGTCTTTAAGTATAAGTTCGACAAGCATGGCTTTCTTACAAAGTTCAAAGCCCGTCTTTGTGTTCGAGGAGATCTTCAACAGCTGGGTGACAAGGACACCTATGCAGCAACCCTTGCAGGACGTTCTTTCCGGATTCTCATGGCCATCACCGCCAAATTCGACCTTGAGACCCGACAGCTCGACGCAGTTAATGCCTTCACAAACGCCCTCTTAGAAGACGAGGAGGAGGTCTATGTAGCCTTCCCAGACGGATACTACAGACAGGGATGGGCTCTTCGCCTCATGCGAGCCCTCTATGGCCTCCGACGGTCCCCTCTTCTTTGGCAGAAGGAACTCACTGCTGCATTCAGAGAGCTTGGTCTTACACAGTGTCCCGACGAACCCTGCATCTTCCAGAACGACTGGCTCACTGTTTTCTTCTTCGTTGACGATATTGTTTTCCTCTATCGCAAGGAAAACGAGGACGCAGCTGATGAGATGGTTGCAGCCCTCAAGAGGAAGTACGCGATGACAGACCAAGGGAATTACAATGGTTCCTTGGTATCAGAGTCCTGCGTGACAGACCCAACAGGAAGCTTTGGCTATGCCAAGACTCCTACATTGAAAGGATGGTTCAACGGTTCGACCTTGAACGGCGTGACCACTTCAGAGGAGCCCCTTTCCCGTGCAACGAAGTCCAGCCGCACACAGGGCAGGCTTCTCCAGACCAAATTCAGCTATACCAGAGCAAAGTTGGATCACTGAACTACGCCGCAGCTATCACCCGCTCGGACATAGCCAAGCCAGCGTCTAAACTAGCTGAATTCCTCAACAACCCTTCCGAGCATCACCCAAGCTCGCAGACCATCTGATCGATTACCTTTACGCCACTAGGTATCTCGCCATCCAGTTTTCAGGAAAACCCTGCCTCGACGAGGATGTTGTTCCTCAGCTCCACGCTCAACATCATAGCGATTTCCAAAGCGCATCCGACGCTGCTTTCGCTGATAATAAAGAGACTCGCAAGTCATCCCAGGGTTCAATCCTTACCCTCTTCGGTGGCCCTATTGCTTGGAAAGCCGGTAAACAGGATACAGTCACCACTTCTTCCACAGAAGCTGAATTGCTTGCTCACGCACACGGCAAAAGAGACTATTGCAACCTTCCGTCTCTTTGAGCAGCTCTCTTAAGCTTGATGGAATTCCGACGATCCAATGTGACAACCTTCAAACCATTCGTCTTGTCACACAGGATATTCCACGCCTCCGCACAGCCCTTCGTCACGTTGACATCCACACCTGTTGGGCTAGGCAGGCATTTGAGAAAGGCCTCTATAAGCTCACTTATACGCCTACTTCCCAGATGATTGCAGACGGCCTCACCAAAGCTCTGCCAGGCCAGAAATTTGCTACTTTCGTCAAACAACTCGGTCTCGTCGATATCTCTACGTTGCTAGGGATCTAGTTTCTTTCTTCAGTTTGCACTGCCCACTAGCCAGCACAACCTGGGGGGGTATGTCACACATAGGATATCAGCCTCCAACAGTCTGACCCCTATTCGCACAGTCCGTTTCCATTTCCCACAGAAACTTCTAGGAGGCATCATCAACGCATCAGTGGCTTCCAGATGATCCGATCAGATGCTTCCATTCACTACCATTCCCTTCCATTCTCATATTCAGGCAGTCTATAAAGATCTCGCCTCTTTCCCACCTTAGATAGCAGAATCAAGAGTCTTCCAGTCCCTGATCTTTATATGCCCACTTGCTCATCCTCCGTGCGATAGATGTATATATTACAATTGCATTTTTTCGTCGCATTTTAAATTTGGGAAAATCGAGCCCCGTTGCTGTGGAGTTATTGTGGATTGATGTCGAGCTCGTGGCGGCGTAGGTAGGATTTATTTCGCCCGGAGGGAGGTCCCTATAAGGCCTTTACACAGTCTAGAGTACAGTTCAGCACGTTTGTTCCTTGACTCCCCAAGCCCAACAGATTGTCGTCTTATCGTTTGCTGGTCAGCCTCGTTATCATTGGTCCCATGACAGGCCTGCTTGAAGGCCTAATTCTCCAAGTGTTCAGCATCCTATTCACAGCAGCTGAAGCGCGGTCTGCCAGTTCCGAAGCTGAGATGTGTTAGTAACTTAGTGCAGTTGCTTGTTAGAGCTCAGTTGTCTTCTGATGGTTGCGGCTTTCTGTCGAGCCGTTCCGTCTCAATCGCGAATTTGATCGCCGCATGAACCGCCTGCATGTCTGGCTTCCACTTATCGCCATCCGATGCAGCTTTTCCTCCCAAGAAGAAAGACAAATTCCCAATCTTGGCTCTTGCGCATTCGAATAGGACACCCCGTTGCGCAATCCACTTTGTGCATCGAAAGAGAAAGTGATCAACTGTTTCTGCTGCCTGGCCGCAATCACACAAATCCGAGTCTGTGGCCCCTATCGTAAGTTTGAAGGTGGCGGTTCTTGTATTTCTTCCGGCCTTGGCGTCGCTGCTCGGCAAGCTTGGTATTGTACAGATCGACCATCGTTTGCTTTAACTCGTGGCCTTGGGAGATTGCACCTTTAACGTAGCGTTGAAGGTTATGTACGAAGACCTCCTTCTCAATATCATCAATTGGGTCAAACTCAAGGAGACGTTGGCCAACTGATTCAAACGGGGGTACCAAAAGGGGATGAATACGGCTCTGCAGGTAGCTCTGTCGGCGGCGTCTGGTCCCGTACCCTCTCTTTGAGTCTCTCGAGGATTGGCTTTGGATTGAATGGGTGGATTCCTGTTTTTTTGAATGCAGAGAGGATTGTAGACTCCTTGAAAGCTTTGACGCGGATTGATTGGATCATAGCGAGGAACTCCAGCTTGGTGATTTTACTCGCACCACTGCGAATAGCAAAATCGACTGCCCGACTGTGGTAATGTTTATACGGCTGAAATACCACGACGTCAAGCGGTTGAAGGAGATGCGTAAGATGCGGAGGCAATGCAAAGAGCACAATATTATGGGCTTCAGCGTACTCGATAAGGTCAAGGGTATGGTGGGAGCCGTGGCCGTCAAGGAGCAATAGCCTCCAAGCACCTTTGGTATCCGAGGGTTTGCTGAGCGCCGCTGATCTGGTCGGGTGGGGCAATCCGAGAATCAGCGACCAGGCGGGCCAATCGTATCTGCGGATATCCACCCCACCCGAACGGCGCGCGCCGTGGATATACGCAGATATCGGTGCCCCCCGCTGATTGCGTCGCTGATTCGATGGAGAAGCCGCTATTCACGTTCGCTACGGCGCCCTGTCCACTGGAATTTTAGCGGGCGACCCGACCAGGCGGTGCGCATCGTGATCGCTAGATAGGGCATCTCTCGTCGCCGCGCGCCACCCCGCTCCAACCCGGACTGGTGGTCACTCGCAGGCTTGCCTTGGTCTTCCCCGTCACGATATATCCCATGGCCCGGACGCCAAATCGACGGAAGGCGAAGACAAAGGGGCCCTGCCGAAGCTCGCAGGAGCAGCGGCCGGGGCAGGGGCAGGGGCAGGAGTCGCGCAAAGCCGTCGAGCGTACGAGTGGACCAACGCATCCGGCAGAACGCGATAAACGACGCGGAGCTACGCGCCAATGCGCAGACGATCCTCTCTGCGATCCACGAGTCTCGGCCAGGAATACGACCTCGGCGTACGCACCGAAGCAAGAGGAATTCGAGCAATTCTGCCGCCACAAACAGTACTGTGACGGCGCTACGGTCACAGAGGAGAAGCTCCTCCTCTTCCTCGTCGAGGAGGTGGCCGGTCGGCCCTTGAAGGTCAGGAGCCGCAAGGCCGCCACTGATACTCCGCAGGACGAGACCCGCCTGGCCTGGCGGTCGGTCCGAACTTATGTCACCGCAATCACGGATCTTTACCGGACGCAGAAGGCCCTCGGAATGAATACGCACCCGTCGCCGCGCGAGGACAACGTACGAGAGTACCTCAAGTCCCTACAGCGCCGGGACGCCCAACGAGACAGGAGAACTATGCCGATAAAGGCCGCGATACTCTGCTCGATGGTTACTCGGAGTCCGAGTTCGAACGAGTATGCCACGAGCTGTGGGCCCACAGCGGCACATCGCCCGAGTGTCATTTTCGGACCCTCGTGGATCTCCTCTTTGGCCATTATCTTCTCACCCGTGGCGGCGATCGTCGGGCTGCAGAGATCTCAGACCTATTCACCTTTGAGTTTGCCGGGGAGGGCTCGACCCGGTGCATGCCGCTCATCTTTACGACACGAGCCGGCAAGCAGAACCAGCACGGCCGCCTCGAGACCGCCGGCGCGTATCGGAATAGGAACCCGCTAATCTGCATCCTGGGTGGCCTCTCGTTCTACCTCTTGTATCGTTGGGATCTCGGTAGTGAGCCGTTTCCGATTTCAGCAGGCGGTCCTCGTGGTACGACATCCGGCTAATCAAGGGTAACGGCACCGGCCGGACGGCGGCTTTCTCGTACAACTCACAGCGCGAGTGGGTTGTCAAGGCCTTCGCCTACGCCGGCGTCACGTCGCAGAAGAAGACGCATGTCGGCCGCAGCTCGGGGCGAGGACGGCTGAACTAAAGGGATTAGCGAAGACCAGATCCGTCGCGCGGGTCGTTGGAACCAGGAGCAGATGGTCGGCTGTTACCTGAACTCGTTGCCTCGCAAGTTCATGCGTACGATGGCCGGGCACCCGCCGCAGGCCGGATGCTTCGAGATACGCCGTGCCGGCGTGACGCCGCCGGAGGTCCTGCTCTCGATGATCTGGCCCGAGCCGGACAGTTGGCGAGGCCGGTTCGGTCCCGGTACCGAGCAGGAGAACGACCTGGCAGCGATGGGTTCGACGAACCTCATCTTCTATTTACGGGAGGTTGTCTTGCAGGATTCCGTTGTCCTGATGAAGAAATACCCCGGCAGCCCCGTTTGGAACCACCCGGTCTTCCGGCATCCGGCCTACGCCCCGTTCGCGCACCAGCTATCGGACTTCGTCCTGAAGAGGAGCGTCCAAGCCAGCTTGCAGTCCTAGTCCAGGCGATGCCGGTCCTCGCGGACTATCTTAAATCCATCGACGCGCGGAACGAAGCAAGGACGATCCAGCTTAAAACAGAGCTAAGCGAGCAGCTTCGAGCCACCGAAGAACGTCTTGCGGTAGCCCAGTCGTCCCTTTTTCGAATGGTTTCAACTTCCGTTACGGCCGCGACGACCACCACTGCCACCACGGCCCCGGCCGTGGTTGATGTCGTTGGGCAGGGAGGACGAGGAGATGGAAGCCGATTCGTCTCGGCTCAGTCGAGCATTGTTGATAGCCGTGCCACGAGCCCGACGGCGACAGATACGATCACGGTTAAGACAGAGCCACCGCCACGGTATCAGATGTGCCGAGCAGTAAAAATGGTCGAGGCGCTCTGGAGCGAGTGGACGGTTGGCCTTCGAGGCGGGCCAGCCATTGCCGACCTCGACGGTAGATGGGGAAGCCGGTGGCGCGCCGGGCGACAAAATGAATTGCAGTGGTATTCGTTACGGCTCGAGGGTATAAGGGATTTGCAAGGTGGCGAAGGCCCCCAGGTGTAGCGAGGAGGCCGCGATGCACATTGTCAACTTACAACAGCAGCAAACCGGCTGCTCGCTGGACTTATTTTGCAAACAGCCCGAGCCAACAGAAAGGCAAAAGTTGTACAACTAAAGAGGTAGAAATACACTATTTTTGTTTCCTCCCCGTAATTTGACGAGCTCGTCGAGCCTTGAGAGCCCTTCAAGACGCGGCGTTCTGGCGGCGGTCGGCCGTCCGGCCGACCGTGGACAAGGGTGGATATTGGAAGCCGCTGAGGGCACGGACGCTAAACTGCGGTGTTGTGGCGCTCAGCCGCTGAATCAGCCACCAAAACCCCGCTGTGGATATCCTATTGCTCTTTGCATGCTTATCGGTGGTGCCCGCAATTGCGTCGTAATTCACTTAGGCCACGTGACCACTTATCGCCCGCAAAACGCCGCCCGTGAAATCATGTGCAGGACGCCTGATAAGTGCATTTGATAAGTTCCCACCCAACTTATCGGGTTTCCGGCCAACACCAGCCCAGACATTCGCCCCGTAGGAACGTTGCCCGATCGACCGAGATGGCCGCGGACGACTCGTACACGGCAGCTGACGATCGCGCCCGTGCGCCCGGAGGGCGGGCATCCAGGCGAAGAAGGACGAACAGCCGGCGAACACGGCGCGGAGTTACGCGGCGAAGCAGCGGGAGTGGAAGGCGCGTCCCCGGCCGGTCCTCCACTTCGATCCCTGTCACGTACGGCCCCAGGCGGCTAACAGACAAATACGTATAGGCCTGGTGCCATACGCCCGGGCCGCAGCAGACGGCTCGCTCTATAGCTGGCCCGACGGCGAGCTCGTAACGCCGGACAAGCTGGCGGCGTGGCTCAAAGAGGATATCCTGTTACGACGCGTTGTGCCGCCGCAGAAGAAGCCGCGCGCGCGGGGTAAGGTTAGGGCGACGGCAACGGCGAGGCCGTACAGGTACGGCAACAGCGCGAACAGGAGCAGCTCGAGGCCGCGGCCATGGCAGAGGCCGAAAGCCTGGCCGAAGCTTTGAGGTCCCCTTGGCCGAGGCCGCTGAGCTGCTCGCTGACGACCGCGAGGGTTACGTGCCACCCACAGGCCTCGCGACGGCTGCAGTAGACCTTACCGAAGGGTCTTTGCTTACGAGGGGCACTATCGACGCCTATATCGCGGCCGTTATCGAGCCATGGAGGCTCCAGGTGGCTCACGGCAACTCGAATACGGAGAATCCCGGGGCGCCGCCGTACGAGGATTCCTTGAGCAACGGGGCCGGCAGCGGGGAAGCACGACCGAGCCTCCTTTAAAGACCGCGGGAGCGACGGGATCCAGGCCGGCTACCTCCCGATGAATGGCTTCGGATCCAGGATCTCCTTCTCACTGGCGCCGCGTATACGCAGCAAAACCTCCGTACGCGAGTCGACCTCCTCTTCGGCCACTACTACCTCTTACGGGGAGAACCGCCGCAAGATGGAGCTTGCAGACCTGTCCCTACTCGACTATCCGCCTTCGGAAGGGCCGACCCCTGTGGTTGACTGGTAAGCCTTTTACGGGACGGCAAGCTAAATAAGACGGCGAGGAAGGAGTTTATGGGCGCGCTCCGGCACAAGGACCCTTATTCTGTACGCAAGGGCCTAGCACAGCTCTTCTTTGGCGCTGGCACGTCGCCGGCGAACCGCCCCGTCCTTCCGGCGCCGTCAGGACTGGTATCGGATCAAGGTCCTCGTCGGGCGGGACCGCGAGCAGGAGCTCGTACCCGACGCAGCTACAAGAGACCTGGCGTATCTTCGGCGCTGCCGGCCTTATCGCGTCGAAGAAGACGCACCTCCCGCGCAGGGTGGGCGCCCAGGACGCGGAGACCCATGGCACGTCGCTCGCCCAGATCTCGCAGGCCGGCCGCTGGAACCAGAGCGTGCTCTGCCAGGCATATCTTACGCACCTACCGCGGCAGTTCATGCGTATCGTCGCCGGCTTCTCGGCCTCCCGGGGACTACTCGCGCGTGCGGCTCACGAACCCCGTACGTCTTACAAAAGCAGCTGTGGCCGTGGATCGAGGAGTGGGAACCCGCTTTGAGGCGCGGGCGCGCCGGCAATGCTGGGCAGAAGGCGGTCTCGACGACGACGACTTAGCCGCCGACGGCTTCCTAAGCTTATGCGGCGCCTGCGTATAGTACTTCTGCAGGACCTGGCCGTCCTACAGCTCCGCTACCCGTCGCTACCGTTCTTCGCCTACGCCCCTTTAGCGGGCCCGAGTGGGACGAGTTCGCCGTCGCCGTGCGGTCCACCGCGGTAGGGGCTATGGAGCCGGTAAGCCTGCTCGTACGACGCGCGCTGCCGGAACTAAGCGGCGTCATAGAGAGCACGCGGGAGGCCCTGTTACAGAATAGTCAGCGGCTCGCCATCCGGCTTGAGGCCCGGCTGGACGGGATTCAGGGCGGCCTCGATGCCCTCCTCCAAGGCAAGGTCCCTATCACCTTTACCGGTTACTTCGGAGCCGGGTCAGCAGAGGCGCTGGCGCCGGCGCCGGCGCCGGCGCCGTCAACAGTACCTACCTTGAATCTCAATACAGCTCCGGCCCCGGCCCCCGACCCAGAGCCTCTGGTACCAGGCATGCCTATCGTCACAGCCCTGGCAAGGGTCTTTACGGTGGGGGACGTCTGGAAGGAGTGGGAGGAAGGGTTTGCAGGTCAGAAGGCCGTACGGGAGCTGGAAGAGACGTGGGAAGCCGCTGGCGCCGGGGAACGGGGTCAGAGTGCAGTTCTGTCGCCGGAAGGTGATCTGGGACGAGCTGTTGGCCCGTATGGCGTCCGGCAAATGCAAGGAGGCGGCCGTTGCAGAGCTAGAGCTGTTACGCGCCGGCCGAAGCTTGAACCGACTCGTCGACGAACTCAAACAGCGCCGACGGCGGGGCCAGGATCGGGGCCAGGCCAGGGCCAGATACGGGTACAGGTAGGGACCCCGTGCCCGATGACCCAGGTCCAGGCCCGGGACCAGGTCCAACTCGAGGTCAGGGCCGTCGGGGCGGAGGACCCGGCTGGGAAAGCGGACCGCCCTCGTCGACGTAAGCCAGCCGCCTCGTAGAGTCTTTACACATATTTATATCCATGTAACTAGACATATTTTTGAGGATCAAAGGGCCGTAGGATCAGTGCATTACTATCTCACAGTTCCTGTGGCCGAGCCTAGCCCCCCATTACCCATTCGCGGCGCTGCAACGCAAATATCTCGACGGGCAGTAGCCTATACGGTGCTCCTCGACCAAACGCGCCGCCGGTGTAGTAGTCCCCAGGCCCCGGAATGGCCTGGATTGGGCTGCTGGCCGTGGAGATATTCGCGTGCGCGCCGCCGGGCACTTATCAGATGGTAGATGTGTAATCGCATACGATTTCCCGAAATTACTCCGCAAATCGACCCCACGATAAGTCCTGCTTATTCCACCCCATAATTCTCAGTTCCAAGAAGTGATACTAGAGACTAATTGAACGAAGGTAAATAGCCATCTGTCGGGTAAGAAATGGCAGCGATAATTTATTTGGCTTTCAAAACATTTGTTTAACGCGCTGCGCGAAAAAATGATACAAAAACGCAGGAGCCCATCGCCGAGGCAACAACTGTTGCGATTGAACTTACTTCTATTCAATTCTGTCTGACAGCTCTCAACATACATATATACATAGTGGCACGTCCGTGCCACTATCCAGTGACTCACCACTTGTAAGTGCTGCCTAAACATGTCTTGGTCCATGTCTCATATCAAGTCAACAACAACCCGTTGATATTTTTCAAGAACTTCCTATTGTTCGGATCCTCTTAGTCATTGCTGTTGGTACAAGGCAAAGGAGCGAAGATAGGGTTGTCTCGGCATAACCTAGATATTCTATCGCACGGAGGATGAGCAAGTGAGCATAAAGATCAGGGACTGGAAGACTCTTGATTCTTCTAACTTCTATCTAGAGCGTAGCATGGGCTGCATCTTTATAGGCGATGCGAGTGGAACAAACTAGAACCTGATGGAAGGTTCTGTGACTGTTAAGCTGGTGACTACTGTGCGAGTCAGGGTTTCAGTCTGTTGGAGGCTGATGTACCCTGTGTGACATATTCTATTCGGACTTGGTATCCATGCCGAAATGGCCCGATCTTCCCATCTCCTTTTCCCACTACCTGACCGAACTCATCCACGACGAGCTCTTCGGCCTCTTCCAAGGCCCGTTTGCCCCGGAGATCGTCAGTAGACGCCCAGGTTGGCTTCCAAATGACCTTATATTCGATGGATCCGTTCCATGCCTTTCGTACCTCCCCCAAGCGTAAAAAGTCGTATTCCTGAGTGGTGCAAGTCGCAATGCGCTTCTTTGAACACGATACGAAACAGAAGCAGCAGCGCGTGGCGCAGACTTCCTCTTACGCCTGCTTCGGCGCGGCTTGGTTACCTCGGACTTTTACAAACTGTGATCGCTTCGGGAAGCACCTGCTGCACGTGTGATGGGCACTCAGGCTCGATCATTACGTTCTCTGCAAAATACTGTAAGAACTGCAAGTGCAGGTTGTCTGCGAGAGAACTCATAATACCTTGATTTGCCAAAACGCTACGCTGATGTGTCTTAGTTTGCTCACTGACGACCCTTTCGCACTCTGAGGAAAGAGACTGAAGACGGTTGGCGTCCATTGTTGGGCCTATGGTAGGTGCTGGGGATTGCGCGAGGCATGAGGTTGTCCCCTGCATCAATGTCTCTGGGCCCGTCGAATTGACAACGGGAACGCCAAACTTGACGTCGGGGGTTTCATCAGGCTCCGAGATGGTCTGAATGGGTTCACTTGTGCTTCCTGATTTGCTGCTGGAGCCAGAGTTGCAGCTCCTTGAACTGGACGGCGAGGGAGACGGGGTCGAGGACGGAAGTTCCACGTGACTGCAGAATGGTGGGATGAGTGACCTTGACTCGGAGAGGGCCAGCGGTATGTCTTCTTCAGAGTTATCCGGTCCATCTTCACAGTGGTCACGTAGGAAACAAAGATATGGAAGAAAAGTGTTAGATGGTGAGGAATCCGGGGAATGGGGAATCCGTGACCCATTTATAGGGCCCAATTATCTATACACCTCCTTTTATTAACTGTACACCAAAAAGTGGATCAACTGTGGCTGGGTCAGGCGCAGTGCCGATGCCGCTAATTTTGGTGCGCCCATTCCCGGCCGGCCAGCTGGCCAGTTCGTGATGCTTGCGTAACAACATCCTGTAACCGTAACTATCAGCAATACCATCAAAACTGAAGCTATTCGCACCGCGTTTTCTGCCCTTACGAGCCCGAATCATGGAGTCGCTTACGAAGACACTATTCCCGACCTTCCAGGCCGCGATGGAAGCCGCCGATACCGTTGTTGAGGCTGAGGGCTACGCCCTACACATTCGAACATCGAAGCGGGATAACGCTGGCCAACGCAAGTCTGCACTTGTTCGTTGTATCAAGGCCGGCCCCTACGAAAATCGGAAGGATAAAGCTGCTCATATCTCTCGTCGTCGCCTCAATACAGCAACCCAGAAAACAGACTGTGAATTTCGCCTCTCGTTGAAGGAAAACGCGGTTACTGGACTATCTCTTATCTTCACGATGTTCACAATCATCGCCTTGTTGATGACCCGATGGTCTTTCCGAAGTACCGGGCGCTTGTTATCCAGAAGTATCGCGACGACATTATCCGGAAGTTTAATAACAATACCCGGCCGACCGATATTGCTGGCGAGCTTCGTGACCTGGTTCACGACGATCCTCGTTTAGCCGGTATCACGGCTCAAGACGTGAGTAACGCCTTGGCTAGGCACCGTCAGGAAGAACTAGCTGGCCGTACGCCTCTTCAGTTTCTCTACGACCGGCTAGATAAGTCCGACTTCTTTCATCGAGATAGTCGTGATCCCCAGGGCCGGCTAACTGGGCTATTTCTCGCGCCTCGTGCTACCTTCCATCGATGGCGTCAGCATCACGATGTCCTCGTCCTCGACTGTACCTACAAGACGAACCGATTCAATATGCCGTTATTGAATATCTGCGCGGCCACTCGAGATAACAAAACGTTCTCTATTGCCTCTATCTTCTTGAACGGCGAGACCGAGTCCCATTACTATTGGGCTATCTCGTTGCTGCTAGTCCTTTGCGAGAAGGAGTCGATCCCATTTCAAGGGTCACTGTCACGGACCGAGATACTGCGTTGCTTAAGGCGTTAGATAGCTTTCGCGAGCTTCAAAACAGTACTAACCTTCTCTGCACGTGGCATATTAACCAGAATGTCGTTGCGAAATGCAAGCAATTTTTCCCTAAGGCATCAAAATCGGCAATCGAGTCGTACGGGCCCCGGCATTCCAAGCGTTTCTACAAGAGTGGAACGAGATCGTCAAGTCACAAGATGTGAATAGCTTCAACGAACGTTTACGCCAATTTGAGACACCAGGCCGCCACCCGCTTGCAGCTATACAATACTGTTGCAATACGTGGCTAACGCCTTGGAAGGAGAAGTTTGTATCTTGTTTCGTTAATCAATATCGCCACTTCGGGCGTACAACGACCTCGATCGTCGAGGGACTTCACTCTCATATGAAGAAGTTCCTTTGGTCCTGTACGGGCGATTTGACGACCGTTTTCCAACGATTCGAACGCTTCTGGGCCATCAGGCTGCTCAGATCACAGCGATAGAGAATCGAAACCTCCACAAGATATCAACGTTCTCCCTACAGGCGCCGTATATGCCGATCCGCGAGCGAGTATCGTCATATGCGTTAAAGCTACTAATAGATGATCATCGCAAGATCCTCTAGACCCCGAAGTCAACGGGCCAAACCGCCGCCAGGTCAATGTCCTTGTAATTGGGCTACTAGTCGAGGGCTACCGTGCTGCCATCGAATCTTCGAGTCTATCAACACCAATACCTCCCTTACACTCGACGACTTCGACCCATTTTGGTATATTCCGATCGATACAAGCGCTCAGGGCACAAGCCCTACTCGGGCACCATACGAGCCACAAGTTATCAGGGCTAAGGGCCGCCCCAAGGGCTCACTCAACCTCGAAGAGTCACGGCGGTCAAGATCAACGCGGCGGGATCCGTCACATCACGAGATCGCTGAACGGCATGAGCGGGCTGAGGCTATACGACTGCCTCCTCCTCAACGGCACCAGCGGCGATGACGGGTACGGTAACGGCCGCGATGACTTCAACGGAACGAGGGCTGCGGCACATCGAGGAAAACGGCGATACGTACGAGGCAGGCACACGGATGCAACGGGCGTATCAACAAGCCGGGCGTCAAACGCCAGTCTCTGATGATGACGATCAGCCGGTACGGCGGGAGACCCAAGACTGCATCTTCGTCGCTGGCCTCACGGACGATGCCGCCCTTGAGGATGTATGGGATCAATTGGAATCACAGTTAGATGAAGCGGATCAGGCACGTAGTGCACTCGAAGAAGGAGGCCTGTTGTAAACACCAAAGAATAGTCTCATCAGCATAGAAAGCGCAGTACGAATAGCTTCAATTTTGGGTGCCTTATCGTTGAAGGAGAACTGTTACTACCTGGCTCTACTTATCGTAGAGAATGTGTGCATACAAATTGGCGGTATCGGCCCTCTTCGGCCGTCAGCCACAGTTAATCCACTTTTTGGGTGTACAGTTAATGAAAGTGGGTGGATAGATAACTTGGGCCCATTTATAGACAATCTGAGCCCCCCATGCCCTCAGCTATTGAGTAACGAGAAGAGGAAGACGGGGGCCAGCTTTGCCGAAGTCATCACTGTGACGTATCAGTGCCTCCTTCCCAAGGCGCAGCCCTTCCACCCACCTTGAGAGTCGTGGGCGGTAAGGGACAAGCTGGGGACAAGCTGGGGACAAGCCGGGGACAAGCCGGGGACAAGCCGGCAATGCCAACAGCCCCCCTTGTCCCCTTTCCTCTCCCCCCTCTCTTCCCTCTCACTGGTCTGGTCACCAGCCCCTCCCTCTTCCTCCACGAGCATCGCTTCTCCTGCCCCCCCCCCCGAGTTGAGTTGCATCGCAAAGCTGCAGCAGAGTAGGGAGCAAGCACCCAGTCTCAGTGCGCGCCCGGGAAGCAGCTCGCCCAGGTAAGATCACCGGACCACATACCCCATAAACGTCACCTTTAGAATAGTCCGTCGTTGGGCGCCCTGGCACGAGCCGCGGCGAGGAAAGCTGTGTACCCGAAACTCGTACGATTCGACATAGCCTGCGAGGTTGAGGAAGGATCATTCTACCTTCATGCGGACACTGGAACAGAGTGAACCAAAATGGTGTTCTGTTGAAGTCATGTAGGTAACAGTACAACTTGCAAGGCGCGTTCTGTCCCTGAAGAATATGTCGATATGACTCGCTCGCGTAAGTCAACTTCGAGAGGGAGACGAGGGCAAAAATTTGCCCATGAAACGATGTTGGTGCTCATGTACGGAGTTGCTGACTTCCAAACTTCAACGCATTTCTTCCGCCTCAGTAGAGTCAACAAGCTTTACTCAACGACTCTACCTATCTCTTAGGGCGTAAGTTTGACAAGGTAGAAGAAACGACTCTCCAAGCTCTACCCCGACTATAGGGCTTCAAGTGGCCAAAGCGACTTACACTACTGTCCGCTACCCAGAGCCCGCTCAATGGGTGGTTATCGCTCTTGGGTGAAAAATGGCATACCTACGCTACGGCCGAATTATCAAAGTGTTTGATCTCTCATGTTTATCAATGGTGGAAGCTCTCATAAGCTACTAAAGCATACTAGTGTTTGTCCTTTCTGAGGCAACCTCTTCGCTTTGTCAGTCTGACTTGGCTCCTGTGACTCTTGGAGGAGCACTGCCGTCTTTTTTGCCATCGCCAGACCTATTGAAACGAAGGCGTTCTCCTCACCGCAGGCGGATATAGCTTCTCCTGAATCGGCAATCAGCGTTGGGACTTGTCTGCGAACAGGTCCACCCACGAGGTCAATAGTAGCTGGGAAAGACGAATCGTTCGTAGAATTATAGTCATAGGTTTTAAGTTTTCGTCGCACAAGTATGTAGACGTCAGCATCATATCGACGGCTTATTTGGTGGCATCTCTTCATAATACGTGACGTCGCCCTTGAAAAATTGTCCCATGTTCTGTCTCGCTTCGATGCCGGATTCATTCCCGATATTGTAGACCGTCTAGATTTCAGAGCTTTCGCCGCCGTCTTTTCATGGATAGCGGTCTTTAAAACCTTGCTCTGCAACATTAAGTAGCCATTTGCTGCTCAAGGTCGCCATGATCTTGTCTATATGTCGGCTGTGCTCACTACCTAATGCCGTAGTACATACTGCCTGCTAAGATCTGCGTTTTTCAACACAGGTGATTTAAGCAAGTGGTCCGGGCATTACAGGCAACACAGCCAGAATAAGCCAATGGTACATACGCAGTAACATGAATCCTGCTCTTCTTCGAAGGTATGACTTCTCACCACACGACGGCTATGCACCATTTACGCTGCTTGCAGGGCTTGTCACACAACAAGAGGCACGGACAGTATGGATGACTGAGCAACGATCGGGAAGGAGATCCTGTGAATCGGGCAACGAAAGACTCTTGATTCTCTATCTAAGTGATGGTGAAAAATTGGCTTCTTATACTTGTGATTTTGGGCTGAGTGGCGATGTTGCCACCCAGGCAGCATAGATGACGACGTCACCTAGAAGGTTCTGAATCCATCACTAATATGGCATTACGAACTGCTTGCTGCCTGTTAGGCAGCACAGTGAATGAGCGTTCCGATCTTGCCGCTGCTTGTTCATTCGCTATACCATAGTTACCCCACAGTTATGCAATGTCGGTACAGCTGGGTATAATTGTGAGGGTTTTGTCGGACAGTAGTGTCCCACACCTCGCACGCGACAGCGGTTGATCTTTGTGGCATCAGTCGCTTCTTGTTCTTTAGATAATTCTCATCAATTGACTAATGCCACAAAGATCAACCGCTGTCACGTGCGAGGTGTGGGACACTGCTGTCTGACAAAAAGACCAAGACAGAGCTGAAGAATATGTGCTTCGCGTATATTCTATCAGCTCATCATCCTGGGACTGTACTGTAGTCATTTTTACGATCATTAAGTCACTCAATAGCGACCGTACGTGCGGGAACCTGTCGCACGCCTAAAAAACTGGGGCACTGATCATTCAGGCTCCAATGGCAATCTTTGGAAGAGAACACCAAATTGTGCAGATATCCTCTGGCTACGTAAGGTTATTCCCCTTGTGAACGTGGGGAACTCTAATTGGAACCACGGAGCGAAAGTGAAGTGGGGCTGCGATGCGCTGGCAGAGGCTGTCTCTACAGTGGTCGGGCATAAAGGAACAAGGAAAACCAAGCTCCTGTCGGAGGTTCTTTAGAGATCAACAATTGAATCACTGGCTCCCGTTCTTCACTCTCTGTTTCGTTGTGCTTGTGCGCCTCACAGAACCATGGGAGGAGGGAGCTATTTCAAGATCAACATGTAGTACTGAGTGCAAAGTATAGCCGTATCACGCTCCGGTTTGTATCGGGCCGGCCACCATGCAGTTCTACCATATATGTTGCAGGTTTATGCGAAGCCATCGAAAGAGCACAGTTGTATTCTTGGCCGCCTCTGGTGGCAGGTTACGAAGGGCAGTATCCAACCAGCACCGAATCGAAGCGGTCACAATAAGTCACTGGCCTTCAAGCGTATACGTCGTACTGTCCTTGCTGTGTAGGCAATTCTGTCCCCAACAGGAAGTAATAGGTATGAACCGGCGAGGTTAAAAGCTGCCGAGTAAAGATTGACGAGGTTTAGAGCGGCAAGGTTTAGAGCGGCAAGGTTTAGAGCGGCAAGGTTTAGAGCGGCAAGGTTTAGCGTGGCAAGGTTTAGCGTGGCAAGGTTCGACGCGGCAAGGTTTGGTTTGATGCGGCAAGGTACCACAACCAAACCCAACTGGTGCATTCGCGCTAACCTCACGTGTTGAGCAATATGTACAGTAAAGCCCGGACGACGCGATACCTGGATCACAATGTACCTTTGAAAGTGATGAAAGAGTGAGTCTATGTAGAGCAGCTTCAAGTGCATGCGCCCAGACCGCGGCGTCCGAGGTTACCTAGTAGAACGGACCAGACTTTCTGGCCGGCATGAGTGGTGCGAATCGGATGCACTAGGTACCGGTACACTGCCGCCTATTTGGAACCATGAGACACTTTTGGCAATCTCCGCATTCCAAAGTCCTTAGAGGATCATATGTACCCGTTGATCTTGGTGTGGGGCCACAGCAGCCCAACTAAGTGTCTTCGCCACTTAGTTTCCCCGTGCTCCAGGGCGTCCATTGGCGCTGACGGAGGACGAAGACGACGCCCTGGTTGCGTATGTACAGTGGATGGAACGCACCGGCATGCCCGCCACGAGAGAGCAACTTGAAGCTGTTGCAAATGCAATAAGAATGCGTCGAGATCCCAATGCCCGCCCGGTCTCGTCAAGTTGGCTTGACAATTGGCGTGGAAGTCATCCTGCGATCGCGAAGACGTATCTCAAAGCAGTTGAACGAGCCCGGAAGTCCTTTGAAGCCCACGGGGTAGAAGAAGTCGAATTTTTCTACTCAAAGCTTCGAGAAATCATCACCAGCTACCGTATTGGCAGTTCAGAGATCTGGAATGAAGATGAGGCCGGAATACGCATTGGGTGCCTGCGAGAACGCATCCAAGTTCTCATCACGCGCACCACTAGAGTCAAGAGCACCCGGCCCCGAGTTTTAGACCCAGCAAACCGAGAATCCTGCACGGTAATTGCCTCAGTTAACGCAGTGGGGGACTCTCTTCCACCCTGGCTTGTTTTCCAACATTACCCTACCACCAACTGGGCCGGCATCGACATCATGACAGGCGTACGGTTTGCCCAGTCGCCAACTGGCTTTTCCAACGCAGAGATACACCTTGAGTGGGCAAGGCATTTCAACTGCTGGTCTTGGGCATCGTCAGCGCAAGCAAAACAGTCAGGAAATTCGCTGGAAGAGTGGTTCGGCTGTGACGAGCATCTTCGGCGCCCCAACATGGGGATGAGTCGCGTGGAGGCGCCGCCAAACCAACGGCCTGACGACGAGAAGATCTACCGATTGCTTGTTGTGGATGGCTTTACAGGGCATACCACCCTTGACTTTGCTGAGTATTGTATCAAGTTTGATATCATCATTGCTATTTTCCTCCACATTCCACCCACCTCATGCAGCCGCTTGATGTTGGGGTATTCCAGCCACTAAAGTCAGCACATCAGAAAGCGCTTCGGAGTCGCTCGCAGAAGGCAACATATCATTTTCGCGGGTCAACTTCCTCACAGCTTTTCAGGACGTATATGAGGCTGGCTTCACGCGGCATAACATTATGGCGGCATTTGAAAAACAGGCCTCTTTCCTGTCGACCCAGCGCCGGTGATCACCAAGATCCTCCACGAGCAGCTACGACAACAGCAGCCGATCAATCCTGCATACGCCTCGCTCCTACCCTCGGAGACGCGTTTCCAAGTCGCCGCGGATGCCCTCAATGATATCCGGCAACGGTATGGGCCCCTCATGAGCTCGCCATCACGAGAAAACTTGCGGGTTCTTGCGAAAGTGAACACCGAGTCTATCGCGATGGCGTCACATTCCCAGGGCATAGTCAGCGATAAGAATAGCCGAACCCAGGCGTATGCGAATCGAATGAAGAGAGGCAAGATTGTCAGGCCGCGCGGAGAGTTTATCACGAGCTCCAGCATGGCCGACATCACCCGGGAGTATGAGGAGCTCCAGGCAAAGCAAACCCGGCTTCAAACGCGCCAGGAGATAAGGATGCATCTTAAACGAGTTCGTGGAGAGATGCAGAAGATCCGAGAAGACTATAAAGTCGGGAAGAAGCAGTTAGTCAATGGCAGAGTCAAGACATTGAACTTTAAGCCCTGGCTAGAGTTTACGGGACGAGACGTTGAGTTCTACACTCTGGAGCAAAGTTGCGATACCCTCATGCGGGAGCTCAAAGAGCCATCCAAGGAATCCTTTTCTATGATACCACGAAGAGAAATAACTCCGCCAGAGATGTCAGGCGCGCGCAGCGACCCGACCTCGCCCACTTACAGATATGTCGTCGTTGCCCGGCAGTGACGATACCGTCTATTTCACAGGCCTCGATCTTGACAAACATAGTGAGGATGGCGCCGACGATGAAGACGAGGACAATTTACTCGACACGCAAGAGAATATACCTCATCGCCGCCGTTAGCAGCGGTTGAAGCGGTAGTCGATACACCATGCCCTCGACCGCGCACCCGATCGTCCAACAAGATACAGCAGACGCTCCAGGAACACAGGTATGGATAAAATAGCTCTCAGAGACGCACAACAGGCGAAATTACTACATAATACGTCTATTTGGACTCACAAACGCGGTCTTCCTATCTCTTCGACTGGAAGGCGGCAGCTCCTAAATAGGCCCAAAGACGTGATTTTTCACTTTTCGTTGTTACTTGCGTCTTTAGGTGATCCGCAGCTATTGATCACATGTATATTTTAGCTATTTGAAGTCGCATTGACGGCACCATGAAGCGAAGCGTAGAATTTCCCTTGATTTTGCACCCCAAATTGAGGACCCTGCTGTGCCGGATTTTTTGGGCCAACTAAGTGGCGAAGACACTTAGTTGGGCTGCTGTGGCCCCACACCAAGATCAACGGGTAGATGGGGCGCCAGATGTGGCCGACGCCGAGAAGATTCGCTTCGCCCGCGACGCGGTCGGGCCCGAGGGAGCGCGCGCCAGCCCGAGGACGTGGGTAGGGACGGCGGCCAGAGGGGCGGCGGGCGACGGCGGCGACGGCGAGCCGTACATACAGGTGCGACGCGGCGAGGATTTCGCCGACTCGGCGGACGCCTCCTTCTTTGCAAAGGCCTTTCCGACCCTGTTCCCTTTGGCTTAGGCGGGCCGAGGCTCGCCGACGAGGACGCCGCGGGAGAGAGCGCGGGCCCAGCGTCGGGAACCAGGGCGCCCAGGCGGAGCGGGTTGCAGAGGGCCTTATGTCGACGCGGAACATGAAGCTCCAGGCATGGGCCGACGTCGTGCTGCGGCGTCACGGCGGCCGGTTCGCGACGCACCCTATCTTCGCCTTCCTTGTCTTTAACATGGGCGTGCGGTCTAAGAACCGCCAGGCCAGCATGCTAGGCGTAGCGAGGAAGAACTTCGCAAGGGTCGAGGGCCTACTAAAGTCGTTAACGGCGCAGAGGCTCGAGGCGGCCAGGGGCCGAGCTCGAGGCCACAGGTAAGACTAGCGACGACGGGGTAAAAGAGCTCATCCGGTCCCTCTCCGTGTTCGGCTACCGGCAGCCAATGTCGAGGGAGAGCCGCCTTAGTATGCGGAAGAAGATACTATCCCCTCATCGTTAGGTACGGGGTGCCGGCTATCTGGTTCACGCTGAACCCGAACGACATTACGAACCTAGTAAAGTTACGGCTAGCGGCGCACCGCGGCCGCGACCCCGACGAGGCCGAGGCCTTCCTAAGTGACCTAGGGACCGCGTATAAGCGGACGCGGCTGGCCATATCGGACCCGATGAGCTCGGCCGTCTTCTTCCACCGGGAGATGACGCTCTTCTTCGAGCACTACGTCAACGTCGGGGAGGAGTCGGTGTTCGGCCACGTCGGCGCATACTACGGGGCGGTAGAGACCAACGAGCGAGGCGCCCTCCACATCCACGGGCTCCTCTGGCTAAGGGGCAACGCGGGCATTGGCGACGCGCTCGCCGGCCCGGACGCGGAGGAGCAGGCGGCGTACCGGGAGCGCATCGTCCGCTACGTAGATAGCGTCTTCTCTGAGGTAAGGCGGCCGCCTTAACACAAACCCCGATGCCCCTATCTGGGTCAGGCTGAGGGGCCTAAGCTGAACCGAGGCCGCAGGAGCTAGACGCAGAAGGTTACTGTGCCATGCAGGCAGAGCGGTCGGCCACGGCGGACATATCGTCGCGGCTCGACGACGTCGCGCGCTTCACGGACACCTTCGACGAGGAGGCCAACTTCTGCGCGGGCGCGACGCAGATCCATACGCATAGCGCGACCTGCGTAAAATACTCGCTCGGCGTGGGGGCGCGGAAGGGGGGACCTCTGCCGGTTTAAGGCGCCGTGGAGGTTGGTGGAGAGGACGGCGCTGACGGCGGACGGGGTGCTCGAGATCCGGCGGACGCATAGCATGGTGAACCGGTGGAACAGGGCGATGGCAGTGGGGCTACGACACAACCACGACATCTCGTTCATCGCGACGCAGCGCAAGACCATGGCCCTAATCTACTATATTACTAACTATGCGACGAAGGTAGAGGACCCCGTGTGGAAGCGTGTGGCCGCCGCGGCCGAGTTCCTTCCTGTGCTAGAGCCGACGGGAGAGGGCAACAGAAGTGGCGCCGACCGCGACGCCGGCCGGGAGGGCGGGGCCGAAGGGGTAGCGACGGCGGCGGACCCCGTAGGGGGGGGAATAAGACGAGAACGTTCCTGCTTAAGGCGGCGAATCGAGTCTTTACGGAGCGGCCGCTGTCGCAGGTCGAGGTGATCGCGCACCTCCTAGGGTACCCGGCGGAGTTTAGCAGCGGCTCAGCGTGGGCGTATATAAACGCAAACCAGCTCTACTGGGCCGTCTTCCGCCGGTGGCGGCACCTCCGACGGGCGAGCGGCGCCGAGGCGACGGGCGACGCGCCGGACGAGACGGTCGTCGTCGAGGAGGCTGGCCTGAGGATCCCTCTCGTCGAGGCCTACCGGCACCGGGGCGAGCTCCTGCGGGCCTCTGCCTTTATGACTACGCATCGCTTGTAAGGTTAAAGCAAAACGGCAGCGGCGCCGACGGTATGGCGGGCTGGGGTGAGGTACCCTTCGCGGAGAGCTGGGCGTCGGGGAAGGGCTGGGTGCAGGCGCTTAGGCGGCCGGGTTGCGGGGCGACTGTATGCGTCGACGGATACCTCAGCAAGGAGTTCAGCGAGGAAGACGACGAGTCGTGCCACCGGAGGTGCGTACTATAAGACGGGGGGCGCCTAAGAGGAAGGCAGAGCAGCTAGGGGCATCGGCTAACAGCATCTAGGGCGGCGGTGCAGCACCTGGCCCTATTCGTGCCGTGGGAGTCCTTCCTCGGCGAGGAGGCAGGCGACATTAACAACATCTGGGCACGGGCGCGGGAGTCGCTGGCGCCGAGGGTCGCGCGGCTCGCAGACAACGTGCAGCTCCTCCGGCGGTCGGCGGAGGACGCGAAGCGCGACGCCAAGCAGTGGGCCGCCACGGCCGAGGAGGGCGGTATGACGGCGCCGCAGGCCGACGACGAAGGCAGGGGGGCGGCCGAAGGGGGCGAGGCATACCGCGCCGGCGGGGCGACGCGGCTCGGCTCATCGACGTCGTCCGAACGCCGCCAGCGCGGGACAAGTCACGGCGCAGTCAACAGAGCTGCTAGCGATGACGCAGCAGCTCTGCCGGTTCCAGCAGTCGGCGCTCGGGTCGGCGGCCGAGCTCGCGGCGACGGTGGTGGCGGACGAGAGGGCAGGCAGGCGGGTGAACCTACCGGGCTCGGCGCTGTCGGGGCGGCACTGCCGCGGCAAGAAGAGGTGCGGGCCATCAAGTCGCAGCAGAGGAGCGCGGCGCGGGAGCGGGAGCGGGCGATCCAGGGCATCCAGGGCGGCGGGGCGGCGGCGGGCGTCGGGGCCGACCGCGGCGCGGCCCTTCGCGGGGTGATGGGGGGCTTCGGCGAGGACGACATCGACGTAACGGCGGCCGACGGCGACGCAGACGCAGGCACGGCGGCGGGGATGCGCGTGCGGCTCGGCCCGTCGAGCTCGTTCGTCGCCGCCGGCAGGAGCTGGCGGGCCAGCTCACGCTCAACGAGAAGCAGGCCATCGCCCTCCTAATCGTGTGCCGGCAACTCGACCGAATCCGGCAGGGCGACGACGCAGGCGGCGACGGTGGTGGCCAGCTCTGCCTATTCATCGGCGGCGAGGGCGGCACCGGCAAGTCGCGCGTCATCGAGGCGCTCGTCGAGCTGCTCGCCCGGAGGGACCTATCGAGCCGGGTACTGGTTACGGCGACGTCGGGGACGGCGGCAGCGCGGATCAACGGCATCACGCTGCACTCGGCCTGCGGCCTTACGGTCGGCCAGGGCGGCCGGGCGGGAGGGGCGACGAGGGGACATTGACGGCGTACGGCTGGCGGGCCAGGGCGAGCGCTTCGTCGACGGCCGGTCGCGGATGGACTGGCAGGAGAAGGAGGTGCTGGTGATCGACGAGGTCAGCATGCTCGGGGCGCGGACGCTGCACGCCGCCAACGAGCAGCTCTGCCGGCTGCGGGGGGTCGGCGCGGGACTTCGGCGGCATCCCGGTAGTGATCCTCTGCGGCGACTTCCACCAGTTCCGGCCGGTGCAGGAACGGTCGATCCTGCTGCCGAGCGCGGCGGTGGCGTGGGACGAGGACGGGGCGTTCGCGGCCGAGCAGCGGCGGCAGCACGACAAGGCGCACGCGCTGTGGCGGCGCTTCACGACGGTCGTCATGCTAGACGAGCAGATGCGGGCCGCCGGCGACCCGGAGCTGCGGCGGCTGCTCGGGCGGATCCGCCGGGGCGAGCAGGACCGGTCGGACCTAGAGCTGCTCAACTCGAGATGCTACCGGCCGGGCAGGCGGATCCCGTGGGAGACGGGCCTGACGGTGGTGACGCCGCTCAACCGGAACCGCTGGAACCTCAACCTAGAGGCGGCGCTCGCGTTCCGGGAGAGGCGGCGGACGGCGGCGCGCGTCTTCCTCTCCGAGCATAAGTGGAGGGACGGCGTGCCGACGGAAGAGGAGGCGGTGCTAATGCTAGGCCAGGGCGACGACAGCGCGACCCCGGTGCCGGCCGTCTTCCTCTTCGTGCCAGGCATGCCGGTCGTCGTGAACCAGAACACGCACCAGGGGCTGAAGCTTGAACGGGGCCGGGTACACGGCGGTGGACGTCATCCCCGACCGCGCCTTCCCGGCCACCGCGTCTCGGCGGAGCTCATCATGCACTTCGGGCGCCGGCGGGCATCGTGCTGGCCTCGGAGACGACCAGGACTTCCACTTCGTCGGGATGCCTGCCGGGACGATCTTGCTAACGCCCATCAGCGTCAAGATCACAGCGCAGCGGAAGCGGCCATGGCAGCGCAACGACGTCAGCCGGAGGGCCTGCCGTGCGCCGCGGCCTTCGCCTGCACCGACTATAAGGTGCAGGGCGGGACGCCAGAGCGCGTGGCGCTGGAGCTGCGGGGGCGAGGATGACGACGGTCGAGGGAGGGCGGTGCCGTCGTCGTGCGACCCGTATAGCCTATACGTGCAGCTGTCGCGGTGCCCGACGCTCGACGGCATCATGCTCGTATCAGAGGTGCGGGAGCGGGACCTAGTGGGGAACCGGGTGCCTGAGGAGATGACGGCAGCGCAGGCCCGGCTAGAGGAGCTTAGCAGGCAGACAACACAGGAGGCGGCCGACTGGCTCCGGAGTAACGAAACATGCACGGACGATTTCGAAACATGCACGGAGACTTAAACCCCATTTGGAAGAGTAGGCGCGCACCACAATTTGGCGCGCGCGTTCCCCAACGCGATGGCTGCCGCGGCCACTGTAGCCAACGCGCGCCTCCCTTTTCCTACTGCCTACGCCGCATATCTTTGATTTGGAGCGTTTGAAGCTATCACCACTCTCATTCAACACAATACCAACGCCGCCGCGCCGCCGCCACGATGGCTACGATCGAGGGCGAAGGCCCTGAGCCTATATCTATCCAGGACACACTTTTTTGCACATATGCCGAGGCTCTTGAGGCACTTCGGAATGATCAGCAAGATCAAGGCTACGTCGTTAACGTTGCAAACAGCAAGACTTCCGGGAAGGCTAAGCGTAAAGCAGCCACCATTCGGTGCCAGTATAGTGGTAGCTATAGGTCCTGGGAGGAGAATGAGGGCAAGTACAAAACGTCAACCAAAAAGTCAGGATGCCTGTTTTACAGTAACATCCGATTCCACCAACCTTCGCAGTCGTACAGGGTTACTTTCAAGGTCAATTCCCACTGCCACGAGCCTCTCTTCGCGCCGGCTGCCTCTGCCCTTATTCGTCAACGCAGTCAACGCAAATTTGGCATCGAACGACTATACCGTCTCGTTGAGACCTATAGTAGCAACGCAGCTAATATGCGGAAGGATATTGCCGAGGCTACCCAACGCGACCATCCTGAGGTCCTAATCAACGATCGTGATGTAGGATACATTCAGCGCCAGCTTCGTCTTCAACGCTACGGCGGTACTACATCTACACAAGCGTTCCTCGACGTACTCCTCGCTGCAAAGGCCGACGGGGAAGTCGCCTTCTTTGCAGTTGACCGTGGCCCTAATGGCAAGATGTCACGGCGAGCGAAAGGGGACTGCAGACAAAGCTAGCAAGATACTCTGTAACGAAAGAATACTAAGATGAAGAGGAAAGAAAACCACATAACTCCTAACGCCGTGACCTCCTCATATCCTCCCTGTCGCTTCGGACCTGGATGACGGGGCTGCCCGTACCTACCGTCGGAGCTGCCCGTGCCCGTGCCCGCCCGCGGGTGCCGTGCCCGTCCGCGGGTGCCGTGCCCGTCCGCGGTTTCCGTAGTAGTCCCCAGGTGTGTCACGGTAACCCAGGGGTCCCAGGTAGGGCCCTGACACAAGATCTGGAGGATATTCTGGATATACTCTGACTGTCTTGCTGACTGGAAGCGTAACCCGGAACTCCTTATCATGGATAACACGTATCTTGTCAACCGTTTCAACATGCCACTGCTGCAAATCATTGGGACTACGGGACTACACAAGAGCTACAGTGTAGCCTTTGGTATTGCCTCCAAGGAAGACGAAGGCGCCTTCAACTGGATTCTCTCACATCTCTACGATACCGGCCGACGGGCCAGCATTCCTGCTCCTGGCGTTGTTATTACTGATTTTGACAAAGCCCTCAAGAACGCCCTTTCCTCTGTTTCCCTTTACACAGCAACAACTCTGCGTCTGGCATATGATGAAAAACGTGATCCTACATATCAAGAAGAAGTGGGTTGGTAGCCTCGAAGGTACCGAGATTATAGGAGATAGGGCAGATGAAGCAGACACTCGCCTCGGCGCCGCGGCTGCCCTCGCAAACGACCGAACGAACGCCAACGCTATCGAGGACCGACCGATCGATCATACCGCCGAGGCACAGATACAACATGCCTCCCAGCTAGCGGACCAATATCTCGATGAAGAACGGGATGACGAAGGGAACCCAATCCCGCCGCCGCCGCCAAAACGGACCTTTAAGCATACAGCTGACGGTATCCGTGATGCCTGGGCTTCAGTCGTTAGGGCACGCACGCCTGAGGAGTGTAGTGAGCAGTGGAATCTACTATGTGTAGAGTTTTTCGACCAGCCAGGTAACCCTAGCCCTATATATCGTTATATATTACTATTGCTAATTACTTTAGCTCTCGTCAACTACCTCCGTACAACCTACTATCCATGGCGTGCCCAGTTTTGTAGGTATGCCATCCAACAATACCGCAATTACGATATTACGGTGACTTCTCGGGTTGAAAGCACACATCACGAGTTGAAAAGTCTCTTACACAACCGTTTTATCGACCTCTGGCAACTACAGGCTTCAATCCGTCAACTTGTGGATCAACGGCAGAAAACGCATCTCGAAGCGCTTCAAGACGAGTTCACGAAGGTCCAGCTCGAATGGGCTAAATATCCTATCCTCAAGTCAATATACCGGAAAATTGGTTGGCAGCCAATAAAGCAGATCTTTAAGCAAGCGAAGTTAGCTACGGAAGAGCTATCCGATAAACGGGGCCAGCGGCCAACGGATTGTACGGGTGCCTTCACGGCCCAATGGGGTCTGCCTTGCCGGCATACAATCCGTAATATCCTTCATGCTGATGGCCAGGCTGCTGAAATTCCCCTCGATCTTATTGATACCCACTGGTTATTATACGGTCCTACTGTAAGTATTACGGCCCCCCTATCTAGCTATATACTAATTTACTATCAGCCTGAACTACGACGGTATATCGAATCACGACATGAGCCCGATCCCGATGTTGTCCAGCCTCGCCGGCGTGCGAACAACGGGCCCGAGGCAACCCCTCCACTGGAGGCATCCACGGGCCGGATCCTTAGTGCTTGGGAGCAAGAGGAGCAGAGAGCTAAATCCGATCTCGAGTCACGGCCACCAGGGACACAAAGGAAGAGGAAGGGCACGGGCGCTACTGTCGTAAACAAGAGGTCGAATACGCTTGCTTCCGTGAGCAGCCGGGTTGACGATCTTGCTCAGCAGATCGGTGATTTCATCAAGTCGCAAGCAGCAGCAACGCCAGTACCGTTATCACAGGTACCCTCACTTCCACAGGCGCCGCCGGCATCACAGGGATACTCTGTGATGCCACCGCCTACATCACTTGTGCCTGTATACGTACAGGCACCGGCGCCGTCACGGTGGCAAGAACCGCCTCCCTCGACACAGGCACATCACGACGGCTTCATGTGGGCACAGCCGCCGGCACAGTCTCACGGGACGGTAAGGGAGCATTTCCAGCAGCCAGGGGATCAGACGGACACGGCACCATGCAATTCCAGCGAGCGGGCCGTCCCCAAATTCGTTCCCTATGTGCCTCGCCCTCCGCCGCGTCGGACGGATCCTTCCTCACAGTCACAGTCACAGTCACAGAGGTAGGCAAGGCGGCCAAAAATGCACCTTCCACTGCTGTGTGCATATTGCATACACATCGGAAGATCGGTCGGGCCGGGCTTAGTGATAGCTTCAATTGAACGACTCCAAGGGACGCATCTTCTGGCGTTGGTGATCTTTGCAATATTGAATGCATCCTCCGTACATAGTCGAGTAATAGGGCGGGCGCGACGAGGCGGCCACGGCGTTGGGAACGCGCGCGCCAAATTGTGGTGCGCGCCTACTCTTCCAAATGGGGTTTAAGTCTCCGTGCATGTTTCGAAATCGTCCGTGCATGTTTCGTTACTCCTGGCTCCGCAGGTAACGCAGGCGCCCTGCATTTTCCACACTTCTGACGTAAAAGGAGTGTAGGTTAAGGGCCAGGAGGACGGGCGAAGGGGGTGGTCTGTGGAGGCGTGTGGTCTATGGCGGAGTTAGAAGCCGGGCCGGCTTGGGCACCTTCCTCTATGTGGTCTGCGGCGGCGTATGGTCTACGGAGGCGTTGGAAGCGAACTGCGCAGCTGGAACTAAAAGGGCAGCAGGGGGCAGGGCATTATTTATTTTTATTTATTAACGAATGAAAAGCGAGAACATCGACGAATCAAAAGCGAGAAAAGAACAACCGACGAATCAAAAGCGAGAACGCCAGCGAATCAGAGGGCGGCATTTGCGGGGGGGAAATCGACAGGAGAAGGCTCGCCTCGGGCTCGCGCAAAGAGCCTTGAGGAACGAAAGTTTGTGGTTGAAATTTGAGGCTGAAAAGGGGGATTTATCTGTCTGTTTGATGTTTCAAGGTTTTGTGGTGGTTGCGGCATCACTGGCACGGAAAAAATCTTTCCCGCAGTAGCTTGCATCGCGCGACGGGTGATTGGGGGCGAAGAAGATCGGGCGCCAAGCTGTCAGTCATGTCATGCAGCAATACGTGTGAATAAAAAGCAAGGAGAAGATGAGAAGTGATGGAGGAAGAGGGGATAAAATAAGGCGTAGAGAATTCGGCCTTGAGTGGCCTACTTGCTGTTCTAGTGTTCTTCGCATCATATGCGTCAGTTAATCATAAAAAAAAACTACAGAGTATCTAAACATCTAGAACACAAATTATGGCGATGTCTACGGTCCGAGTCGAGTTCATATGCCAATTTGGCGCCAGGCAACTCATCCACAACCATAGCATTCCTCGGAGCCTTGTGACGGAGGCAAACGGGGCCGGCGGAGATGCTGAATACAACGAGCGATTTACACAGTCCATGATGCCTCTTATGAAGGAGCACGAATCAGCATGTCGCAGTGCGTCGGGTGCTTTCTGCGAATGCTGCGGGCGGTTTGCGACAGACATCTTACAGAGTCCGATATCGATGCTGCACGCAGACGAGGCTCGCATTGTGGTTTGGGTCACATCGTTATGTGGAAGAGGGCAGTGCGAGGTAGAAATGAGACAGGAAATGCAACTAGTAATGGGGGAAATGCGGCAGGAGGAGGAAAGGCGAGATAAGTTTCTAGGACGCAATAGGTGCATGGAGGTCAGGCTGTGCAAAATATGCGGGACGACCGTGGG